CCATAATGATACAACAAGAATAACTAAATCCTCGACAATTCATAGATGCGTTATTTAAACTAGTTTCTTTTTAGCTTTTTCTATCAAATCTTTACATATTTTAGAGTCTGCTTAATCTTTTGATTGTTTTACTTCAGAATAATCCTAAAAGTAGAACCCCAAAACCTTATCGATGAAATCAGAATCCAGTAATTGTTCATTGTAATAACGCAGAACATACTGTATAGTCATTAATATGCTCATTATTGATCCCACTTAAGCAAGTATTGCTCCTAGTTTAGGATACACTATTTATGTATCGTTAGATATGGGATCAAGTCTTATTAGCAAGCTTAGATATGCACTCTCTACTAATAATGTCGAAAAAAAATGTATATTTGTTGCACTTGTTATCAATTACGCATTGTAGATGTAGCTTTTTTATTCATAATTACCAAATAAAATGCCAGTATCTATAGTTGCTTATGTTTAAGTCAAAATCAATTAACCCTAATGAGATATTTGAGAGTCAAGGGTTAAATAATACTGTTTCTTCACCACCTAGAACTTTTATGAATGGGGATCGTACTACTTTAAATTCAACCAGAAACTGATATAATTTACAGATTATTCAAAGAAGTCTTAAATTTCAGAATCAGATGCACATTCATATTAGCTTTTTAATAGAGTGGAATTACATGCAGTAATTAGGATCATCAATTCGGTAGTCTAATTCAAGGTAGTATCATAACCACTATTTTGAATTAATGATAGGTTATCAACTCTTTAGAGACTAGTATTATAAGGTGAGATTGTAGGTTTTTCATCTAAAAGAGAAAAAGGCTTCTGTGGAATACCATTAATAAAATAGATTCCAATAGGTGTTAATATGTTACGCTACAACCTAAATGGGTCAATTTACCCATTAGTATACTTCCAATAACTGAATTCGAATAGGTCATCTTCATTATATAAAATTTAAGAGTAGTTCTCAACTTTCATTATACTAGTTGAATTTGGTAGGATTTTGGAACTCCACCATAGATTCATTATATATAGGAAGTATCCGAAACTGGCACCTAGTACAATTAATGAACATATTCCACTTAAGGCAGACTTCTAGACTTTTTCATCCAAAGAGATCTATTATCTATATTAGACACCAAATATATCTGTCATTTTAATGTATTTCATTTTGAAATTATATTATTTAAATAATGTGTTAGTGAATGATTAAATAAGCAAACTCAAATGTAAATAAGACATTTTAGATAATTAAAAGATGATTTTAATTAATTTATTATATGTCACAAAGAGAAGAGGTATTAAATAGATTAATTAAATAATATTAGACACCATATTTCAGAGAATGTTAAAAACTAGGTGGTATTCAATAGAAGGAAATATATCTATCTCCAACTAAGGCAGCAACATATTTGTATCTGCTTAATCATGTAATAAATGTGAAGGATATCAAAGTGTGAAAAGGGTGTTGCAATGCAATTTGCCAAGAGACGTGTGTGCAAATGGGATACAACAATTGAGTAAGATGGGCCTGCCACTTGCAGAATTCTTGTTCCAGTTTAGAAGAGAGAAGTATTGATCAAATAATAATTAGAAATGCATCAATGGATGGCAGAATGTAGGATGCGAGGTGTTTTATTAGAATAAGGATACGATTGCAGATTAAAAACAGTTGAATTTGGATGAAGAGAATGAGGAGATACAATAGTAATTGGAAAATAATGAGAAGATGCTCACCAATGATTTTAAGTATCAGATGAAGAATTTGGATAAATTCTATAAAGAACTAAATCAGAAATATAGATTGAATGTTTAGGATCCAGATTTTAAAGAAAGAGTATAAAAAACAAAGGAATAGTTACAAAGTTAAAGAAATAAACCGTTGCAATATTTTAAGAAACATGGAGTGAAATTTGTTGAATTGCTGCATGAACTCAATTAGGCCGATAAACGTCAACATACATTATTAGATAGATTCAGGGCATTTAATCAATTAAAAGCCTCATAATTTAGAATCAAAGAGAAATTACCTGAAAAGTTATACAACAAAACAACCAATGATGAAGATTCAACTCCTATGGACAAAAATAAAATATTGAAGCGATCATGCAAGCTTTTAGGCTAAACCAACAGAAACGTTACAGATACATTGAAGATGAAATTTCAATTAAAAGATAAATCTTATCACATGTCTAAATAATTCGATAACTACACTCCTACTATCCTCAAATTATAATCATAATCTTCAATCTCCTTTCATAAAAAGAACAAAACTGAAAATGAAGAATATCTAGATCAATAACTCGAAAAATTCGCAAACAGGATGATACAACCTCAATCTAATGTTCAAGAAATCAATACTTAAAACATTAATAGATTAATCGAAGTAAATATTATACAATAATTTAAAAGAATAAATCAAATTTGAAATAATTGTGTCTAAAGAAAATCAAATCAAAAACTTAAACTGCACAATCAGAACATTTTCGCAAAACAGAAAGACAGGAGTCAGAGTGTAATCCTATATTCACTTCAAGATCAAGAGATAAAGATTCTACTAAAGCATCTATTATTTTCAAGAGATCTCAACTGCTTACATCTTTTACAAATAAATCAGATTGTATTAAATGATTTTTTATTTATTAAAAATAATTCAAAACCTAAAGTCTTTGAAATTAATTCATAAATAAATTTTATTATTATTATTAATTATAATGTACAATTCAAGATCCTAAGTCTCATGTATTTAATTGAATTAACCTTTTTTAGATCCCCAAGCATCACCATCAAGTGGAAGAATTCAAAAGATCTCAGAGAAATTATCCACAATCTAAATTGGAGTAGAAAATGAGAGATTCTAAAAACTTGAATAAGCTGAATAAAGAATTTAATAGGCTGAAGATGCTTTCAATGAATTCTAAGAATAGATATTTACTAAATTGAATGGATTGAGAGACTAAGTAATTTACATACCTATTATTGTGTAGTTAGGCAAATTACAAAAACAAGTAGAAGAAGATAAATTGGCTAAGGAATAAGCTAATGAAACTAAAAACAGAGAAGTTCAAGCATTAGAAAAGAAATTTGAAAATGCTATTCAAAATGAAACATAAACAAGAAAAGAAGGAGAAACTAAAGTATTGAGATTACTGGAAGATAAAACAGCATTATTGAGAACTGAAGTTCAAAAGGAAACTGCAGCAAGAGTAGATGCTATTGAAGGAATACATTAAGGATTATAAAATGATTTACCCAAAATCTAGGAGGCCATCAGAAATGAAGCCAATGAAAGAGATGAGTCTGATCAGAATGTAAGTACATACTAACATTTAGGTTATGAAATCCATTACTGACGAACTTGTTAAATTGAGTAATCTTATCAATGTTGAAAAGAGAAATAGAGATGAAAGTGAATAATCCATATTTGAGATGCTTAAAGATATCGTCAATAGAGTCAAAGTAGAATTGGATCAAGAAAAGAAAACAAGGTATAATTAATCACTTAATTAATAGAGAATAATCCGAAGAGCATTTACTAAGTTTGTTAGAAGATACTTGTAATAAACTCAGTATTGCAGCAAATCTATGATATTGAAATAAATACAAAATATAAAGAATATAATTATAAAAAATAATTCAATTTCACTAATTAAATTCAAATCTAGAATTAATTATCTTTCTTTGTAATTTCTTAGATTTGTCCATCTATTAACGATCTTTAAAATATTTGAATAAAATCCTTTGGAACTTAAGTAAATTACAAATTTAACAAGAATTATACTGCACTTAGCCAATACCAAGAAAAATATTAAAATGAATAATCATTTTAAAGTATTTTATTTAAATTGTAAAATCAAGGAACATAAAAAAGAATTGATTACATGGTGAACTTTTTAATATTTTGAATTTAATTTACTATATTTGATTTTTATTTTAATGTTTTAACAACTTAATAATACTATTTAAGCATGTCGTTTTAATTTAGTTATTAATTATACTCCTAAAAGATTGGTGCTTGCTTCTCCTTCTGGAATTGGCAATAGTAATGCTTTGAAAAAGAAAGAGGAATTTCGAATATACATAGAGCTTTATAAACAAAGAGAGACTCATTACTAGAATATTATTTTTTCCAAAGATTAAGAAATATCTATGATGAAATCACACATTTAGCAAATAGAGGAAAGAAAATCCTACAAATAGTATCCAAAGTAATACAAATGAAATAACTTGGAATAAAGATTTATAAAATTGGGTAAAGAATACGTTCAATTGCAGGAAAAATATTCTGTTCTATCTGCAGAATTAGAAAATAATAGAATTATCTTTGGATCTCTAAGTTTCGAAAGCTTTAAGCCTTATAAGATAATGACTATTTATCTCATTTTTGAATCTACTTTTATTTATTTATTTTCGATTGTATTTCCTAAATATTTTAAATTGACAAAAAAAAAAGATTCGAAGTTATTTAGTCAGATCGTTAAGTCAAAAGGTAAATCAGTTTTTTTTAAATTAGACAATATAAAATCAAATAAAGTTTAGTCTTTGTTGTGATTTAATATTTCTTTGTCTTTTCTAATGTAAAATGTTACTCATGAACATTGCCATCTTCATTATCAAAACCTATTTTTGGCTTATTTATAGAACGTAACTCTATCTTTTTTTTCAATCTTTTAATTCTTAATCCATAATCTTTGTGATTGTAAAAAGATAATATGTTGTGGAAATGAAATGAAAAGTAAATAATGTTGGTTTATAATAATATTTATATGTATTATTTTAATTGTTATACTCAATAAGATTTTCTTATTAGATCTACAGCCTAATTGATTTGCTCGGTCAAATAAGGTGCATTCTAAAGCATTTTTAATTAGTCTTCCAACCCATAATTTTCAAAATCTAATAATATTCCTGTCACTTAAGGTGCCTAAATAATATTTAGATTATTACCAATTTTTATTCAACTTATTAATTAACTAGAGGGAACAAGAGGACTCCAATAGTATCAGTAACTCTTTTCTAATTTCCTTCAGCTAGCAATTTCTATAAGAATTATAAATCTGGTAACCTAGGTTATTGTCTTTGTTAGTTTTGATATTGATTTGGATATTGATTTTTCTTTTGTCTGTGTTGATTATAATTATTTCCTTATTATTAATAGTAGCCACCTTGTTGATAGGGTGGTTGTTGTGGAGGATAGTTACCAGGATATTGATAGGCACCATAAGGAGGATTAGGTTAGTTTGGGAATCCTTAGATTTGTTAATAGGGAGGGAAGGGCATGGCATTTGGATAAGGTTAATATGTAGGTTTTGATTGGATTTTTTTGAATTGGATGATATCTGCTGGACTCAACATAGGGGAGATTTGAACAGTTAATTTTTCATACAAATCAAATATTTTTTTGGTTTTGAAAGCCAAATCAATGACTTTTTTGCCATCTTCAGCAGATTTCAAATAAATATAAGCTGATAATTTATTAGATTTGTTTGGTGGTAATAATTGAAGATCATCTATTGTAATAATGGATTCGTATGCTTCTCTTAGTTATTGTTCAGTTACAGTGGGTTTAAGATTTTTGGTGTATAGATTGGCTTCAATGTTGTCATTTGAATTGACAGCCCATTAGATATTGATAATTTGATTTTGAAAAGGTTTTGTGGCTTTGACAGCTTTATAAGCATCATCTGAATTTTCAAATCTAACAAATGCAAAGTAGGTTTAGTTTTTGGGATTGACATTGACTTAAACCAATTCGACTTTTCCAAATTCAGAGAAATAGTTATCCAATGATGTTTTGATTTGATCCAAGGGTGATTAAGATTTAATATTAGAGATGAATAACTAATCTCTCTTGATTTGTTATTGCTTACCCTTCTTGATGGCTCTAAGCTGTTATTTTATTAATTTACCTAGTGATATGCAATCCCAAATTTGCCTAGTCTGCCAAGCACTTTTCAGCTGACTTCCTTTCTTCAAATTAGATGTAGGCTACACCAGCTTTATCTGACATTTACACTTTGATATTCAAGATCTTTCCATATTTTTATAATTTGTCTTTTAATTGCAATTGGGTAGTTGTCGGACTTAATCCATCTATGAATATATTAGCTTCTTCATCCAATTTGTCCATATCCAAGTACTCATTCACATCCAGGTTCTTGCCTCCTATAGTGACAGTCTTGGATGTTGCTCTTTTCACTATTTGATTAAACTAATGTGTACCTGCATCATGAGAATCAAATACTATGAATACTCCATTTGACTTGGCATTTTATTATAATTATTCAATCTTTCCGAACTCAGAGAATGCCTATGTCAATTATTCAAGAGTTGTTTCAGCCTTATACTGAGTGACATACACTGACCTATCATGAGGAATCGATTAAATCATAAATAATTATTTAATGAATACTTAACTATTTTTAATTATTAATTAATGGAAACTAAATGCAAAAGAAATGGTTGTAAGAAGGCTTACAATCAAAATGAAAATAATGATCAAGCATGCAAACATCATCCTGGAAAACCCATTTTTTCAGATCTCAAAAAAGGATGGACATGTTGTAATAAAATAGTCTATGATTGGGATGAATTTATGAAAATAGAGCCATGCGCAGTAGGCAAACATACAAATGTAGAAGACACTGAAGGTGGTGAATTTTATTAGTCAAAGACTGTATAAAATGCATAAAAAGGTATTATTGTAATTTCTAGAATATTAGGAATTGATAACTTTGCTGATAGTGCTCCACAACCAGTTCGAAAAATAGATGACTATAATAGAGAAGAAGCTGAAAAGAAGAAGTTGTTAGAATAATAATAAGGTTTGTATATTCAACTATGCTTAATTAGCTTAAGTGTAAAAGTAAATATTTGTAACTCCTACAGGCAAATATAAATGCACCAACAAAGGATGTTTGAAAGAGTATGATCCCAAAGAAAATACTGAATGCTTTTATCATCCAGGAGAACCTTGTTTCCATGATCTTAAGAAATTTTGGACATGTTGCAAAGTACTTTGATCATTTTATGAAGGTTGAAAAATATGATTGGGATGAATTCATGAAGATACCAACTTGTGCTAAAGGGTCACATACACCCAAAGTAATTTGAAAATAAATATTAAATTATCATCAAAGAATTCAATTTTTAATTTTAATACATAATCTGGCTGTTATTTAATTAATTTAAAAATGAGAACTAATCAAGGTTCGAGCAATGATCTTCTGACTAGAAATTTTTAAGGCAGAAGAGATATCGATCTATTGACCAGTAGCTCTCCTAATGGATGGAAGGATCTCACTGTTTAAAATAACTCAGGATATGTATCCAGAGAAAAATATAATAAACTTAAAGATCTTAACTCAAAATTAAAAGTAATCTCAAGAATAAATTCTAGGCTGCCTTAAGAGAGTATATTTAAGACACAAAAGAGAAAGACAGATTGTTATAAACAAAAGATGAATAATTACTTAAATTTGAGAAGGAAAAAGCAGAGTCCTAAAATAAAGGCAATGAAGATCTCAAAACACAACTTAATGAATTAAAAATTAAATTGTAAAAGAAAAAGACTAAAATCAGGTTACTTAAGGATTCATCAAAAACAATCGATTCTAGATTGGATGACTAGAAAGCCACCTTCTAAGTTGATTTAGATAGAGTGTAACGAATTAATGATTCCTTATAAGCTGAGATGTATCAAATTTAATTGAATATTTAGAAAAGAATATGACAAGAGATATTTGATATTAAAAGATGAAAATAATATTTTAAAATAAGCATTGTAATAAAAAGAAGATTAATGTAAATATTTTGAAATGGGAGCTTAAGATGATAGGTAAAATATACAACTATTGGAATCAAAGATCAAAGAAATATAAGAAGAAAAAAAGATCTTGTAAATAGCAATCGATAATTAAATATCTAAAATTGATGAAGCTGAAAAGTTTATTAAACTCAATGATTAACGTCATCAATAAGATATCAATAAAATTGAATTAGAAAAGCAATAGTTATAAAGCGAATATCTAATATAAATTAATAGAAAAAAAGAAAAGACTAAATCCTTATTAAATCAAATCTAATAATTGGAGTCACAAATTACTCAATTATAAAAAGAAGAATTGTCTTATCATAAAGTTATATAAGATTAAAAACATGATTATTTGAGATTGTAATCACAACTAGAAGATTAGAGGAATAAGACTGATTAAACTTTGAAAGAAGCTAACTTTTAAGTTCAAGAAGTTATGGAATTTAAGTAAAAGTTAGAATCTTAAAAGTCTTTGCTTTAAGCTTATGAGGATAAATTAGCTCAATATGATGTTTAATATTAGTTAGATTAAAATGAAAAATCATAGATGTTGTTTGACATTGAATAGTTTCATCAAGAGAATAAGAAGTTCTAGCATCTATTATATGAATCTGATAAAGAAATAGCTTACTTAAAATAATAACACGAAGAAGTATTAGATTTATTTATCTCGATAGGATTTATATTAGATTGAAAGCAGAGTTGAATCTTTAATTCGCTAATTAAATGAGTCAAAAGATGAAACATAAGAATAAAAAAAAATAATCTCAGAATTAAAGAAGTAATTAATCTCCAGTGATGAATAAGTTAATGCATACAAAAACAAATACCTTAAAGTTAAATAAAATTAAAAAACATTATAATCTGAATAAAAATATGTATCTAATCTATATATAATATTTTAGTTAGAGGAAAAAGTCAAGTTGATGGAAAGTGAAAGAGTTTTTGAAGAAAAAGAAGCTTTAAAAACTAAGGATTATGTCATATAATAAAAATAAGCTTAGCAAAGCAAAATCAAAGTACTTGATGAAATCTAAAATATGATTAAACAACATAAAAAAATCACCAGCTGATTAATCTTATAGAATATAATTTATTTAAGAATTACATATCTTTATAAACTTATAATATATTGGTAAATAGTTCAATTATTTATTTCTTAATTCTTAAAATTTATAATGCATCAATATTATTAAATATTATTTCACAATTAGCAATAGCAGCTGATATATTAAATTAAAGAATACTTATAATATTTGTTTTATAACCAGTTCTTTATTTCAAGTATCTCTAAAATTTGTTTAATTCATCTCATTTTGAATAATAATATATTTTATTATTGAAACGAGTTCAATTAGTTACCTTTTGTCAATCTCAATAATAGGTTAAATATTTTTCATTACTTAATCTTATTGAAAAGGAAAGATTTTTTCTTACTTTGTAAATTAATAAGTATCTTTGACTGAAATTTAATATTTTATATCAAAATAAAATGAAGTATGTTTAAATGGCTGATATTTTTGGAGCATAATTAAAATAGGAAATACATTCTGAAGAAAAACTTTAAAAATCATTTTTAGGAGGAGTGTTGTCAATTATTGTAACTGCAGTTAGTTTAGGATACTTTATTTATGTGATGGATTAATGGAGAAATTCTAATATCTTACCAAAATCAACAAATACTATAAAGGCTGAAAACTATTCATCCATTTAGTTTAGTAATGAAAATCTTGTTGAACTATGTTATTGGAGGTACTCAAATGAATCAATTGATCCTTTTAGAACAACAGATAACATATTGATGCCAGTAGGAATATATATTATTTCTGGTATACCTTAAGAGCCATTTTCATTGTTAAGCAACACAACAACATTATCCACTTACAACAGCAAATTAAGTTATGTAGAAGACCTGAATATAATATAAAATAGCGAATTCAATCCTAAATTAAATCAAACAAAAGAATTTATCATTATTATTACTACATGCAAGCAATAATTACTATTGGGAAATTAAACTTGTGCAAAATAAGATGTGATTGACAATTTTTTTGCATAATAGACTAATATCCTAAGCTTTTGGATAAATTTTAAGTATTTTAATTCAAAAAACTAGAATTTTGATGTTGTAAAAAAGTAATATTACATTTCATTTGAGAAAGAAAGAGCGTAATAAATATAAGTAATTCTGAAATAGTAAAAAACACTCATAGATACAGGAATATTATTTGGAAATTTTAATGAATAAAACTTTATATTTGATGCTCAATTTTTAATGAGTACAATTTCTATTGACTTTTTCCAACAACTGTTTTATATGGAATCATTTTTAACATTTACAATACGTTTAGATCCCTTCTCTTATGAAATATAAATAGTTTATCCTAAATTAGGAGAAATTCTAGCACAAGTAGGATCAATCGTTAGCATTATTATGATGGTTTAATATCTAGCATCATATTATAATGAATATCTCTTGCAAAATGTTCTTGTAGAAGCAATTTTAAAAAACCTTATTTAAAATTATGATTCACTCAAAAAATCGTAGGACAAAAAAAGTAAAACCACCTTAACTAAATTGTAAAAATTTGCTAAGCAAAAATTAGTGTTTTCAAATATGATAAATGAACTTTCAAAAATTGAGTTATTTTTATTGAGTTTATTTGATAATACATAGGTCAGTAAAATTACCCAAATGAAGTTTCTAATAAATAATGACCCTAAGCAGGAATCAATAGAAGGTATTTTCTCGATAGTTTCAAATAATACCAAGAATATTATAAATGAAGAAGAATTTTAAGAGCTGTTCAAAGCATTTATCATGTATCCATTAATAGAAAAGAAAACATTGAATGTAGAAGTCATTGAATGATTTTAAAACTATAAATTTGGTATAATAATTATTATTTATATATTATTATGAACTTAAAATTTTAAATCAATTGAACCTTTGTGAATCAACAAAAGCAATAAAAATAACTAACCTTTTACAAATAAAATTGTGTATTTTCTATTTATTATGATATTACATAATTTAAGATTGAGTTATAGATATTTCTTTAATTCCTTAGAATTAAAAAATTCTTAAAAATTAAATTTATTTTTTATTTTTTATATTGACTTTAGAAGTATATAAAATATAAATCACCAATAAGAATGATCAAATAAATCGATAATAGCTCTTCTAATGGTTGCCATATAATAGAAATTTAGATTTATGCAAAGATTTAAATAAGTTATAATCTTATTCTTTACTACTTGATTTGATAATTGAGATGTAATGAAAAATAGTTCATAACTCTTCACACCTTGAAATATTAGAAAAAATGTAAAAAAAGTTTAATTTAAACTCATTTTTTGTCTAAATTCGGATTTTATAGAGTCTATTGATTAATATCAAAAACTAATGATTAAATAATTGAATTTGAAAATATAACGGAAGCAAAATTCTCAAAACATCCCAAAATTTGCTAAGACATGATTTCATTTAAAATTCTATAATTTTAGGCTACTTTATATATTCAAATTTTAGAAATAAATTTTTATACAATAGATTCAAATAATAGTTATCAGCTATACCTTTTGAATGAAAATATAAACAACCAGCAATGATAATTCGAATTTTTTAAAACGTATTATTACTTAATTGATATATTGATATATATTATATTGATAAAATTAAAATGTAAATCGAGTTTGATTAATACTTATCATTGTTAACTAACTTAGATGAAGAAGTCTGTAAAAAGATAAAAGAGCAATTTCTTTTGGTTTAAAATAATCAACCAGAGGCTTTAAAGTGGAATGGCTATTAAAGCAAATTATTAAAGTCTTTGATACAGACCTATTGTTCTAATTAAAATAAAATCCATACTCAGATACCAGATAATGTTTGGAACATCATCTCGAAATTACTAAACAAATCTGTAATGGATTGCAGATCACAATTAGAAAACTAAAAAAAATAAATATTCCATTAATAATAATGGAGCAAAAATGAAGACGAAGCCTTAAAAGAAATTTGCAACTAGTATATCTCAGAAAATAAACAATTTAATTGGAGCGATATAGCAAAAGAATTATCTTAAAAGTTTCACAAATCTACAATAAAGCTGACAAAATTTGTACGAGATAGATGGATTAATAAACTAAACCCCCAAATTTAAAAAGGTCCTTGGGACCTACTGAAGAATATTAATTTATGAAATTCATATTAAAACATGGAAAAAATTGGTAAATTATTGCTTCCGAAATGAAAAACCATAGGACTGAGAGTTCTGTTAAAAATAGATACTTTAAAATTTTAAAAAAGTTAGAGAATAAAGGATATTTAATTATTAGATAAAAAATAAATTGAGAATGAACTTTAAAAACATTAGATAAATTAATTAAATAAAATTGAAGAACTAGGATAATAAGAAATTAGCTTTATTTTATTTTATTTGAATGAACTTGCATAGAAGCTCAAGGAGTAAAATGTTAATTAATCTGATAATATAAATGAAAATGACTAGAAAAAATAGTAAAATTAAGCTGATGTAAATAATATTCAAAAGAAAAAGTTAAAAGCAGTACAAAAAAAAAGTGATTCTCATGCTTCAAACATAGTAGAGAAAGTGTTAAAAAAATATTAATAGGATTAAATCTTAGATTATAATAAAATTAAGGATCACTATTAGGATGTTGTTGTGTAAAAAGGGGAAACTCTTGAATTTAATGAAGAACCAATAAGTAATTCAAATGAGTTATCTGATGTTCAATTTGCCATAATGAATAAGGATTCTTAAAATATACATGTTTTTCCTAAAACTCAACTAAAAGCAGTTATGGAAATAATGAAGCAAAAAAAAGAGAGCAAAAAAGATTGTAAAAAAGAGATAGTACAACCATAGACAAAATAATAAAAACCTTAAGAAGGACAGCATGGTGGAAAATAAAAATAAATATCAAAATAAAAGGATAATATACCAAAGCAAGCTTAATAATAATAATAAATTAACCAACCTACAATGTTTTCATAAGCATATGAATCTTAGATTAGTTAATAATAGAACATGCTTTAATAATTGCAATAGTAATAATTCCAATAATACTAATAATAATAATAACAATAATTATAGTAATAATAATAATAATAGTAATAATAATAATAGCAATAGTAATAATAATTATAATAATAACAATAACAATAATAGTAATAACAACAATAATAATAATAGCAATAACAGCCTTTCTATCAACTTCTATATCCAAATCTTTTATATCCTTAAATGCAAATGACTTAAATGCCTATCATGGGACAATTACCGGGATAAATGATGGGACCAATGTAAGGATTAAATGATGATACAAATGCCATAACAAATGATGGGATAGGTGCCAGGATAAATGCAGGGATAAATACCAGGTTAAAATATGCAAATAATCTAAACACTTCCAGGGTAAATGTAATAAATAGTTTAACCTATGAATTAATAAATGGCAGAGTAATTTCAAAGTATGATTTCCCATAACCCTTAAAATAATTAGCAATAAAAACAAATGTAAGCTGAATTGAATTAGACCGGAGTTAGTTGCAAATGTAGTAACTCGCTTCTGGTGGAATGCCCTAATAATATATTCCTTTAATGTATAAGCATTTTATAAACTAAATTAGGTATGCCCCTTAGGCTTTTTATGATTAGTATCTGCAGATGAGTCAAATGGGTCAATAGATGTAGTAAAATAATCTTTTGAAGGAGATGTTTTAGCAAACACCTTAATAATAGATGCAACCGATGAATTATCCCATGCCTATGATGCAACAATTTGGTGATCAATTTTATCAATAAAAGAATGTTAATTAAGGATTCTAGTAAAAATTCCCAAATTACTCTTAAGTGAAGCAAGAATTGGAAGATTAATAATAAAAGAATAATAAATGATAAATTTTAACAAATTGTGTTTAATATTATAATTTTCATCATTTTGTAATAATTAAGGGATAGTTAGAAGGAGATTGAAGTAAATCTTTAGTATGAGACTCAAGTCCAAAAATATATTATAATAGTAAATGTGTAAAAATAATTCATTAAAGATATAATTATAATTTATCACAAGATCTTCTAATTGAGTATTATTCTTTGATGAACATGTTATTAATATTTAATATTTTTTGTTCACTTAGAATGAAATGTTATGATAATAAACCAGCTTCGTAATCTTATTAATTTCTTGATAAATTAGGAGAAGGGTATTTCTAACATTTATAAACATTAGTTCCTTCGGGTATATATGGAAGGTCAAGCAAATCTCAACTGGCCAAATATACGCTTGTAAATTAGTAAAGAATTCAATGAAGAAGGAAAAAACCTTACTTTAAAGGGAAATAAAGATCCTTCATTTACTTAAAGGAAAGAAAGGTATCAGATTGGTTACAATTTATAGGTTTCACTTAATTAATCACTTCAGGGTAGGATCATAAGAACACCTATTTTATAATGAATTTGCTTGGAGATAATTTAGAACAGGTGAGAATAAAATGTGGAAAATTAGATACTACAACAATATTGAACATGGGTTAATAGATGATTCTCTTGCTTAAGGAACTACATAGCTCGAATATAATTCACAGAGATATAAAACCTGAAAATTTTGTGGTTCATTAAGAGAAACTGCATTTGATTGATTTTGGACTATCAAAATTGTTTATTTAAGACGGAAAGCACTTAGAATTCCGAGAAAATAAAGGCATGATAGGGACAGCTCGTTATGCTTCAATAAATGCTTTGAAGGGAAATGAATAATCAAGGAGAGACGATCTTGAATCGGTTGGTTATTTACTAATTTATTTATTCATGGGGACTCTACCGTGGAATAATATCATGGCAGAAGACAAGAACATTAAATATTACAAGATTTAGAGAATGAAAGAGGCATTTAAACCCGAAACTTATATAAATTTGCCACCTGAACTCCCTAAATACATGGAATATGTTAAGCGTTTGAAGTTTGACTAGAAGCCTGATTATGATTGCTTGGAAAACATGTTCAAGAAAGGAGAAGACTTTAATAGAAGTCCTAAACTATAAATTTAATAAAGTCATTTATAAATTAAATCAAATTTATTGCATTTAAAAAGCGTTGAAAGGGCTCAATGTTTGACCTCTAGAAAATCATTAAATCAATTAGAAAACACAAGCAGAAGAATAACATTTGAGGATCTAAGTTCAGCTGGGGCTGACATTATTGAAGAACTAGATAAGGACGAAGGCATAACATTAAAGAATTTATCAGTTGGCATTAAATAGCCACAAGTAATAAATAGAATAAACAAAGTGAGAACAGGGTCAGATCAGATATTTGAAATAGAAAATAAATTAAAGTCCAACTAATTGCCAATTTCCTTAAAATAATTAGAATGATATCTTTTACAATATATGTAATAACGATGTATCTAATTTACTAAAGAAATTTTTATATATAATAATGAATTCAAACCTATAATTAATATCAGATTATTAAATAAATCCATAACAAGGGTAATATAGATAAATATCTCAATATAGCATTACAAATTCTATTTTTAATTGACGAAATCGTAAAGAATATCAACAATTAAAGAAAACTATTTGCATTTACTAATTATTAAAAATATAGGGTTATATTTCATGGTTTGAAACTCTCTGCAGTTGATTCTTACCATTCTAATTTAAAATCTTCTTGTAGAATTCAAAAGTTAATAGACTCTACACCACATATGAGTTTATACATATAATCCAAAAATAATTAATAGATAAATTATTTATATTAGGATTGAATAGTATTCTGTTTATGGTAAAACAAAATTTTGTAATAAATTTATGAATAAAATCTATAAAATTCATAATAATAGAAAAAAGAATAACAAAACAGGTTATACATTAAAATTTCATACAATTGATATTATTATTTGAAACAAATAAAATTTGTTTACTCTCGTATTGGTTTTTATAGTTAGATTAGATAAGGATTTACCTAAAGGGAAGCAGAAGGATAAAAAGAATTATATTCGATCCTAATGCAGATGATTATATAAACTAAGAACTTTTCATTATTTTTAATATATAAATATTAATATGAATAATCAAAATGTTTCTAGGTTTGAAACAAAACAAGATTACATAATAGATACTTAGAGCATCGTTGCTTAAGGTAAAAGAGGTTAAATTTTAAAATGTTAACACAAAGATAAGGATGAAATATTGTGTGTGAAGGTAATAAGTAAATCGCATTTATATGTCAATTAAAAAAATGAAATACAAGTACTAGAAACTCTTAAAAATGCAAAAACAAAGAATTTGAACGTCTTAAATATCTAAAATATTATGGAAGATAGCAAAAAGTATCTCATATTCAGCGAGCTCTGTGATGGCAGCCTAGAACAATTATTTTAATAGAAACAGAGAAATAATAAATGGTTTTCTGCAGAGGAAGTCCAAGATTTTCTAAGTCAAATAGTGAGAGGCTATTTTTATTTAAAGAGTCACAAAATAATACTTAGAGATTTAACACCCAGAAGCATTCTTTTTAAAATACTTACTAATAATAGAATTGTATTAAAAGTAAAAATAAAATATATACATAGATATCAGATTTTGGTGTGAGTCGAATAACTTAGGATGGATATGCAGTAACTAGAACTGGAATTCCTTATTACTCAGCTCCAGAAGTTTACAGAAATTCTTCTGATCAATAAAAATACACTGATACATGCGATATCTATTCAGTATTAGTGTTTGTGTATTATTCAATAGCTTGGAATCATTCTTTACATGTTGTGTTACCAAGGAGAAAAGCCGGTGAATGTATAAGATTTTAAGGATCTAAATGAATTCCATGAAAGATTAAAAAAAGATTAATTTCTCGCATGCCCACACAACCCTAGGCATTCAAAAGAATTTTTGAGCTTAATAGAAAAAATGATTGTTTATAATCCAGAAAAAAGAATCACATGGGAGTAGTTAGATTTAAATGTAGTTCAACATTTTCTCATCTTAGAAGACAATTATTTCATCGACTTTGACAAAACTATCGATTCAGGATTGTAAGGATTATCTCATGAAGCATATCATTTAAAAAAATGCGAAGAACTAGTTTGTAAAACCTTCTAGAATAATATGATTGGAATTACTAGAACACTTGAAAATTTGGATAAACTCAAATAAAAAAATCATAAAAATGTGTTAAAAGTTTTAGCAATAATCAAGTATAGTGAATAATATACTTATCTAATACTTGAGAAATGGGACATCAGTCTTTAAGGCTATAAAGAAGACTTATAATTAAAAAATTAGAATTTGAAACCCTACGAAATTTTTGAAATATTATACTAAATAGTGGAAGGCTATTGTTTCCTTAAAGATTTGTAAATTGCTCATATTGAATTAAAACCAAGTAATATTCTCTTAAAAAAGAATGAGAAAGGAAAATATATTGTCAAAGTATAATATTATACTTTAATAGATCTTTGATTTGGAAATTAACAAAACCATTGGAAGAGGTATAACCCATTCTATAAATGAATTGAAAATATTTTCTGCTCCTGAAATGCTCTAATAAGGCTTCTCTAACGATTAGTAAAGTGATATGTTTTCAGTAATATTGCAATTTTATTTTTTAGCTAGGCATGATTTTATATTACATCGCATTCTAAAAAATGTTTAAAAACTTTTAACATAAAGCCGAGCTTCTAGAATTTCATAAGTCTTTAGCTACCACACCATTTATAAGTCCAAATCATGAAGTAAAATTGTTTAATTACTTTTAGAATCCACTAATTTCAGAACTAATTAATTAGATGATTGTAAACGATCCAAAGAAAAGAATAAGTTGGCAATAATTGTAGTCTCATTATGTATTTAACGAATTCAAAATTTAATAACCTCAGAATGATATTGTTTCTAATTAATATATAGAAACATAGCTCAATAAGAAAAAGAATATTTAAATCATATAGTGTTAATAATAATAATAAAACTAAGTCCAATAATAACAGTAGTAGTAGCAATTATAATAACAGCAATAATAATTACTCTAATAACAATAATAATTACACTAATAATAATAATACTAATAGAAAAGCTCAAGTCAAAGTTCTTGTTTTACAGAAATATATGAGTATATACATTCTCTTCATACTTTAGCGATTAAGGTATTAAGAGCATGCGAAGAATACTAAAAGGAAGATTAAAAAGTACAAGATGAAATGCTCTTATTCAAATAATTCTTAATTCGTTTCTGCATTTCTTGTTTGATATGTTTTGACAATCTCAAAACTCAACATTTTATTTATCTAGATAATGAGAAATATTATGTGAAATCAAATTCTAATTTCGATGATTGGCTATAAAGGAAAAATATTGAGTAAATGAGGAAAGACACATCAGAAATATTTGAATCCTTAAAAACAGCGTAAACTACTACTCCAACTTAAATAATCGCTAAAGGAAATGAATTGCTAAAAGACCTTACCAATTAATTTTAGTAGAGCGTCAACAAATCAAATATTGTTATGCTTCATTAATACTTCAACTCTTTTTTTAAAGAAGTTAAGCTTTCAATTTTCAATTCCAATATCCAAACGAAACTTAAGTTCTATTTGCTTAAGTTTTCTAATGTTTTTATTGAATATCCTATCTAGAATTTCGAATTATTTTAGGAAACAAAAGTAGCCTAAAAGATCTGCTTACTTGATGAAATGGAAAAGTATGTAATATATCATCTAAATCAGAAATGATAGTATGTTAATTTAATTAAGAAAAGAATTTTATTCTGTTACATTTAATTAATATAAATATAATATAGTCATACTTTCTGATGCTTACCTTTATTATCAATTTTGATATAAATTTCTATTTTTATTATAAGTCTTGAATTCATAAAGTAATTAAAGAAAACATCAAAATTTATGTCCCTTCATTATTTTTTCTTGATTTAGATAAACTGAAATAAAACTTATAAGAATACGTCTAGAGTTCTAACAAGTAGTATTTATAATAAGAATTTAGTTATATTTAATTTATCAAAAGAATTAAAAATATAACCTATTTACATACTGTTATTGTTGAATTAAATAGTAGTATATATATTTAGAGATTTATTTTAAGGTAGAAATTTCCTAAATCTTAAGATATAATTATATAAGTAATTAAACAATTGTCAAAATAAAAATCAGGGAATTTGGAATAGCTTCCTAATAGTATCAAGTGGATCAAGTTATAAATATAACGTAGAGGATATTTAGCAATTGAAGATATGTTTTAATAAACAAAAGTAATACAGAAATATATCAGTAAAAAGAAAATATGATAAATTAATATTTTCGGTTGACTTTAGATACAGAAAGTATAGATTTGAATTGCAATGAAGTAAAAGATTGAATTTTAGTTGATAAAGAGAGGTATTCGCCTATAATTCCTTAAGGATAACATTCAAGATTAATTAAAGAACTTAAATTCTATCATAAATGGCTTAGTATTAGAAATTAATAAACTCATGGAGATAACTATTATTCAGTCCGAAATATGATCTTTAGGTAAGTTTAGAGTGATGACAATTTTAAGATTTCCTTGATGGGGTTTAGGGAAAAATGCGCTATAGATTTCTAATTCAAGATGGTAAAAGAAATAGTAAAAAATCCAGTAATTCATGGAACTTAAGTCTATATTATGATTTTGTATAAGACCTATACTTTATATTATTGATACTAAAAATTAAAATATGAAATAACCAGAGTATAGATGCACAGAGAAATTATGGAAGCCTATTGTTAGACCTCCTAGACATAATTATAGACTAAAAGATATGGGAAATGAAATATTTATGGTTCATGACACAGTAGTTAAGCGAATAGACTTTGAAATGGCAAACAGTCGTGGATTAACACTTCAGTGCAGGTAAACTATATAAAAATGGCTAGCTTATTTGAGCCTGTTAGAATTCAAGACAAGCCTCATGCATGTATGATTTATTTACATGGGAACTCAAGTAGCAGAGTAGAATCTCTAACAATACTTGAATATTTACTTCCTTAGAACATTGCAGTATGTGGAATTGATTTGTCTGGTAATTAGTTGATAAGACATAGGTTCTGGCCAATCATAAGGAGAATATATTTCATTAGGATTCTATGAATCAAGAGATGTAAACGATCTCTATAACTACTTGCGTTCAAATAAAGTAAGATAACTTCATTATTAAAAGTGGCTTAGCCTTTTATCACTTAAATCGGTTTGTGGGGCAGATCTATGGGTTCAGTAACAGCAATATTAGCAGCCAGTTTGAATACTAACTTTAAAATGCTCGTTTGTGACAGTCCTTTTTCGAATTTGACTCATTTGTGCTAAGAGTTGGCATCCAACAATTATAACATTCCAGGATGTTGTTTTAATTGTTTTTGGTGTTTTGTAAAATCTAAAATAAGAAAGGAAGCTAAATTTAATATTGATGATCTTAATATCGTTCAAATTATACAAAGTTTAAATAGAATTATATATTTAGCATTGCAAACTGATGTTGCTATAGTATTTCTATCAGCTAAAGGTGATACATTGATTGGGGAAAAGCATCCTAAAATTTTATCAGAAAAGTTTAGAGGAATAAAGGAATTAATCTAATTTGAGGGAACCCATAATTCTAAGAGACCTATAGATGTGATGAAAGGAACAGTTTAATTCATAATAGCATAGATGGAAAAATATGAATAACATAGTAGTCTAAGAGACACTAAAGTTTCATTAAATTGTAAGGATTAGATTCCAATCCCAGATATTGGAGCACCTCTACTTCATTCAGAAAAACCATATATATCCAAGACAGAAAAATGATGTTAAGTTTTATTCTATAATTATATAATTTATATTTTATTTCTTTATCACTCATATAATTATTTTACTCAAATGATATTTATAAATTAAAATACACAAGAAGAAAAAGTATCAAATTTGGTTTACTGTTTTAGTATGGTTATTTATTAATTTTCTGAAGTATCCTATTGTTGATAACATTAAATCTTAATAACTTCCCTATTCCACTATTTCTCCTTATTCCATTACTACTATTTAATCATATTATTGTATATTTTCAAGTCTGTGAGTTATAACAAGCAAAGTCTTATCTTTTGAAAATTCAATTAGACTCTCATTTAACAACTTAATATATTATTTTAATCTTACTTGATTTGTGTATGGATCCATGTTAGATGTGGCTTCATCTAGGCAAATAATATCTTTATTCTGTAAGACTATTCTCAAAAAATTAAGAACTTATTTTTCCCCACAAGATAAATTAGCTCCATTTTAAGAAATATCAAATTTGTAATCCAAATACATAAGATTGTTAATGTTAGAATTTCTTTGTTAATAAAATTAGGTATTTTATATGAATTTTTCAATTTGTTGATCTGTGAACATTCCTTCAGGATCTAAATTTTCTTTTACATTTGCACTAAATAGAAATCCAAATTAGGGAATAATAGACAATTGGCTTCTCCATTATTTTAAAGATTATTATTTCACCTAATAATAATATTTAAATCATACGTTAGTTCCATTAATATAAAGATCTCCTGATTAGAAAGGATACAATCCTTGAAGCACATTTAGAATGGAAGTTTTACCTGATCCAGTCCTTCCAATTATTGCAATTTTCTATCCTTTAGAAATGGTCAAAGTAAAGTTTTTTAGAGCTTTGTGATTATTATCATAATAAAAGTCTACATTTTTAAATTCTATGGCATATGTAGTTTCTCTTAAGTGAGTTGATTATAGTTCTTATTCCATAAATTACTCTTAGTTGATATCTTCAGTCTCATTATTTAAATATTCTTAAATTCTTTCTACAGAAATCATACCTGTTTCTACTCTTGAATATTAAATAAAACAATCATAAAAACTATCTAATACAATCATAGAATATGTAATTGCTAGAGCTTGTATTCCAAAATCTTCTGACCATTCAAATACCAATGAACAGATTACCATGAAGGAAGTGCACATTACAATAAAATTGTTCATTAAATTTAATCTGACTTAAAACCACAATTTTATACGTTCTCCACATTAGTTACTTAACATTAAATTAGAAAATGAACTTTCAAAGATTTATGTGAAATATTTCTCTTTCTAGAATGCTCTAATTATTTTAACTCCAGTCAATGTTTCATTAACAATTTACAATAATCTACTTTAATTTGCAGACTACAATCTTTTGATTTCTCTATTTGATATTAGACATGCTTTCTTAATATGGTAAAATGCAACTAAGAAAATAACAAGCATTAAAAAATATCTTGGTTCCAAAATCAATAATCCAATGGATAGACCTGATATTCTACTGAGATTTTCAAGAAAACAGTGAATTCCAGAACCAATATCCATGTCAACTACATAAGTATCATCCTAAATCCTATTAATTATTTAGCCGGCATTTGTTCTATCATAGAATTTCATTACTGTACACATTAAAACAGTATTAAGTCTAATTTTATATTATCTAAATTTACTTTTTAAAAATAGACCAAGAAGCTAGTAATGCACAAATAACTTCTAGAGCTTATCTTATCACTGTAATTAAAACAGCCAATGTCGTTAAATAAAATAGGGTTTTAGGAAAGGAATTGTCAAAATATTTTGTTATTTAATGTAACCATTTATCTTCTTATTATACTTCAGATTTTAGCCAAAAATCGATTAATGACATAGATCCTTACATGTAAAAATTAACAAAAAATAATAACAGAAATAATGGGAATTTCATACTGTTAAAATATGTTTTCCAGATTTACCAATTAATACTTCCTATTTGTCTTGTATCTTCATTACTATCATCAATAACAACCTGTTCGTTTTATTCTCCCTTATCAGAATTTAATGTGTTATTTTCTTATTTTAATACTGAATCTAATTCTTTTTCAATATATGAAGGAGTTTCTTATTAATAGGATTTATTTTATAAATACTAGCCAATTACTTCTTAATCTTCAGTAATTTCTCCATTATCAACAAGAATAACTTTTGTTTTTATTTATTATTAGGCAATCTTAATATAACTGTAATTTGAAGTAATAAGTAATACAGTCTTTCCGTTCTTTATAAGGTAATCTACAATAACGTTTTAAAATATTAAATCTGCAATATTGTGATCAAGAGATGATAATATGTCATCAAACAGATAAATGTCTCTTTATTAATATAATGCTCTGGCTAAAGCTATTCTTTGTTTCTATCCTCCACTTATGTTCTTTCCATCTGGACCAATCAAATGTTAATCTTGATTTTCAAAAGATTTCAGATCTTAATGTAGTTAGCAAACATCTATAACTTTATCATATAATTCTTAGTTAAAGGGTTCACCAAATAAGATATTATCTTTGATTGATAAATTTTAGATCCAAGACACTTATGAACAATACCCAATTCTACCTGTCATTTGAATTTGCTTAACAGTTTCATTCACGCCTAAATCAAAACTTAAGTCCAAATTTTACTGTGTATCCGAGAGGTCATTAAATAAATTCTAAATTTGTAACTCATTTAATATTGCTTAAAAGAATGCACTTTTTCCTGAACCTATTTTTCCTATAATAAAATTCAAAGTTTTCTTTTCAAATTTTAGATTAGCTATTTTTATTTTAAATTTCTAACAATTTTGGTTTGCAATTATTAATTCTTCATCTATTATTTAATTTTATTTCACATCTTCCTATATTTATTCTGCATTAGGCCAAAAATAATTGGAATTATTCATTATAATAGCATACTGGCTTTGAAAGGATTCAGGTTGAATTCTGTCTTCAAAATTAATTTCATCTTGATTTAAAAATTACGAAAATCTATTGAATGAGATTAATGACGTATATCCAATGCTTAAACTCCACGGGAGAACACAGAGAGGAAATATCATTGTATTAAATATGGCTATCAATGAGAAGATATTCAACTCCTATAGATCTTTGCCATTATTGACTGAATATATTACAAAAATGCACAAGAGAATGTAGCTTATATTATTCCAAAACACAGCACCAAAACCATCTAAAGCTTTATAAATACTTAACATCTTAAATTCACATTTTCTAATTTTCATTATTTTCTTATAAAATATTCCTTCCCAAGATAAGAATTTTATCTGTTTCATTCCTTCAATCAAATCAGATTATAAACTAACTCTTTTGTCTTTATATATTAAATGTTGTGCCTCTGCTTTCGCCATAATAAATGTCATGATAAAATTTATTACTTAATAACTAATCATTGCAATCACAATTACTGTACCAGCATCTGGTTCAGCAGAATATAATAAAAATAAGCATCCACTTAATATTAGGATTGCTTACCAAATATCTTTAATTACTGAAATTATTTTTAATATCAACTCAACGTCAGCTGTTAATAATGTCTACACAGTTAATTTAAAATTAATACATAAATATTTGCAGTATGAGAGTCACCTTCTGTTTTAGTTATGCATTTAACTTTAAGAGATTTGTCATAGATCAAATATTCGATAATAGTTTTCATTCTCATATTTAATATATTTGCATGTTAATCAAGTTTCGATTTCGAATAGGTCCTTATTAATTAATATTGATACTTTAATATTTAAAATGAAACTAAACACGATATCCAACACACTACTAATTTAAGAGAATCTGAATCATTTTTAAAATTAATTATTGAAAGGGTAGATTAATTAAGAATTTCTAAAATGCAAATTGTTAATAATTCTGTAAATGTCTGTATGCCATAGTATTTAAGAATTTTCCATTTCAATAATGATTAGAAAATTGTCTTATATGGATTTTTAAGCTTTTATTATAATATCCTAAATTAACTATAACAATATACTATTTTAATTCATCTAATAAAGCTTGAGAATCTGATTCCTATAATAAAAATTATTATAATCCTTTATTAGATATCTATTAATTCAATAGATTAATCTAGTCAATAAGAGGAGTTATTTTTCGAAAAAGCCAATCATCAGATTTTTAAGAACCAATTAAAACAACTCTATTCATTTTATTAATATCGTTGATATAATTTAGGCTTTAATAGAAGAAAATTCTTTAATAAATAAATATGAAAGGTCATAGTTCAACAGTTTATTAATTTATATATAATATGGATCAAATTTACATTAATTGCGTAATAATTTACCAATTTGATAATCTATATAAAATTTTATGTTTCAAAAATTATTATTCATAAAATATATATGTTCTTATTCACATTCATTCCTGCTTTTGATGTTCTCTTGTGATTCTCTCTGCCAAACTGATATTAAAGTTATCGCTTTGCTCATATGCAACCTTCCAATCCTTATGTTGATAAAACAAGCTTAAAATGGCAACAACTCTATCTATGTTTAATGGTCTTTTAGCTCCTTTTATAAATGATTCTATTGGCAGTTTCTTGCTACAAATCTACAAGGTGTTTGCTTTATTCAAACTCATGAATTTTTGGACCTGTCTATCAACAAATCCACCAACTATATATATGCACTATTCTGGATCAACTGATTCTAAATATGTATCAGCATCTGGAGATAGATAGATGAACTCTTTCTAAATTCCTTTTTCCAGACTTTCTTAAATCAAATCCTATAATCCTAATTCATAGTGATGAACAGGCCATTTTTAAAGTCCTTGTTTTTCTAATTCATTTTTCTGTATTCCTTTGACGTTAGTGAGATGTAATTGGATTGGGAATTTTATTTCCTTATTTATTCCTTAGATATGTGCAATCTATAATGCTAAGGATCTAATTTCTCTGTCAGTCATTAAGATATCATATTCCAAGTCTATATATATTGGGATGCCTGATTCATAACCAAGTTGCAGATTATTTTTAGCTAGATGTTTTATTTCTGAATATTTTTCTTTAGCTTCCTGATTCATGATATTAACTTTTTATTTGACTTTTTTTGCAATCTTCTTTCTCATAATTTTGGCTCTCAGTTTGGCTTTTTAATATTTTAACACCTTCTTTTCATCTCTTGTCAATTTTGGTTTCTTTTGCTCAAGTCCTTCTTATATTTGTTATTCTTACATAAATTAAATAAATGTAATAATATTCATTACCTCTTTTAAAGAAACCATTTAGACCATTGAAGGAAAACATAAGACATTCATTAGATACTTCATCATATGTAAAGATAGTAAAACATACAAGTGAGGAAACTAGCTTTGCTAATTATGTTTTAAAAAAGCAGCAGGAATTAGAATTAGCAATGCAATAAGTTATACAATAACCATAGATAAAGAATTCATTCTCAAGACACCTACCTAAAATATAAGAATAGCAAAAAACATCTCCTTATTTGATCAGAGCATTAGTGAGGAATAGATATCCAACGGAACCGATAGAATAGAAGAAGGAAATAGACTAAATGAAATCAATGGACATACCAAATCATAATAAATTGGGATTTGAAAAATTTTCAATAAATTCATTAGTGAGATAGCAATGCAGAAGGGCCAGAGTCAGCCCAAATCGTAAACTTTTTACAAGTGTTTAGTGATTTATTAGTTATTGAAATCGTTCATTTCATAGCTAGTTAAACTTCCAATAAATGGTTTAGTAAATGAGACATACTGGACCCTCTTCTATTTTGGAGATTATTAAGTACTTCTAAAAGTTCTGCTTTGTTATTTTCTCTTTTCAAGTTACTTAAAGAATTAATATTCCTCCCTTTTTAATCCATTAAATTTGATTTATCCATTCAATTTTCTATTATCAACTACACTTTTGATGTTCAATCTCTAAATTTCCTAAGTTTTTTCATCACTAGAATTAGGATCAAAAAAGATTTCATTTAATTCTTATTGATGCACATGAAAATCCTTAAACTTTTTGAAATAGAATTGAGCCCTATTATGTTTTTGTGGAAAGTATTTTTATTCCATTTCCATATTTCTTTTTAACTATTTCTAATAAAAATGTTTGCTTGATGAAAGACTATCTTTAAATGCATTCACTATTTCTTAATCCTCTTTTACTAATTCAGCTACCTATTACCAATGCTCCTTTTCCAAAAGTTCCAAATTATTTTTGATTTATTAGATTCTTTCGCACTTCCTCTTACTATCCTCAAATAATCTATTAAATACTCCTTTTTATTAGAGTTTGGATGTATAGAATGTCTAAGTTTAGGCAATTTTTTCAACTGATGATTAAGGATGCAAGATTATTAATTAATTAGTCTATCCTAATTGATAACCATTACTTTTGTCGTTGGATGCTCTAAGATCATCTTAGTAATTTGAGTATGAATCCTTAGATTCATTAACTTAAACATATCTTCTTTTAAGATTTGAGCTTTTTTGAGATGAATTAACATCAAAGGATTGATTTCGTTAATTAATAAGCTAAAAATGCTATTATATTACTCCTTCACCTTCCATATCATCTATATCTTATGATAAATGTTTAATTTATTATTTCAAAGCTGTAATTTACTTTAATAATTCATCAACATTAATTAAATCAGTTTAGCATTCTATATCCCTCTATTTATTTTACATGTAATCGTAATCCTCATTTGTTTCATCACTAATTCTATTCATCTCATGTATTTAAATGGCTTCTGCCAAACTCTTACTGACATTTCCAATCATAGTTTAAGTCTATCTGTTTTCATATGATGTACTTAGAAATTCTAATGCCATATCATTTTTTTCATATTGCAATTGCACTTCTTATATAAATTTTAATCCATTGTGCTATTGTCTAAGTTGTTTAAGTCTGTCTTTAAAACTAATGGTAGTTTCCCTGTTATTGTCATCCAGATTAAGTTATTCATGATTGATCTTAGCATCAATATGTTTAACTGTTTGTTGCAAACATTTCTGATTGTTCTTAACTTTGGCTTTAAGATCTAAAATAGTCACTTTCATCTATGAATTTTAGATCTTAAGTTCGTCATTAGATAATTACATCTATTCCAACTTATTGCTCAACTCTGCGATTTCTTCTTACTTTATTTTCGTAGTGATAATACCTTACAGATAATTATTTTCCAACTCCAAGAACTGTTACGATGTCAGTTTTTCGTAGTCATTCTAACTATATTATTAACTTTTTGCTTTACTATGCATATAAGATCAATTCCTTGATATCTTTGCCATTCTTTACTTGACTCACTAAATACCAGAGTCGAGTAGCGTATTTAAGTTGAATTTTCTGCAATTATTACAATTCTTTAGATTTTACATCCAAATATTCCTCTTAATGTTATTTCACTATTTTAATTATTATAACCTTAATTACATTATTTTTTAAACTAATCAAATTAACGCATAATTTATTAGTTGATTCTACTCTCAAACTACTAAACTCTGGCAACTTCCTTTTTCAGCTCCTGTATTTCATCCAATTGATCTTGGTTTTAGATATTAATGATTCCACAAGCCCTCTCCAAATAGACATACATTTGATCTTCGATTCCTTTTTTAAAATATTCTAGTTCTCTATCGTAAGCTTTTGTTACCATCAACAGTTTATTCACTTCTCTATATCGAATTCCTGAAGCTGGTTTCTATTTTTCAAAAACATCATGAAAGTATTCATTTCCTTTGATATCCTGGATGTATTTCCATATTTTATAAGGGTCTTGTTCTAATGCAAATACGCGATTCATCAGATACTCTATATTATCCATCAACTACAACTTTTACTCGTAAGTTCCAACAGTCTATCTCAAATTCTAAATTTCAGTCTTTTGCTTCTGTACAAATAGATATCTAAGTATTAGATTTAATTTACATTTCCCTTGTTTTCTTTTCGTATTGACTCTTCAAATTGGCTATCTTGTTATTAACTAAATCTCTATAACGAGGATCTTCAATATCTGTTACGTCACAATAGGAAACCTCATAGTAATCAAAATCATCAGACTTTTTATACATTTGTTCTCTCATATTTTATAAATCCTTTAAGTAACCACTAGCCAAATCCAGGAGTTTCTACTCTTTTACCTATAGTTTTGCCTTGAGATTTGCGATTTCGTAATCCTTCTATTGTAGTACCAATTTGTGCTTTTCCAAACCTGCATCGTTGGAATAATCTTAAGTATTTTACTAAAATGTTATTTGTTTAACCAAATTGGTTTCTTCTTCATCTGAATTCATAAAACCTTCCTGTTCACGATCTCCATGATCTTACCGCTGTTTTATCAGTTTGTTTACAATCTCTAATTATTTAACTGATATACTTAGCAAGCTGTTGATTCCTTATTGTTCTGATAATACTTTCTTAATTGTTAAACATATTGGATAATTATGGTTTTATATTCAACAGGCGTTAAAGTGCAAGGACAGCAATTCCCTAAGAAAATAAATTCAATTATAGATAGTGCAAATTATTGACTATGGGATAATAGGATTTACGCTTTAACTTGATCAATATTCTAAAGTACTTCTTTAATAGGTTTAGTAAGATTATCGACTTATAATTTAATGTCCATTGTAATAATATTAATGAAAATATTAAATATCATAAAACCAGTATCAAATTATACTGCCCACACTTCTTCTCTTGCTACGTAGATCATTCATATGTTAAATTTCTTTTTTTGCAGTATCTAATTCAACACAGGTTAAAACCAATTACTCTGAACTTTTATTATAAGTTTTATTCAATTATAAAAATTTGCCCCTCCACTATTAAGTTTCATTTTAATATAGAGTAACCTATTTTTACTGATTGATCAATTGAAGTTCCAATTTCTTAATTTATTTGTTTAGATTATGGATTTCAGTATGCAATTACTCAATTTTATTAGATTGTTCAAGTTGTGTTAATTTGAATTTATTTTTGATCTCATCGTACTCCTTGATTATGATATTCTTTTGTTCCAAAATGGTATTGAGACTTCGAGTTAACTAATTTGATTCTCCACTTTCAGATTGAAATTTAGAATTGAATAGATCTAATTTGATCTAAATGTTTACCTGTACTAGTGGTTAGTTATTGATCTAAAGGTTTAGGGTTTTATTCTAGAAAAGATATTTTCGTTTGTAAAAATTAGATCTAGTATTCTTAATTTTTGTTCAGTGCTTAAATATCCAAGAGTTGTTCTTGCAAATCTTTGATTTGATTGATGTATTCATGTTCCCTATTGAAGTTTTTAACTCTGATCTCTTCCATTTGATCAAACAATTGCTGATTGTCTTTTCTTAAATCACTCACCAATTATTCTAAATAAAACTTTTTTAGTACATCCACCTGAGAACTCCTACTATCCAATCTACTTGGATAGCAATCAGGACTCTGATTTAATAATATTAGTTACTTAGAATTGTTGAGAGACAAAGAAAAAAGGTTAAGATTTGATGTGCATGACTTATTAACAATATAAATATATAACAATAAAATTTATCATTTATACTTGATATTGTTTTACACTAACATTCACTATTATATATAAATGCAATATCATATATATTAAAATGGATAATGAATATTGTATAATTATTATTGTTATTCAATCATTATTTGATACCTGCCCTATCAAAACTTTATTTGACTTATTGAATAAGTGATAGATCATTATCATACTATTATACTAATTTAGAGTTCAAATTAGCTCTCACGATCCAAGCATCCTAAGTGGCTTTCAAGTTATCTTGAGCATCCTACAAATTGGATTTGGCATCATTGAGTAAATTAGACTTGGCCTTGATTTCAGCTACATTATTGGATATAATCACACATACCATCCTTGATTTCAATGTTCTCTCTCAAATCTGGTAAGACAACTGTGGATAACACATTCAATTTATCATCGTAAGTGCCCAACAACTCCTTATTCAATGCTTCCAATCCTTAAGATGAAACAACCAATTGTAATCTGCTTTCTAAGAGTGAAGTTCTCAATTAATTTAGAAGATTAGTGACTTTGCTGATCAATTCTTGGTTTGCGAAACTATAAAATAATCTAATATATTTTGTTACTTGGATTAAGCAATATCAGTAAGAGCAACGATCAAGGGTTGGAAGAAAACCTTTTGTTTACTCAAATGAGTCTTCAATTTGTCATTGACTTGTGCCAAACTATCAGCATTCTTCAAGGAAGTCAACAAGTTAAGGGCTTCGTCAATTGCAGCTGCTGAATCATCAAACTCTTATAATTAGGCAGCAGTATTAGCAGCATCAGTCTTTATCTATTGATCCAATTAATTTCTTAAGAGTGTAACATCCTATTGTTCCTTGATTGAATCATTTAATAGTGATTGTAATGAGTTTCTAGCTTCTGTAAGATCAGCCAAATCAACTTCGTGTTGAGCCACTTCAACTTGATATTGTGTGATTTGATTTTCATAAAATTCTTAATCTGCATTGTTGGATAAAAAGTCCTTGTTGAATGAAGCATTTTCATCTTCCTTATTTTGTGCAATTTCAGATTCAAGATCATTGATGGCATTGATCAAACGAGAGTAGTCCAATTATTATGATTGCTCTTGTAATAATGCCATGTTTTTTAATGCTCTAAAAAGAGAAGGATGTTGTTCCTCAATTGATTTTTGTCTTTTTATTTATTTAACAATTACTTTGTCTGATTGTCATTTACTGCGATTGTCAAAAGTACTAAAGCAAAGAGCACTAAATATTTCATTTATATAATATATTAATTAAAAACGACTATTTAATTCATTTATAATGTAGTGTAAATATCTCATCTCTAAACATTGAGAATCTGGATTCTAATTCCTAATACAAAGATTACAACTAGATGTTCACATATTCACTTAGTGCTGACTTACAATTGTTCTAGAAACTTAAAACAAGATGAAATTTAACAAGCAAAATGTGTTTAATCGAAGTTAACACTTGATAGACCACTTCTATTCATTTTTTTCATAGAATTCTAAATAAAAGTTGAAGTTCATTTGAATACTGCATTGATTTAATGTTAAATCATCATATAACAACATTTGAAATTTATTTTTCAACTGTAAGTATATCCATTATTTGATAATTAATTTATTTATTGTTTGATACACTAATGATTAAAACTGAAATAATTATTTAGTTTAATTAAGTTGCAAATCACATTATCGTTTTGTCACAATTCTATAGGTATAAAACTCCTCTTTTAAGATTAGTTTTTTCAGACCAGATTTTATGATATTTTTCTTACAAGTAAATAGTATATTCTCATCTATTTTAAGCTCAAATTTCAGAACATATTAAATTCTTCTATCTGTTATACAATACTCAAATATTTAATATATTAACTTACTAATATACTTAATAAATAATCCTCTGTCAGATTTATGATATCCAAAAATGATTATATATTCTATGGCATTTGACAATATCCAAATCAATTGAACTTCTAAGTTTTATGTTTATTTCATACTCTTCTAATCAAAATATTAGCATTTGTTAAATTATTTAATCCTGCTAAAGTTTACAGTAGATATCATAAAATTAGAAAATGTATTTTATCATCATAAAAGCTAGTTCATATTTGATTGCCTACTAATTTTATTGAAACTACCTTAGAGGTTTTTAAATTCTGTTTGAGGTGCTTATTTATTTAATAGAAGAGTGTTAGAAATGATTTAAAAAGTAAAGATTTTGAATTTAATGTAAACAATATAAATCAATTTGTTACTTATGAATTAAAGATTATCTCATGCTTTTTCCTCCTTAGTAGCACATTTTTATTTAGTTTTAACGATATCAACGGAAATGGATTCCATTTATTCCATTATTGAGCTTGAATAAGTTCTAGAATTTGCAATTTATTAGTTTCCTTTGAATACTTACTAAAACACCCATTTAAAGCTACTCACTTGTTCAACATGCTTTTAATTTATAATATATATACATCTAATGTGATTACTATTCTTTTTAAGGATTTAATTTTTTACTCAGTCACGCTCAGTTTAATGGCCATCAACATAATGGTTGCTGATGTAGTGTGATCCTTTGATGCAAAAACTGGAAACCCTATGGATTTCATTTGCTTTTATTCTGCCTTTAAAAGAGTTATGCATGATGAAATACTATTTTTAAGGCTTCTTGAACTGCTTCATAAATGGTTTATTTTTCATCGTCACTTTTATCACTACTCAATATAGTTTCCTTATCGATAACAACAGCCAAAATCTAATTTTTCTGTGCTTAAAATATTTTGTATTTAATGATACTCTTCCTAGCTGCCACAAACACACATTTCCCATTTAATTATGCGAATGTTGGTTTATCACTCTACTTAATATTCGAGTATTCTGAATCTGTTGGAATTACTAGGCATTCTACATCCTCATTCTCAACAGGACCAGCAGTCAGAGCAATTTCACAGTTCCCCATCTCGTACTTAAGAAGTAATTAAGGAAATTAAGATGATCTCTCTCCTGTTTAATAACAAAGATTATTCCCCATAATAATTAATAAAACATAAATGAAATAATATATAGCTATTAATTGCACAATCGATGACAACTTATATTTCATCTTTTAAATTTGAAATTTAAAATTTCATATCTATATATTAGTTATCTAACTTAAAGAAAGGAAAATAAATCACAAAAGCAAAACTTAAGAATATTCCGAATCATTCAATATTGGACTTAAATATCTCGATACTGCATCCAATCATTGGTTGAGTAATCGTATCTTCATTTATGATAATAGTAGAGAATGGATTGGGATGTAATAATATCTATATTTATGATTACGTTATAAATTAAGAATAACACATAAATTAAATTTAAGATCATTCTTGGTTGTCAAAGTAATTAGTCATAATCCTTTATCGATATGTAAAGAAGAGTAGCGGATCTATAATTAACTTAAAGTCCAATAAGAAAACCAAGACTCTTTCCAAATGGTTGAATTCTTCATGTGTAATCCCAGCGACTTTGGCATAATAGGAATTTTGAAAGAATCGGTCATCATAAAATTTGGCTGATAACATGACTGCTACCACATACAATCTAAATTAGTTTAGAGTGAAATACCTATGGACATTAATGGATTTGACAATAATTCTTCCCCACTTCTTAGATAATTTATCCATGAATATTAAACCCATGATTAAGCACTCTTAAGAACATTAAGCTTGCTTTAAGATTCTGCAGATGTAATCATAAATAGAAATTGATGGAACTTTAGGACTATTAAAAGATTCAAGTTCTTAAATGTTATTAGCATCATTGTCACCTTCCTCACACAAATCCATTAGCAAATAAGCCAATGCACTTGACATCTATTTATTATCAGCAATTTGCTAATTGTATAATTCATGTTATTATTCGTAGGTCAATTCTTGAGTTGAATCTAAGTTTAGCATATTAAGTAATTTATTATATTATATATTATTATTCAATATTTAATAGTTTAGGTATCAATTCTTCTTAATAATGAAATGTATTGCTTCATATTTTCATGTAGATGCTTCCATGTTCTGTCGTGGCATTCTTCAACTTTTTTGTGTTATAAACAGGATTTGTAGGATTTGGCAGCTTTTTCCGTTTTGAACTTAAAAGTTTTATTCAAATCAGTGTATTTGTCATCAATTTGTTAAACACCTAATTTACTAGTCTATGATATTACACTTTGTATATTCAAATTAGACATGCAAGAAATTTTTGTAACATTCATCTTGCTTTTTCCTTAATATTTGGACCTCTTGATCATCAACAACACTATAATATGAACCAACTTCTTCAAGGAAATTCTTAAAATTGGAATTTATTGCTGATAAATCCATAATTAAAATTAATTACAATAAAAATAAATTATATCATCCTTTCTTTTGTTTGAGTCTATCTTATTTGAACTTTGAAATTCTTTTGGGTTGTTCCTCCTATTGTGTGTCATCATTGGGTTCATTCTCTTATATTGTAGGCAATTATTATTTAGCTTAAACTGCTTCTTTCTATTAAGGAATCTCTGTTTTAGGCTTGATTGAACTCAATTTCTCATTCAATTCCTTCAATTAAAGTTAATATCTATCGTAGTCATCGTATTTTTCCTTATAAAAAGCATCAGAAATCAATTTAAGAAGTTATTGCTTTTCTTCATTGATTTGAGCTTCATTGCAGTCGTCTTCTTAAACATATTTTTCCTCTATTTCAACCAAGCCATCTGCCAATTAAGTGACTTAACCCATAGATTAATTTTGTTTTTGTTTTTCTTTCTCTATTTTTTCTCTTTCTAATCTCTCCTTTTCCAGCCTTTCTTTTTCTTGTTTCTACTTCAATTAAAGTTTTTCTTCTTCCCTTTAATTTTTGAATAAAATCAATTTTTTAACCCTTTCTTGAATCAGAATTTTGATTGATATCCTCACTTTTACTCTAATCCTTGTCCTCATCTATCTTATTTCCTATATCGTGTTGCATTTCTTCATAAGACTCCTTCTCTCTCAGGTTATTAAAGTTTTCTTCCAATCTAATTCTCCTTCTTTACAGAATTTATTGTGCAGAGTCCAAGGAGACTTCAGCTGCGTAGTCTGCTTCCAATGAAATAATGCATTTATCTTATTTTGGTAATTTTGCTTCTAGGTACATGACTGAGTTAAATTGAACCAATTTTTTGGTTGGCAATTTCTTAAGTAATTGTTGAGTTTTGATTGTTTCCTCTAATTATTTTTTTAATTGAAGGAGCACAATTTGATTTTGCATAATTTATTTATGTATAAATTGAGTTGAAAAAAGAATAAATAATTTGGAAAGAGTATTGAAGTGGGTGGATTATATGGATAATATTGATTCTAATTCGAGGATTAAAGAATAAAAAATTAATATCTTTTAATTAAAAAAAATATATTATGGCAGACGTTCAAAATCAAAGAGCATTCTAAAAATAAGAAGGCATTTTCTAAAACTCCAAGAAACTCTTAGCTAAGAAGACATCCAAAGGTGTTAGATACTGGAAAGAAGTTGGTTTGGGGTTCAAAGTACCAAAGGATGCAATCGAGGGTAATTACATTGATAAGAAATGTCCATTCACAGGAAATGTTAGTGTCAGAGGAGCAATATTAAAGTATGATCTAGAATGAATGTATTATAGAGGAATTGTCATTTCAACTAAGATGACAAGAACCATCATTATTAGAAGAGATTATTTGCACTATGTTGCCAAATATAACAGATATGAAAAGAGACACAGAAATGTACCAGTGCACATTTCACCAGCATTTGGACCAGTCAAGGAAGGAGACATCGTTGTTTGTGGACAATGCAGGTACTATTGAATTAATATGAAGACCATTGTCAAAGACTGTTAGATTCAATGTTTTGAAAGTAATCCCAAATGAAATCATTGGTAATGTTAGAAAGCAATTTGTTTTGTTCTGATTTGCATGGATATCTATATAGTACAATATCAAAATATTTATGCATTTAATTTAATATTATATATTAATTATGGACGACATGAATAATTACGATGAGTTCGGAAATTACATAGGGCCAGAAATCGATTCAGAGGAAGAAGACAATGCTGTAGATTGAAGAGGAATAGATAGCTGAGAATGACCAAGAACATGTAATAGCAAATGTAAGAAAATGCTTCTATCTTTGAAGAGAGTGTACATACCTAATCAATAAGTTGCAGTCATTCTTAATGAAGACAAATAATACTATCCAGATGCATAACAAGTGTATGGTCGAGATGTCGAAATCAATGTGCAAGAAGAAGATGCTTAGCCAATAACACAGCCAATGATTGCTCCATTAAAATCAAAGGAATTTGATATCTAAGAGACACAGATACCTCAAACTACTTTCGACTATGAGTTTCTGTGTCGTATTTCTAAGAATCCTGCTTTGGTAAGAAATGTTGCAATTGTAGGCGGTCTGCATCATGGTAAGACATCAATGATGGACGTCTTTGTTAAACAAACTCATCTTAAGCAATTTAGTTTGTAGAAAGACATCCGATACACCGATACTCGTCAAGATGAATAATAGAGATTGATCTCCATCAAGGCAATCCCTATGAGTTTATTGTTACCCAATAGCAAAGATAAATCATATTTAATAAATCTCTATGACACTCCTGGACATGTGAACTTCATGGACGAGGTGTGTTGTGCCTTACGAGCCAGTGATGCCATGTTGCTCATTATTGATGTAATTGAAGGAGTAATGATGACTACTGAAATGCTAATCAAGGCAGCTGTCAAGGAGAAGATGCCTATTGTAGTTGTGATAAACAAAATAGATAGATTAATCATTGAGTTGAAGTTGCCACCTTCGGATGCCTATTTGAAGATCAAAAACATACTTGATGAAGTCAATATCATTATATCCGATAATGGAGGTAATTAGATCATATCACCTCTCAATCACAATGTGGTATTTGGTTCAGGTTTATTTTAATTTGTTTTTACAATCTAGAGTTTTGCAAGGAGATACAACAATTTCTTAAATCCAGAACAATTCACTCGTCTATTATGGGGAGACATCTATTATGATAATAAAGAAAAGAAATTTGTTCGTAAAATGTCACCTTATGCTACTTAAAGGACATTTGTTGAATTTATTTTAGAACCTATATATAAGCTATTTGGGTAAGTGGTTTCTAAGGATAAGGAACAATTAGAACCGTTCTTATTGAGTTAAGGGATATCTCTCAAAAAAAGTGAATTCAAAATGGACACTAGACCATTACTGAAATTGGTTTGTTCTATCTATTTTGGTAATACATCCTCTTTAGTTGATGTTCTAGTGGAATAAGTACCCAATTCATAGGAAGGTAGTAAAAAGAAGATGGAATTATATTATTAAGGTGATAAATCAAAATAATCATATATTCAAGCAGCTCAAGGTTCACACAAGGGACCATTATGTATAAATGTTGTGAAATTGTACAGTAGACCAGATTGCATGAGTTTTGATGCTCTGGGGAGAGTGGTCAGTGGAACTATTAAAAAGGGATAGAATGTTAAATTATTAGGAGAAAAATATAATATAGATGATGAAGAGGATATGGCAATCAGGAATATCAAGAACATATATATCTATCAAGGTAGATATAGAGTAGAAGTGAATAAAGTGCCTGCAGGAAATTGGGTGTTGATTGAGGGCATTGATTAATTTATTAGCAAGAGTGCTACTATTACAGAGGATTCTTAATAGATGGACATTTTGAGACCTATTTAACATAATATTTTAGCTACTATGAAGATTGCCATAGAACCATTAGTTCCAAGTGAATTACCTAAAATGTTAGAAGGTTTACGTAAGGTAACTAAAAGTTATCCTATTTTGACAACTAAAGTGGAAGAATCTGGAGAACATATTCTATTAGGAACAGGTGAATTATATTTGGATTGTGTTATGCATGATTTAAGAAAAATGTATTCAGAAATAGAAATTAAAGTATCAGATCCATCAGTTCGTTTTTGTGAAACTGTTATTGAAACATCATCAAAAACATGTTATGCAGATACTCCCAATAAAAAGAATAGGGTATTTTGATTAATATAATATTAATTAGATTAAAGCATTGGCAACTCCATTAGACAAAGGGTTGACTCCTTAAGATAAGGGATTGGCTGAGAGAATTGAGAATGAAGAGATTGATTTATCATGGCCTAAGAATAAATTAACCGATTACTTTAAATCCAATTTTAATTTGGGATATAATTTAGAGTAGATCTGTGTGGGCATTCGGTCCAGAGAAAACAGGACCCAATGTATTTATAGATGATACTCTACCATCTGAAACAAACAAATAGTTATTAACTGAAGTCAAAGATTATATGATTTAAGGTTTTTAATGGGCAACCAGAGAAGGTCCTTTATGTGATGAACCAATCAGAAATGTGAAGTTCAAGATCATCGAAGCTAACATTGCTAATGTAATCATCTCATTTTAATGTAGGAACCCATTTATAGAGGAGGTGGTTAAATAATCCCCACAACAAGAAGAGTGTGCTATTCCTCATTCCTTATGGCAACTCCAAAAATCATGGAACCAATGTTATTAACAGAAATTATGTGTTTCCAAGATTGTATACCTGCCATCCACAATGTTCTATTAAGAAGAAGAGGACACATCTTATCAGAATAGGCAAAGCCAGGCACACCATTCTCAGTTGTGAGAGCCCACATTCCAACGATTGATCACTTTGGATTTGAAACTGATCTTAGAGTACACACTTCAGGTTAAGCTTTCTGTTTAAGTGTTTTTGATCATTGGTCATTATTACCAGGAGATCCTTTAGATAAAACCATAGTGCTTAAACCTTTAGAGCCAGCACCTTCAAATCATTTGGCCAGAGAATTCATGATCAAAACTAGGAGAAGAAAGGGTTTGAATGAAGATGTGTCTATTTTGAAATTCTTCGATGACCAGTTCTTGATTGATTCACTCAAACAAGACAAAGACTATTAATAGTATATTTGATGAGTAATTATTTACATCCCAATGAGATAATCAATCATTATTTTGCAATCCCATAATTCCTTTCCAAATAATCTATTGTCGGTGTTGTTAAGGTAGCTTAACAAAAGTACCCTATCATTCTGGCTTACCAACCAGCATATAACCCAGATAGCCCGTATTTGTTAAACACCAACTTGAAACTCTCAATAACCGATATCTTACTGTAAATCTAATTGCCTTCCATCTGCACCAGGGTCTTGATTGTATCAAATGGATGCACTAATTATACTTACTATGAGTTACCTGCCATTATGTTCAACACACTGGTCAAAGTTGATGCTACTAAAACATTCCAAATACTCAATTTTTAACTTGCATCTGTTTTCAATGCATAACGAATCTTATGATCCCAATAGAGGTAGTTTGTCCAGGAAACTATCTGCCGAGATGTTAATATTCTGAAACCAACATAAATTTAGTCAAATGTGATGTACTTCAAATATCCAAATCCTACTGCCATGTTTGTCATTTTGAGTATTTTCAATCGTTCGAATGGTGTTATTATGCAACTCTCAAATAACCCTATCGAAGCTCCAGTTAGGATCTTATTCAATGATTAATCGTGAATGTAGTTTTTCAGGAATGAAGGAATGAAGATCATCATTGGCCATCGATAATATTACTTGAACATCGATCTAAGGAAATTCGGATAGAATCCATCATACAACCCTATGTATCCACGTGCTCCCTTGATATCTTTAAAACTCTTTAATACAAATTTAATCCCATACTTATAAGTAAGTGATCCCCTATCTGGACTATTTATATGTCTTTATCCTGTCTAACACATGCTCCAGGGGTAATGTTACTGCCACTCTGAATGCACCAATTAATTAGGTTTCAATTACTGCTTTTAAATAATCAGTCATTTAATTAAGAGTATAATTATAATTGATAAATTAATATTAAATATCATAACATAAGATTTTCTAGTAATTTATCCTAAAAACCAATTGTTTTAAAACAGTTGTTGTTGTTTAAATATAATATTAATGAGGATGCATTTTATATACATATTTAATAGACAATACTTCATTGTTCTAATTGTGGCTTGTATACTTATCTTGTGTTTATATTAATTCTATGTTCTGATAAGTAATTGAAAACATGAAAATCAGCATTAACATTGCCATCAAGCTATTATTACTGAAATGGATTTCTAATATGTTTAATGAGACAATACTATTTGGGATTGAATGAGTCTGCAAGAACCCTGGGGACTCCATGATAGCATTTCCTAGCATGGCCACTCATAACTAATAGGTCTCCAGAATCAAGTTTGATGGCAATTGGTTTTTCATCCTTTGTTGGTCCCCCGATAACAAAAACACTTGACAATCCAAAACTAAAGGAGTAGATAGGTGAATCTTAATCTAGTTCTGCATCATCCAGATGGCCTGTCATGTAATCGTGAGATTAGTAAAAGTTGATAATGACTGATTCACTCTGGTATTGATTTTACAATTATAAGAAGTTGTTAGCTCTTTGAGATATCTCTTAGATTGGATCAGGCACTTGAGTCTTTTCTTGTGGATATTGTCTACATTGCATAATATTATTGTAATACCTGTTGTTCCAATCGTATTGATAGCCAACATTTGCCCATCTTATTTTATTATTAAAGTGATATCTCTTATCATCGTGGACTATGAACTTATCGAAGTTCTCGTCTTCCTTGTAGATGAACAGATTGGTTCTGTAGGGTTGATTGATGTACTCATTCATGCACAATTTAGAAATGCGAATTTGATCGTCGAGGTTGAGAAAACCCTTGACTTGGATGACTCCTTGAGGGTAATCAAATTGATAGACTGAGCCATTCTTATGGATTCCTTGTTGTTCCATTTATTGTTCATTTAGATTGTTGACATCGATGAGTTCGCTAAAATCGGTTTGGAGTCCAGCATAGAATTTGTATTTCTTCTCTGCTTCCTTGAAGGGATTTAGATTTTAGTATTAGATTGGGTTTTATTTATTTTTTTTAATCTTCTAATACATAAATTTATTAATGTACAATATTAATTTAGTTTTAATTAATCGTATATAACAATTATAAACAATTATATAAAATATAAAATTATACAATTTCAAATAAATGTAATAAATTACATCATCGAATATCATTTAAAAAGATGCATATTTGTTGTTCCCACTTTTTAATTTAAGATGATAAACCTTTTCATTCTAGGCCTGATCGAAGTGATACTCTGCACTAACAAATTTTATTTGCAGGATCCGAGTAACGATATTACAAAGCCAAGAACTCATGCCAAGATTTCAGATAGCGGTAATTTAGTTTGTTGATAATAAATGTAGATACTCATTTCGATTTTTACTTCGAATTCAGTGAAGATAAGAAGGAAGTGATAATGTTCATCGAAATAGACAAGATTAGCTATTTTTCATTGGGACTGGGAAAGTCTATGTCAGATGCAGATTTGTGGGTATTCGAGGTTTATGAGAACGTGATAACTGTTAAATGACTCCTTATTGTGTGAAACACGGCAGACCTCCAACTGATCTCTCCTCTGGAGGAACTGAGGATTTGAAACTTCTGGGCTACTACTACAATAAGGATGGGAAATCCGGTGTAAAATTCAAGAGATTAGTATCAACAGGTATTGAAATTGCTTTTACACGACCTAGGTGATCAACATGATAAGGACTTAGTGGAGGGAGAAGCAGTGGATTTTATATGGGCTCATGGCAAGACGGAGGCCAATTAAACAGTATCGAATCATGGGAATGTAAATAGAGGATCAGTGGTACTGAATTTCACTGATGATGGAGGAAGCAACGATGTCATTATAGTGGATGGAGACAACACCTATTACTTTCATAAATGGACGAACTTTGTCTGTTGGGGCATTGCCAGTGATGTTGCTATAATAGTGGGTAGATATTACAAGACTTGGGGATATCGTACATATCTCCATGGATTCTTGTTCATCCTAATAGTGACAAGTTCAATCACCACTGCTCTGATGATGTTGAGTACAGATTGGACTGTTTTGGAATGGATCAATTTTAAGGAACAATCTATTAAAAATAAATTCCATATCATCATATTTATGTTGGTAGCTATATTAATGATTGCACAAAGTATTGGAGGCATAATCTACAATTATATGTTAAGTTCTTTAAAGGTTAATCAGCAAGTGTCAGTCAAACCTTCAATTCACGCTATTATGGGCAGTGTTGTATACACACTGGGGAAATTACAGATCATAGCAGGACTCTTCATGGATAACGATGTTAGACTCATGTTGATCTTGGGAGCTGTTTTTACTACTCGTCTCATTTTGGAGATCTTGTATCAAAAAGGTAGTTTGGTTAATGTGATAATGACTGGGAAAGACTCGAATTCCAGTAAGGTTTATGATGATGGTTATAATCCCTTGTTGGAAATCAACAATAGTAACTCAGATGACAATTTCGAAAAGAATTCCTCAAAGTTGTGGTGTATCTATAAAAACCAAGTGGTTGATCTATCATAGATGATCCATCCTGGTGGCAATTACATTTGGAAACTCATTCAAGGCCAAGATGTTACTAGGTACATTCTAGGAGCCTATACTCTTGACTCACTCAAAATCAAAACACACAAACACAGCATTTACACTCTCAAAATATTAGAATAATATACTACTGGAATCTATGTCAATTCAGATCTAGAATTCTTTGTCAATACTGCCAATCACAGAGTAGTCAAATAATTAAGAGAGACCTGGAAGTTGAATACCATCTGTCCTTACACTGATTAAATTGCTTACTTTGGATTTATAAATGAAAAGTATCAATTCAAAAACACTTTACCCGGTCTCCAAACTTTCGGTTAATACTTCGTTATTAAATCTATTGAGGATGATGAAATTTCAACTAGACAATATACTATGGTGTTGAGTATGACTTATCAAAGGACCAAATTTAGAAAGGATCTGTCCGATCTCTTCAAAAAAATACTCTCTTTGTAAAGCATACAAAAGGAAATTCCAAAGGAAGAAGAGTATTGTTCTGAATTACCTTTGATCATTAAGAGGTATCAAACAAAAAGTGGATTATCATCCTTTATTCATGAGGACAATAGAAATGGACAGTATCAAATAGAAGGACCCTATGGAAATAATATTACTATTGAAAATGGTAATCATCTAGTCTTCATTGCTGGTGGCACTGGATTGTTCCCCTTCTTGGATATACTAGAGTATCAACTTAAATTGACCTATCATAAAATATTATTGAAACAATTCGGTTTAGAGGCTGCTCAAATTATCAATACAGGAGTTGTTAAGAATTTCAAGATCACTCTATTTCTAGCTGTCAATTCAGCAGAAGATTTGGTATTTATCTTATTCATTATTTTAGATTGGCAAAGACATCTACTTTAGCCTGCTATCCTTGTAGTCCCAATTGGATATACCCAATTTCACGATGGTTGTCAAAGGAAACTTTAAATTAAAAGAATGTGAAATTATCACCCAAAGATTCAACGCCCAAGTCTTTAAATCATCCATAGGTGATTTGAATTCTGTAACCAAATACTTCATTTGTGGACCACCCACTATGAATTTCACAACAGAAAAGATCTTAAAAGAAGCAGGACTAAAAAACATAACTGTTCTTTGACCAATTTTATTTAGAATTATTGATTCATATTTAATGTGTAATTTATTCTAATAACAAAAATAAATTGTTCTAAAAAATATTCTAATTTTTAGACTTACTGCTATTTTCACATAAGGAGGGTCAATTCTGCCCAATCCTTCTTATTTTATTTAGGGTTAGATTTTAATTGACTTATTAATATACAAAATATAAGATCATAAATATTATAAGGATTTATACAAACCAATTTGAGTCTTACAAAGAGCTTCAAAATTAAGTTTATTAGAGTTAATTAATTAGAACATTATGCAAGATAGATCAAATATTATCGAAATGAAACAGATGCTTAAGTTACTCCAGCAAATTAACCAACTATAAATTTAGAATGATGAACCAGAAAAACAAAACACCAAAGATTCAAATGATGATTAAATAATTAATGACATTGAAATTATATTGAATCTAGATGAAGATTAAGCTGAACAAACAGAAAAGGATGACAAACTCTCAGAAAATGAAACCATTTCCAATGAACATTTAATATAAACTTCTAAATAAAACTTGATAGAATAGAGGAAGGCTGCTTGCAGAGTTGTATTCAATCCCAAAAATAATTCATATGGATGCTCAATCTGTTAGACCACCTACAAAGTATTGAAAAATCTACTTAATCATTAATAAAGATTTCATAACAAACCAAAAAAAGGCAAGCATCGCCACTAAATACCCATTTCCTGAATTTTATTAGAATATATTAAGGATATTTATATAAATATAAATTATTATTATTCTAATTGTAACGCTTATAGAAATCTTTTTTATTTTAACCAACCTAATATTTTAACTTTTATTATTAAATATCTATGATCTATGTTCTCAAAATACCAAAGCACCCTCTTTGAAAGAATATTCTGTTCTTAATAAAATTCTCTATTTTTAATTATGCTTTGTTTCATCATAACAGAAAATTATTTGATTTTTAAAGACAATTATATTGATAATCTCATTTTGATTGTTCTTTGAATGCATTTTCATGCCATGTGTAAGAACAATGTAATTTATTAAATTCACACGTCAACAGATTAAAATTTATGATATTGAGAAATTAAACCATTTTTTAAGGTTTGGAGTTTAATAGTAATTTGCCAATAATTTCTGCTCAATAATGAAACCCAATATTTATATAAATATAATTAATATTTTCTTTGAAATATTTACCCATAAAAGATTTAATATTGTCATTAATTTTCATACCTTAGAAATCTATCCCTTTTCTACTAGTTACAAGAGTGGAGAGAAAGTTTAGTCAACTGGAAGCCTTTGTTTTTTAATATTCCTTTTTTTGACAATGATTTAGCACTAACATTTGGACTGTCTTCTGTCACTTTAGGAATTACTATAATTTTGTTTCCAAACTATATCAAATCTCTCAAGATTTAGGCTCCCTCTTCCTCGTTTCTTGGCTTGATCATTATCACCTGTATATTCGATATTTGGACACCTTCTTACGGAGATTCCTTGCTTAGTTTCAATTGCTGACTATCTGGTTTGATTGTCGTATTTATTCCTTGAATTCCATTTTCTACAGTGATTATTTGCAATTATTAAGTGTCCTCGTATTCAGTATCTTTCTTTTGTTTGCAAGAATTACCCATGAATTAATAAATTTAATCTTTTTCTTCGCATTCTCATAACCCATTAAACCAAATCCTTATTATGGTATACTTTTAAAAATTCAACTCATGTTAGATTTTAATATAATCTATTTTTAGATTGTTGTTAAAATGAATAAAGCAAAAAGTCAACAAGTTGACAATTAGGATTAACAAAATCAATTATATATTAATAAAACAATAAATTAAAATATGGGGGTTTGTTAGTATTTGTATTTAATTATTAATTATCACAGCCATATTCCAAAAAGGAAGCATTCATTTAATTATTTAAATTTTATTTATCGCAAATGCCCCTGATACAAATTAAACATCTTAAAGGAAATTTACTTTGGCTCAATTTAAACCCCAAACATAATCGATTTCTCAATATTTTAGAAATAACTACCAAAAATACCTAATACCGCATTAAATCAATCACCTTATAATAACTTATAATAAGCACTCCGCATAATTTAAAAATTATATTTCCAAATCAATTCTAGAATTGAAATTAATCAAATCAGAGTACTTAGATACCCTGCTGAGATTTAAGATCTAAATTAATTTCCTATAAATTCCCAAAAAAGATAAATTAGGTCTAGTCACACATTGAATATGTAATATAATGAGTTTCTAGTTATCCCAGAATAATGATTACCTCTATATACAACCTTAAAATAGCTAGTTTTATGTGAATCTAACTGAATTCAAATTATATATTTGTTCTCCAGATCTTAATTTCAGGTGTTGTCATCTATAATAAGAATATTATATAAAAACTAAACTGAAGAACTCAATCATATTTCTATAACTAATAAGATATTACATTCAAGTGACTAAATTATCTGGTTATTGCTTGGATTTAAATTATAGTGTCCTGATTTTTTAAATGAATACGATGCAAAAGGAGAGGGAAGAATATTTATAATCAAATACAGAGATAAATAGTTTAAATCATTCAGATAATGAAAATGATTAAGTTTATCAAAATTTTGGGTGAATCATATAGTGAATGTTGTTTAGATAAAAAGGATTCAATTGTTATTTTCTCGAAAATAAATAGTATAATTGATCAAGCAGTAAAATCGAGAAATAGTATTATTATAATTGAATTAGTTTTTCAGCAAAAGGGGTAGAAGTGGATTGAGGAAATATATATTTTTTTATTATTGATAATTTAAAGCTGTTAAACAATAATTTAAATATAAATATGAAACAATATCAGACTCCGAATTCCGGGCATTCTCGTTAAGGGAGTTTAAGAGTGTAACGACAACCTTTGGCTGTTATCAGCAATTGTCCTGAATTTTCATAGTGTGCAAATTATCTGCAATAGAAAGTTTAGGGATTGGAGTAGAGAGTTAAGAACCTTAATAGTTAACATGCAGAGAGACCAGAGAATCGATCTACGACTACATAAAAAAATGAATCATCTTTATCACCTTTTGTTAGGCAGAAAAAACAATGCAGCTCAAATTAGAAAGTAGATTCTTAGAGTTATTATGAAACCATCATTAATAAACGACTAGAAAATATTAGTAAAATTGATTAATCTCCGGTGCATGTCAAAACCGATAATACAGTGGCTTAATAGGATAAATATTCAATTCATAGTTAATTTTCTAATTTGGGTCCATACTCAGGAAAATTGCACACTAACAGTATTGTGAGAATCTAGCAGTTAACTAAAAAATTGAGGAAGTTTAAAATGATTAAGGATTAAAATTAAGATGAGTGTGCTCCTTCCTTGGCAAAGATTAAATGTTTTTGTTAAGAATACTATAATGATTGTTTTGATTTCTATAGATGCACTGATTTGATAGCCTTGAAATATTTCATCTATTTGCTTGTATAAGAAATCAACACTCTTTTTAGTGAAGATGCATTTAAGATGGCGGATAATTCAATTTAATATCAATAATAGATTGAAATGCTCAAGGAGTAATTAGACAACTAGAAGAGTGATTAAGTAAGTTTCTAGAACTAATTAAAATTATAAAAAATGGTGGTGGATACTTAAAAATTAATATAAGATATTATTAATGTTCTATAGACTAAACACAATTAAAGTACATTGATCAATTAGGTTGAAGTATTGAATAATTAAATGAAAAATATCAAAGAAAATATGTCCACCAATTAACTGTAATATCAAAATGCGACATCATTCGGATAATAATTAGCTAAATGTGGAATTGATGTAAATTATCAACAAAGAGTAACAAATGATACGTCAGTTATAAATTAATCTAATTTCAAGACGCAAACAGCAGACGAAAGAAATTTAACATAATTCAGTTCAAAATCCAAGTCTCCTTATAGTAGAAATCAAAAGAATCTTAATTTTGATCTAGAAAAATAAATAGATATGAATAAGAAACTATTGGATGAGCAAGTGGTAACCAATAGATAGTTAATGGAGAAACTGTTCAAGTTGCAAACAGAAAAATAATAGAATGATTAGTTATTGAAGTAAGTGCAGGAAGAGTTGAAATATAGAAATTAAATAATAGTGGATTTGGAAAATAATTCTTAGAAGGATAATATAATACTTAATGAGATGAATTAAAATTTGGAGAAGGCTGTTTAATAAAATAAAGAATTATAGAAAGAAAATTTTAATTATAAAGAAAGTATCGATCAATGTAAGAAGATAGAATCAAAGTATTATGATTTATTATAATAAAATAATAACCAATTGGAGTAACTCAATTAAGTTGTTAAAGAAAATGGAGCTTTGCAGAAAATTCAATAATAAATAGAAGTATTTTAGTAGATTTATAGTAGGGTGAATACAAAGGTTATTAGCAATAAATATTGAAATTACAGGAGAAGTGTTAGGCACAATACGCCCAATTGCAAGATCAAAGCGACACAAAGTATCTATAATAGCAAATAAATGAATTATTATTATAATAATAAGAGCAGAGCAAAATAATAGTAATCTATGAGTAATAAAATAGACTTTGATTACTGATGAGGCCCTGTATTTGGGATAGATGACTCTTTATGCCAGTGATATATTGTCTAGACAACCGACTGATGGGATTCCCACGACTCTTGTGATGCTATAGAAGGACTTAAATGGAAAGAGAAGCACCATTCAATAGAAAATGAGCATTCTGTAATAGTTCGGAAACAATATGAAGAATCAGCATTTGATTGCTCAAAGCAGTAGTTCTAGTCAGTTTAATGATAATGTAGATTTACTGGAAAATCTACACAGTGAGGCTTCATCAATTAGATAGAAGAATGTGAGTTCATATGAGGAGACTGCTAGCACAATTCACAATAATAACATCTAATCAAATGATTTAATGGTGATGTTGCTAGTGTAATGTAACACTTTGGAGAAGATGATGGAACTGTGATTTTTCTTGATAATTCAATTTTTATTATTATTTTATAATGTTATCATTTATATGGATTTTAATTGTGCAATAAGTTAATGCTTAGTATTGTGAGTGTAATTAACAATAAGCAGATATATGTTTGATAAATTAAGATTGCTAATTGCTCATATCTCATTTAAATAGCACGATTAGCAATCTGAATATAATTCAGATAGAGAATTGCAATGTGTTCATATGCCTATAAAAATTAGTGAATAAAGCAGTGTTGGAAGTCAATTAGTTAATTATTAATAACGCAAGAATAGAGTAAAATGATAGTTGTGATATCATATTACATTAATAGATAGTGATATCAGGAAATATAATTAATATTACATCCTCAAGGATAAGCTTTTTTGGATACATGTAATTATCATTTTCATCCCAGAATATGACATTAAACTCTTCGAAAATCTTGTCAAATACTATGAATATTTGTGCATTTTACTTAACAATCAACAATTCCTCACTTACATCTCTAATGTAGAACAAAACATAATGTTCGTGCTTAAATAATCTGAATTGTTCTGACTAAGCTTATGTGAAAAACCTGTTTAGCTTTGTTGGGTTTATCACTCAGAATTACACTAATTTGACTGCATAATTTATTGAAGAATAATGGTTGGCTCAATTCTAATGCAAATACTTTACTTTAAAAAACCTGACCTATTACACCATGTTAATTTCAGTTTCAAATGAGACCTATTTGACATAGCATTCCAAAATCAAAGGCTTCTACGTTGGCTTTTATTCTTATAGTTTATAAATTGATAAAACTAGTCAGATTTTAACAGATGGCATGGGATACTCCACCAATGAGGGATTTGGCTGTGGGTACACTGATAAGATTATAGGATTGAGATAGTAATGTGGAGGTACTGGGGGAAGTCATGGTGGAATGGGAGGCTTCTCAACAAGTCCAAAGTCAAATTACAATCAATTGTGTTTACAACTACAGAGTAAGCAGATTTATGATTATTCATTCAATCCAGTACTCCCAGGTAGTGGTGGAGGGGGAGTCACATATGGAGATTGGTTTGAAAAAATCGAAGTTCAAGGTTAGGGAGGAGGAGTCATACATTTGGAGGTGTTGAATTTATAGAATGATGGGATAATAAGTTCGAATGGAACAGCATATATAGAGGAACCATTTTTTGGGAGTGGAAGTGGAGGATCTATTTAGCTAAGAATAATCTATTTTAGTGGAAATGGATATGTTACTGCTGATGGTGGAGGGTCTTAATATGAGGCCGATTTTAACACATACGAATTTGCTAGACAGAAGTTTTATTAGACATACCAGGTCTATGGTGGATTTGGAGGAGGAGGAAGAATCAGACTGTTCTTTTTCAACATATCAGAAATGATTAATAGAAATTAAGGTTGCAGCAATACTATTTAAACTAGACCAGGAGGTTTGACAAATCAATAAAACAGTGTTCTTAATATGTCTAATTAAATTATTACTAAATTTCATGGTTCCATCACACCTACTGGATGTCCCTAGGGAACTTTTGGCAATTATTGTTAATAATGTATTCCAGGTTACTATAAAATGCTGTATGGATAGGCTCCCTGTTAACCATGTTTTAATACTATCAATAATTAAAATAAAACTTAATATTTAAATGTTGGAGAAATTACACCATTTTGCGCAGTTATTTGCACTGATGGTAAATCACCAAAAGAAGATCAATGTTTAAGTGGATTAGCAGAGTTCTCTCAAAAGTTAGGTGGATAGAATGTCATATTTGCTCTATTTGTAATTATCATGTTGCTATTGATTAATATTGCTATTGTTTGGGCCAGTAGGGATAAGAATCAGTAGAAGTCAAGACAGTTTTATGGATCTTATGATGATTCAACTTTGCAGTAAATGACTAGTTCTTTATCTGAGTTAAATAACAAAACATACCTAATAAGTTAAGATATTCATTTTCATGTACGCAGAATATATCTGGCAGGAAATAACACTTATTAAAATCCATGGCAAATTTACCAAGAAACACTAGTTGACAGTGATCTCAATCAAGGAGATAATAAAAGGTTATATAATCTGTTTGAAACATTTAACTAAAGAGCATTATTTACTGTCTTTGAAAAATATATTTTACTGTTTTTCAAATTTTATTACTATCCTCTTTACATATGGATTCTACAACTAATACAAGTCCACAAATTTAAGACTCTATCCAAGTTATTTGTCTAATAGGAATATCTTTTTAATGAATATGATCCCGAAAGAGATAAAATTAAATTGAAATTCTCATGCTCTAAAGACAAAACCTTAGCCTTCATCGATAGACTTAATTTAGCTTTGAAAATAGTTGAGTAGAGTAATACCCTAGAATTACCCATTTATTTAGTCTTGAGTGGTTATGGAACATTCCCATATCCATTTTAAATCAACATTCACGATGCCCTCATCAAGAGATTGTGGTAGTAATTTAGTTTCAACACTAATGAGGAAAGTATCAATCTTTTCGAAAAGTTTGTTGCTGAATTTAACTATTATGCGGTCAAAATAGATTTTAGATAATCTTAGTCCTCATTCACAAAAAGATTTAGTGATCTCCTCAATTATACAAATCAGTATAACTACGAAGTCTTTAGATTGCATCATGCCATACAAGTTGATATCTGTATTCATATTATTGCCAATGAGTTGTCTGCTTAGAGTTAAGCATATCTGCTTGGAAATGCAAATCAAAGAGAACTGGAATTCTTATTAAAATAAATTCATGTCATGAAGAATCTACCAGAAGAGTTCACTATCAAATTGTCTATTATTTTTAATAATTATAATAAAGATAGAGTTGTGAATTTAGAAGCATTCAATAACTTAGTCTACAATATTAATGAGCAATTATAAATCATAATTACTTAAGATAAGGATGATTTGAGAAATCAAATCCAATAGGAGAAGAAGAAGATGCAGTCCAAAATAAATCGTTTTAAAATAGATGGAATGAAGCAATACAAACTTAAAGGAATCCATGTAGTTAAGCGATTTTTCACTTGGCTTTTAAGTTAAATTACTAGGTATAGAGACAGCAGGGTGAATCAACAATTCCTAATTGCTGGAATATGCATTGTCCTTGCTATATAATGGGTATTATTAATTTTGTTATTAGCAAGTGTTTTGTAATTGCCTATCCCGTTCTATTATTGATTGTTTATAAAATGGAGAATGACTAAATCTTTTTGGCTGAGTTTATTACTCAATCAGTAATATTTCCTGCAGCATAAATCATAAGTTTGATTATACTGTCCGCTTGGGTAAACAATTCTATATAATTAGCTTTTAAAATCCAGGAGAAATTATGGGAAAATGTTTCTCTTATTTAACCTATGTGCTTTAGCAAGTTCTTTGATTGAATTTATATTTGGATGCTACGATCTTTTCAACTTCAATTCCAGTGCTGAATATAACCTTTTTAAACTATTCCCTTTCTTTTTCATTTTGCTTTCATCACATTTGGTTTGTTTATAGATGAACTTTAATGAACTCAACAAAATAAAATATTTTGAGATTTGAATTATTTATTTTTAATTCTTATATTTAAATCAAATAGCTAATTTATATGAGTTTTATATTATACCATAATAAGTATGATTCCCAATTATTCTGGATACAATCTTTATTTCATTATTTTAAAGCTTTTAATTTATTAAATTGAAAAACCTTAGATAAAATCAATTATAATTAATTTTTAATATGCTAAAGTATTGTACTAAAAATTAATAAATTTAATGAAATAGTTTAAAGTCTCTTGCGGGTTTAAGGATGCTATGTAAAATTAATCAAAAGATGCTAAATCTTGTTCAATGAAATTTGGCAAAGTTTAAGGAATTGTAAATTTTCATATCTAACATAGCACAGTGGAATTGATGAAAATAATTTACAATAAGTTAATCAGCATCTTATAAACCATTTTTCAATTAACCCTATTGTTAATGCAATTGAATAGCCAAACAATCCTTTACAAAAAATACGCAATCGATCTAAAAATAAAGTTTAATCATAAGTGGTGCATAGTTATTAATAGGTTGAGTCCTTTCAAAATTCATATTAATCGATAGAACTACTGGATGAGAAAAATAAGGAAGTAAATTATTACAAGAATCATATCTAACAACTAACAGAAAAATTGTAAAAATTAACTGAATATTTTGAAACAGTTAAAAATGAAAATTAATCTCTTAAAAATTAAGTCGATTTAAGTCAAAATTATCAATTAATCATTTCAAATCAATAGTAATAGATTCTGAAATTATAGTAAGACAATGTTGAGTTGGAAATGATTTTGAAGAATGCACTTTTATAATAGGAAAGATAAAAATTTTAATAATAAAGTACAAAACAAACAATGATTACTAAGAAAAACTAATTAGATGGATAAAAATTAAAGTTGTTCAATTACTAGAGTTTCTTAAGTGAATAAATGAACAATTCCAACCGTAATGCTCGTCTAATCTCTTGTCCAGATGAGTAAAGACAGAAAAGTCATAATGAACCAAAAACAAATAATTAATCAATTCTAACACTTCCTGATTATCACAATTACTCAACTGATTAATAGTAGATGCTTATTTAAGGGAAGGAGAATAGGAAGACTAAATATTGATGATAAATTATTTTTTGGTATCTATAAGAATTCACGTCATAAATTATTAGAGATATTTGAGTATAGTTCTTAAAGTTTCTAAATTTCTAATCCATTTGAAGTCTTGAATATAAACTTTTCATCTTAAATTTGTTTTATTTGAAACTGAAAATAAAAAGGGAATGGTGCAAGATTGACTATGTCGCTTAGGAATATTTCCAATTTCTTTTCCATATTATGGATGATAATGAATCGATCATACTTGACTCCCAGGGTACAGTATGTATCTAGTTGGCATTTGAATTATCTAATAAATTGGAATATAGAATAACCTTTATAATATCTCTTTGCTGGCATTAGGAATTTCAATATTGAAGTTTTGAAGCCCATAGAATGGATTCTATTATAGAGATTCCATAAAGATCAATTCTGTAATATATTGAAATTGCTATTCCAACTTTTTAATGCCTTGCAAATTCTTATCATGCTGTTTGATTATTTATTCGATTTCTTATTTCACTATTCCAATGGCAACATATATCTCTTAGACCCAGGTCTATTCCTTCACTTGCTTATAAACTTTGTCTGGAATCAATTGTTTCACCAAATTTATGGGCAAAGATTATTTGGTAAAGATCTAAATATTGTGGCATAATCTTACGTGTCTGAAATTTTCATAATACTTGATAATTAGATAGTAGATGGAATACATCTAATATTAAGAATTCGTGAGTTGATATCTCAAGTTCTTGATATCATCAAATGCTTGGTGGCATATTAAATTAAGTCTTACTAGATCTGATTAATAATCCTTCTTCTCTTGTTTTGGAGTTAAATATAGGTATTTTTTTAGTAGTAATTTAGTATTGGTTTTTTCTCTCTCCTTGAACAGATGGGTGAATTTTGACATAACACTTTCATTACTTGGTTTATTTAATGGAATTTGTGGAATGCAATCTTCATCATCGAGAATCCTAACTTCTTGATCATTGATTAAAAAGAACTTAAAATCCTCATAGCTTTGTAATTTGATGGCTTCAGCAGCCATTTCAATTAGATCAGCTACTCGTAATTCAGGACTGATAGGTAAAAAGATGTAAAATTCATCTGGGAACATAATCTAAAAGCATAAAAGACTGAGATACTTTAATATTGATAGTTTGATTGCTAATTTTTAAACTTTTATGGTGCATGGTTTGTCTAATGGTATTTGTGTTCCTAACAAATTTAAGGGTTTCGCTCAGGGAGATGTCGTCTGTATTGAATGAAGAGGACTTCATTGTTTTTCTGAGACTCTCTCTTTCTACACTAGACTTATCAGGACTGGATGCAATAGCCTCGTAAAATGAGGGGGGGAGTTCTAAATATTTCAAAACTTGTTCTGGATTCTATTTGATGAGGGGAGAGTTCAGAACTGCTTCAAGAAAGTTTTCAATGATGATTTTCCTGGCTTCGATTAATTAGGTTTTCTTATTGCTAGCCCATTGATTCTTGCTTAGATGTGGAATCGAGATGTCTGGGAATTGCTTTCTGATCATATTTTCCAACTTTATTAAACTGCTGTATCTGGTTAATAAGGTCAAATTCTAAGATCCTGCAGAAATCTATTTTCAATTCTATATATACAAACATCACATAAACAGTATATGATTAAAGCAAGGACTTTCTTAATTCTGTTCCCTTGGCAAATACTTAAATGGATTAGACTTCGCATTCTTGGAGGATTTCCAATTTTTGATACTTCGTCTTGATGTCGTTAATTAAGGATTCAAATAAGCTAAGCAGTTTTTATTTTTGTTCTGCGTCTTAGCAAATGAATGTTATGGATTGTTCCTAAGAGGAGACTGTGAACAAGAATTTGCAATATTGAGTTTCTGGTTTGTTTTTGCAATAGGATTTCTCATTAAGGTAGAGATATTCATACAATTTTTCGTGTTGTTTGACTAAGTTATTTTGATTTCTTTAGGTTAGGATGATCATGTCATTGCATATATACACTATAACTGATTTCTATTATTTAGAGACCAGGACATTGATGGTTTCACTTTGAACATATCTCCTTGTGGATTCTACAATGGATACATTGATTGAATCAAAAAACTATTTTTACAATTCGAAGAGCATTTGATTTTTGAGAACACTAGAATGCTAAAAAAGGTATTATTTACTTGTCCATCAAAATATCAATTTTGCAATTGACTTCAATGAATTTATTGACACTCACTTGAAGTGACTCATAATCTGGATGAGATTGCCAAGTATGTTTGATCAAATCCTTGAGTAATAGGACATATTTGGGTAATCTCTGGACCGGTTTGATGAGATAGGATTCTAGATTGCCTCCTTTGAAAATATCAGCCTCTTCCAATTCAGAAATAAAATCATTCAATTTTGGGATTTCCTTCCTCAAGGAAGAAACAACTTCAATGGAAAAACCAGAGGTGTATTCGAAGTATATTTTGAAAAATTAAACGTACTTGTCAAAGATCTTGCCAAAACAGGTGTGTTAAGTAAAGTTGCTGAATCTTTCTAAATTAATAGTCATTACAAAATACCAGAGATTTCAAATAAAAATTGCTTATTTAGTAAATAGATTTGTTTCAAATTTCTAAATAGCAACTTAGATTGAGCATCTGTGAGGATTGTCTGTAATGGATCGAAAAACTTCACGATGATCAATTCCAAATCTTTGAGATAGGTGAATTCACTATCTACTAATTCTTGAATCACGCATTTGCGATATCGTGCCCACTTCTTTCTTTTTTGATACTTAATCTTGCAGGAATGCATTCTATAATATGATTAGATCAAAATGATTTGTTTTCTTGGAATTAGATGAATGTTACATGGAAGAATGACTTTCCCCTACAATCTCACTTACATAATGATCAGCAGAATGTGATAATTTTTGAGAGGCCATATGAATATCTGATAGTAGTTTGGAATCTTCTTGTCCTTGAATAAAGGAGTTCTGATTAAATTAGGACATGTCAATGTTGTTCATCTAATCTGAGAGATAACTATCATTACTCTAAATAGTCAAACTCAATTAATGTTGCATTTGCGTAATAATTAATTATAATAGTTTATTTTTACAAATTAATCAATGTTATTTAATTTGAGGTAGTTTCTTAGAATCCTAATTTAGACTCCACAACTTCTAGAATTCCACCGACTTCGTTCTGTCTCTCGACAAACTCCCATGTTCTTCGTGTCTCTCCTTGATTAACTATCGATTCACATGCTATTCGAACAGTCTCAAATGATTTTTCCCTGGATTGTTGAGTTCCATGAAATTGAACAACCCTCCATCATTGAGACTGATGGCCCTATTGATTTTTATGGATGATGCCTTCGATCTGGGTGATGCAATGTGCAAGAATCTGCAAAGATAGAATATATGGAATTTACTGTTCAAAGGGTTTTTTGAGAGATCCATGAATTATCGTGGGCAAAGTGCTCGTTTGAGTTTGTGTCTATTTGATTTTCTAAAGAATGAGATTTTCCTTGAGTTTCATTTTGTCCTCCAGTTGCTTAATGAGATTGGGGGCGTAAGTGTGGCAATAATCATCAATCTAATACAATTTAATTTTTACTTCGAAAACAAAAGCAGTTGTCTTCTTAAAATATTAGGTCTTTGCTGTATATTTGTATAATCTGGGGACAGAACTCGAGAATGCTTCTTCTCCAAAACTGTCATTGTCACATGCTATAGTAACTCTCTGGAGTTTGCCATCCTCATTTTCAGCATAAATCTAGGAGCAATTTCAATTGTGTATACATACTTCCACTTCTCCAGAGATGATAAAATAGACTTTATTGGCAGATTGATTGGCTGAATAAATTTTTACATTATTCAAAAAGTTTTCCTTCTTCAATTTCTTGATAAATGGAATAAACTCAATTGGCTTAATATCTGGAAATTGTATTCTAAAATAATCCACTTCTTCTTTGTATTTTGCAAATTAGAATCCATAGACCGATATCTAACTATAATATTGCGCATACCTCATGGATTGAAATGAAACTTAATGAGATAGCTGTGCAATCAGTGAGGGCCATTATTTTGTATTTAGAAAAGGCATTCTTTTTATATATCTCTGCTTGAAAAAGGTGTTCTGGTGGTTATAATTTAGTAACAAGTTTTTGCTTCTTCTGATCAGTTTTAATCAAAGACATTGACCCTTCAAGCAGTATTAACACACTTTCAACGGAGTCGGCTATTTAGATACTCGAGATGTACCTTAATGCTTATAGACTTATCCTTTTTTCAAGTAGAGAAGTTAGCTGTACTTGAATGCACTTTGAGTGAATGTGTCTGTTTTCAAGACTTATTTGTAAAAGCTGAAGAAGGGTAGACGATTGAGTTGCTATTCATATTGTGAAGCAAGTTTAGGATTGTTCAAATTTTTTAGAATAGTAATGATGGACTCATATTTGTTTATTTCTGTCATGAAAATTAATGCACATCCTGAAAAGAAATTAGAAGGAATACTTAAACAGGAATCTCAGTTCAACAATGCCAAAAAGATGATCAAACAGTTGAGTATGAAACATTAATGCTACTTCAATAGAGAGAGACATTCAAGGGTTGCCGAACATGGATTATGAAGACAATTCGATCAATCTTTATAATTACATAGTGAATCGCAAACCAGAGCATCCACAATCCATTAATGTCACTGCACGTCCTTTGAACAAGAGAACCAGAACCTTTTCATTTGAACTCCAAAAGCCTTCACCATTTGATGTCCAAAAGAAACAATTACGTTTCGGAAGTCGACAAGGAACGAGACTGTGCATCAAAAAAGAACAACAAATCAGAAGAAGAAGTTGTAACTGTACCAATTGTGGACATGATAACACTAAAATAGTTCATCTCATGTACAAAGGTGCCATTAGTCATCAATAACTGGAATATGCAAATCAATAAAACAAAAAAAAACAGTTTATTGATGATGCCGTCCTCTTCTGTAAATTTCAATCTCTATTTTATATCCCTAGCAAAGAGACTCTCTAGAAGGTTGAATCTATTCAAAATTAAGTTCTCCTCCACTAACACCAACTTCAGAAAACGCTGTAATTCCTGTGACACTCACATCCCTTACGAATAACTCATGCAAGCCAAATAGATCCATCAACAACTTCTTCAGAGAAAAGATACCCACACTAAAACCCAATTAAGACATAACTTCCTCGTTAAGAGACAACAAACAATCAACGATAAACTGCTTCTCATACCCATCAAAACTCTCAAAACTGTCCAGGACACACAAGTACAAATCAAATCAATACCCACTCAACCCACCAACACTCCCTCTAAAGCACCTAAGAAAAAACTCAACAACAAAATCTTCATTCCAGTCACTCGCTCAATACTCCCTCAGCTCACTCCAACATCCAAATTTACTCTTTCTACTAATAAATCTATCGACTTCCAATTAAAATATTAATTAACCCAATCTATCAAACAATTGCAACGATCCACTCTAGTATCCAAAAAGAATTCGCTCTCCAATATTACTAATCCGTATCGTAACATCTCCTCCTTAGATTATCTATTAAAGGTAAGAAGAAGACAGGTTAATAATTATTGAAACTATATCAAATTTAAAATAAACCAAAAATTTTAATAATTATCAATATTTGAAATCTGTCTGTGATAAGAATTCTTATTATTTTTAATTCAATTAAATTTAACAAAGTCTATAAATATATCTTAAAGCCAGTTCTGCGTTCTCGATCTCATGATCATGTTGAATTTTCCCTAAAACTATAATAAAGTCACCAAGCCGTCTATAATTCATTTATTCCATCCTCTTGACTGTATAAAAGATGCAGCTATACGCTATGGTGCTTTGATGAAATATTGTCGTATCATAATACTATGAGACAAATCGTAATAGATTTAAACTGCATTTATAAATGGCCTATAGTTTCATTTTCATCACAGAATTATTAGCAATATTTGACCCTTACAGTTTGTAATATCGAAACTCCAAGTCACGCATTATGTAATCAAAGTTTCTGAAATAGTTTGGCATTTCTATTTAGTATTGTATAGTTTTTAAGATTTAAAATTGACATTTTGCAAGCTAAACTTCAGTTATTTTCTTACCACTTAATTAGACAAGTTATTATGAAGTCAAACAATAAATGTCTTTCTACTTAGAAGCCAAACTCAAACAACTTATTCCGATAGTTAAGAGTTCCTCATTGCTTAGATTATATGGGTATTTTTGTAAGAACCTATCAAAAATGGAGATGGTCAAAAAATATGTCTCATTCGAAGTGTTATCATACGAACTCAATACATAGCCGATTAAACACAGAAGTTTGTTCCTCTTAAATTCACAAATAGAATGATGCTTTAAGGATTCTTGGGTCTTCATAAGTTTAAGATTGGATAAATACATTCATGTGATCCAATTTCAGTGGATACGAGAAATGAAGATGATAGTTTTAGAACCATTAAGTTTGTTCATAGTACGAGTATTAGAAGGGGTTTGAATCGCTTTCATTCATGATTTCCTATTCATAGTCATCCAATTAAATCCACTCGAATTGCAAATTCTATGTATCCATGTAATTCACTTAGTGTTTCTTCATAGGAGTGGCAGGAATGGCATTCTGAGAAATGACGGACTTGGTTTAGATATTACGAAAGGACTTTTCAAGGTTTGTAATGTCAGAGAAATACATGTTGATTAAATTAAATTATAAATTACTTCATAATTATAGTTTCCCTTTCTTCTTCCCATTAATTAATTCGTAGATGTCATCATTATAATATATTTCTAATAATTATTTGATTGACTTCTTTTTCCTTGTTAACACACTCAAATCAGCTCCGTTTTGCATGAACAACTTTAATAATTGAGGATCCTTTTATCTGATAGCCAAGTGAACAGGGTAGTAACCTTTATGATTTGGACTATTAAGGATGTTTTAGGATATTTCCTTTTGTTTGAATAAAGATTGCAATTCGCCGACATCCCCCTCATCAATCAATTAAAAAAAATACTTTTAGAAGTCACTCAACTTAGATTCTTTATATCTTTCTCTTAGTTCTTGCAAAGTTAATTAAGAATCATGCAATCTTTAATTGACAACTTGTTTGATTTATTAAGTGTCTCTTAGATTACCTTGGCTTGGTTATCGTTTGATGGCAGGGAAGTATACGAATTGTTGATGTGGTTTAGATTTTTGGTTGGTCCTTTGAAGATCTTAGATCGATGGGTCTACAAGATATGTTCCATTAAAGACTTTGCAAGTGTTCAATTTAGATTTGAGTACGATTTTGCTAATTTCATAACAGAATTCTGTACAGATGTTCTTCCAATTGGTTGAGTTCTTGATCTTCATGTGAATAATCAGGTTTCTTGAAATAGAGTGGCAATCCATTAGATTTTACTTTCGGTCTAAACTAAAGAGTATGAGATGATGGAAATACTTTGGACAATATCTTGCCTGCATCTCCTTCCAATTTCTGGTTCTTCGTACTTAGAGATTGATGCAGCACATTGAGTTCTTCATTCTTCAATTAACTTACATTTAGTAAATTCATTGACACAATTCTCTAATCAATATTGCCACTTTTTAGATATTCTTGCAAGGCTCTCTTATGGATCTAATACATGAGGTTCTCACCCACATGCAATTTGTTCTTGATTACAGGAAGTGACGATTATTATTATTGCGATAAATTACTCATAATATTTTTATGTTAATTTATTTATAATGATACATTTTCCATCATTTACTTGGTACTAAACCTAATAGGGATTTATAGTCTGTCAATTGATGAGGAAGTTCGGCAAGCAGTTCCCTTTATAAAATAGGTAAACTATGAGAAAAAGGAGCAAACGGAACAAATTAAACAACATTCCTTGTCAAGACTTCCTTTTGTAATTGCTTCTAATCTTAGTCTAAGAATTCAAGCTTCTTGAAATCAAAATCTCCTACTCCCACCAAAATAACTGACATTGGAATATTAGCGCCTATGGTTTAGTTATGATCTCATATACATTAAGCAAGAATTTCTGTGCTTTGATGCAAGTCGTGTATTTATCCACAGGTCAATATTAAAAGAACAGTGTAGATCTTCTTCTTAGCATTAAATTCAGCTATCTATTTGGAGTAATTCAAGATTTCCCCTAGACAACCAGGGCCAGAAAACTGTAAATTGGGTAAGGTTTATTTGTATAAATTTATGAGTCCCTCCAAACCATATACCTCTGGCTTTTAAAAGTCACCTGTTAATGGGAAACTAATTGAATTATTGCAATAGATACCATTGTTCTGTTTCATTAACATTGTAATTTGGTAGATGAGGAACTGCACCGAATCCATACATTGCGACTTTCTTATCGTAATCGTAATTCAATAAGATTTATGCACAAGCTCGAATGGCAGTTTCATATTGATTGCCATTTTAAGTCTTGAAAGCATGCAATGAATCTGGGAAATTGGGATTACCATTTTATGCTGTATAGTCTACTCCTATGATTAAATTGATCTATTCTCCATCTCTCAAGAAATCCATAAATGTAGGTCTCTTTATGACCTTCTTCTCCTTCAAAATAATCTTGCCTCCAGATTTATTGGCTTGATATTCCAAATTGAATTCACTTTTATTATCATTGATTAATTCATGGATTGAAGTTTCAAAGTGTCCCATGTATTGATTATTTGTACCCTTTTCATGAACATCCCAACATTCCACCTTGAACTTCTATTCCAATTTGCCACCACACAATCTTCTAAAAGATATTTAAAATTATTTCCATTCAGGATTTAGATTGTCCTTTATCATCTCTGTCTTATGAACAGGTAACCAATCATCTCCAACTCTTTTATAGAATTTAAGGAATGGATCGCTCTTGCCAAAGAAGCCATCGGTACTAGATTATCAATATTGAACTTCTTACTTCATCAAATCTTTTCCTATCCAAGTCAACTACAAAAATTGATTATCCTCTGGCTGTTTGTCAATATTTACTACCAAAGTACCAACATTTTGACCTTTCTTACCTTTCAATTCAAATTCACACTTCATGTCTTTTGCTCCAACAATATCTGCTACTGTTGTCTGAATCTCCCCCATCAACTAATCGTCAGATCCAGCAGATTAGTTCTTATCCCAAACTTGAAAAACAAGTTTTTGGTTCAATTCAAAGATGTAATCAATGACAAAGCTCTTTTCCCAACAAGGATTCAGATTGTTCTTTAGAAACTCAGTATCTCCTTCGCACTTTTCCTTCTCTCCTTAAATTGTATGCACAAGTCTACAAAAAGGATCACTTTTTGAGAAGGTGTCCATGTCTTTCAGATTCTTGGCTTTCACAAAGATCTCCAACTAATACCTTTCTTCTGGAATGCTTTTATTTTAATCCATCAATTATTTTTTATAATAATCAAATCAATAAACTACTCACACTTATGTAACAACCCAAGAATCTGACTGAATTTAAATGACATCATTCACTTAGCATTAACTGGCTGGCTCAAAATATTCAAAAATTGTTTCAAGTAACAATATAGACTCTGTATGAATATATAATACAATAATTCTATGTTGATGAGATGAATGCGTTATTTGGCAAGTTTCAATTTTAGTGTGATGTGTCAAAATAAATTTACATTATATATAAATTATTTAAAAAAATCAATTATAATTCAATCCAGAAACCCTTACAATCACATACACATTCACAAATACAATTAGAATGTAGATATTATTACATGATGATATATATTATTTTTATCATTTTTTAATTGAATTCCAAGATTGAAGATGAAACTCTTTTGGTAATTTAAGGAGAGGCTTTGAAAAATTAGTTTTAATTATTGACTTTTAATTACCACCACCATTTACAAGTTTAGCAAATTAAGACTTAGTCTTGTTGTCTCGTTCTTCATCTTGCAATTTTCCAAAACTATAATTTTAATCGTTTTGAATCACTTTAACTTAAGGGTTCTTCTAAAACATTGGAACTTAGAATTCATTTGGTTGCGGAGTGGCTAATTATGGAAATCGAGTAGCAGGAGAACATAATTCAGCAGACTTGGGAGGATACTGTAGAGCTATTTTAATATTTTCTTTCGGTGGTGATTTATTCTTCAAGAGCTTTGCAATAAGATGCTCCTTCCGCTTGTTTTCTTCAAGTAGAGTCTTATTTTTTAATTCAAGATAATGAATCACTTCAACTTGTTCCTTGGGGGACATCAGACGAGGACTAGATATGAGAGTAGAATTTGTATTGGACTTTTTAAGTCTTGCACTCTACTCTCTACTTGTATCAGGAATTCCTTTCTTGAATGTGTTTGATTAAATACTTTTTTTGTTAATTTATTTGGATTCATATATTTAGAGAAGGGATAATCTATGGCTGTCGATTCAAATCTGCTGTCCCAAGACGTCAAATCATCCCGAATTTCTTCCTTAATTTGACTACTCCTTAAAGAATCCGATGGTAATTGAGTGTTCAATTTCTTAGCTGAAGTTGATTGATTCATTTTGGGTTTCGTCTTCATTATAAATATAAAAATTATTAAATAATTACTAAGCTACACTATATCTAATGATCCAAATCAACCAAACTCATTTGCTGAAAAAGTCAATTAGAACCATGAAAGGGCAAAACCTACTCGATTAGATGAAATAATCACATCAATATAGCAAAACTGAGAATGTGGAATTTATCTCCTAAAGTACTTTTAGTTATAAATAATAATAAATAAACATCATTGACTGATTTAAATTTGTTCTTCCTGTTGTGTTGATTTCTAACTGTTTTATGAATGGAAGTGAACGTAAACATAATTGGACTTATGTATGGATACACTTTTACTATAAGATTTGAATTCAGTTTCAAGGGAGTTTACAGATGATATCTCTTGAATCCCTTCGCTCTCAGATTCAGTGGATGATTTGATGCTATCAACTTATATGAACTTTTGAGATTTTATTGTCGGAAAGTATTCTTTCTTAACTTGCTTGTAGAATCGTTTGAAATTCTCATCCGAACTATCGAATAATAGTCCGTAGAGAGAAAACAAATCGACCAGTTTCATCACTCCAATCTGACTCCTCAAATTTTTCAGAAACTCCTTGTATTTAAATGTTTTCTGAACTGTCTTGGATATGCATTTATACAGAAAATGCAATTGTTAATTTTGTTTAATCTCTGATATATCGCCATAATAAACAATAAAGGCTATGAGCTTATTGTATTCATAAACAGACTGAATTTCTACACTGCAGTAGATATGCGACTGTGCACTATTCTTTATTCCTTACCTCAATTGTGATATCATTTCATGATACTCTAACTTTGGAGAGAGGATTAGTATTAGATCATGTGCCAAATCCAAGTACTCCCAAATTACACTATATATAGGAATATCATGAAGAAACAACAAATCTAAAAGTATAAATAGCTTATTTACTCACAATGGCAGTGTCTAATTTGGCCGTAATATTAGATTTAGCTATGAAATGTAACTTATTCTAGCAATTCAAAACTTCAATTCCTTTTTCTAAGATTGGTCTAAACACTTGAGTTTCTTCTATGAAATAGATCTATTGACTGGAGGAAAGGTGTTTAAGCAAGAAGCTTCCTGTAGGATCATGAGCAATCAATAGCTTATCATTTTTGACTCTTCGATAGGTCAACTCGGTCAGGATGTTGGGCACAAGCGATTTTACAAATTTGACTTCCTAAAGAGGAGTGATCTATTTTAATATAATTGGAATTTTAGTACATCAAAGAACGACTTAATATCATAGAGAATTCTCATTATAAATGCTGTAAATGTATCTTTCAATTTTGCAATGGATTATTGATTGACTTTGATTGATTTCACTAATAATCCATCTCCTTAGTGCATCAGCATAGATTCTTCATAATCGGTTTTTGATTCCTTAATTTAAACATAAAATATGCTACTTCCAGTTTCTAGTAAGGGGAACATTCATATTCGTCAAAGAAGTAAGACTTTTCTTATTAACTTTTCTCGTACTCACACAAGAAATCTGTGTATTCTTGACTGACTCTATTGCAGTCTTGAGCAATGCTAATACTATTTGGACTGGCAGAATTATTTAATCTCATTTTGGATTGAAGAGTAGTTCTATTTGTGCTTTAAGCATGTTCTTATTCTTTGTTTTCCTATTTTGATCCACAAAGGCAGAACATATTTACAATTATATTTATTTTTTATAACAGAATATGAATGGTATTGCATACCCTTTCGATTTGCTTTAGAATGAGGAAAAACTTCATTTGTTTTAAAACATCAAAGCCAAAATTTATGGATAAAACGACGCTTAAATTTCATTGGAGCCTATTCCTGGATCCCTTTTTATCACGAATATTAGAATATGTTGGTTCAACTTCCCGAAAAAGATGGAAGAATTATCTCCTTAAGAGAGATAACTAGTTGAAGCCATTCAAGTTAAGCATGGATAAAAGAAGGAATTGTGGTAATCATTGAATTTGAATGGCAAATCTTTTATGTTCATTTATCCTCGATTATTATCTCATGGTTTACAGGGTAACAAGTTGCGTTGTTTCATTGGAGAATTGGAAGCAGAAGAAGATGTCTATATTCAGTAGAGCAAAAGTACGGGACTGGAAGACTTCCTAGAATAAGACAATCCTGTCAATATCGTGGATTTAGAGAGAGGGAAATATTAAGTAATTATTTTAATTACAACTTTAGATAGAATTTGATCTATAGCTTTTAGATAAGGAGACTCAAGATGAGATTTTCGATCTAGTAACTGAATACTCTATAAATCAATAAGATTCAAGTGATTCTGAATAAAGTAATTGAATTTTATTATAGTATATATAAACAAATTAATTAATTAATAGTTAGAAAATAAGAGCAAAATGATTGATGAAGGTATTAACATTTAGGCAAAAATATATGGCAGGCCGAGTTAAATTCGAAAGCCATTGTTTAAAATTATTAAACGCGTTCATCCTGACTAGCAATGCAAAAGATTACTATTGAGACCGAATGGAAATATGTAAAATAAATTGTAAACCTTGTAGTATTATTAATAATGTAGATCAAGGAGAATTCGTAATCTTAAGGGACTCTAAACTATTTGTAAATTGTCAGAACTTTATTTCTATTCCCAAAGACTTTGAATACTCTGATTGGACTGTTTATGAAGGAGGTATCGATGGATTTCATTTTTTACCCTATGGAAAAGGGGTATTTAAAAACAAGGCCGACAGATTTGAAGGCTATTTCGCAGATGGGTTTGCTTCTGAACTTTGCACCTTAGAAAGGACATAAAACAGTTCTAAAATTAAATGCTATTACTCATGGGGATAGAAACATGGCAAATACGAAGAGGAAAACAACAACTTAATTATTGAAGGTTTTTTTGAAAATGATTTGAAATAAGGGTTGTTCACTGAGAAATAGAAAAGCACTGACAAACAAGAACGTAAATACTACAAAAATGGAGTCAAGTAAATTGTAGACGAATCAAATTACAACAATCAATAAAGGAAACTTGGTACGACTACTCGTTATCTGTTCAATCATTAGGACTATTCAATTAATAACTTCACTTTCAAAGGTCTCAATTATAAAGAATGGCTCAATCAATTGATTATAGATTATTATCTGCAATTGGTCATTGACTACTACAAAGATTTCCTTGCAGAATCAATCTATCATCTTAATACTATCGAATGCCAGGACATCTTTTCAAGTTATATAACTTAAAAGGATTAGAAACCACTGATTCTACCTAAACTCCTAGAAATTAATTGTCTAATCTCTGATATCAAGAAATTGATTTTTATAATGAATGTTGATAGAGGACACTTTTTAGTTTTGGTATGCTAAAATTAATAACTCTTCCTTCTTAATTCATTGAATAATGATCAAGATTAAATTATCTTACAGAAAGTTGTGAAGATTATCCCTACCATTAACAAAGCACAAAACCATTCAGAAAAACTAAAAATTGTAGAAGTTACACAATAACAAAATTCTTTTGATTGTGGAATTCATGCTGTTTACAATACTCTATTATAATACAAATACTGTGATAAAAATGTTAATGAGATCGATTACCAAACTACCAAAAAGATGATGGAGAATCTTAGAATACATATTAAAAATGTTCTAATCAACGACTATGCCCATTTACTCCCATAAATTTCTGATTCTAAATAAAATCATAGATATTGAATATCAATTGTTTATTTAATTATTTCTGCCTCCTTTAATTTATTAGTATGAATCAGTATTTCATCTAAACTAATAATGTATAATTACACTACAATTATAATGCTGGGTAATAATGTTGATAAACATCAAATACCATCTCCAATTGATTCAATGCCTCTTCATAACTTTCAAGCTTGTAATAGCATTTAGCCACAGTGACTATCAATTTTATTTAATATTGGTCTTATTCTATGAAATCTTTTAGGTAAATTATGCAATCGATGTATTATTATTTTTTAAACAGTATTAAGCTTTTCAAATCAATCAATTTATATTCAGTCTAATAATTAAGGGAAATTCCATCTAATTACTTAACTATTTGTTCAGCTTCTTCAATTTTATTAGTAAGGATCTTTACTTTCACTTATAGATTAATAAATTAAATACATTTTCTTAAATTTGCTTATATACAATTAGGATCCATTTACAAAAGAATTTGACAATATTATAATGACTACTCATACTCTTCTAGTTGAATACAAGTTTCGATCAATCCAAATATAGAATCTTTAAAGTCCGCTTTTATCTAATAGGCTGTCAAATAGTAGAGTTTAGCAGTATGATATTTGTATTCACTTTTAAGTTCATCTCCTAATTTACTAAGGAATTTAGGGATTATGGAAATATATTTGGAGCATTTTGTAAATTGAGAAATAGCTTATATATGATCTTCCATGCAGTAAAGAGTATATCCTATCATAGTTAAAGTATAAACCTAATTCACCCATAGCTATGGGATTGTTTTCATCAACATTCAAGATATGGTTATAGGTTTAAATTGCCTCATTATAATTGGCTATTTGAGTTTACAATTTCCCTTATGTGCTGTATTCTGTAATTTTTACCTATCTTGATTAGCAGTTCATTCTTCTTCTCTCCTTTTTGATATGCCAATTAATAAAAGTTAATCGCCTATTTAAAAAGTCCAATCTTGGTTGCCAGTTGGGCTTGTTTTATCAGTACTGGAGATGTTTATTCACATTACTGATAAAGATCGAATGCTTCTTCATATTAATTCTAATTGATCAATTAATCAGCCAATTATTCCATTATTATAATAAATTCTCATGTTTGAAAAGTATGTATTTAGTACATCAAAGTAGTTTTCATTGGTTTTTCTAACGAAGCCCTACATTTGACCTTCATTTCAACAATGAAGATTTATAATTGACCACTTTATTGGACGATGACAACCTGATAACCGAGGCTCAATCTTAGAATGAAAAAATTTTAGATTTGTAATATAATCAGTAGATTAATAGTGTTCAAGAAGACCAAGTGCTTGAATTGATCAAATATATAACGGAAATGCCTGAAGATGATTCAAATTCGAAGAGAGCATATAGATATCCATATTATTCAAGTGCCCTCCTGTGTTTCATTGTAAAAGGAAAGCCATAGTATTTCATTGAGAATGATAAGTAAATCACATATCTAAGGTTTCAAGACGGCTTCTTTATAAGTTGCTCAATTTTTTTTCTTAGGATCAGGATGTTAATTCAGTTCTTGCTGGGTTTGTCATAAACGTACTCCAAAATATTTAAGAGGAACTATTGGTAGGGGAATGTTTTCAGAATCCATAAATTTAAGAGGGGATGATCAGATAATTGTAATCCCGCTCAGTCTCTGACTTTCTACTTTATTTATTACAGGTTTAATCATAATAATACTAAAATGAAAAAGTAAATCTACTTTAGTCTATTCTGAAAAGAATAGATGATTCCACTAATTTTGAAGTAATTGATTTATTTATTTGAGATATCGTCTAACGTTTCATACATCATCTAGGAGTTGATTAAAGTGGAGGATTACTAACAATGGTATATGGACATCATTTTTGGAGAATTCATCAATAAACTTTGTCAAACTATTTTATTCAAGGATAATTTTATTTCTTTATCCTCAAGCACCATACTTTTTAATTTACTTTAATTCTTAAAAAACACCTATTAAAAATAATATGGGTCTAAAGTTAAGGGCCCAGAAATAGATGTGAATATGGTATTTTCTAGAATAGAACCATATTGCACTGATTGGATTGAGTATCTATTAAATCAGAAATCTACCATTTTGGGCCAATAAAAATTAAAACTACTTGAAATAATTGGAGTTGGAGTTTCCTTAAATAATTAGTAATTTATTAATAGGCTTTATTAATGTAACATATTCAAAGTGTACAATTAACTATTTCTCACTTACGAATAGCATGACATACTGCATTTCTAATATTTCAATTTGATTTCTTAGACGATTGAAAACTAAATCGATATCCTCATTAAGAATGTATAATATTTAAATTGAATTTAGTTGTTTGAAGAAAACTAGTTTATTTAATTATTGATACAATGCACTAATAAAGTGGACAATCAAGAAAAACAAAGGAAGGGATAGTTGGGCTTTATTACGCTCTTGGGAATCTTCATAGTGGAGAAGGCTGAGAATTATGAGTACTTATAATAGTACCTGTAAAATGAATCATGGCAACAATTCAAAACTCAGTATATCGAAAAAGCCTAAAAAATCAATAATTTTGAGTTAGGATAAGATGGGATCGACCAATTGTATAAATGGAAAGAGTTTCAGCTTGAGGGTGATACGAAAATTGAGCTGATAGAGTAGAATAAGGAATAGAGTGGAAATTCAAATTAAGAAACTATATGATCATTTGATTATGTGTATTTTGGGATTAAAGTTTCTATTTAAAATCTAAAAACAATAATGATTGGATGGCATGTGATTGTTTATTAACTTCCAGAATTAATCATGTTATTCAAAATATTTACACTCGGAAAACAAAATTTAAAATCTTTTAAATATGGGCAAGAGAATTAGAGCATAGAGAAAAGGAAAGTCCAACAGTGTCTTCAAGGCTCATCAAAACTAAAGAGTTGGTAGCCCATAATACAGACATCTTGATTATGCTGAGAGACACGGCTATGTCAGAGGTGTGATTTCAGAAATCATCCACGATCCAGGAAGAGGTGCTCCATTGGCCAAGGTTGAATTCAATGATCCATACAAATACAAGAAGGTCACCAAACTCTTCATTGCTCCTGAAGGATCATACACTGGTTAATATATTTACTGCGGAGCTAAAGGTACTTTGATTTTGTATACCCTTAATAGCTCAATTAGCCACAGGAAATGTACTTCCAATTGGTCAAATCCCTGAAGGTACAGTCGTCTGCAACTTGGAAGAACATCCAGGAGACAAAGGAGCCTTGGGAAGAGCCACTGGTTGCTATGCTACCATTATTGGTCATTCAGATGATGGCACAACTACTAGAGTCAGATTACCATCTGGAACAAGAAAAACTCTCAGTGCCCTCTGCAGAGCCACAGTAGGTATATGAGAATTCTATAAATTAGGATTGATTGCTGGTGGAGGTAGAACTGAAAAGCCTATCCTCAAGGCAGGAAGACAATTCCACAAGTACAGAAGACTCAGAAAATGCTGGCCCAAGGTTAGAGGTGTGGCTATGAATCCAGTCGACCATCCTCATGGTGGTGGTAACTAATAACATATTGGTCATCCATCAACTCTTTCCAGATATGCCCCACCAGGACAAAAGGTCGGTTTGGTTGCTGCCAGAAGATCAGGTCTTCTTAGAGGTGGTGCTTAACTCAAACAAATGGACGAAGATTTAGCAGCATAATAAGCAAAAAAATGAGATTTATTATCTATAATCGTACAATAAAATTTAGGATTTATAATAAATTTGATCTTTTTATTTAATTGGTTCATGTATTTACTATGATGAATGACTCTTTAAAAATATATATATATCATGACAAAATCATTTATTTTCATTTATGTTATTCGTTATATCGATTTTGAAAGGTTTCGTTACTTGTAATTACTTCCTTGCGTATTTTTAATGGAATCTTGGACAAGTATTCATATGGGTGATTATCATATTAGAGCAATTATACACCCCTTGCTTTTTTAATGGTCTCAATATCATATAGTTATTTTTAATATTGTTCCACTTTCTTTTTTTGTTCCTAATTTATGTAAATCAGAATATTTCCTTATTTAATGGAATCACTGATTACTTCTTATTCTTATTAGATTACAACGACTGTGTCATTGTATTTAAACCATTTCTTCATATGAAAATTGTATTAATACAAATAGTAATGACCCTAATTAATACTACCTGTGTGAGCAACTATTTGAGCCAATTGATAGAGATGCTTAGAATTCTTTTGTAGCTCCTAATTCAAGAGGTGGTAATTCAAGGGAAAGTATTGTTTCATTTCTTAAATCTTCTGTTTGTGCTCGAACTTCAAACTATTTAGAATAAACGTATCAAAAGTGGGGAGTGATTCATAATGCTTGACAACTTTCTCAAAGGCATCTACTTGCTTTTTTACTATAAATATAGTTGATTAGTTTACATTATTGATAATCCTTATAGGTTTAGAGTTATTAATTGATATATTTTTAAACATGTTCAGTAGCCTATTAATCGCGTAAAACGAAATCTAAATGCAATTCCTAAGGAAAATGAAACTCCTCCTCTATTTTTTTATTTAAATGATCTGTCCTCCCTATAGTGAAAATAAGGTTGTGGGGCAGCTATTTTATAAAATTTTTGTTTTCAATGATTTCTTTATACAAAAAATTATAGATTTGCTTATTCTATATGCCTATATGCCATTACAATTAAGGCTACTTGTCTTGCTTTATAATATATTGCTTTTCCAAGTCTTCATTATAGAAGAAGTTGATTTGATCATTGAGCTTATTGAAATTCCTGCTGAGAGTTTAATCGATTAATTCCATAAAGCAATTAAAGTATTCGCTTAAATCTCTAAACTCGTTATTTTGAACTATCTTGTAATTTTGTTTTTGCATCTCAAACTTCATCACAGCATCATAGAATTCCGACGGCTTCAAATACTTCTAATTCCAAAGCATTTATTAAGCAAATACATGCTGAAGTTGGGTCATAAAATTCTGGCTGAGCTGCTGAAGAGTATCTCCAGGTTGGTTATTCTCTTATTGTTTGTATTACAAAATCGATTCAACCAAATTAGGATTATAAAAAATTATCTATAATAGACAATTAAAATAGCAGGTGTTCCCCAAGTTCTATATGCCTACAGGATAGTAATCATGTTTTAGTCTGTCTCTGATAGGTGTATTGTCTTATTAAAATTAAGAAGCCATTAGTCCAATTTTCAATTATTCCTAATCATCGATATCATTTTGATTGAGCATTTCCTACTGAATATCTTGCTAAACAATGATTGATGTAAATTTACTGCATATAATTTTTGGGCCTAAGGTCTTCCTTATTGAATATTAGGGACATAAAAGTTGTTATAAGTTTGTATCATTTTTTCCTTATTCCATTAACACTAAGGCCCAAAATCTTCGACTTGATCTCTCGTCCATCGCAGCACATTAACTAAATAATCCGTTACATCCTTTTTCTCTTAGTATGACATTTATGTGTTTTAATTGAATATCTATATTAAAATAAGAAAAAATATTCTTTTATAGATAGATTGAAGCTTATAGTTTTGGATTGAACCTAATAAAAGATTGATAAAAATAATCTCATTTGGTATTCAAAGCTTAAACTTCCTCTTAAGGCTAACTTTCAGAAACCACTTTAAATTCAGAATCTGTTTTACTTTCGTTTTCTGGGTCATCTTTTTTCTCTTTTTATGTTTTTTTCTTCAAAATTTAGATCAACACAATCCTCCTGATAATATAAAATAGTATTATTAAAGATAATATAACTACCATTATGATTAAAATTTCGAACGTTGTAATTTCTTCCTCTATAACCTCAATGTAGATTTTATAGTGAACGATTTCCACAGTTGAATTAAAACTTCTGGTGTCCTTCTAATACAGATCGACTAGACAGGTCAACAACCCTGTAGTTTTAGGTTTAAAAATTAAAAAGGCTGGTTGGAAATGCCAAAATACTATCTCAAATTATTAATCATTCTACAAAATCAACTAATTCTTCTCTTAATACCCTACAATGCGAGTAGATTTAGTTTCATATGCCGTCACATTAATTTTACTGAGATTGAAATCGTCCTTAATAATACCAACCAACTTCTAATAAAGACGTCCATTGGATATAAATTATAGGTACTCCTAATGGAGTGAAATGCTAGTGACCTCAGAATTAGTAATAATTTCTTGATTGACTAGAAGATTTTTCCAGAAATATTCTAAAATCTTAGTTTTAGTTTAAATAATGAAAAGTTTATTGTTATGTTCAAACCTTACACATTCATCTATTTAAATTTCATTAATTAATCGAGGACTTAACTTAAAGTTAAAAATGAGCAAACCTCCATCAAAAAGTAATACCAATCTGTTGGCATGAATGGAGGCTTGCAAAATATTTTTATTGGCCATAAAATTATTTAAGATAAGCTCTCCCTGAAAACTCAACATATCCATGCCTTGCAACCCCTTAGATATCAGGATGTACTTCTAAGTGAGTCTGATGTCAGTAACTGCATCAGTATAGTTGTACTCCACAGTTTCAACCTAATCTGATTCGGTGTTGTACAGAATTATAGAGTCTGGGTAAAGGATGGCAAGATGACTCTGATCTTTGTCAATTAATAATTAGAGACAATTCGGTTTAAACTCTTGAGAACGAGAGTCGTTCTCTAAAGAAATGAATACCAATGTGCAATTTTTCTGTAGAGCATAAATTGTCGAATCCTTATTCCTCAAACCAATATACGAACCATTGATGGCGTGCTTGAAATAAAAGATTGCTCTCGTCTCCGAATAAGTTAAGGGTTATATTTGTTAGATGTTCTCAGGTTCATTCGGAAGTACTTCCATGCCCAAGTATTACTATCTAAAGGTTAAAAATGTATTACGATTAGAATGAGATATTTCTCTTGATATCTTTGAGTGTTAAGGTGTGGTTGAATTCATTATAATTAGTAGCAAATGCAAAGAGGAACAGTGATTGGAGAAGAATAATTTACATAATGTTCTATCAATGGAATGAATTCCCAATAATTATATTTATATTTATTGTTATATTTGTAAAATGACAATCCTGTTGTGCCCTTTCAAACTGATGTTGTTCCATACACTACCTTAGCTTGAATGAGGTCAGCCTTTAGTTTTGCAAATTCAAGGTCTTTCATGAAATACGTAGAATTGGTTTTCTTATTGATGAGTTCATAGAACGTCTTATCGAATTTGTTTTTAAATAAATGAGTCTGCTTAAACGCCCTTCCCTTCTTGATGAAGTAGAACAAGGCAACTGTTTCCATCACCTAGGCCATCAAATATGATATTGGTTCTGACACTCCCCAATCGTAAATTCCATAAGTCAAATAAAGCAGAAAGAAATACTAAATCAGAGCGAACACTATGAGTTATTTCAACAATTTGTGACCTTGCTATAAAATATTGAGATGTTGTAAATACTTTAGTTGCTTCATCGGTTACTTCAGCCACTATTTTCTCGTAGTACACAATGACCTAATCCAAGTTCTGCAACACTGTCGACTACAATTACCAGAATTGAGAACTAGTGGCATTTTCTTCTGCAAATTTTGCCAAAGCCTTTTGAATTGCACTTTCAATTTCAACCGGACTGTGGGATTGCTTATTTGGATTCAGTTGCTAAACCATCAATTCATGGAATCTAGCAATCACCAAGGCATCGAAATATGGAATCTCAAGTTGTCCAAAAGCTGTTTCTAATTCAGAATTCATGTAATATGGTGCGCAACCATTTAAATCTAATTCAAATGAGAAATTCACATCGTCAATATTAATTGAAGGAGTGTTGTGCAATACTAAGTCAACGAAAGGCAATTATTGATCAGTCATATCTTTGTCCCCCATTGTAATTTTAACACTTTAGAAACTTTGCTCCTCTTGTTTGATTAATTAAACGATGTCACTTGTAGTGGCATGATGAGGTATCTTAAAAATCTTAGCGAATCCTTTTGGATAATGCAACTTAAGATTCGAAAGTCGATAAACTTGAGTTATTTTGTTTAACATATTATTATAATTAAACTGAGAAATACAGGCTTAACACGACTTTTATAATTACATAATAGATAGGATTTTCACCAACATCTCTTAAATCTAGAAGATAGTTAATAATCAGTATATATCAATAAATCCTTACTTTCTTATTATTATTTCTAAAAAATGGATAATCAATTTATTATATATATTTTTTAATTAAATGAACGATTTCATAATTGGAGACAATCTAGTATGAATATATATACAAATTTAGGAATTGGAATCCTTTTTCAAATAGAATACGAATGCCATACATGAATAAAATCCAACTTTGAGGAAAACAGCAATCACTTAGATATATTAAAAAGTTACAGATCCAAATATTGCTCAATCAGATTGTAAACGAAAAATCAATACCATTAGCATTGTCATAACAAATACTTTTAAAATACGGCAAAGTACTTTTGAAGGCTTTCTCAGATACCAATGAAAAGGTTCGAGAAATGTCCATAAAATCAATGATCGAGTATCAATTAAGTCATATCGGCTAGATTGATAACAAATTCAGAGGATAATGAACCCATATTGAGTTATGTTTTTTCAGTCTTGATAGAAAGAAGCAATTGCTAGGACTTAGAAGGAATCAGTCATCTACCTGAGGTAATGAGACCACCTCCCTCATAACTGCCCACAAGACTAATGAAATTTATTGAAGAATCAGAAGAGGTAAATCTGTGATTCTATCTCAAGATTCGATTACTGTTGATATAATTCTTATATTCGATTATGTGTAAAAATGATAGTGATAACTTACATGAATATATTGATGACATAGTAGATATTCATCGAGCATTTTTAATGGATCCCTTTGGAGAAGTCCAAAAGGAAGCTTGCAAGAGTTTGAGTAAATTTTGCAAGGTCAACCATTAAATGCTCTTGCATTTTACAGAGAAGATGGGAAGAGCAATTCTCCATCCACTCGTGAATAAGAAGAGTCCAGTTAGGATAGCAGCTTTGGAGGCTCTATCAGCTGTTCTCTTATGCGGAGTATGGAAAAATAATGCATTTGTCTTTGAAATATTGACAGGCTTTAAAGATCCCAACTCAGTTCCGATAAAAGCCTTCTTTGAACCTATGCATCATATCAATTATTTTGTAAAGATGATTGTTAATATACAATTAGGCTACATTAATCATTGATCCAAAATAATAAGTAAGGTAAGCCTTCATCAAGGAAATTGGGTTTTGGTTGAGAGGATTGGCAGATAGGTGGGATCATCACCCAAGACTTGTTCCTTATCTTTTATCTGGACTCTTCGACATTGATCCATCAATTCAAGAGGCAGCCTTATAGATAATTGAAGATGTTGGTAAAGAGTGGGAGATTGAAAAGGAGAAGGATATCAAAAATGTGAGACAATTAGGAATAGAACCTGCTTGGATATTAGATGGAAAATTATCATAATTGCCACTGCCTCCTCCTTTTAAGGAAAGACCTAAATTGGGAATGAGAGGATTCATTAAAAATTAAGTGAGAAAAATGTGGCCAGCTATTTATAAAGAGATAGTGGATAACAATGAAGAAAATAGATTAAGAGCTAGCCATCTCATGACTTTAGGGGTTTTATTTAGTGAGGATTACATGACCTAGTTTTTGGATAACTTTATACCCAATACAATCATGGCCATTAAACCAGGTTAAACTAAAATAGAGAAGAATGTTCAATTAAATGTAAATTATCTATTACTAATGTTTAGTTATAAAAAACTTATTAATTGTTGGGAAGATTCTGCGATTATACTTCTTATTCATTTATTATCTTCTCAAGTATGAGGGGTAAATATATAAGGGATGAACAATATATGAGAAGTGCTACTTAAGCTCTAAGTTGGCTTTGTCAAGGAGCTATTGAAGCAACTTTCGAGGGAATTGGAACTAAAATGGAATTGTTGAGCAATATAGTAGATCTTTTATGCGAAAATAGCATGATAGAGAGCATTTCAACTATCAATCATCTAGAAATTTAGGATGTATTTTAAAGTATTCATATCATTAGTTACTCAATACAGTTAAAAAGTCAATTGAAAAGATGGGCACTCAAGATGAAGTGATGGCCTTCAACGAGAAATATTAATATTAATTAAACTTACTAGATAATGTAATCAACTATATATAAAATTTCAATGCCATATTGTTGAATCAATAAATTTAATAAACATAAAAACTGTAGTACAGTGAGAGAGTAAGATTATTGAAAGTTGATAATTTGAAGAATGACTTTTTATTTGGAGATTCAGGATGGAAGAATGTGATTTCAGAACTTATTCATTAATTACATCATGGGTCTACTTAAGCATATCAATTAACTGATTTACTTTATGATTTTATACTCCCAAATTCATTACCTGAACCATGTGACTTTATTCTCAAACTTACATAGCTTTTGTTGTAATCATTTGAATAACAGCACTCCTAATTATATATTTAGATTATTCTAAAGTTGAGTGCAATAGCAGGACAATGGTTAAATTCTCTATAATAAAAGTAATTCACTTAAAAATTGCTTGATAATTTGCTGGTGACCTTCAAGACAATATCTGGATATTTAGGCAAGAAGAGAGATATCGGAAAAGCTATGAGCAAAGACTAGCTGTCCCTTGACTATTACACTAGGACTGTCATAGCATTATGTAGTTGTTATTAGAAATTTTACAGAAAGCAGTACAATATGATTGTTGTTTGCGTAAGTGAATTTTGTAATTTGTTTTTGCCATACCCCTCATCAAAGGTAAGACTTGATTTATGATATTTTAATAGCATCTATTGGATAGTAAAAATCAGAAGTTTTTATTGCCGAACTTACAGCTCTTTTGCTTTGATGCAATCGATCAAAATGGAGGGGAATAGAATTAAGAAACTAGAAAGCATCTTTTTTCCATTTTGTCATACATCAATCAATTTATACCTGTTTAGGAAACTTATTTGGGAGATGCACATGTGATTGAGAACTACTAGAAATACCTCCAACAATTATTGCGGTTATGCATTGAAGTATTAATTTATGTCTATGAACCAAGGAGAAAGATCTCTAGTTCTAAGATCTATATAAGATCATGATTAAGGAACTGTGCAATAAGACAAGAAATAACTTTTTGTAGGAGCTTGAAATAGCGAAACACAACAATCAATTGTCAAGAGTTGAACTGCTTTATGTCATTATAAATTAATGAGTGTATATATTTCGAATAACAATTAATTAATTAAATATGGATTATATTAATAATTCAATATTGTTTCCATATTATTAATTTGCGAATAAGGAATATAGAATAAATAATTTAATTATTCTTTTATTATTTTGAAACTTATTAGATTCACAATGAAATTTCAGTTGATATCATTGAATTTATGTTTCTGATTAATGGGATTCCTAATAAATTAATATTAAAGAATTTTTATAATACATAAAATTGCCACATCAGCTAAATTATATAATATATTTATGGAATAATCATTCTTGACCAAATAAGTAAAATCAGACAACTGGTTATTTAGTGAAATCACACCCTTGATCAACATGATCAATGGTATGGATGGACAAATACAAAACAGTGATTTGAGGAATTTTGTTATTAAAGAGTCAGATTGCGAGCAAATCCTCCAGGAATTAAAGGAGTAAATTTCATCGAGATTATTAGTATTTTACAATCTAAGCCTAAAGATTTATACAGAAAAATCTTTCGACATTTTTTCTTGGTTAGAATCTGCTAGTTGCTTGGAATACAGACAGCCACGGACATTATTATGCTAGGAAATTTACTAATGTTAAATTATGCCACAGATTCCTTAATAAATTTAAATAGAGAATTGTTGTATCAACCTATATTGGCAATTTGCGGTATTATTTGTCTCTCTCTTCTCAAGTATATAAAGGATTTTATTATTAAGAACATACCTCAATGCCAAAACAGATCAGTTCGTGAATCTCTTTGTGCTTCGACTTAGATTGATATCTGAATATTTGATATACGATAAAGCTTTGAGAGTCCAGTGCATCAGCAGCAAAGGTGAGAGTGACAGTCATTCAGCCAATATCAATGTAAATTGAAATATATTTTTAGACACTCCTAACTGCAGATTTGGATCAAATTATGTTAATCAACTTTACCATTAGAGATACATGGGAAGCAATCCTGTTAATAACTGGATGCTTAATATTTTTATATCACCTAGATTCTCATGCAGGTACAATAGTTGTAGTTACAATGCTTTGTGCCCAAGTTTTCAATCTTATTGTTACTGCAGTCATGATGAGATCCGAAAAGAAGATGTTAGAATACAAGGATATGAGAGTAGGGTTGTCAACTGATGTGATTGAAGGAATGAAATAAATCAAGTACCTCTCATGGGAAGAAACCTTTAGCAAAAAGATTATGGGATTCAGAAACTGGGAGTTCTTTATGCTTAGTTTATTAAAAGGATTTGATGGATTATGCTCAATATTTTGGAATAATGTTAGCTATGTACTATTGTGCACCTATATAATTTCATCCGTGAACAATGGCAAATCACTCTCTGACTTGAATATCTTTTCTTTAATCGCTGTTTTCAATATGATGATATTCCCCTTGGGTATTTTACCTTGGTGCATTAATTCTGGATTAATGGCATATGTTTCCTTTAGTAGAATCTCGAAATTCCTTCAGTAACAGGAGATCGATCCCGATGATCGTTTCTAGTTACCTTATGCCAAAGAGGGAGATGTCATATTGATTGAAGGGTTACTATGTGAATGGCCAATTGAAAAAAATGAACAATAAAATAGAGCATTGAAAAAGAACTAAATTAGTGACGACGTAATTGTATTCGATTAAGTGAATGAAAATTCGTAATTCTTATTAAGGATTGATGAATTAAAGATAGAGAGAAACACTTTGAATTTTGTAATAGGCAAGATTGGATCAGGGAAGAGTGCGTTGTTCAATGCAATTTTGAATGAGTTATAGAAGTATAACTAATACGAAGGAATGTACAACAGCATTTCAATAAGATCAGATTCATTAATCTCAGGAGAAAGAATGCTGACAATTAGTGATCAAATAATAATTAAAGGAAATATCGGTTATTGTTCTTAGACATCTTGGGTGTAGAATATGAGCATTAGGGACAACATACTATTTGGATTACCTTTTAATTAGAAATTATACAATGAAGTAATTGATGTTTGTGAGATAAGGAAGGACATTATGACTTTTGAGAAATAAGATTTTCATGAGATCGGACCTGATGGTAAGAATTTGAGTGGAGGATAGAAGCAAAGAATCACATTGGCCAGGGCTCTCTATTAAAACTGCGATATCTATTTATTTGATGATATATTCTCATCTTTGGACATTCACATCGCAGATCAAATATTTTAGAAGACTGTGTTGGACTTCTTAATCAAAAATGGGAAAACTGTAATATTGATCACTTCCCATTATAGATATTTGAATTAAGTGCCTCCAACTGTGAAATCAAGGATAATATATTTAGAAAATGGATAGATCATCAATGATAGAAATATCATCAATGAATACTTGGAGAAGGAATAATAACCAGAGGAGGACAAGCCAAATATTGAGGAGGAAATAGAGGAAGCATTGCCAGGATTGATTAAATAGAAAAGTTCTAAGAAATCTGAGAAGGAGTAATTTTAACATAAAGAGGAAGATGACGATTCAAAGAACCAGGAACAAAGAGAACAAGGAAAGATAAATATGAATACTTGGATAACTTACTTTAGCAGTATGAGTTGGTTCCTTTTGATAGGATGGGTTATTGTGAATTTCTTTATGTAAGGATCAATGTCTTTAATTGATTTCTGGTTGAAATCAGAATTGAAGGGAGATAGTGACTCATGGTTGCATTAAATTACAATTCATTTTAATAATTCATTCACTGATACCTTACTCTATCTCACTTTATTCGCCTTATCAATTACTTTTGTTAGAGCTGCTTTATATGTTTCAACTGCATTAAGATCAGCTTGGGTGCTTTTTGTTAAGTATAATTATTGTAGATAATTTTAGATTGAACAAGGTTCTAATGGAATCTGTGATGAAGTTTTACGATAAAACAAATGCTGGAAGAATAATAAACAGAATATAAGATGATACACAAATGATTGATGATGATTTAAGTTGGACCTTTCATTGCTTTTTAGAGAATGTTAGCAGAGTGACTGGGTTATCTGTAGGGTTGGTTATATTGGAACCCATTTTCGTATTAATATTAATAGGAGTTGTGGCTCTTTATTATTAGGTCAGTAAGACCTACATTAAATCAAATAGAGAAATCAAGAGATTAAAATCAGTCAATTAAGGGTCTCTACTTCAAACAGTCAATGAAACTCTCACTGGAATCAAAGTGATAAGAGCCTTTGATAAAAATTCTTTATTCTGCCAAACCTTCTAGAACAAATTGTAAAATTGGGTAATAACAGATCAATGTGGAGAAAGATCGAAACTATGGTTTGGAGTCAGATTAAATTTGATGAGCAATTTAATTCTTATTTGCGTATCAAGTTTTGCCATCCTTACTATAATACTTGATTTTAATGATGATTACTCAGTCCAAGCCTTGGCAATTACTTATTCAATGGTTGTATTAGACAGTTTCTATGATTTATTTTCTTTATATTTAAGAATGGAATCAGCAATAGTTTCTGTGGAGAGAGTCAAATAGTATTTTAGCAATGAAACTGAAAATATTGACAAGGTTCAAATACTCCCAAAGGTTGAATTGGAAATCTGGAAGGATGTTAAAGAATTTACTGATTACAGAATAGAAAATGCTGTTACATTTAAGAACATCTTTCTGACTTATGAGAATGTTTCCGCTGAGGCTAAATTCGCATTAAAAAACTTCTCCTTAACAATCAAGAAAGGGTAGAAAATAGCCTTTGTTGGAAGAACAGGATCTGGAAAAACTTCGATCTTAAATATCTTATTTGGACTCTACCATCATTAATATGGATAGATCTTTATAAATGGAATGGATGTAATAGTTTCTATTTATCAATTAGTCTTCAAAATTGACTTTGAGAGAATTGAGATCTTAATTATCTGTGGTACCTCAATTTGGATTCCTATATAATGCAAGTGTCAAAGAAAATTTAGATCCTTAAAATAAAACCACCAAAGAAGCCATTGAGAAGTTGTTTGTTGACACAGGATTTTAATTAAGAGGCATTAATAATACAAATAACAATTCTTGCAACGCAGATTTTGTTATATCTTAAAATGGATCTAATCTATCGAATGGAGAGAAATAAGTACTGAACTTTTTAAGAATTGTTCTTATGAACAAAGAGATTATTTGTTTAGACGAGGCCACTTCAAACATGGATCCTAAAACAGATTAAGTATCATATTATTATTAACAATTTCTAGTTGCTACATGATTTGCTCTTTAAGTTTGCTGAAAATAGAACTTTATTAGTGATTACTCATAGATTAGAAAACATTAAAATCTATGACAAAATAGTTGTTATGGAGTAAGGAGAAATAGTTGAAGAAGGAGAGTATTAAGAACTGATCAAAATTGAAGGAGGATTTTTCAATAAATTGATGAGCCATCACTAGAAATAATAACAAGATTGATATTTTATAATTTAAATTAATCTGCTACATAATAATTTAAGTTTAATAGATTTTCATGTAATCAGAGGACAATGAAGCTTAATTAATTTCATCAAGTTAGTATTACACTAATAATTCGAACTAACAGATCAATAATTCGAATTAACTTGAAACTCCTCTAGTTGAAGAAAACATTTGCCAATGGAATCAAAACATGCCCTATAATATAGCTGTAAATCATCATTATTATAAATTAGGATATTCCCAACCCTTCATTAGACAATATTCTAAAGGTTTTAAAGTACTCTTACTCGAAGAAGTGGAGCTATATAGGTTTAGGGCACAACAATATTATATTACTTAACCTTTTTTAAGATATTTCTTAAACTAACAATAAAAATAACCATGATTTTATAAGCACCCATCAGAATATAGGTAACAATAGTTAAATTAAATAGATAATCAAAATCCTCTACCTCATATCTTAAAATTAGCAGAAAAGGCAATATAAGCGTGCTTATCTCAAAACAACATTTAAAAAACATCATCTATAATAATTTAAGGAATTAGTGGATCAGGTAAAACTTAAGCTTGTTATAATATCCTAAAATACATTACAATAAAGTCTAATAGTGAATTATTAAAATATAATACTCCAAGCATAGAAAAAAGTATTTTATCTACTAGAGTCATACTTGATGCTTTCGGAAATGCAAAGACAATAAATAATCCTGACTCATCCAGATATGGTTTCAATTTATAAATTCACTTTGACAATTAAAAGAAAATCAGAGGTGCAAAAGTTATTACAATCCTGTTTTAAGGAAGTCGAGTCATATAAAAACGAAAAATGGAAAGAAATTTTCATATATTCTATCAATTATATATTGCTTATAAGAGAATTTAAGACTTAAGTAAATTAATTATATATTTCTAGAAAGTTTTGCGTAATAGAATAAGGACTATTTTCCAGATATAGTTAAGATAGTTGAGGAGATCGAAAAATTGCAACTTAATTCTGACTTTGCCATTTTAGAATCTCATAGGGATTCCGACTCAGATTAGCAAATTGAGAAGGACTTTGAAAATTTTAAGAAACTTCTCTTAGCTTTTAGGGATCTCAATTTCAGTTTATAACACATTCTAGATATAATCTAATGTGTTGCTGGCCTTATTCATTTATATGAATATAATTTTACTTAGGCGTAAGAATTGTTGAAAATTCAAGTTCTTGAAACCACTATTAATTAAAAAATCCAAGACTCTATTTAAAGCAAAAAGCTTTAATTAGAGTCTATCGTCAGTAATATAATTGTTGATTTCTATTTTAATCTATTTTAGTGGATTCAAAATAAAATAAATTAAAATCTCTCTTCAGGATTCGATTAAAATCAATAATATACATTAAATATTTTTGATAGTTTTGGATTAGATATTGTAGAAAATGAATTAGGAATGTAAGAAAATAAGCTGGAATAGTTAATGTAAAATTATGTCTATGAAAAATTGTTAAACACTTTTTATAATCAGATATAATATAATGCATATAGTAAAAGTTATATATTAATCACTAGATTTATTTCAATCAGAAAACTTGAATCAATAACATGATACTATTAAAAAAAATGATGAAATAATTTCATTATTCGAAAATGTCATATTCTATTGTTTAAGGAATTTCGATAGAAAATAGGGTAAATCAATAAAGGACATGATTAAAGAATAAGCTTAAAATGCTGGAGTTGAAAATGTATTCATAGCTGAACCAAAAATGGGGGAAAATTTAACACAAAGTCAGTGGTCTTGCTATTAGAAATAAAGTGTAATTGGCATCAAACATACAGGAAATGAAATACATTACGAGATTGAGGCTGTAATTAAGAATAATTAAACAGAAAGCGATATTATACAAAAGATTAACACGTTTAGCTAAAACTCAATAATTAAATCATTTATTCTTCAACCTAAAGATCAAAAAATAACAGATGAAACTTAATAAGCCATCAATAGGTTGATTGGATTATTTGGGGTATAGTATACATTTTTTGTCAAATGTTTCTCAACAAATTATGAGTAAGCAATTTCATCTGATAATAATGTCATAAATACTGAATTAATGTAAAGTGGAATAGAATAAAGTGCTTTGTTATTATGTTAGTCCTATTTTGTAAGCATACCTAGATAAGAATTTGTTGCTAGATATGTTAATATATTTCAAACTATTAAAACTGAAGAGTAGTTAAAATATTATATTCATTACTACAATATAGATAAAGAGCTATATTATTTTGGATCAAATAGTGTTTTGATAAAAGAACATTTAAAAAACAGTCTTGCTGATAAATATAATAATGATTTAATGTGTTTACATAATTCGCAAAACTACGATTATTACGTTTAGAAAGTAAAGGAAATCAATGAAGATTAAAATAGAAAATGTCTATAAATTAAGTCAGATATGTAAAAAAGGGATAAAGAAATAGATGAATTAAAATAGAGAGAAAAAAATTTAGAACAATCTAATATACGATTAAAGGCAATATTGTAGAAAAATTTCCAAAATAATGATCGATTAATGAGTGATTTGAAAAAATTGTAAGCAAATTGAAGCATTAGTGAATTTGGATAAATTTATTGATAAAACTATATTATAGTCATTATAAATATGTCGAACATTCTTTTTTATAAATATATTGTTAATGATAATAACAATGGATGGTAATCGAATTTTGGAAGGTATTTGAGAATTTAGAATAATTTGATTTGGCAAGTTATTATAAAAAAATTCATTAAAAAATATCCTAAGAAACCATGCGTTGTGGATTTATTACCAATATCAATTAGATTTAATGATTAATTATATTGCAATGCAATCATTTTACAAGTTAGCATTCCAGACACTTTCAAATTTCCATTCTTTGGGATTAGTTAGTGATGAGGAGAAGTCATACTTGAAAGAAGTGATACTTAATTGGTCTAATCCTTAACTTGATACTTCTTAGGATTAGATGTCAATCTTAGTGCTTTAAAAAATTTAGGCTTTTAGAAACTAAGCCTAGAGAACTTAGCAAACGAAAAAATTCTTGTGTTTGATCGAGGAAGAAACCGATGAAGATGAGAATTTTTGAGTATATTTTACTACTTTCTTTTTTAACATTAAAAACATCAATCATTATATTCATTCGACAGTAACACTATACGAAATTCGAAATAATATTCCCATGAGTGATAAACAATCTATGTTATCTACACTAGATGTATATGGTTTTAATTGAAAACATTCGAAGTTGAATTCTAATCAGAACAGTTTTATAACTTCTTAATAAAATAATAATATATTTGATTGCGTATCAAAAAGAGTATATGGTCTATGGAGAATACTTCTTTGATATTACGACATCAATTTATGGATATTTGAATATGTTATGTTTGATTTTACAACAAAACAGTTTTAATATTAAAAATAATCTTTAGAGAGCATGGACCATTAGAATTGTCAATTTTATTGGAATGGCGAAATATGAGAAAGAACAAGTACGAACTTGAGGTAATTTAAATTGTGATTAAACAAATTATAATTCTTATATCTTTTATAAAAATGTAAAAATATTTTGAATCACACTCTTTTATAAGTTTAGGAATAATAAAAAGAAGGGACAGATTAATATTTATTATTAATGTAAAGTGAGAGAATTAAATAAAAAAAGAAAGTCAAGCATTATGAATTCCTTTATGACGCAAAAATCGGTTCAGGTGCTTATGCCAATGTTTATATGGCCAGAGACACTACTAATGATCAAAGTAATAATTACAATTAATTTACTAGCTGTGGCTATTAAAATTATAAGTAACAATCTTATTAAAAGCGATTACACTTCTTAATAAATAAACTAAGAGGTGGAGATAATGAAATCACTCAATCATTAGAACATAGTGAAATTATTGGATGTATTTCATAGCACAAACAATATTTATATAGTGACAGAGTATTGTAATGGAGGGGACTTGAAGGCCTATTTGATACCCCGTCAACTATCGGAGGAGAGAGCCATGGAAATATTTAAACAAATTTTAAATGGATTATAAGAATTGCTTAGGAATGGCATAGTGCATAGGGACTTGAAACCAGCCAACATTCTCTTATAGGATGGCATATTCAAGATAACTGATTTCGGATTCGCAAAGAGAGTCTAAGTGGATTCTACAATGTCATCATTGGTTGGAACACCACTGTATATGGCCCCTTAGATTTTAAGAAGATTGCCTTACACAAGCAAATCTGACATATGGTCGCTGGGCCTTATATTATATGAAATGATATATAGGACTACTCCATGGCATTCTTCGAATGTTGTTGAATTGCTAAATCGTTTAGACAATGAATCTCTGAAATTTCCACTCTTGCCAAAGATTGACATAAGAACGAAGCAAATTTTGATTGGTTGTTTGGGTAAAGAAGAGAAGGACAGATGGGGTTGGGATTAGCTATTTTAGACAATATTGGGATGTTAACAGTAGAAATCAGATTTAAAGGGTATACCTATAAGTGTAAAGAAAACCCAAATGCAGAAGCAATACTCATAGTAAAATTTGGCAGAGCATTGCAAGACTACTAGCACTTAAGCGTCTCCAATTAGATCAATCAGCACAAATAGATTGAAAACTGGAACAAATGAAAGCAATGTTATGACTGAGCTAATCAAAAAGAAATAGTTTTTGTATAAGATATTTGATTTAATGGAGAGACAACTGGAGAAATTGGAGAGTTTGAAATTAGATTAATGCAAATAATATTTGTAAGGATAGAGATCGAGATTGGTATGTGCTAATATTGAATAAATTTATAATAAGGAAGATGAAAGAGAATTAATTTAATAGTAAAAGATATTATAATAATATTCAATAAATTTTGGTGTATAAATTATGATTTTACTATTTAAAACTTATCGTAAGATTATGATTAGCAATTATCAGAGTGGATCACTGGTTTTTGATAATGCCGATAAACAAGCCATTGAAAATTGTTCAGTGTTAATATAAAATTAATTCAATGTCAAGTGATTATAATTTATTATATAATTAAACGCAACCTAAACCCCAATTAGTCGTATTACATTAAATGCTTGTACGTCTTCATAATGGAAATGGATTATGATGTTTGAAATTCAAATCAATGATATTTAACCATTCTTTCTTATCAACATGACTAAAGCAGTACAATCATCAAATTTTAATGTCAATTTAATCAATTCACTTTAAGAAAATAATATATGAGCTAAGATTCTACTTGCATTAGGGACCAATTAGTATGTATTTGAACACTATGGATTATCAAGAGGAAGAATTTAAACGAAATTATATATTTTACAAGTGTAATATAGAAAAAAAATCATGAGATATTTTGTAGACTATTTATCAAGGATTGAATATGTAAAATTGAGGTATGCCACTTATCTTTGTCATATAAATCAATTGATTATGTGAATAATATAAGTAGATAAGAATATAGATATTTTATAAGTAGTATAATCAATCCATATAGGTTATAATTAAATACATGATATAAATAGTTTGGGGAATTTGTATTTAAATTTAAAAGATGTATAGATTTATCAAGCAGTAACGAGGGATAATGTTCTCTATTAAGCAAAGTTAAATGATAATCCTGCAATCAGAAAAGTTGTTGATAATTTAGGTAAAAATACAGTAATTACCTGTATATTTTTTAAGCTGTCATAACAAGTTATGTATAACTGAGAGTGAAATGATTAAAAGAATTATATAAAAGAGTTAATTTTCATAATTGTTAATTCTGATAATTTAGTTATTAAAATACAGTAATAAAACATTTAATACTAATTAATCCTAAAGTGAAGGAAAATTAAAAAAACAATAAAGTTGAATAAAGAGTTAGATGTGCTAACAGTCTAATTAGTTTTTTGGTTGGAAACGAGAAATTAGAATTACTTTTTGAAAACACTCAATTGCAAAATATTAATTCATAACTTATTGAAAAAATACAATTTGAAAATGAGATATCATGATCTAGAACTAAAAGTATCATATGTCTTTTCATGTTTGTGTTAAGTCTAATATAGTTTACTTGAATAACAATTCGTTTTTTGTTTTAATTATATAAATGAAATCAACATTAGTTGTTCTACTTATAGTTGTGGCCTCTGCATCAACAGTTGCAGATATCACATAGAGATTATCAAATTATGCTGATCATCCCTTTGGATCTTCAATGATCAATTTAGTGAGTGTCAACATGAAGACCGGCGGATCTCTCAATGAACTCAAACAACTGTTATAGCAAATTAAAGATGAATTAATTGCACTTACCTAATTGTAAGACCAAGAGAATGCCACCTTCACCAGAAGATCATAAGTTGATTTAGCCAAACTCTAAGCCACTTTAGAATAAGCACAATCAGATCTTGATAATTAGAGACAAGAATAAGCCAGTCTCACTAATGAATTAACTACACTCTAAATTAGAGTTAAAGAAGATTAGGCTGCACTCGACAGAAATGGCAGAGGCTCCAATGATGCTTAGGCTAGATTAGACTCAGAAAATGCAGATTTCGCTACGAAATTCTAAGATTACAGTGATGCCATATTAGCATGCAAAGAAGCTTAGAGATTGTTACTCAATTTAAGAGGAGAAGGAGCTTCCCTCATTTAATTGACGTAATTAATGTGATTATCAACTTAGACAAGACACTAAATCCAATTTAATTTAAACCAAAGAGAACTTCTAGAAAATCAAGGAGATTCTTGAAGCTCACACCAAGAAGAGTTCTCTCACCTTGTTTTAACCAATCATTGAAGGATTAGCAGAAATGACTACTAAGGTTAATCCTGAAACTTTGAACAATGTTCTTAGTCTTGTTGCAAGATTGATTACTGCATTACAAGAAGGCTAAGATCAATTGGAATCCAATCACAAGACTCAAGTGGATAATCTTAGTAGATTAGGGGATGATTTGAGAAATGAGAAGCAAACCTTATAAGTGTCCTTGGCAACTGCTAATAATAGATTGAAGGAGATCCAATCAAGATTAAATGAATTGGATGGATTAATAAATATTTCAAATGCCATAGTCGAAGTGACTTAACTAAATATTCAAGATGCCACCAGAATCAATGAATTAGAAGATCAAGAATATAGCAATTAAAAAGTTAGCAGGTATAATATTGTAATGAATAACTAGATAAACTGAAATTGACATCGTTGATAGATTGATAGAATATATTAACCAAAAACTATCGGAATGATTTATACATATAATATGCATTATATATTAATTTAAATAGATAATAAAACGAGCATTTGATTAATTTTAATATAAGAATGCTAACACCTATAAATAATAAGAAGGAAATAGAGGTTAATTCTCAGAGGTTGATGTTCTGTCTATTGAACACTTATATGGTTTCAAGAATCTATAATTTATCACTTGAGATACTTAATTTCAAAAGTATCAATGTTTAAACAATCCCCTTTTTAAATTAAACATTAATATAATTCAAAACTCTCAACATGGATAATCTTAAAGAGTAGCAGAAGTGCATTTATAAGAGTAGATGTTGTTATTGTGTTCAAAAGTGATTGTTAATTTTCGATTTTTAGGTAATTTTTAAATAAATTTTCAAATCACTCCATAATTTTGATTTTCTCTATCTTCAATAATGCGTATGATAATTTATGCTTAATGTTATTTTCTGATTTATCCTGCAGCACCTTAAGAATTATTTAATATAAATAAAATTAGATATGCCAACATGGTTTGAATTAATATCTCCTTTTTTAATCGGAGGTATGTCAGGATGTACAGCCACAACCTTCGTCCAACCTATGGATACTGTTAAAGTGCGTATTCAAGTCAGAAGCGAACTCAAAGGACAAGGATAGGCTGTGAATGTCAACACTCTTGAAATTATCAAAGACATCGTCAAAACAGAAGGACCCTTCGGATTTTACAAAGGGTTAGAAATAATATATATTATTAGAATTGGAGCAGCTCTTCTTAGATAAGTCACTTATGCTACCACTCGTTTGGGATTATATAGAGCCATAGATGATCATTATAAAAGAACACATGGTAGAAGCATGATCTTCTGGGAAAGATGTTTAGCATCTTCATTTTCTGGCTTTGTTGGATCCATAGTAGGAAATCCAGCTGATTTATGTTTGGTTAGATTTCAAGCCGACACCCTCTTACCAGAGGCATAAAGAAGAAATTATAAAAACGTGTTTGACGCTCTCTACAGAATCGTTAGTGAGGAGGGACTCATCACTCTCTGGAGAGGATCCTTGCCCACAGTAATCAGAGCCATCGCCATGAACTTAAGTAATCCAACAACTGATTTATTTTTAGGCATGTTAACAACCTACGATCAGATCAAAGACATTATTGTCTCACTTCATGGAAAAGGAAAGGAAGACTACTCAGATAAACTCCTGTAAATTTCTCCCCATATTCTCATAGGTCCTCTGCTGCAGCTGGTATCGGATGTGCCATTGCTTCCTTGCCTCCAGACAATCTCAAAACCAAACTTTAAAGAATGAAAAAAGATCCAACAACAGGACAATTCCCTTACAAAAACATTGGAGATTGCTTCCTCAAAGTATTTATGTCCCATTTACAAACTCTAGACTATTTCAAGAGAAGGCGTGACAGGATTATGGGTTGGGTTGCCAGTCTTCTACACCAGAGTGGGACCTCATGCCATGATTACACTTTTGGTCCAAGATACATTAACTTAAATGTGGAATCCTCCAAAGCCAAAAAATTGATATTCATCTAGCATATATTCAATTAGATCATTATTCTTAAATAAAATATTTATAAATAAAAATCATTGACTTTCTTTAACTATTTCCTCCTCTTCCATTATCGCATCCAACTCTTTAACTTAGAGTTTTTTCAGTTTGTTCATTACATATAACCAAGATGAGAATATCACTATAAATACAACAATCGCCAAAGACAACATTATCAAAAGTAAATTTGCCTAATTTATATTTTATCATCTCTTACTTATCCTGCTCTATTATAAATATCTGCTTTAAAACTAACCCATTTTCCAAAGTCATTCGAAGCATTGAAGGTAATGTTTTGAGTTTGAAATTCCTTGAAATTTACTTTAATAGCCAAATATCTCGATAAAGTCAAAGAACTCAAGACAGGCCCATCTTACAAGATGATACCATATGAAAACTCATCGTTCCTCTTCTTAAAATGCAAAAAATCAAACAGTCTTAACAATCATTATAATATTTACATTTAATTATTTGAACATATCTTATATCCTCCAAGAATCTTACGAAGTTTTTCTTAGCTTTTACTAAACCTATCATACACAATCAATAGCTTCTATTTTTCATCTAAAGGATTTTGGTAAATCAAACCGAAGAATCCCTGAGTCTCTTCTGAGACTCGAATCTTTCCGTTAGCGTAGAAATATCCATATTACATGTAAGCCCTTACGAATTTGAATTTAATTGAATTGTCTGGATATCCAATTGAAATCTCTAATTCGTAATGATGAAAATTTTGATTAGCCACTATGATTCTGTAATATTGTAATTCATCCTTCTGTGCTGTCTCCGCTACTATCAAAGATTACGGTACTATGTTGGATGGTAAGTCTGTAAATCCTTATTCAGATAAGAAGAATATCAAATCTAGAGTATAAGCAAAATCTTGAGGATAGGTATAAATGATAAATTCTATTGTAATTTGTATGCTTTACATGATGAATTTGTGAGCAAAAATAGTAGGTAAGTCTCTTCATTATAGGCTACATCAAAACTTATAAAAACTTGGCCTTTGTCAGCAGTGAATTCTCTAGCATTTAATCTGTTCATCACTCTCAAAGAATCCGCCTAATTTTCATCAATTGTTAGATTAAACAAGTAGACGTATTCTGTCACTACATCTAAAATAAACAATATTTCATTTAACATTCTTATATGAGTGATTTGGTTAATTACTAAAGGGGAATAGAAAGGACCCATAGGGACAGGTAACGAACTTAGAAATGATGTAATATAAAATTAAGCTTATGATTTTGTATTACACACAGATACGACTAACTTGGTTTTGTTTTCCCAAGTATTGGCAGTTATGGAAGTACACTTTGTTGAGTATTCAGACACAGGTAATGGAATGTAAAATTTGACCATTCCAAAATTATCAATTGCAATTATGCTCTACTCCTATTAGATAAGCACGTAATCAACAGTATGTTTAATTTAAGTCGCATTTGGGATTTATGTTAAATATTGGTTATAGTTGATGTTATTGATGAGTTCTAATTCTTTTTAGCAAGAAAAACACTTGATTGACCATTCACTTACACTTCCATCAATGAAGTCATTATATCCATCTAATTTGATGAAGTCTGAAATCGAATCATCATAAATTATGCTTTATGTTTCATTGATTAGTAGTGAAAGATTATATTGCTTCTCTGCAGTTTTCACATTGACATTTATATCCATTAATTTTGCATAACTTTTAAACCCTTAAAACACAACCTTAATTATTTTTGACTAAGATGATTTGAACTATAAATTAACTTAACTGTATAATTTTTGGGCCTCGAACAACTGTATTAAAAATACTTCGTCATCTTATTTTTATATTAAGCTAAAATCTAAATTATTATTTTTAATAAAGTATGTATGAAAAGATGAAATTTCAGGTTCATCCACTTTGTAAACTATTATAACATCAGTGTAATTAGCATCTTTTGCTTGCAAATACAAATAATTTTGAGAAAAAGCCACTTATGAATTTGTTATATTTGTGATCGTAAAATTGAAATTAGGCAATGTTTTTTCAGTGTAATAGAAATTTTATTAGACTAGATTGATAATCGTTATCTATTTATACTATAATGTGATGATACGATCTCTAATCACTTATAGTACTGTGTCAAATTATTAATTAAATTAAACGAATGCAATTAACTGAACTTGTTGGAACCTCAACAAGCCTGGATCTATGATGATTAGACCTAAATTAGTTGAAATGTAGATGTTGTAAATGTTGATATTAGTTTTAACATTAAATATATTGATTGTCCTTGTTGTATTTATAAGTTCCTCTAATTAAAGAGAATCAATCTCGAAAACCTTTTCGAAATTGCAAGTCATTGTTTATCTATAAGTTGGCAAGAATATCTATTTAATATGAATTCATACTTGAATCTTATTGTTTTCTAATTCTACTAAATACTTTTCTAAATGCAATTTAATTGTCTGGATATTGTATTGTGATTCAATGAAACAATTGGTAAATATAAACTTATTATTATACTCAATGTAAAGATCTGCTCTTTTTTGCTGTCTGATAACGAAGCATTCAGTTGAACACTACAATCCGCTGACAATTTACAAGACTGAATCTAACAGTTTGAAGTTTTATTTATAAACGCAATTGATGTCCTTCTCACTTCCAGGGATAACGCAATTAAATATTTGGAGAGTTAAGTCTCTCCATTAGATTATTTGAATGTATTGATCTCCAATCACAGACTTAAATGCACGATTGTAGATAATAGAAGTGATTTCCATTGTTTGGGCATATGAAATTGTAAATTGCTCTTTGAATTTGATTTTCTCAAAATCATTTTCATTTGAATTCTCTAATGATGTATTGTATAAATAATAGTTGACGTTGGGACCGATCACAAAATTATTCAAATAAAAATTATTAATACTCTGATTTAGGACTATTAGTGAGTGTTCCAATTCTGATTTGTCATAAATATCTTGGCTGCCTTCCTCCAGTTTGATAACATGGAATATGAAATTGCAGATGGTATCCAACTCCATAGAAGGAACCTATGCTTTGATTTCAATGGTTTCATCAAAGCATTGACCATCATCAATAGTGAGATATGAGACTTATGGGGTGATAATGAAGATGGACTTATTGTTAATTGCATAGGCATTATCTAAATTAATAATTTCATCATACTGTTTAGACTATCAAAATAGAATAACTCTTTGGAGGAAGCGATTTCAATAGTCTTATACAAATTGGATGTGAAGTCGTCCATTTGACTGTAAATTTCAATGAAATACCTCCTAGTGTTGTTATTTTTGTGTCCAATAATGAAACTGTATTTATCGTTGTGGAATATTTATGAAAAGGTCATATTTTTTGATAACTTGTAAATCTGATTGATTTTGTAGGTATCGTCATCCAACAAATACGCTTTAAAGATATCAGAAGTTGTAGTAGATCCCAAAAGTATATTGTGAAATCCATTTTATTGGATGTAGACACTGAAGACATTGAAGACGTCATTAAACTTCCAACAATAATTGTATGGTTGATTCCTAATATAACAGACTCCCAGTTCTTTTGATAAAACGTAGATGGCTGAATTGTAAATCAAGAAATTGTATATGTTCAACGATTACAACTTGAAAATTAATTTGTCTATTATGGTGAAGGTGGTAAGTTCTTTGGATGTAACATTTATACTATACATGTCAATTCTACTGTTGTTGATGAAATTGACCATCTTATAGTAAGTCACGACGTCCTCGTTGTTGTAATTGGTCATTCCTGCCCTATTTATTATGATATCAATTACTAGATAGGGCCCAATTGATTAGTTTATAGAAAAAAGATTTAAGTTTACTGCAATAGTGCATCGATCAAATAGATGGTTGATTGCTCTTTGGTTTTATGGTTGCATTCGATCAACCCCAAATTTAATCTCATGCATAACACATTGGTGCACTCACTGTTCTACACACATAATCAATTGAAATACTCGATCGATTTTAAAGTTGGTTTTATAGGTGGGTTTCTACAGAGTGTCAGTGATATTGTAAAATGCTATAGTCACTTAGTAATCTCTAACATACATATGCACTGTTTATCCAAACTCTATAATAATAATAAATGTCTTGTATATTACAAACTCCACTTTTAGGATCATAGCACAAACTATATTCGGAGTAATCCGATAATTATATATTGGCTATGGTTATGTTTTTCTAGTTCAATTTGTTCTCCAGACAATCATTAGAGGATGAATACTGAAGTTGCTTACCGTATATGTAATTTTACAAATCCAATTTTAATGTCTCTCCAGGAGATAAATATATGGTCTAATCCTTATACTTCTAATAGCATTAGCCCTAAATATGGTGGAAAAGCAAGTAGATAATCAAATACATAAAGGTTGCTTACAGAGAACCTTTTTATAATTTAATATTATAATTGCAATCATAATAGTTGAAGATATCCTTGTACGATACAATTATAAAATTAATAAAAAAATTCAATCACTCCACTTTTATAGATTTAATATATGCAACCAAGTTCATTAAGATTTCTTTTGTTTACATTTTTTTTTTATTATTATCATTTAATTTAATCAATTCATTGTAAACCTTATTGAAATTCTAATTCCCATAAACATCCAATAATTAAGCCTTTAATTGTTCTCTACTATCATAAATTAGTTTAGCCTATTTCTTGATTAATCTAGGCCAATTCAGTTCGTATTTCTTACCGTTGTTACTTACCTTAATTGGCTATTGTCTGGCAATGATGTGATCCAGATTCTCCTCGGGATCTTCCCTATTCCAAACTAGCCCATGTTTTTCTTTCATATGCTTTTTGAATTTAGGATCCCCCACCAATTCCCTCATCTCAGTAACCCTATATCCAACCTTCAAGTTATATAAATCCATTTTCAATGTTTTGAGCAATAATGGGAATGGTTTTCTCCTATGCACTAAATCAGTGATGAATGTCTTGAATAAGGGATTCATACTTCTTTCGGTTACTCCATATGTTCGTTTCTCCAACGATTGCTCCTCCACATCATATCCCTTCTCCATTATGTTCACTTTCCTTTTCTCCAATTTGAATTTGGTTCGATACAAAAATGTTCCTATTCGAAGGATATTTGAACCATACTTTGTGTACTCCAAATCTTCTATTAGGATATTCTATAACAATTATTGGATTTCTTTCCCACAAATATTCCAAATTTATTATAAGAAATTGTTAAACTCAGGATTATCAAATACATTTAAAAACTATTAAGTGTTTATATGGGTAGTCTAATGCAGGTATTCAATATAGGATACTAATGCTCCAGCAAGTTTGATATTAAGAAAAATGGGGTATTCTTTCTCACATAATTAATACAACCTGTCATACCCACTAGCTCCTTTGGTAAATATGCTATCATCTATTTTCAAGTGATCCAAACATGGTTTCAAACGAGGAAGGGCAAAAAACCTTAAAATTTCCTTAACTTGTGCTTTGATTGCAATGGATTTCTTTTTTTTCTGAGATTCTTTAAAGCATAAAAATAAAAGGAGTTCTGGAACAACGATTTCTTATTCTTTCAGTAACATCAGCACAACTTTAAGTACAAATTAAGGGAATTTCTCAGATTTCACCTAATCCAAACTTGCCCTTTTGTTTTTTAATTTTTCCTGGAATTCCTAGAAATTCTTTACGATTTAAATAATAACTTCTTTAGATTCTGAGAAATCGATTTTATTGAATTGATTGGATATCTTATCAAAGACTTCGAATTACTTCTGATTCAATTAACTTGCAAGTTCAAATTTCTTATTTAAAAGTTTAATACTTTACAAGATGATTTCTTCATCATTAGTTTCAATCAAACTATTATACAGTTTTTAGTAGAGATCAGATTGAGAATCAAAATTGGCTTTTTGCAACATTGTATGTAAAATTACTAAGAAATCCTCTTTATATACAATTTCAAATGAAGTTGATGAGATCTTGAGAAATACGAATATAGCAGGCACTGGCCTTTGAAGGTACAATAATTAAATGAGATTTTTCCTAATATTCTATTTTAAGGTGTCCTCAAAATTCCTTAATCCATTTTTAACATTCCTTAGAATTTCCTCAGTATTATAAATAGGTTCAAATGACATTCTATAGACTTCATTTAACCATTGTATATAATTAGGATCAAAGTTTGCGTAAAAGCGTTTTAATTATTAAAAGTCTTATTGATAGGACACCAACATCTAATCTTTTACACTATCAATTTCTAAAAGCGAATGAAATTATGCTAATTTTTGATGTTGTTTAGCTTCACATTTTTTCATTTTTATTATGATTGCTAAAAATTAGATAGACTTTCTTCAATTAATGGTACAAAAATTTGAATCCTATTATTATTAATATGTTATTATTGTAAAATATTATTTTTATTATATATGTTATGTAATAGATCATGCTAAGAGTCCCTTTCCATCTTACTATAACCAACTTGGGAAGGAGGCTCTTTGTTTCTTAACTTTAGTGCTTGTCTTCAAAGCAACCTATTGAGTGAGTTCTGATTTCAATTGGGCAATCAAAGATGAATCAAATTTGCTGAGGTCTCTATTATTATTGATTGCTTCAAGAGCATAGAATCTTTAGAAATCAAAATTTTTTCACTAAAATCTTAATGTAATAGTATTACCCCTCTCTAACGATTGCTCCTGGATAGAGATCAATAAATCTGTTGACATTGACTTCAAATTGTCTTCTGCCTTCCTCAGTGGCTATAGAAATTGATTAATATTGAATAAGTACTTAATTAAGCCTTGAATGGTTTAGGAATGTTAGCCAATTATTCTTTTGAGTATTCCAATCCCTTGTACATGACTTCATTATAGAAGTATCTATCCCATGAATCAACTCTCAAAAGACCGAAAAAGAGGAACCATTCCAATGGTAATAACTTCTACAATATAGTTCCTCTTGCAGTTGGATGTCATGTCACTCATGTAATTTTGATATACGTAATTGTCCCATTCATAAATATTTTCAACACTATCAGCCAATGTACGTTCTCTTGCTTCAGCTTATAACCATTCAGGTGCAGTGGATCCTCTTACACCTCTTTCTACTTTTGAAAATCTTGCTCTTCTCTTATTGAACAAAATCCAAGTGTATGGATGGAATCCCTCTCTCTAAATGTGTTCAAATAAGGGGTCTCTTCTCAATTCTCTATCTTAGAATAACACTAAGTCTTCCATGGCCACTCCTCGATCTAATCCGATATTTCTCATCCATCGGTACAAGAATCTATTGGTTGTATTCCAAATCCCTTTACCTTGCAAACAGAGGCTCAACGAATTTGTAGATTAATCCAGTCCATCCTGATGTGAATAATTTGACTGCTTAAAGAGTCATTGCTGGAGTACGAGGTTCAGAGTACCATTTTCTTGGTGATCCTATAATTCTCTCTCTTTTCAAAGCACGGATATTGACTAATTGTTCATAGACAAGTTTCTCAAGTCGAACCATTGATGCAAATTAAATCTTTTATATATATATTTATTAATTAATGGATAAAGAGACACTTAATACAATTCAGAATTCCGACTATTAAAGGAAATTCAAATCCAGTTACCTCACATTTGAACTCACTCTCACAATAGTTAAATTGACAATAATTTTAATTATTATATTTCATTAATTTAATTTTCGCAAAACCCAATGTTTTTGCCTATCCTGTATTCTTTTGAGGATCATTATTAAATATTTAGTTGGCAACATCCTTTATTATTTTTAGTTTTTATTTTGGAGCTTAACAAAACCCAATTTATAATCTAATTTATTCATTATTTTATTGAGATCTTCGAAGCCATATGAAAATGATTTGATCCTCCTCTTCTATCTCAACACATGCAATTAGAAGATCTTTAAACTCTATCTCAATAAATTATTTTGAAATCTATTCATCAATTCAAAAATGACAGGAGATCTGTGTCTTTTAGATTACAATTATTAAAATGAACTTCTCAATTGTCTTATCCACACCCTCTTTAAACAATTTTACAAATGCAAATTGTTTTTCACTCTATTCAAATTTTGTCCATATTCAAATAATTTCCCATTTATAATCTTAACCAAATGTTAGGCTGCCTCTCTCTTTGCGATTTGCTACTTCAATGCAATTAAATATTCATTCAATTTATTTTTGTATATTTTCCTTATTTTTGAACCAAAATGATCAAAAAATATGAGCAGCTGTGTTTGTTGTGACCAATACTTCAAGTATACTTAAAGTAACAATTATTCCTACTTTGTTTTGTTAACAATAATCTTACGCAATTATTCGTGTTTCGCATATTCCAGTCTTTTGTTCACAGAGCTCAAGCTTCTTTGCAGTATAAAAAATTTGATTTCTTAGAATGAGATTATCATCTTCTTCTTCCTTATGTTCTGAATCACCATAAACAACAATATCGGTGCATTCGTAGGCTGAATACTCTCGCAATCCACTATGCTCTCTTATTTGATTCTCAGATTGGCAAAGGAAATCTTGAATCCTTCTCCAATGTCACTGTTCTCACTTACGCCCATCGAACAAACCTCGTCGAAAATATTCCTCTCACAAACAACTGACTCCTTAATCCTTATCAAATCCCTAAGATGTCTCAGTATTGGTTTTTGCAAGGCTTCCAATAATAATTTTGCTGCAGCATCCTAATGACTAGTATTTGGATTGAAATTCTCCTTGTTCTTTCTAAGCATCTTGCTCTATAAAAATTTATGAGATAGATCCTTAATCTATTTGTTAGCCTTGCTGAAATCAATAGTTCGAATATTTTACAATTTCATTTTTATATTTAAATTATATAACGTTAAACATCTATAAATTAACTAAAATCATTTCGCATCTTTTCTACCATCCTTAATTCAAAATATGATTGATAGCTCTAAATAACAAATTATTATCTATCAAGCCAATTTTATTGGATAAAAAGATTATTTTATATTCATATGAGTAAGTTTTCATAAAATCACTTAATATTTTGTAGAATGAGGATTATCAATTAATCATTATGTAAAATGTAGCTTACCGAGAAATTTGAGGCTTAAAAGTATTCATCAATTATATTGACAGCCAAAATTACCATTTGATTTTAAAAAATTAGGATTAAAATTGCTGTAATTATGGATAATTAATTATTCCCGTTATTGCTGACACTCAATTTCTTCTTAAAATAGATATTTTTATTAGATTCTAATTAATCATAATTCATTTTTGTATAAAATTCTAAAATATTGAATTCTCTGAATATTAAGCTTATTGTAATAATTCATACTAGTTCATTAATTCTATATCAAATATGACTATTTATATTGATAAAAATAGTATTTGATTTTATTAGCTAATCTAGTTATAATATATAGAACTGCTCATCAACTTTGAAAGTTTCTGATTTAAAACATATTTTCCTAACGAAATTAGTAATCGAAGTATTATTATTATTCATCAAGAGGCCTTAATAAAACTGATTTGGAACTGATTAAAGAATTAAATGAAAAATAATAATAATTGTGACCCTTTAGGATGATATTTTAGAAGCCTTTTATTAAGGTTTAAGAATACAACCATATATATTTAGACTAAAACAATTTATCAATATTATCTGATAAAACATAACATAACTCCTTTGAATGGCTAAATAATAATTTCTTGAAATTTCTATTAATTTCTTTATGAAACGATGATACATTAAATATTACCGAAGTGTTTTTATTAATTTTTCAAGCATATCTTATAAATTAGATCATTAAATCTTAATAATCTTTTATTTATATTATATTATAGCAAGCCAATTTGTGTCTTTATTCAATTTTGAGTTTAAAATTGATTGAACATCTATTCTTGAGAGTTATTACTAAATGAAATTAGGAATTTTATTTTGAATACTTTTTGATTTTCTCAAAGAGGAAGTAAGTATAAAATAAAATTTGAAATTAATTTTGATTGTGTTATAAGAAGTACACAAGATTATAATAATTACGAAGAATTCCTTTAATTATATTTTAATCAATTTTTTTAAAGCATATATAATTGTTCAATCTTATTTAAATATTGCAAGTGCTTCATTTAGATTTGTTCAACATCACTATCATATTTCTTCAAACTAATCTTTGAATGGTCAGCTGAATAACTGAAATATTTGTAGATTAATACATTTTCTTCGTTTATATTTATTATTTCTGTTAATTAAAATTTAAAGTTCTATCTACAATTTTATTTTTTAGTGGAGGTAACTTATAAAAATAAGAATTTTTGATAGGTGATTTGGAGTTTAGATTAATAATTTTTTAAAGACTTTTATTGTTTGATTAATCTTATTACTTAATAGTCATCAAAAGAATACCAGAATTTAGCTATTTTATTTAATATCAGGAGATTAGTTAATTCCATATTTTGAGATGTATGACATTTTTCCTTTAAATCGATCCTGAAAGCTTATCATGAAATATTTTATATTAATTAATAATTTTAATCAGAAGCATTTATAATCAGTAGTTTTTTATGATGTATAAGGACATGGTGTCCCTAATTCAATTGACAATTTATATTGAACATTAATTTTATGAACACTCTTTCCAGGACTATAACTGAAATAATAATTGATTATATTAGTTGTTAAGTTACTGGTGGAGTATGATGAGCTATTTTAGTTGTTTTGGTAGCTATAGTGGTATAGGTGATTTATTATACTGATCAATTTAATAGCATCAGTTGCTTTGGCAATAATTTCATCAAATTAGACAATAATTGAAGTCCTTTTTAACAAAAACTAAGTCCATGTCATTCTGTCAGTCCAAATCTATTCAATGAAAATATCTGTAAATCTACTATCTAAATTAATACTTCAAGCAGTTATGATAGAAGTGGGTTGATCTCTTAGCAAAGATGTCTTTAAAGCTCCAAACTATTTAGCAGCATAAGAATAAACTTGCATAAATCCATCTGAATAGGTAGCTAAATTATATCCTACTTTATGTAGTTACCTATAATCTTTTAATTCTCTTCTGGAATATGGACTATTTGCAAAATTAAGAAAATAATAATTAGTTTGATAATAGCCTGGCGAAAACTTAACAAATCTAAAAAGAGCTATTTACCAATCAATACTTTATAAATTAAAATGTGTCTAGCCAATATTGCTGCTAACTTTGATTTCAAAATTAGCTGCACTTTGCCTTGCTTTAGCCGATACAAAAGGAAAGTGTAGATGTAATGTTACTTTTTAAAAATACTGAACCCTCTGTAGTTTTATTGCAAAGAACAGAAGCAAATTTGCATTAACCATCACCTTTAGCCACATAAACATTATTGGATTGTAAATTAAACTGCTCAAATGCTTCATATATCAATGATAAGGCTCCAGTTTATAACCCTCTTCCTAAAGGCTTTGAACTACAAGCTAATTCATTTACTCTCAATCATTCACTATACTAAGTTATGCACAAGCTTATTCTGCAATACAACCTAAACTTACTACTAATCATTTATTAATGAAAATTATATCATGTCATTTAACTATTAATATAAGACAAATGTAATATTTAAATTCTTGATGTTGTAATTATTATTATTATTCTCATTTTTATTAATTTTCTTCATTTCTCTATTTGTCAGACTCATTAAGATTGAATTTTAAGCAATACGCGTTAATAATTAATTCAAAATGTAAAAATAATAACATCTACATCATTATTCCACGTAAAAAGTGAATGTGCTATTTGTGAGAGGAGAGGGAAAACTAAATTCACATTCTCTCTCAGTTGAATCGCATGCTGCAGAGTTGATGGTATATGTCATAACTTAGTGAGGAATCTATATTTTATCAGTTATAAACTTCAATTTCCTCACTACATTTGTCAATGTACCACTCTCTTATATATAGGATATCTTCATATTTTCAATATCTGTATATGCCATGGCATCCTCCCCTAGTATATTTACATAAATAACATCGCTCAAGGCAGTTGTTATACCAAACATTTTTGGAGAATACGATATTAATTAAATCAATCCATTCTTCTTATATTTAGACCAACTGATTGTTATCGTATGACCTTGTCCTTTTAAAGTCATAAACAGCCTTGAAAAAGAGCATTATAGGAAATTTAGAAAATAATTGTAAGATTAATAGTTCTTCTTATGGATCTGCAATCTCTTGAGATAGACATCCACTATACTCCAAAATTTCATCATCGTAGCCTGTTTATCTCCAGATGAAAGTGAAGTTGTATCATCTCTTAAATTTTGCAATGTCTGAACCAGGGCCTTCTCAATTTAATAGGGACAATGAATGTAAGGCTTTACTAATTCTCCCTCATATGTCTTATACAAATCTAAAATTAGTTATAAATCTGGGTTTTTAGCTATCTATATATTTACACTTAACACTTAGTATATGTAATTCTACTAAGGTGCTGATATTTTCAATTAGGCAACTGTTAAGCCTGATAACGAATGAGTAGAGAATCCAGTTGTTATTATAGGATATCTTACGTAATTGTAATCGACGATATTTGTTATGCCGCAAACATTTTTGTATTCATTTTCCAATTTGCTCAAAGGTTCGCATAAACTCGATCCCCCTACTGAGGAATAGATCCCATTATCTCGACATGCTCCAATCTCGTTAATTCTATAGCAATCCTGATTCTAAGTATAGTCTAAACATTTCGTTCCATCCCAAATACAATACCCGGGTTCTTCACATAAAAACTCTGATAAAAAAGTGAGGCAGCTAAGCGTTCCTGGAGCATTTGATTTTGTTATCCCTATTATTATAAAAAGTAAAATCATTTTATAATCGTTCAATAATATATATAATAAATTGTATAATTAAGAAATTATTTATACACATTTGAACATTTATGTATTAATTTAAGAATTATAATAATTAAATTGAATATAATTAATATTTACTATTTTTTATGAACTATCTATTTTATTATTTATTCTTCTTTTTAAAATTATGAGAATTGATTGAGGAAAATAATATATCTTCATGTTAATTTTATAAGGGTAATGAAATATTTATTTCATATATTATAAGTGGCCATATACACATGAGCATTCTTTATAATATGATAATAATTAAAAATTTTATTTTATTAATTTATTCAAAATAAATATATGAAAGCTATTTAAATAGAAAACCATATGCCTATAAATTAACAAGAAGCAAAATAGATTGTATAGATCCTATAAAATACAAACCCAGAAACCTAGTTAAATTTATTTAAACTTGAAATTTCCATCATTTAATTAATTCTATTTCTCATTTGTATAAGTTTATGTGTAAATAATCAAATAAATCTGGCAACTTTTTATTTCTTATTTTATATAAACTTAATCATGATCATTATTAACAAATATTATGTTTTTAAGCTGATTCCTCAAACAACTTTAATTATAATTGTGTGTTATGTTATAGATAATAATTTAAAACATATATATAGTTAAACTTGTTACTAGAATGAGAAAAAAGAGATATATTAGGATGAGGGAAGTCTAAGCCTTAATCTATATATGATATTCTGCTTATGTTATGTCAATTGGCATAGGAATTTTTTAAATGCATTATATAAAAAAATAAATTTAACATTAAAATAAAGTTCTGTTAGAAGAAATAAAAATAAATAATTTTAAGTGATTTACATGTCATACTACAAACCCTTTTACCAAAGTGCCTATGACCGCACAGCTCCAGTTTATCCACCAAGTTAATATGGTCCAGCATACTACGGTCCTTACGATCGTCCATACTCATATCAATCAAGAGCTCCAACGAGAGGCGAATAATGGTCTGAATATATCCCTGTGGAGTAGAGATACACAGATTATGTGCCAGAAACAAAGGTTGAATATAGACCAGTCGAGAAATCATACACAGATTACATCGAAGGTTTAAAATATAAATTAAGGATGTTTAGTTAAACATGAGACAGATTACGTACCAGTTCCAAGATTGGAAAAAAGAGTGGAATATATTCCAGTAGACCGCTACGATGAACATGTGGATTATGTTCCCGTATAGAATAGCCATGTAGTGAAAGGACCATAAAGCAGAGCTGGCTATGGATATTAATCATAATATTTACCACCACCACCACCTGCTCCTACATCATATTCAAATTATAGATACAGTCCAAGTAGAGTGAGTGGATATCGTCCAGGAGCAACGGGCTACGGCTACAGATACCTTTGATTAATATATTAATTTAGTAATCCGTTTTCGTTAATTTTTTAATAATGTACAAATTCATCGCTTTGGCCTTGATTGTTTCATGTGCAATGGGTGTTCAGAAGGATACAAAGACAGTGTTGGCAGAGATTGATGCTGACAACTTCGGAAACACAATTCTATCAACAGTTCAAATGTATTTACAAGCAAAAGGAAATGCAGAAGAGATATTGGTTTTATTGAATTAAGTTTTGGCTGGTTTGGTTGATGATTAATACAAACATGATAATGTTATCAGAGTTGATAGATCTGCTTGCACTCGTATAGTCACAGATTTAGAAAACTCAATTGCCTATCACACAGCCTAAGTAGCTGCTAATGCTCAAATGAGAGAAGACAACGAAAAGGCATTGGCAGAAGCTGAAACTGACGTAAGATAAACAATCCAAGTAAATATATGCATATAAAGTAATCAATTAGGATATCGAAAGTAATGAAAGAACATTCGCTTAAGAAGAAGCCAACAGAAACAAGGCTCACGAAACATGGGTTAGAAAGAATGGAGAGCATGATGATGCTATTGCTGCTGTTGATGAAGCAACCAAATTAGTGTAACATCTTTCTCTTGGTGCTACTTTTGCTGAACTTAAACCAAAATTTGAAGCTGTTTAAAAGAGATTGATTGAAAATGAAAGTCACGGTGCTCTCTTTTTAACCAATTGTCACCGCCCTTGACTGAATTAGCTACTAAAGTCGATCAAAAAGCCCATCTAAAGAATTCTTCAATTGCTTTCATAACTCAGATAACAATTAGTTGAAGCCAGATCAGTCTTAGAAGTAACTATTAAATTTTATATAATATTCTAGGATACTGAAAACAGATAAGCTTAAAGATGGGCTGAATTCTCCACTCACTTGAGCAATGAACACAATAGATTGGTCGATAGAAAGAATCAATTGGAATAATCCATCCAAACTTTCAAGACCAACATTGACACTGCCACTCATTTCTACGAAGTCCATCAAGTAAGTTTTATTATTTATGTCTTAAATAGTTGGAATTAGAATAAGCTTAAGAGACTCTTGATGCTGAACATGAATGGTGTGCTCTCCAAGAATCCACTTATGAAACTTAAACCACCGAAAGATAAAGACAATAAGAAGTTGTTGATAGAATCTTGGAACATTTAACTGAAAAATTAACCGCTACCTCCCAATATCTTGGTGGCAGATTCTGAGATTTTATCATAAATATTAATAAGGGACAACATTATTAATCATTTATATAATTATTATATAATGTACTATATGTGTAAAATATTGTTCATTGACCAATTAAGGCTGATGCTGTCTTTGAGACACTAAACATTTATTAATATTGCTTACTATTTCCAGTTTGATGGCAATTTTTAAGTTCTTCTGTAGTATCTACTCAATCTGTGAATTCTGCTCTCAACCAAAATCAATCTGAATTTGCTTGTAATATCACCTCTATTCTTTTCCAAATGCTTTCTAATTTGCACAGCCTTCTTGATTAAAGCGTATAAGTCCTCTGGAATCTTTGGGGCACAGCCTTTCGGTTATTCTACCTATGAATACCTCTCTTTTTCAGGATTCTGAGGATCTTTTGTCCAGTCAAGAATCTGGTTTATGGGATTCCTTGTTGATCTCTCAAGTAAACACCAATTTGTGATCCATTCAAACCTCAAATTACTATGATTTCGCTACCCTTCTTGGCCAAATTGACGATTTGATCAACAATTGACTTTGATGAAAGAGTCAACCATTTTGGAGCTTTTCTCTTGTATGGAAGGGCCGATCCAGAGATACCCTTTCCCTTTCCCTTGGCTTACATACGTCCCATTAATAATTTAAAGATTTAATTTTATTTTAAATTTTATCCATTAAATGATTAAAATTCACTCATGTTTGTAGAATACCTTTGGCTTCTCAATTGAGTTGCTTTTCTATTTATGAATGCATACATTCCATGATGCCATAATGAGGGTTCGAAATTATTATCATCATCAATGAAGAAGAACTTCTTGTCCAACTCGGGAACGTCGAACTTATTCTCCCAAACAGGTGCACCATCAAGGACCTTTCCAATCTCTCCTTGCACATTTCTCTAATAAATCGATGCTGCTGCTATTCTAATTTGAATTGTGATCAAATTACCTTGATCCCAAAAACACTGCCCCCACAATTCCAGCCTTGAAGTAGATTGCCAACTTCTTAGCGACTGGGATACGATTGACTGCCTCCAAACTCAAATATGTTGAAATCAGAGATGCCTTATTCTAAAAGCTGCCCACTCCATCCACCAATGAGGCCACCTTATTCTGAGTCTCAGCGGGTACAAGAGAGGTGTGAGTCCACCAAGTTTTGTTGCCTTAGGAAAGACTGATGTACATTAATTTATTAAATAAAATCTTCTTGCCTTATGATTGTTATTCATTTATTATCTCTTTATTAATATGCAATTTCAATTGCTCTAAAATCAAATGTTACACCAGTTTTGAACATATCAATCATCACTTATGCATAAAATATTAATAATATCTTTAATGGATCCTTCGAGTCTCCTATCCAAAGCTCAGAATCCAGTGGTTGTAGATTCCGAAATAGAAGGCACAACCAAAATCACCTATATAGAACCAATTAGATTACAAAAGCGGAGAGTAGTACTCGGAGTGCTCCTCTCTGTCATCACAAGCTTCTTGTTCACACTAGCTTGCAGTTGGTCAAAGAAACTTGTGAGAAAGTTCTTCTTCAAGGAATCGCAAATGGAGATGGCAACACACATGTGGATCATTAACAATGACAATTCAAATAACATATCCAAGTTAATGAATAAGCAAAACGAAATCTATTTCATCAATCGAAAACTAAACTACATCTATAATACTTCTATGAATGCATTCAAAGCACTCGAGTATGATCTGAAAACCAAAAGAGAATTGCTATAAGCCCCTGGCATACAATGTAAGCCAAAGATTAATCAACTTAGAGCCTATTCTATTCCAAGAGAAGTACGGCAAATGCTTGATTGACATCCCAAAGCCTAATTTGTTTGTGTATTTGCTCAAAGAATTAACAGCCCCATTCTACATCTTACAATACTTGTCCTGTTTTCTCTGGGTTCTAGAAGGTAATTATTGAGTAAATAAAACAGACTTGGCAATATTGTCGATAATAATGATATCTGTTTCATTAATATTCACAACAATCAACTTTTTGCTTCTTCAGAATTCAGCCAAAAAATTGAGAAACATGGCTAAGAGTTTAGCTTAGGTCTAAGTCTACAGAGGATTGTAACCCTGCAATTAACAAGCAATTCAATTTAGAAAGATTGATAGCAAAGATTTAGTGCCAGGAGATGTGATTGCAATTGAGAACAAAATGACTTTGCCTTGTGATTGCGTTCTAGTTTCTGGAGATCTACTGATGAATGAAGCCTCGTTGACAGGGGAATCAATTCCTATTCCCAAAATTCCAGTCGAAGATTTGGATCAGCCAGTTTCATTCATGACTGATAAAAGACATTGTTTATACGAAGGCACAAAGGTTCTACTTGCAAGACCCAAATATCAACACGTGGTAGCCATTGTTGGTAGAACAGGATTTAGCTCTTTTAAGGGGTAGATTTTTAGGAGTGTGTTATATCCAAAAGTTTAACCATTCGCTTTTTACAGTTAAGGAATCAAATATCTAATTTGCTTGGCTATATGTGTTTTGATTGTTTATTTTGCATTGCTACATAGAATGATTACCGTTGGATTCAGTTTCATGATCATATTCTTAAGATTTTGGGATGCTTTGACTTGGATTGTACCTCCAGCCTTGCCTATTTTTGTTTCAATGTGTCAAACGTATTCATTGATTAGGTTAAGACAAAAAGGTATTTTCGGAATTGACCCAACAAAATCACTTGTATCCGGTAAAATCAATACTGTTTGCTTTGATAAGACAGGAACTTTGACTACCATAGGGATTGACATGTTTGGATATCAATTAAGAAATTAATAGAAATTTGCAAAGTTCATCCTGAAAAATCAAGTGAAATCAAAAAATAGTTTAGAATTTAAATTATTTGCTACTTGTAATGGAACCTATGAGATTGAAGGCGATTTGATGGGTGATAGTCTCGATGTAGAGTTATTTAAGTTTACAGACTTTAAAATTGATAAGAATCCACCTCAAAATGCGAAATCCAGAGTTGTAAATAGAGAGGGTATTGTTTTGGATGTGCTAAAACTTTATGAATTTGAATCTGCATTACAGAGAATGAGTGTAATAGTAAAAGACACAGATGATTATTATGTTTTTGTTAAAGGTTCTCCTGAAAAGATGGCTGAATTATCTATGCAAAATACTATTCCGACAGACTTTAAGAAGAACCTTAATGTATTAACAATGAAAGGTCTTAGAATCTTAGGATTTGGATACAAATAAATAACCTAGGAGGAATGTGAAAGATTGATGAATGCAAGTAGATAAGAATGCGAATCAGATATTCAGTTTTTAGGATTGTTGGCCATGGAAAACAAATTAAAACATGATACTCCCTAGGTTATTAATTTATTAAATAATGCATGTGTTGATCTCAAGATCATTTCAGGCGATAATCCTTTAACCACTGTACAATGTGCTCGAGAATGTGGAATAATCCCTCTTGGTAAGCCAGTCTTATTGTTAGATTATAATGAAAAAGAAGTATTGATATTAATAATTAAAATAGCAATAATTGTCCTTAGATGAAATAGGTGTTTTTGAAGATAACTTGAATAACAATCAATCAAAATTAAACAGTGAAATTGACATACTCTTCGATGAAGTTGAAGATGTAAATGAATCATCTTTAGATCATCAATAGATAATGAATAAATTAGTTCAACATTTATTAACTGCTTAGAATATCAAAAGATCTATTATCTCAGAAAATGATAATCTTAGTGCTGGTCATTGTTTTGCAATGAGTGGCAAGGCATTTGATTATTTTTGGGATTAATTACCTCATGAAGAAATCAAAAAACACAAAAGGTAATCCTTTGCTGGATTTGAACAGCCAATTGATAATGTAGAATAAATAAAAATACAAGGATTAACTGATGAAGAACTTCATAATAAATTATTTGCTTCTATATGTTTAAAGGCAAAAGTCTTTGCGAGAATGAGACCTGAACAAAAATCAATGGTCATCGAAAAGCTTCAGTAGTTAAATAAAATGGTACTAATGATTGGAGATGGAGCTAATGATTGTGCAGCCATCAAATAAGCAAATGTTGGAGTTTCATTTGCTTAAAGTGATGCTGCCTTTTCAGCTCCTTATTCAAGTGCAGATGACAGCATTGATTGTGTGAGATAGGTTCTCTTAGATGGAAGATGTGCACTCTAGAATGCTCTAGAAGTATTCTAATATTATGTTGGAGCCAGTGTCATAAAATACATAGCAGCCATGATAAATATGTCTTTTGGATAAAACTTTGCAGATTTGCAATATATTGCCATCAATTACATTGGATCTTTGCCTTATCTAAAATCAATATCCCTATCCAAACCTTCAATCCTTTTGACTAAGGATCTTCCAAATGAAAGCATGATGGCTATTTCGAATGCAGCCGTCTTAAGTTTCTAAATCATAGTGGCTTCATTCGGTCTGATCATTAACTTTCTGTATTGGAATAGTTTTGAATGGGACAATGAACCAAGTGTAGTCAATGGTAAATTCTCTAAGGAAGGAACAATACAAACTACTCTTTTCAAAAGTATTTAAATCTACTTTATCATGGCAGTTATTGCTATTTACACCTCAAGACCATTCAAATAAAAACTCGTTACTCACAAAATTATGTTAATCTTCATCTGCATAAGTTTAAGCTTTACTTTATGGATCTTCTTCACTTATTAAGAATGGCAATACACGGTATTTAAACTCTATAACACAAATACATAACATGGGAGATCCTATAATTTTATACAATTTCTCTTAACTATTATCGTAGGATTGGTCATGCTCATAGGTGATGAATATTTCATAAAGAGAGTGTTCCCTAACAATTAGAATTAAATAAAAAAGTCTAGAGTTAGACCAAGTATGTAAAGTTATGTTTCTTGAAAATATTAATAAATAAAGAACAGAATTCATTTTTTGGTTAAATCATCAATCTTATTTCTCAATTTTACATTTTGCATAGTTAAATCTTTTATCATCTTCTAAGTTTCTACATCCTTAGTTAACGTCTTAAAGAACTCATCCCTCTCTCTCTTTAACGCTTTTATTTCCTCTTCCAACTTCTTCACTCTCTCATCAGTTTGAACTGGCTTAGTCTGAGCTTTCTCCTACTATTATTATTAAGGCAATTCCTATTTACTCCTATTGACTTTCTAAATTCATTTGTATAAATACTTCTGCTATTAATTCTTTGATCATCTACTCATTACGACCAATTTCCTCTTTACAATACTTCAGCTCTTATCTTAATTTTCTGGTCTCCTCATCATCAGCTGGCTTATAAACTATTTTAGTTTCTGATTGTGGTTAATTCTTTTTCAATTTGTCTAATTCAGATTTCAAAGCAAATATGTACTTGTCATCATTCTCGCTCTTCTCTAATAAAATCTAAATTTGATATAAATTGAAATTACCTTTTTATTCTTTTCATATTCCACCTTAACATCTTTTATTTGATCTTCCAATATTTATCTCCTACTTGATACTGCTTTTATCTTCTGTTATAAATTCTCATTCTCTACTCTAACTGCTTCATACTACGATTTTAATAGCTCGTATTATTATTTATCAGAATTATTCTTGGCTTCTGATTTAGATTGCTTGGACATTTAAGAAACATCAGAATATTAAGATGATGATCCTAGTTTGGAATTTAGATCTTTCACTTTTGATTTCAAGATTTCTATCTATTAAGCCCTACCCTTCCATCCATTTTCATCCATTAATAATTGATCTAAATTTGCATTCTCTCCTACTTCCCTTTATATTATTCTCATTGCTTTATTCAACTCTGTTTTCACCTATTATAATTTAACTCGCTATTCCTACACTTTTTTGTCTGCTTCTTTAAATTTATTCTTAAAATCATCAGCCACTCCAAGATCTTCTTTCTATGATTCAGATCCTTTCAATGCTTTTGCCAATGGATCTGCTTTAGGAATCGGAGCTTTTGGTATGCTTTTATCCAAAGCTTTGATTCCTTCATCAGTTTCTTTAAGTGCTTTATTCACTTGTTCTTCAAGTTTCTTTCTTGATTGTTTTTCCTTCTCGTAACTGAGCAACAATTGTCTATTCTTCTGAACTAATTCCCGAATCTTTCGATCTTTTAAAGTTTCATTTTTTGAATTTATCACATCCTCACATTCTTCTGCCAAAGTCTTGGGAGGCTGCTTCTTATAAAATTCTAATTGTTTTTAAATGGCTTCGATTTTATTTTATGGTCTACTGCGATATGATCATTAATACTGTATTTACGGTAACTATTCAACCTTACTGTTTTACTAAAGGCTTCTTTGTTAATAATGTTCTTCATCCTCAGAAGATGTCTGATTCTATTTGTACCTTTATTCGAATTCATCTATTTGTTAATTATTTTGCTCATATTCTTGATCGAATTGATTATCCTCCTCTTAACTACTCATTTAATATTAATAATAAAATACAAATATAATTGTTGCACTATTTTGAATCAATTATAATATGAAGAAATTGCAGACTTGAAGTGAATACTCATATATCCATAGATGTGAAGATATTCTAGATTATACAATACTAAGTATATGCACATAGCATATATATTTATTTCGTATATTATTGAACCCTTTAATAAAAATAGAATTAACTTTTATTATATTTCAATTTTGTGTTACTTATTTTTATTTTAATCCCTTGAGAATAGTTATCATAAATTTATTTCATTTGATTTATTCAAATTTAGGCGTTTGTTCCTTTTCAAGCATTTTAAAAGGAACAAAATTAACATTGTAAATCCAATCACAATACTTTAAATGTAGTATTTAATATGCGGCTTCTTTCTTATTTAGAATTGTAGTGATGATACTGAATTTTAAAATTCAATAATCATGTTATTTTATTTTTCTCCTTTTAACCTCAATTCGTAAGGGACTATTTTATACAAACAGTAATCTTTTTATACAGTGGAATAGATAACAAAATGTTAATCATCATAAGGTAACATTTATTATGAAAAATCTAAATTAAAACTAAAGAAATAATCTATTTATTTTAAATTTAATGCATCAGAGACATTATATAAATAAACTTTATTCTAAGAAAAATCAATTAAATGAATTAGAATAATGTCAGAGCCTAAAAAGAGTATATTTTTTACATTAAATTGATACTGGAAATGTCTAATAAGAACGTATTCGTTCTTTAATTTGACTATGCCATCTATATCATCCAAAACGGCTATATAATATTACAAAAATCCTTATATATCCTATTTCATGACTAGAAGCTCATAATAACTATCATTAACTAAAGTCATATTTTAAATTGTATATGTTGAGTATTCTTCTGTAACAAATTTATATATCTGTTCTTTAGTTCTATTCAAATAATCATGATAAATGTCATCATAAAATGTTATAAGAGAAATTGAATCTACCACATTTCTGTTTTCTAAATATAAAAATGCTTATTCTGAATTGGTGATTTCCATTATAATACAATTATTACATTCTGTTTTAAGAGATGAAAATGGTTCCAAAGAATCTTCATGTATTTTATAAAAAAAAATATGGAAGGGGCATAGAATAATGTACAAATTTAGATGAATTTACATATTTATAAATTCAAGACATTGCCCAGGGATCTAAAAATTAAAATAAGTATTATCTCGAGTATTATAAACTAAAATATTAAATTGTAACACCTAGTATTTTTATAAAATGAAAATAAGATCTTAAAATTTTATGACATGCTTTATTTCATAATTATTTTCTAATGCTAGAGTCAATATTTATTAAGTTGAGAATGGATTTAAGATTAATTGCTTGCGATTTGAATTAATACAGATTTAATTTCTGAGTTCTTGACATTATTAAGCCGAAAGTTGATCTAATTTTTAAATTGGATCAATTATTATTAAATCAGTATCAAAGGAAACAATTTTATCAATAGGTCCAACTATATACAAATTAGGATCCAAAGGGAATTCTGACTCTTTCATCTCCAATTAAAGTGAATGTGCTTTAGATCTTTTAGGTGATAAATTCTTATTTAAATTATAAAGGTTTAAATATGCTGTTGATATTTAATATTTAGATTCATTGAAGCTAGAAGTTAAATTTAAAGAAAATTCTATTTTCTTAGTAAATTCAGGAAATAAACTTTACTCACAAATAAATTGATCAAATTTTATATCTATCATTTTAATTTATTTCTCAAAATTATAAATCAGTATATCCTCTTCAGACATATAGAAATTAAAATTATCAACTTAAATAACATCAATCAATATATTTAAATAATCCGTATCAATATAATAAACTAAAAGTACATGGTTACCTAAATTATGATATGCAGCCACAATTATAAAGAATTTATAGATTTTATAAATCAAAGGAGATGAATATTAGTAATTTAGCTTTGGAATATCATAGAGCTTTATAAATTGACTATGTATGAAAATGTATTTACTGAAATATTCACCATCCTAATTTTTAAAATGAATTATAAAAGGATATTAAAGTGTACTTATCTTGATGATATTAACTATAGAAACATTTTCAAACTTTATTATGTTAGTAATATAATTCTTCCTCAAAATAAATACTCCATTGTGAACATAACCTAAAAAGTCATTGAAGAATTAAGTTTTGATGCATGTTCCATCTAATGGTACATACTAATTAAATTAATACAAAGACAGTTGTTTGTTTATTAGGACGTACTTAACACAAGTGTTTGAAATTAGATATACTTCTAGATTCTCCTAAATAATATTTGTAATTTGTATTTTAGATTCTATTATTGTTAAATTGAAAGAATTAAATTAACAATTAATCACTAATATCTTAGATTAATTAGAAAAAATGATAAAGAACTGATTTCTAATTTCATATACATTATTTATTTCAAAATTTTCAAATCTTCCTAGTTCCATTAATAGATTTTAATTACAATTTTTTATATATAATTTCTAATTAAAATCCTAAACTAGAATATATAATTCCTTATAATACTTTATTTTGTACCAATTTATATTGCTAATAAAAATATCCTTACAATTGAATTATTCCTCTATTTGTTATTGTTGACAATTAAGTTTAGTTTCATCAAAAGTATAAATTTTAGAAGTAAAATATCTTTTAGCAATCAAAGGTTTGTATAACTGGAATGAAAAAGTGGAATTTCTCAAATAAGTATTAATCTATAGATTCTAAATAAATTTATTCTCATTTGTGATTTAAAATTTAAAAACTTTGCTTGGTGAAAATAAATCGTTAATTATGAAGAAAATTGAATCAGATTTTATCATTTCTTTGCATGAAAGAGTTGGATTTGGAATGCCTTTTTTTAATAAAATTATTTCATTTTTATCAAAAGCATAAAAAAATGGATAATTTAATAGATCATTGATTAAATTATCTATAGAAAGATGTAGAATATATGAGGCATCAATTCTCTCTAGCACTTATAAATAAGCACCATAATTGATAATTATTTTATCACCTAAATGTAAGACTTGTTTAGGAATTTATTCATTCGTAATTAATAAAATATAATCAAAATTACCTTGCTTTAACTCTATTTTATTTTCTCCTTCGAAAAAAATTACATATTATTTATTTTGACTAAAAAACGATTAGATTTATTGTGACTAGCTCGTATAAAGCCATCTTTTACTTTACCCATGAATTTTATAAATATCAAACTCAAATTAAAGTAAAATTTCTTCCTGAACTGAAAATGACTTTAGAGTTTTGTTATGTAAATTATCGGATTAAATAAATATTTCAAAATTATTATTTTGTACTACATAAATAATCCAATCCTAGCAATTTATAATAGCTAAATAAATATTGGATTGGTATTATAACTAGTAATCGCAATTTTATTTTTTATTCATTATAGAAGTTGATGTTATTGAGAGATGTTAACTATTATTCTCTTTATCTCTTTCTAAAACGAAGAGCTAAATATAGAGTTCCTCTTCACAAAAAATAAATATTTATTGATTAATTTCATACATTCTTATAAATTTAGTGCAAAGAGGTAACTAGAATGTTATTTAGCCTATTATTATTTCTTCATAGTGTGTCAACCTGTTGTTTTGTAAATTAAACACAAAAGCAATTTATTTACATAGATAATGATCTTCATCCCTAAAGATTAACTCTAATTAGTTTTATTAAAACTATTTTAAGACTAATTCTCTTTTATCATTTAAATTAGAGATTGATACCTTCGCAATTAATTATAAAATCTCTTGATCTTATTCTAATTTGTTTTCAAATTTAGTTCCATTTTCAAAGGAAAAAGGGATGAATTATTATCCTAAATAGAAATTTTCATCATTGTGACAATATCGTTTTTATTCTTATTGATAAGATAATGATACTTCTAAAAATAAAGTTAATATTATTCTCAACATTTATCAATACTTAAAATAAATATATTTAAAAATAAATAAACTATTGATTTCAAGTAAATTATCACAAAAGATTTTTGATGATAAATTATCAGTAATATATCATAAATTCTTAGCCCGAGTCTAGTTATTATAAAAGTTTCTGATAGTCCTCAACTTTTTTATTGAAATATACAGAAAAGAATGTCAATGACATATTTCATATTTTATAACATAATTTATTGAGAATATAAATTATTTAACATTCGAAATTAATTTTGTTAATCCAATTTCAGTATGAAAAAATATAGATTTTAAAATTATGCGAATTTATTGGATTTCTAATTTAGTAGAAAATTCCCTCATGAAAAATATTTTAGGGATTCCAGAATAAGAAATCTATGAGTTTTTCAGGATAAGTGGAAGCTAATCCTAAAAATGGAAGACACTTAAGCTATATAGAAAGGGTTGTGCAATAATTAAATTTTTAGGATTCATCCAAAAACTTGAACTGAAATAATAATGTATGGGAGATAAGCAATTTTTCAGAATTTTGCTGAATTAGATTATGGTTCCCAATAATTAAATAGATGTGTGATAAAATATTATGGTTACTTTCAGAAAATATTAAATATAGTTTGAATATTATTAATGAACCAAAATCAAATAATAATTTGAGTAGAGAAGTGTAAGTAAATGTATTTGAAGATAATTAGAGAATGAAGGTGTTGATTTCAAATCTAATCAATCAACCGAATAATAGTTTTTAGAATTGTTTATTTGATATAGAGGTTAAATTTCTAAATGCAACTAAAGGAGAAATCTTTTTGATATAAAGAGAAAAGATAGCCATAGTTGATCCAAGGGAATCTAGTATGCAAATACCAATTTATTTCTTTAAGAATAGGATTATGAGTATTTCTTTTATTCATTGAAGGCGTATTAAATTTATAATGTACTGATGCAAATGTGTCAATAAAAGAAACCAAGGATTTTACCTCCTATGTGTCTTTATCTTGCTTCTTCGTGGGTGAGGATGCCAACATTGGTTGTGAGGACTACACATCCAAATTATCTAGCGGGAAGAATGTTATTAGCCCATCTTTCGAATTCTCCCAAGGTAACATCATAACGAGGAGAGATCACTCCGCATTTGTTGATACGACCTGTTTTGATTAGGCTATGCAATTACCTAATAGTTCAACAACTATTTTGCCACTTCTGTGGTCATCAACGATTTCAAATTCTCCAATATAGCCATGTCTTTGCATCACTTACAAGAATTTCACTACCAATTTTGATGTAGGTCTGATCAACACTTGCTTTCTTCCTTATCTAAAATCATATTTAGATGCATTATAAACCTTTCAGCATTTACGATTGATCGTAAACAATCATTCAAAACATTCATCTTCACCATTGCTTAAAAATCAAGAAATAAAAGATTATTTTAATTTTTTATTATTAAAACAATGATTCCTGAACATATAATCTAAAAACTCAAAACAAAACAAGGGCATTATTCAATTGATGTTAAGGAATCCTTCATAGATAAGCAACGTCGTTTAAGTGAAATTGAAAGACAGACCACTCTTCAAAAAAAGCACAAAGAAATGCAACTGTTCAGATAAACATTTTCTTCATCAAGCTCCACGTTATCCAAGCCAGGCAAAAGAATTATGATAAGAACTAAAGGATCTAGCAACCAAGCCATTCCACTAGAATAATATTAATAATCCATTCCTACTCCCATCCCCACACCAACGTCTAACATTGCTCGAAAACACCACTAATCGTAATCATAATAATTGCCCCGATTAGAATCTGAAAGCAATTAGACTCTAAGAAAACAGCCAGAACATCATATGAATACTTAGCATGATATGCTTAATCAACTTGAACCCCAAGATTAAAATATGTTAACAGAATAAATAGATCCTATGCAGATGCAACTATCTGAAGAAAATAATAATGATCACATTCAATGTATGGTTGAGCAACACTTATCTGATTATCAAGCATTTGTCATGCATTTGGCAGGTATATGATTAAATGATAAAAGATAGGGAAATGCATTTGCGTTTAATGCCCTTGTGGAAAATGCAAATGCAAATTTGAGTATTAGCCAATTAAACCAAATATCTCATGGAAATCTCATTATAATCAAGAGTTCAAGCAAGCACCTATCAAGGATTAAGAACTAAAAATGAATCTGGATTCCATTGGCCGTTATCAATCTTTGGATTTGAATGAATTTAAAACAACAATGGCATCAGATTATAAATAATTTGATGCCTTCCCAAACACCATTAAAGAAAAGTAAAAATACTAAGCTACATATGGATCTACTCCAATGACTTCGTATAATGTAAATAATGATAATAATTAGAAATTCTATATGGATTACGGAGACTTACATCATGAACAATTTAAATAGAGTCATTATAAAACTGTGATCCCAGAATTAAAATTTAATTCGTCAACTACGTATGGTAGCGAATTCAGATCACCCAAATAAGCTGACACCACTGTAATTGATAAATATGTTATTAGAGAGTCAAAAACCCCCAAATGGAAGACCATTTCCAACGATAGATCTATTTTTAGGATAATCATAAAATAAATTAGCACATGATTTAAAAATGACGGAGAAATGTTACTAAGTGAAGAACTTTTAAGAAGTAATCAATAGAAAATTTAATATAGCCGATCTAAACAATACCTGCTTTTGAGAAACAATTTGTGAGCACAACTAAAAAAGATTTCGTGATGAAAGAAGTACCATGTATTAGGAATCAATATTCATAATAAATATAATAACAATATTGAGCAATATTAGATTTTATTATATATATATATCTAATACGTTAATTATTTTAAATCATAGCTGACATTGTCCAACTGATTGCCCATTTGACATTAAGTATACTTTACTATCGTCTTGCGACCATTAAATTTAGGGATGGTCTAAAGGCTATTATCTAACAGTCATATCTTTAGCTGGTTTTCCTTGTATTCCGATGATGGCTCCAAAGAATCTAATGATGTATTTAATATCCATACCCTGTTGATCCGACTTTCCAAATTTTAATCTTCCAATCAGTGTCACTGAAACTAGCCAATTGTTTACCTGTATGATCGAATTCTAGACAATTAACTTAACCACTGTGTCCATCCAATACTCTCCATTTGACAGCAGTTCTTAGGTCATAGATTATGATTTGAGTATCTCCAATTGCTATCTTTTAAGTCTATTGATGGAAACAGACACACTTAAAGGTTTTACAAATAGTTTATAAGGCATACGTAGCTGATCTATGACACACTTTACGTAGATTGGGATTGTTTGGATCAAGACTTTTTAGAATTATATCCATAAGGATGGGTAATTGTTTATGGATGTTGTTATGTTATGATTTGATGTAGTTTCTTATGATTTCAATGATAGACGAAGGATAAAATAAATGAGTTTCCAAATTGACAATATCCTTGTTTAATATTTTAGTAAAATCAACTGGGGCTGCAATGGCAACTTGAATGATGCTTTTGGCTGTAAGTTGTCTCATTCTTTTTTTCATATCATCTGACTGCTTACTAATTTCTTTTAATAGATTAACTGATTGTATTTGTTGACCACCCTAAGTGAGAATCTCTGAGTATTCTATTACAGTGTTGTATTGAAAGAAGATGAAGAATAGATTTCTAAATATGTCTGATGGATTGTAGGTATTTCGAAAGTGTTATTGGACATCTACAAAGACTTTAAGAAGTGGTGCACAAAGGTGGGGATTTACTATGCAATTCTTGAGATTTAATCCTTGAATCACTCTTCGCTTTAAATCTTCACTCTATTAGAGAGTCTAACACATCCCTGTCAAATAGGATTCTAGCATAAGAAGTATCACCTCCACATTTGAAAAGGTGTGTCCTTGCTGCTCCTTATTGAGTTCCAGCAGCTCTCTAATTAATTTATGCTATTCTTGCATATCTTAATCAGACTTTCTAATTTATGACAGTATTAAATTACATGCGGCATTCATAACTTCATTAGATTCATCTATAGTGTATTATGCTAACAAAAATAAATCCATTGGTTTAAAATTCTAATCCAACAATTGCTTTTTCTTTGTCAGCAACTCAACAGTTTGTATCATTAATTAATTGAATACTTGAGCCTCCTTGGATAAACAAGACAGATAGAAATGCATCAATGACATCGCTCTTTATGAAGTGAAATAAGGTGACACATCCCATCCACGAGAGAATGCAAAACTAACACAATAACCCATTGATTGCACACCTATCAAAGGAGAGAATGTAGGTTTCTAATAATTCAATATCTAGTCTAACTATGTACTTAATTGAGCCATCAGCCTCCCAAGGATGGAGCATTAAAAATAACCTATTCTAATTATTGTTATCTCCTTATTTCTTCAAATCCCACCATTCCATTTCTCCTATGCTGTTTTCCACAAACTTGCACATTCTCATATTGCTTTTTACTGAGTTGTGATCTATCAAATACAACATCTTGGCTGCTTATTCAGCCTCAAACTGCCAATGTTTAAACTAGCCTCCTACTTCATACAAACTGGGATAAGGAGATTGCATCTTAATATAATTATTCCTTTATTGGAACTCCAATAATCGATAGACTTTGCTGATTGACTTATTGAATTCTCTCTTGAACTCACTTATGTAATGATGGCTGATCACTTTATCTTTAACTTTAGTCAACTTCTTTTCCACTTAAAATAGAGAATGGTACTACTCTATCATCAATGTTCTCAAATATCTTCCCTTATAATCAAATACCAAGGATTCCCCTCCTTAAACTACTACAAACCACTAATCTCCTTGATCTTCATAATACAACCCCAAAACCTATTGATTAATTCCATGCAATTTCAATTATACTCCTCCAACTTATAAAATTTATTATTATTATGACATTATTCTCCATCAAAATGGCAATCTTTTAGAATTTTTACTACTAATTATTTGACTACACTTCTTCATAAGATTCATTCTCCAATTTATGGATTCTTATTGTTTTCTTTGCATAACTTGGGAAGTAAATTCTCTATGTTGGCTCCAAATCTAAGAATTCCACTTATTGTTCCCCCATTCTCTCATTAAACACTAGACTGTAATCCATTATTATAAATTATCCACTCTCAGAACTGGCAATTAAATACTTTCCCTTTTAATATATAAAGGTGACTGCTTTTTCATCCATTTTGATTCTGTAAATAAAGTATGATTTACTGCTATATATAGTAGGAAATCCAAGTATGATCCCATTACTACAACCAAACCAATAAATTTAACTGTCTTCATTTACACTAATAAAAGCACATGTAATTTAAGTGTCGATATTAATATATGGTAAATATTTAGTCTAAAATTCCTTGGTAGTCATTTGACCTAAATTCCACAGCAAATCATCTTAACCAAATTCTTTGAAATTAAATGCCTCAACCTATTTGCATCCTTGCTTCAACGTTTCAATCTTAATCAAATCACTAAAAGTATTGAAGGACCATTTAAACCCATTGAATTTGATGTCTGAATCCGGTTAATTTATACGAATCAATGACATATCCAAGTTCACATCTTTTAAATTATACTTACATAAACATTGGTTTTTATATTAATACACCTGAGTCTTCAGAATAAAAATACCGTTTTGCACTTTCTAATCTTCAGAGCCTGTGATCAATTCTTAAAAATTGACTTACAATCTACTGAACTAGGAATCTGCAATTTTTGTGAATTAAAACTCCTTAAATCCATATACAAAATCAGATTGTTCTTTCAAAATGGATAGCAGGTATATAATGTCTTTGTATTCCAAACCAAGGACACTTCCATTTCTGGTTGTTATGTAGAGACACTCTTTCGAATAATACACTTTATCAAACTTTTAGTTGTTCTTGGATTAACTCACACATAATATCCATGGACTTTCAAAGATATCAAAAACCAAGTAAAGTTATCGATGCATCAAGATAGTCAAATGTTGATATTCTTAATTAAAGCTCATATGTCTGATACGATTACTTGAAATACCTTCGATTTTGAGTTTCTTTAATCCATCACACAACTTAAGCTCTTTAAAATCTTATTTTATCTACTCTCTCTTCCTCTTGAATTCCTTAAAATTCAAATATCTCTCATTGTTTAGAGGGGACAGATTGATAAGATGCAAGTAGTTTTCCTGATCCAACACACAAACTGTATTAATATCGAGTTAACATAATGAACGCACTTTGCATTCATATTGCTTTACACTCTTCATTTTCCAAAGATCGAAAAGACTCAAACCATTCTACATCCCCAATATCAAAAATCTACAATTATTGGAACTTAAAGGAACACAGTATTGTACTGGTCCTGCACTATCGTGTGCTGATATTCCAACGCAGCGTCCATCATGACAATCAAATATTCTAATTCTCCTATCCTCATGGATTGCGAGTACACATTATTCTGCTCTATCTAAAATGTTAAGGAAAGGCAAACGAACTAAATTCATAGTCAGTAATTTTCCATATGCATTTGACAAGTTCGGATAGATAACTATTCTTGGATTTAGACTCTATTTCCAAATTACTAATTCCCCATTCTAACCAGCTGTCACCAAAATATCATCATTCCCAATTACATTCTCGACAATATGACTCTGAAGTGTCCTATTCCTGTAAAGTAAAGGAAAAATAAAATTAGGCATAATATTTTGTGCAATATAATAAAAATTAGTATACAATTTATCCAAAATTTCAATCTATTCTTCCTAATTGGTCTTAATCATAAAGAAATCATTTAAAATCATTGAATTTAGTAAATTTCAATTATTGCTTATGAAATCTGTAGTTGAAGTTGAATTCTTCCTTCAAATTCATTGGTATTTATGCTCGCTTCAAAAATTCCTCAAATTTTCTCAGAAATTAATCTAAATAACTTAATAGTAAAACAGTTTTCTATCTTGAATTGTTAGAAAACAGATAATTAACATTTACATAGAGTATTTTCTAAAGACAATGGAGGATATAAAAAAATTCTTATGTTAAATGGAATCATTTTATCAAAATGAATAAGAAATAAATCAAATATTATTATATAAATGAATAAATATTAGATGATAAGGATGATGATAATTAATATCAATAGCAAGTTAACTTAAGCTCGCGTTCCTTATTTAAAAATACAAAGAACAGAGATCTGTAAAGTGTAAATGGTTACACTTATTAATTAATCCCCCTTTTCATGTAACAGACATGTAATCCACTTTTTTAACCATCTTAATAGCTTCCTTCTAACCAAACTTCTTTATTATTGTAATTCAATAAGTAGGTCTTAATGTTTTACCCATGTAATTTATTTTTTTCGAAATTTCCTTCCCATTTATAGGGAGCATTTTATAATATTTAATCAGTATTTATTAACTACTTAATTCCCTAATTGAACATTTATCCGTCCCTCCACTATCCAATATAAACCATATTTTCAATAAAATCTTTTTCTTTTCCTTCTCCATCATTCTTCCCATTTTTAATTTAACCTGAGTATTCTTTAACTTTTTAGAACTTTTATGGGGTTCTATTTTCTATGTAATAATAAATTGATGACTTTTTTTCAATGTCTTATATATTCCAACTGTCTAATTGTATTTTAACATGAACATAGTGAGATATCATTTTAATTTTTTTCACTTCTTGGAACTACATCACTTCTCCTTCAAAAACATTATCCTTTTTTTCACCAAAATAAATAACATTAGGATGATCTATATGCATATAAATCCAGGCTTTTTTTTATCTTTATTACAAGCATTTGTTAATTTCAAAATAAATTTGCAGTGTGGAATTATTGAAAGTGCTTCTAACTGTTTCTAAAAGATTTTATTTACTAGATTAATCATCTATTTGATAAATAGGAGTAAAGCATTGGTCTTATTCATACTCAATGGGTTAATGAATAACAACCCCATGTTATATATCATCAGTATTTAAATGAGAATTATTTTCAACACTATTCCTATTAACTTTTATTTCTTCTTTTTCTAAGATTTTATTAAATGTAAATTAGTTTTTGCTTAAACTATTCAATCTTTAATATTATTTCTTTAGAGATTATTTTAAATTACGATATCGCTATTCTTCTTCTGACATAATCAGATGCGGTAATTTATTTTAAGAATCTTGTAAATTTTCTATTTTTTCATCCAAATAAACTAATAAAATGAATAAATCTTCATTTGTAAATTAATTAATATGTTCCTCAGTTGTATCTAGACTTAAGTCATCAATTTAGGAATAGAGAAGTTAAAATCTTGTAATCTCTTCTATTAGTTCTTTATTTTCTTGATTGTTTGCAATACTTTAGCAATCGATAAGGTTTTTGATGTTAAAATGATAAAGTAGCTTTAAATTAAATTAAGTATCTTTATTTGCTAAGACTTTTTTGACCTATTCATCATACTCTTATGTCATTAATTCCTATTTATTTATTTTGTAATTTTCACTCTATTATTCAATTTCATTAATAACCTTTAATGTATTTTAGAAATCATTTTCATTAAAATCTTTATAGTATATGAGACTTAAAATTGTTGCTTTTATGAATTTTTCATCTTCATTTGAAAAATCGTCGGATAAGTTCATATCATTAATCTGCTCTTATCTTTCCTTAGCAGTAGCTAATTTTCTATCCTTTAAAGGAATAAAGACCTCTAACATCATAATTGCGATTGCAAATTAATCCTGCTTTTTCACAGATAATTAATGCCTGTTTTTAAGAGCATCTCTTTTATGACCAAAACTATTTTAGCTGACAAGAATGTTTACAATCTCTGGAGATAGATATGGATACATATTATCCTGTTGAATACTATCAATTTTATCTAAAAAATTGATTTTATCAATCATCCAATTACCTAATTTAAAACCAAAATCTGTAAGTAATAATTATCGATTATACAAAATTATATTATTGGGTTTAAGATTTCTATGTAACATTTGTTCTTTGTTCAAAAACCCATAAATTAAGTACAAATGTTTGAATATCTAAATTTTATGCTTTGGCGAAGAGAATCTAATATTTGATAAAGGTATAGCAGATTTGTCACAACCATAGGTAACTGTAAAAGTTTTAGTCTTCTAGTTATCACGAATTGTTTAAATGCCCAAAACATAATTACCATACTTCTTTCCACGTTCTTCCTACAATTAAGCTAATTCTTTTTGGCATTCTAATTAAATATTAGATTCTGCTATAAACTTCTTTTCAATTTTATCCTTATTAGTAATTAATTAGTTTTTATATGTTTGTTGTGTTTAGTTTATTGGTGGAATTTTTGTTGATTATTCATTTTAAATAATAAAGAAAAAAAAATTAAGATTGGTTTTATATTGCCAATATATTTATGATTTACAAGATCTAGATATTTCATAATTTATAAATATAAATTATTAACAGCTCGCTAAACTCAAATAATACTCTTAATAACAATTACTGGAATGTTTAATCTAATAGTAATATTTTTAAGTTGTAAAATGCGGGGAAATTTAAATCTTAAGCTTCGTAAAATTCATAATTGTAAATAATTTGAAAGTTATAAATACTTTATCTTTTCAATATGACTGTTTTAGGAAGTATAGATAATTAGTCAATGAACTATTGAGTTGTGAAGTCTTATATATAAATTGAATTAAGTAGATATTTGTCAATTAAAAATAATGTTAGAAATAAGATAGCAGTTGGCAAATTCAGATAAGAAATCTGATCTCATACTTAAATAAGAAGATTTGAGATGGTTATTGAAGAAGTGAATCAATATCATGAATAAATAAATAAATATATAGAATAATCATTCTAAGAATAAATAAATAAAAATATTATCGTTTTAAGAAAGGATAGCACAATAAAAAAATTATCTATTAAATTTAGAATAAGTATATAATACTTATTTATTTCTTAAAAACCGAATTTCTTAAGTAATAGAAAATTAAATATTGAACTTTAGAATCTTGACTTAATAAAGATCATCAATAAATATTTTAAAATAATGAAATAACTTATTATATCAAATTGTTACTTATCAGAAGTAACAATTGATTTAGATAAAACTTCGACACAAATTAAATTATGAATTATGCTTCTGATTATATTGGTTTAGAAAAAGGTATTCAATTTAGATATGTTGAAAAAAGAAAATTACCTTCTTTACAAAGTTGTGTATTTCTGGAGAACCACTCTAAGGATATAATAAATGATGTAGTATAGAACTGAATATTCAAATAGTTAATAGAAATATGATAATTTATTTCAATGCATTTAAATTGACAAAGAAGTTGCTTTATTTAAATAGAAAAATATAATGTTAAAATACATCAGCATGGTTAAATATTGTGTTGTGCAAAATATCCCATTATAAAGGAGTAATAAAAGGATAAGATTAATATGTTTTAATTAGCCACAAATTTAAGAAGAATGCAAAAAAAAAAAAATTTTATTCAATTTTTTAGTAATAAAATAAATAGTGATTCAATTAATTTAGGAATAGCGATGTCAAAAAAACTTGGATTTTTTGAATCAATATTTTTTTATATTAATGAAAAAGGAATATGACATCTTAAAAGGCCATTGTTAAAAGAATACTTAATAAATTAATATAAATATAAAGAAATGAAATATTTTGAACTCAAATCCCTAAAGTGTAAAATAAATCTTTATAAAGTTATAATTATCATAGCTAATCCAACAATTTTTATTGATGACAATATCAGAGATTTTTTATCCTATTGGAATTAAATTATACATTTTATCTGATTTTGAAACAGTAACTATTTTAGTATTAGATTATAGATCATAATTAAATAGAAATTTATTTAAATTTCTTTTCTAAACATATCATATTTACTTGTATAATTATTATTAATTATATACAAAGACTTTGTTTAGTTCTCCTCTTATGTCTTCTCTTTTTAATAATACCTAATCGCAGATATATTTTATTTATAACCTTGACTAATTATTTTGTTCAATCTATTGAATATACTATATCCTTAATTATATTGAAAGTAAGAATGTAATTGTTAAATATTATGAATAATTAAATTGTAATACGATCAAATTTAAGGTTGAAATTCGTCAAAGTTTAATAGTCCCTCAGGTTCTTCTTTCCAACTTAGGTTATCAATAAAAATTACTAGTTAAGACAACCCTTATTATAAACGTTCTTTTTTTCTTGAAAATAATTATCAGGGATTGTTATCTCTGTAATGATAATCTTATTTTTAACTAGTCCATATTCTTTTAGCTTCTCATCCAAGATCTTTTTGACTTGTTCTTTGAGTTTCTCATCCTTAGCATAATCAACTTTTTATTTGATTTCCTCTATTTTAATTCTAAGAATAATAGATTTTATTCAACCTAGTTTAATTTAATTGCGAGTATTAAGTTTAGTCGAGTCTGGAACTATTGATAAACATTGAGCTCTGATTCAACACGCTCAATGATTCTGCATTCAAATTATTTAAATTTTTGTCTTCTAGAACCAGAAATTTAATTGTGGTCCATCCCTCTTTCTTGTAAATTTTCTTTAGAAAGGAGAAACTGAATTCGCAATTGATTTCTTCTATTTCTTGAAATTCTTTGAAAAATGTGATAAATGATTTGTACAAGGAATAATCGTAAATAAATAAAATTAACTTAAGTTTGGATATATTTTCTTCACCGCATCAATGATATCTTGGTATGTAACTACGCTGGAAGGTAATTTGTGTATTTTTTATTAATAGACAATTTTTAGGTTTTACATTTTCTATTAATTAATTAAAATATTAAATTTAAAATCCTAAAGTCCTTAAAGGCTCTATGCATTTAATTATCCTTATTATTTCTAAACTATTACACAATAGTATATTTATTTAATTTCATAATTTGACAACATTACAACAAGTCATTTTTTTTAATTAATGAAATAAGTAGTGGCAACTAATGAGTATTCCATACTGAGAAAAGTTTAAATGCTTCATTCCCACGCTCAACCTAAAGATTCTAACTTCACTTTGGGGAGAACTACTAGTTATGAATCGAGCCAATTTTGTCGTAGTTTGGACATCATGGTCTATAGAAGGGCTTCCACAAAAGATGAGATCAATTATCACTCGTAGTCCAAAAACCCATCATATAGGGATGACAAATTAGTGATTGGCAATATTGCTTGGATCAAGTAGTAACTCATTTAAATTTTAAGTCCTACCCTGTATATTGAAATGGATGAATTACAAACTAAAGTCTGGAGATCCTTAAAAAGGCAATAGCTGGTAAGAAAGTTATTTATGGAAGGAATCAGTTTATTCAGTTGACATCATTGTCTTGAAGAATCAAAGCGAGTTTGAATTCTCCTTTGACATCAGTATGCTGTCATGCTTCCTCAGAGTGAGGGAATTAAGTGTTCTGATCAATGAGAATTATGCGAATCGAAGCAATAGAGCCAAATTATAAGTGCCCTATTTATCAATTTTGATTGGTAGGGTGAAGACTTAGAAATTGGATGGGAATATGAGACTCTTTGAACTTGCTCATATCCTACTCAATGGATAAAGGACTCTTATTTTATAAGAATCCTGTTTACAATTTTGATGATTAAAATAAAAAATTATAATTTTGTTTTTCTTATTACATATTAAACCTTTCATTTTGAGATTTTGCTATAATTAAAATTAAGTAAATGCACTAAATGCAATAGGCGACGGTCCATCAATAGAAAATTGTCGATCTGACAAATCAAGGTATTCGAACTGTTATAGATTCGTAGGATTATATGTTTAATTGGAGGAATTTATTCGAACGAATCAAATAGGATAAGCAAGTTATTCGTAAGCCTTTTTAGAATGCATACAGAACACAAGAGATAGTGAAGATCACTTTCAATGTATACAATAAATTTTAAAGTATATATGTTCTAACTTTAAGACAATCCATTGATTTTAATTATAAGGACAATTAGGGCAACACAGCCATCGTTTATGCAGCAAGAACAGCCAAGATAAGCATTCTGAATGAAATAATCAAATATAAGGAGAGAATCGAAACCAAATAAATTAAGTTTGCACTTGATATTGCAATCCAATCTGAATAAGATAATTGGGATATAGTTGAAACTCTCTTATAGATTACGTCTCTCGATAAACCTTAGCATTTAATTAAGTCCTTACAAAAAGGCAATTATAAGACTGCATCAAAAATCATAGAAAAATATGGAGCATCTGGCTAAGATGAAAACGGTGACACAGCCTTACATGTGGCTTCTCGAAAAGGAGAATTAAATATAATTAAATAGATCTGTCAGAGGGAGTTTCTATTTCAGAGGAAAAATAAGTAGAATCAAACACCTTTGGATGTGGCTGCCAATGAGAAGATTAAAGATTTGTTAATTATGGAAGAGACTCTATTTACAAAATCTCCAAATAGAAAAAAGAAATAAGAAGAATAGCAGGAAAATATTCAGAAAATTGGAAAATAAGAAGAAGGAGAGCCTGATATTCTACCAAAAATGAATAAAATTGTACAGAAAAGAGAATAGGAGACTTAGACGTATATGAAGGAAAGAAAAGAAATAGAAGTTTAGATTCCAGAGACAATAGCTATAGACTAATCATTTTATAATTAATTGATTTGTGAATCCAAAAACACATTGCCATAACATAAAATTAGTATAGATGATATTGTTAAGTACACAAATTTGGGTGATTATTAGGCAACTTACTTTTGAAATCAACACATTTACATAGGAATTGAGTAAATATTTAGATGAGCAGAAACCCATAATTGATAAGATAGTCTAATTGGTGGATGAGGTATTTCTTATCATACTCTTTCTTAGACTGTTCAAAATGTCTAATTTAAATCTAGAGCCTTTCTTTATGGATCGTGTTAAACAGGACTGAATTTGTTGGATTCTGATATTGACATAGTTATCGAAACGGTTGAGTCAGAAGAAATAATACTATTATTCAAATTGGCAGAATAATTTAAAGTATCATAGAATTTAGTTTTAGACGACAAGCTTTATCAAGGATGTCAAAGTAATTGAAAATGCTAAGAAACCTGTGTTGAAGATGTAATGTTCGAAAGAATTTTAAGATAAACTAATTGATATTACAATAAGTAGGAATGATCACTCGGGAAGGAAGACTGCTAATTCGATGATTGAGTTTCAGAAAGAATTTAAATAATTTAGGAGTTTAGCTTTAATGTTGAAATTCTACTTTAAATCAATCAACTTACTGAATTCCTACTAAGTAATAAGTGGTTTAATAAGGGTGGTCTCAATAGTTATTGCATATTGACTATGATTCTGGCTTTATTGCAAATCAAAAGAATCAGGGACAACGAAAACGAAGAAATTGGCAAGAACTTTTTAGATTTCTTCGATCTTTACGGTCAAGACTTGGATTATTATAACAAAATAATCAATATAGTGCCTTCCCAGTCAGAAAATATGTAAATTGATGAACCAAATATTTATTAATAGCAATACTTTTAGTTGTAAGCAGCTTTATTATAGTTAGTGATTAAGGATGTTAGGAACTGGTTATATTGGATCTTCATAATAAAAATAACAATATTGCTAGTAGTACATTCAAGATTAAGAACATTAAGGTATACTTATAGAATATCGACTCAATAGAATGCTCTTAGTTTTGGATACAGTGCAATTCTGAATGCTAAGAAATGTGAACAACCTTGCTTTTTCTCTGGATATAATAAACCCGTGTGTTGTATTTTAAAGTAAATGATTTAACAATCTAAAAACAATCATTTGAACAGTCTTTCCAAAAGTAAGCAACCCTTCTATTTCTTTAATAATACTTATTGATAAGTTTAATGTGTATTTAAAATAATATCAATGTTATTCCAATCAAAATTTATGAAATTTGTTATCACTCCTAGGGTTGGACTTATCTACAACTATGTCAATGTTGTTCTCATATGCTAATTAACAAATCTCAGCAAGAAAGGTTCTTGAATTGTGAATGTAGGTACCCCCTAACAAGATGTTTGGTGAATTGGCTAACACATTATTCTAAATTATATACGCTATTTATTCAACAACCCGATTTCTTTGACTTCTTCAAAGGATGTTCCACCAACGTAAAATATTATAATCTCAGCAGGTCTTTCTCTGAAGTAATGCAAATTTGTTGCTGGAAATTCGTTATCTTTAATTTTGTTGCTGAGAATTTACTCAATAATAGTAAGAAAATATGGTTAATGTTAAGTGTATATATTGGGAACATCCTTAAAAACAGATTTGAACTTTTGCTATGCCTTCGATAATAAATTTTTATCACTGAATAAATCACCTTGACGTCTAGCCTTACCAGAATAATCCAATAAGTGATTGATTAAATTTAAACTGTTGTTTTTAACACCCAAATCCCTCAACACATCCTTCATCCTTGAGATTTTATCACAATTCTCATATCTCAATGCATATAACATAACCAATTTTAATTTCTCATAGGTTTATATCGTTCTATCTTCAAGCATCTAGAATACAGCCTTCTAATGTTCAGACTTGGCTTCGTTGCAGACAATGTCTTATTCAACTTTAGATACTTTTAATAATTGTCTCTCTTCAACTAATTTGGATAATTCACAACTCAACGCCACATGCTTCGATAAATTACCACTCATCTTCCTTATTTCTGGAATCTTATCCACAGCTTTCTGCATATCTTCTAATGAATTGATTTGCACTGTCTCTTTCTTCTGTTATGTAACTTTGTCAATAAAGTCTTTTATATTTTATGCTAATTCTCCAAAATTAGAGTATTAATTTTCAGCAAAAAAGTCATCCAAACTAGATGATATCACAAACTCATTTTCTGAATCTGTTTTACCGATACTCTAACTATAGGTATCAATACAATACCGCAGCTTAATTCAATGCCTTTTGACCTTAACGAATATCGATTCTATTGTTTTGGATTCCTATCAACTCATGGAGCATACCCTAGTAGGTCCATTGATTCAATAACAAGGTTGCTGGATCTTCTCTTCTGTCGAGAATCAAGAGCAAACAATTTGAAAGCATAAACTAGGATTAGGATTGTTCATATTCTTCCCTCATTGTCTAACTTAGCTTTTATGCCAATTTAGCACAAATTTCACTCGATCCTTGATATCTTATCATTGGAATTCTTCTTAGACTATATACTGTGGCACTCAATCCCTCAAGAACTCTTTGAAATAGTTATTCATCCTTTGCATTCCATTGCGAAACACTTTTAGTTAATGCAATCGTAGAGGGAATGTTTAATGTAAAAGTATCTGGTTGTACTATGTAGTAATCCAAATAAATTTCTTGGAGTTGTTTGATTAGATCGGAGTCATCTGCTTCCGCCAATTATTCAATATAGAAATTGCTTAAAGTATTGGTGAAGAAGATGTAGTATTCACAAAATCTCTTATCCTTTATTTCTTATAGGAGCAATGTTTAATTTTCCTAAAGATTTAAAATGCATTCCATACTTAAGTTGGTCGAATCAAAAAGATTACTTTCATATGCTAAAGCTTCTATTTAGTCGAAGCAGCAGCATCAATCTTTTCCATCAAATAGACATCCTTCTTCAAGATTTGCGATTGAGAGTAGATGAGTGAAATTATGCCAATGGTTTCCTAATCCAAAATAAGACATTTCATTCCTTCTATCAATTAATACCTATACCTGACACCTCTGATAGAATTCTGTCGATATAATCTGTCGCTGAGTTATGTAGATTGAGAGTAAACTTTTTTTGGGGGACTCTATTTTATTATATCATTATAAATTATCTCAATATAGTCAAAATAAAATTCAAATGGATAACACTTTCATAGCATTCCGTATTCTTCATAATACAAACTCTCTTTCTATTAAAATCAATTATTCAATCTTGAAATCTATCCGATTGGTCTAGAATGCAAAACATTGCATCAAAAATAATAGAAAGCCCGATTGATTTGGCTCTCTATTTATATTCTATTTTAAGGGAGTATAAATTAATATGATAGCTATTTGGAATATCCATTTATAAAGTTTTGTGATCGAATCCACATTTATAAGATTCATATGTTTACTTTATTCAATAATTAAGCTACTATTTATTGGATCACAAGAATTTTAATAATGGAAAAATGTAAATTTTCCATTAATTTGAGTACAAAGATATCTTGATTTCACTAAAAGAAATACTAGAATCAAGAATTATAGATAAATTTTAAACTCTTAAGAATTATCAAATTTATTTAATTTTTATCTTCGATTATGAACTTTGTTAATGATATTGACCATTTTAATAGTTCTTCAATTCTTGATTCATTGTTATACTAGTAAAAGTATTTGTTCTCAAAATTGTTATTCTATTTGATTGACGCTCAATGTTGATTTATTATTGTAATTTTAAATAATGTTTTTTCTAATGAATGAGAGAATTACAATTGTGTTATTAATATATTTATTATTTTGATATGAATACTAATTTCCAAATAACTTTATAGACCTTCAAATCCCTTCATGAATAAATATAACCAATACAAAGAACTTCTCTCTTTACAAAGTTATTTAAATCCAAAGACAATAAAATTATAAAGCGAAGAGTGTTTGAAACTAAAAAAGAATGGCTCACTTGGAAGGAAAAAATCACTTAAGAACTACTCAATTAAAGGATACTTTCTTCGAAATATCCAGGAAAGGTGCTTACTATCCTAAATTACACAGTTGAAACTATCAACCACCAAAGAAATCTATTTGTTGCATATGATTGTGAAGATGACATCGAACCCTTATTTCAATATTTAAACAATAACACTGTTAGTTTCCAAGAACAAGCTTAAATATTTGAATAACTGTTATAAATTGCTTGTATTTTGTTTAAGGCCTAATTCGAGCATACAAATTTGAAGCCAAACAATATCCTATACTACAAAAAATAAGTGCTTATCACAGATTTTGGAAGCGCAAGAACTCATTATTAAAATTTCCTTAAGGAATATACAGGATAAGCAGAGAAAGAATGGTAGAATAATTTAATATTCTTCTACCCTGAAGAGTACTAGAAAATTATGGAGGAAGAGAATTTCTACTTCAGAGTTTCCTCTTGGAACGAATTTGATGTCTCTGATTAAAAATTTAGAAAATACATTGACATCTGGGCATTATCAATGATGATGATCTAAGTATTTGAAAACAATCAAACATTGCCAAAAAATTTATCTGATTATTATGGTTTAAATAACAAATAACTTTTTTAGAAAATAGAGAACCTTAAGTAATATTAAAATGGCATCTTCTCTGAGGTCATTTTTACCCTATTGATCTAAAAGAAGGATCCAGAATTAGTGTATCAGACATTTCTTTAATAAAAGAAATTGAATCAGACTGAATCGTAATCATAAATGGAATCAACTTTTACTATTAAATAGATATTTGACCATGCAGATGAGGATGAGAATACATATAGATCTTTTAAACCCTAAAATTATTTTCTTGCCAATTAAGCAATTCAAGAACTTTAAGATTAATTCGATGATGACGATTCCTCTAGTGTTATTAGTTCTAATTATTAAATTGATATTCTTGGTTTCACTGAAATCAAATAAAGAAATAATTTAACGCAAATACCAAATTAAATACCCTAAAGGTAAAATTAATAGAGCCCTACAAGAATTAAGCCAGAATCTCAACAATATGATTTTTCTTTAAATCCTCTCCAATTTTTCTAAATTCAAGATAATCCATAAAACTTGAATAATGTTACTTAAATCAAGCCAAGCTTAGCAGTAGTAAATTATGAGTTCAATCAATAACAATTTGAAGGAGTTCAAGTTGAAGATACTAAAACTTAAAATGACCATATTATTTTGGTTCCAATGCAGTCATAATTACAAGTGTTAACTGATAGAAATGATAAAGGTACTCCAATAAATCTAGAACAAGTTTAAGATGTTATATAAATCGGATAAACCTAAGGAGGCAAATCAAAAAATGATAACCAATAATTAGGGTGTTTATAAATTATTTAATTGGATAAAATTGATGATAATAAATAGGGAGAAACTTCTAATAACTTTATTTCAATGTTTAATTAAACTCAAAACTTTTAGTTTTTAGAAGATTAAAAAATAGTTTAAGTAAATTAGAATAATAGCAATATGAGTGAAATTGTTACGTATATAGATAATTAAAATTTTTAATTTAATAATTCAAATAATTATGATTTATTAAATTTAAATGACGAAGAGAAACCCATAGGATAATTGAATTCATTTCAAGGATAAAAAGAGATTTAAGATAAAGTAAAATAAATTAACATATTGGCAATCGATGATTTTGAAAGTGAGGATTAATAAGTTCCTAAGGAGAATCAAGTATAGAAATAAATCATTTAATCTGGTCAATAAGAATTTAATTTATTAGAACTAAAAGATTCAAAAACTGAAATCTAAACTCAATAATAAAATTCCTAATAGACTAATTTATTGATAATTATTCCCTCAAAACAGAAATTGATTCCATAAACTGATGATCCAAATTAAAGTAAGAATGGGATTTAATCTTAAGTAGAAAAAAGCAATATCAGTATCATGAAAAATTCATTGTAAGTTTTGCAGCCATTTAATGATGAAAATTATGAAGCAAATCAAATTGATGATGGAAGTGTTATAATTGTTCAAAATCAATAGCAAGATGATTATTCACTATTGATTGATATAACTGAAAATAATTAGTAATAATTTCCAGATAAAAAAAAGACTAATAGATAAAATAATTAAGAAATTATCAACAAAGACAACTCATTTTAACAGATTCAACAATTTGAAGATCCAAAAGAAACCATAGATTAGGAATCACAAGAAAATCCTGTCTCTTTGAAAATAATAAAAAATTAATTAAATGAAGGTGTGATACAGTTAAAGGATAAAGATTAAAATGAGATTTTGAAGTAATTAAAATTGATTAAAAGAATTTTTAATCATTTGGAATAGCATCCTAATGATCCAACTAATATCTTTGAGGATGAACAAGGTAAAAAGAACTAAAAGCAGATTCAATAATTGTTTGATGAAATTGTGATTTAGAAAGAAAAAGAATAGCTGTAATTAATTGATGATGTCAATGACGGCCTAGATGTTATTTAAAAAAAGCAAGAGGCAGATCATTTTTTTGATGATAACAATATCTAGAATTATCCTCATCTACTAACTTACCTTAATGAAGATCAATTAAATGTATTAAAATCAGAAATACAGAGTAATAAATTTGTTACCGATTTAATATAAAAATTAATAGAGGTGAAGGAAGATTTAAAAAAGCTTAAACAAAATCCAATTTTATAAAATATATTAAAAAAACAGTAAGTCGAATTACTTAATAAGGAGGAACTAAAAATTTACTTACGCTTATTGGACAAGGTGCCCAAGGATAGAAAATAAGGGGATAGACTGATAGCCTCACAATCTGCTGTTGAAAATAAACTAAAAGAAATAAAGCTAAAGGAACAAGAAGAATTAAATAAATAGAAAATTATTGAGTTTTTAAGAAATCCTTCTTTTGATAACTTGCTACCGGATGCTCTTATTAGGAAATTACGTGCTGAGGAGAGAAAAAAGTATAAGGCAGCTCTGAAAGATCTAAAACTTAAATCAACTCAAAGATAGAAAAAGATCATATAAGAATAGATTGATATCATTAATGAAATAAAGAGGAAACATGATAGAAATAAGATTTAAATCAATAAAATTGATGAAGTTAGTAATGAAGGGAGTACGAAGTAATCTTCAAAAAATACTAATTATCTAACCTTCCAAGCTGCTTACTTAAAAGCCATAAAACAATTGGTAGATGATAAGGATTCTGAACTACTCTCGTAGAATAAATATATACGCGAATTCTAATTAATTTAGGATGCTTATTAAATTACTGATTTAGTTCCTAGTTATTGTTATAACTTTTCATAGTAGTTCAAGAATAGGAAACTTCAATTTTATGATTTCTAAGGTTCAAAATATAAAGGCGAAACTCTTGATGATTATCCAGATGGAATGGGGATTTTGAGAAAGAGGGGAGTTTCATCAATATATAAGGGCTTTTTTAAGAAAGGCAAGTTTTATTGGGGGCAAGTGTTGGAGATGAACGATAAAGGATTATTGACTTAATATGTGGGGTATTACAACTAGGAATTTGAGGTGAAGCATGGAAAGGCAAGATTGAAATGGTTTAAGCCTTACAGAGAAAAGTTGTTTTTGGAAGCTTATAAATTTAATGTATATGAAATATATGAAGGGGATTTTATAATGGGATATATACATGGGTAAGGAAAGAAAGTATATGCTGATTAATCTGAATATGAGGGAGAATGGAAGAAGAATCAGAGAGTAGGTTTCGGGAGATTGATAATAAGGTAAGGAGGATAGAAGTCCATAACTTATGAAGGTGAGTTTTAGGATAATGTTTAGCATGGTAAGAATGTTAAAGCCATTCACCATCATTAAACTGGACTTGATTTGATAGTGGAAGGAGAATATAAAAAGGGCAAGCCAATAGGATCACACCTATTAATTTTTAACTAAATCCAACAGAAAGTTATTCACTATTGATTTAGGTTGATATTATTAATTTATATAGGTTTAATATTCTCTATCATATTTATTTTGGAAATATATATATATATATTAAATAATTTATCGAAATGTTGAGTGTGATATTGAGAAGAAGTGCAGCAAGAAACATAGCAACTAGAGGTGGTCATGGATGGGATAGACCTGATGTGCCTTTGACAGTAGCATATCAACATAAAAGAAGAGTATGCAACTATTGAATTATTCTATAGATGGATGTATTTGATACAAATTTATGGTTTTATTGCGGTGTGATGCCAGAATACTTTATTAATTAGAGTAATTAATTAATATGATCTGTAGATGAGGGCTATTTGAATTCAGCTCAGAATGCCATTAAATATTTGATACTCGATTCGAAATATATTGTTGCAGCTTTTGCAGCAATTATGTTCACATATGAAGTATTCTATGAAGCCAGATTTTGGAACATCCAGCCAGATTATTTAAAAAACCCAATTGTAAACTATCCTAGAAAGGTCCAATAAGAAAGACCATTCATGGTTAAGCATTTCCTAGATTTGAGTAAGGATTATAATCAATATGAATAGGCATTACAGGTGACATGGGTTTGTAAAGAATGGTCCCTGGAGAAAAGAGTTTTGCAACTGAACTATTGGAGACTTATGAGGAATAAAATAGACACATTCAGCTCATGAATTTAGAAGGCAAGACTTACATAGAAAGAGTTGAGGCAGAATCTAGATAGGCTGTTGCAAGAAGACATGGACAAGGTGAAGCTCATCACCATCATCATTGATATGAATCATATTAAATAATCAAAGGAAAATTATATTTCTGTTCTAATATAATATGGATATCTTTTATGTAGATACAATTTGATTTGTCAATTTATCAAGGTTTTTTGTAATTTTAATTATTGAATTATTTGTAATATTGAATATCTCTAAAATTGCAGACTTTAATCTTTGAATTTTGATATTTTTCATAATTCGTGATAAACTGTTGAAATTGTATTTTCCATAAGAAAATATGAGTTCATTTGGAAGAAAAACCTTCATTTTTAACAAAATTAAATGAATCGAAGTTTTCATTTTTTAATATATTTAAAAATAAACTCTCAATGGGAACTGCTTGCGCTTTAAACCAATCCTCTATTGAATAATCTCCTCAACTATTATTAGATCATTTCGATATCAGAGCATATCCTTTCTAATGCAATGCCAAACTGTACACTCATTGCCCGACCAAATAAGACATATCTAAAATCTTAATCTAAAAATCTAAAGAGTTTATAGATGACGAAATACCTTCGGATTCTAATGGATCTTTTTTTGAAGGTTCTCATAGAAGAACAGCATCCTAGAATACATAACGAAATAGCCTTGATTTCTCAATAAATAAGACTGAAACATATAAAAAAGGAATACTTAGAAGGCCTTAATCTTAAAAAACGATAAGTTAAAAATCTTGTTAACAAAGTTAACAGAAGAAAGTACATTTTTAAAAGTCTAAATTTGTCCATATGTGAATCCACTTTTTGATTTGCATATATATTCATATGATTTTATTTGTAAATCTTATATTTTAATATTTCATTTTCATTAAGAATATCCTTTTTTTCAAATTGATTCTGCCAAACCCTATTCTTGTATCAGTTCTTCCTCAGTCACCTTGAGTTTTTATTTTGAAAAGTCACTCAACTCTAAATTTCCAACAATCTCATATTTAAAAGCTCCAAGGCATCTGATTGGATATGAAAAACACAAACCACTCTACACTCCATATTCACCATTTGAAAGGACTCCAAGTGATAATAGAGTATCCTCTCTGCCATTAAACCAATCTTTAATATGATCTAAAATTATGCATCCTTTTAAATACCTTTAACAGCATTTGCAGCAGAGAAAACACTACTATTTCCTCGAGCATTCAAAACCTCAGCCCCTCTCTTCTAGATTCGCTCGATAAATTGTCCCTAATCTGGTAAAACAAAAGATTATCCATCAGCTGTAGCATGTTCAATTGAAGGATATTGAGTAGTAGAATGATTACCCCAAATAATGATATTCTTAAGACTATTTAATGGTTTATTTAAGGCTAAAGCAACTTAAGCGTATGCTCTATTCTAATCCAAACGAGTCAAACATGTGAAATTTTAACGAGGAATTCTAAGTTAAAATTAATAATATACTTAGTTGCGTATCTACTTAAAATTAAACAATTTGTATTTGCAGGATTGGCAACAACTACACATTTTACGTCATCCTTTCCTACTTCCTAAAGAGCTTCTCCTTATTCTTTGAAAATATTGGCATTTTTTTGTAGTAAATCCTTTCTCTCCATTCCTGGTAAACGGGGAAATCCTCCCAAAAACACTACAATTAAAGTTGGAATTACCAATCAAATCACAATTTTTGAATAACTCTTTAGGATTTGAACCAGTTTATATATCTCCGATTAAAGGATATGCACAGTCTTCAATTTCCATGACTACTCCTTTCAATGCTGTTTCCATCTTTGGAATATCCAATAATCTCAAATTGATTTTAACCTATCCAAAAACTTAACCAGACAAAAGCAAAGGGATGAAACTGTACGCAATCTATCCTGCAGCACCAGTAACACAAACTGTCAAAGTTTATTAGACCTCCATGTAAATAATTTTTATTAAAATTTTTGAGTAATATTACTAAATTATTGAGAAATTTGATAAATTCGAAGACCAAAACAAATAATATTAATAAAATGGAAGTTCATTATTAAGATTTTACAATCATGAGGTTTTCTGGTTTTCTCCATAAATCATCAAGATTATAATGAAGATATCATTCAGGTATTAATAAAATGATTTAAAAATGAACCACTCAAAGAAAAGATCTCTGAAACATTTTTAAGTGAACATTTACTTAAAAAAATTCAGTCATTTTTTATAAATATTATCAATTTGGAAATTAATTTGGCAACAATTGACATGGCCCTCTTTTTTGCATATTAAACAAGCAGCTTTTTGATAATCAAATCGAAATCCAAATAGTATTTTAGTTAGCGAATATGTTTGTTACTTATTTTTCAATTTTTGTTTTAGAATGCTCACTAAATATTATATTTATAACCTTTATATTCTTGTGGTTTCAGTTCAATGCAATCATCCGAGGAGTCAATCGACAATGGTTTCTGTAGAAAAGATTAAAATACTTCTTAGATCTCAGCGGTTGATGATTTTTAACTTGTACGGTCCTGCGATTCCATTCAAAGGAAAATTTAATTTAATATTGATATATAATCACTTCAATTAGTCTCTAACTTTTTTACACAATGAAGTGGATGGCAAGTTTTATTCGGTGTTATATTCTAAGTAATCTGTAAACTCAGAGTCTTTAAACCAATCTCCCAATCCACAATCGATAAATTACTGAATGAAATCCAAACATAAAATGTTAAGGAAATCAGATTCCAAGATTAAAATTAAAGTGTCAATTAATCTCAAAGCTAAAGAATTTGAAAGAAGATCAAATAATTGAGAGTAATTTTTGTAACTCATCAAAAATCTGATCAAATAAAGATCATCGCCTTCATGAAGCAAAAGTTCAACAGCATCTTCTAATAAACCATCCTATTAAAGTCTCATAGCCTTTTGCCACACGTTGAGATTAGGTTCATGAACAATATTAGAGTAATCAACAGTATTTTCGAATTGATCTTCAATCAAAGCTTGCTTAATATCTTATTTAAATTGTTGTTAATTCTGTATTTTTTGATTTACATAAACCTGTCCACCTCCAGACCCACTTTATTTTTTTAAGAAACCAGGAGATAAATCAAGAGAAACAGGATTAGGCATTAATTCGCAATCCACAGACAACTTAAGTCTCATCCATTCTTTAAGAGCTGTTCGAGCTGCATTTTAAACTGCAATTACTCTATCCCTCGTTGAATCTTCCAATACTATGATAACTTATTCATGTAAATTCCCTAAAGCAATTTTGAAATTAGAGTTCTAGTACTAAGTGGCAATTAATTTCATCAAATTCAATGCTCCCACTCTAGTCTAAAATAATTTCATTTATTATTTATTACTCTATAATTGAGCTTTTAGTTATTAATTCCTTGAAGAGTCTTATCGATAACCTGGATCTACTAGCTTGTGAAACTTTATATTTATAAGGTCTTTATGATATAAAACATAATGGTGTAAAATCCGGAATGGTCTATTTGTTATTTCTTGTTAATTCAATAAATACCAAATAAATGCCTAGGTAATCTTTAACCACATCCTTTATAAATGCTAAATCCTAAGCAGTAGTCAATGTTTCAAATAATTATGACAGGACTATGGTTGCAGTTTCTTATGTTTGTCTGCTGCCTCCAGATCCAATTAATTAGCTTAGAGTAGAGTACATCAGCAAAACTCTTTATTGAACTGGCTTTTTGGATATATTTTTGATGTAAGTATTTGACCAACATTCACTGATTGCCATTTGAACATTATTGTTAGAATCCTATATATATTGATAATGCTTTATGTACATTAAAGTATTTAAGCATAATTTCGATGAATTTGTAAATGTCTGTGACGGTAATTGTGTCTCCATATATTCCAACAATAATGTTAATAGTTTTGATGATGCTTTCACTCCCTTTGCCATTTATTGGTGTTTAGAGACAAGTTATCAATAGTTAAAGATTCGGTTAAGATTGATTTTATTAGACCAATGAAAATATATTAGTATACGCAATTTATTTGGTGCTTAAATCTCCTAACTTTGCTAGCCAATGCTGAAATTGTATTCTCAAATCATATTAACTTAAAGGTTGTGCTTTCTAGATGTATTGTAATGCAGCTCTTGATTTCTAGTCCACTTGGGCCTTCGATTCAATCTACTTTTTCAGATCTCTTAAAGCTTTTAAGGATGTGAATGCATCAAATTCCTCAAGACTCATTAGTTATTAATAAATATATATATATATAAAATTATCATTTCATTTTATCCAATTAGTTTAAATACTTTAAGTGTTCTTTCTCAAGACGAGCAATTTCATCATCAAATGGATCTCTGCTAATATTATTGTTTTCTGAAGGTCTATTTGGAATGCTTTTAATAGGCTATTCATCTTTTTTCCTTATTTGGGGTTTTGGAATATTTCTAGCAAAATCCATTGCTTTGGTTCTAGATGATATATTATCTCTACCTTGCATTAGGTTCTGATTGCTTGGGTTCTCTTATTTTCGTTGTTATTATGTTTGTTGAATTGAACTATCTCACTTACTCTGCAAATTCTTAACGTTTCAATACTTTCTCCTTTTCTTTTGCCCATTCATCTCCACTTAGATTGGGACCCAAGCCTCCTAATTTTGCATTGGCAGTCTTCTTCATAATTTCATAATCCTTTAGAGTGTATGGTTTGTAGCGGTGTGATTCATCTGCTGAATCTAATTATTATTTCGCTGATTTTGATCGAGTATCCTCTTTCTTTTGTGGTTCTGAAACTACTTGATAATTTGCTATAGGCTGAAAGTATTATTGTTGACTTAAGTATTAAAGAGAGTCTTGTATCTATTGTTCCCCAATATATGGATTATGTTAATAGAGGGTTTAGTTGTTAGTCTGTTTGTTGTATTAAATTTTTATTGGAGATATTTGAATATTTGTTTATTGCTAGAGAGGCTAGTATATTAGAGGTGGTTTATTTTGATCTTGATTATTTGATAATCATACAATCAAGTTCCTTTTTGATGGGCTATTGACATGTATTCAAAACTGATTCCAATCCATTTCTACCCATCACTGTCGTCTTCCCTTTAAACCTCTCCTAAAATGTTGCCATGCTTTTAATAAAATAAATTATGAAATAATCATCATTATATGTAGATTACTTTCATTATTTACTAATGATTGTAAATAATAACACATCTGGACATATCAACAAGAAAGGAAACTGGTTTCACATAAAAATAGAATTTATACAACTAGAAAACTGCTACTCATAAATTATTATTTATTTTTAATTCTTTTAATTCTTATTAGATTTGAGAATAATTGGTAATTAATGATAGAATAATTTGAATTATCATAACTAAGACATTTTATTTAAAATAATTAAATAAGCAAGACAATATGGTAAAAGAGTAGATAATAATGTTGTAAAATTATTCACTTAAACTTTTTTTCGACCTTCCTTTTGATTTCTTCTTTCATCTCCTCTCTTTCAATTAATTATTACTCAAACTAATCGATCATTATAATCTAATCAACGTCAACTTCCCTCCAAAAGAATTTATATTTGAGTAAGCCCTTAATTTCATATGTTAAACTTTTTAATGCTGCAAATACTTTCTTGTTTTTTTAACACAAGTAATTCTCTTTCAAAATCTGAGATCTAAATGACTATCTCTACTATAGTTTCTCTATTAGAAGTTCATCTAATTTTGAATACATAATATACTTTATTGATAATAGATTAAACACTCTTCCAAAATCGACTCCAATTCTTCAGTAGAATTTGAACTATTGATTATTCGTTTAATGTAATCTATTCGTTCTGAAAAAGATAAATGACCTTTATTCCAAATAGAAATTAATTCTTATATCTATTCTGCTATTTGAGATTACTAGTTTTTTGGGTACTATTAAACAAAATTTAACTTGAAGAAAGTAATCTATTGGAAATAATAGTCTTCTAATTAGATGTCCTCTAAAAATTTTGTTTACAACTCTTATCTTAATAATTTGATATTTCTAGTAGTTTGATTATCTTTTGAATCTATCTAAAAGAGTTCTTCAAAATGGTCTTGAGGCAATAGGATTTTTGATTATCTTTAATTGTTACTTGTCTGTGACTGTCTAATCTTCTCCTTGCACAGATTTTCCAACTTCTCTATTATTGTTGACTGATTGATGAATGAGGATTTCTTGGTTTATTCATCCTACTAACTATTTCTTTATTGATTAGGAGATTGTGAGGATCGTTTTTAAAAATTACTTATACCGTATATAGAAGGATCATTCTCCTTTTCTTATTGGATTTATGATTGCTTCTAAATTTATTATTGTTAAGAGAACTATTACTTTTATTAAGTTGAACTTATGTTATTTTAAGTATGATTAACAGTATTCTTAACAATTGAAGGTTAGGATATATTGAATGAAATAATCTAACTATCATGAGTATTAATCTAGGTGTTTATAGTTTAGGCAATCTCTGATTTTTAAATATGATTTGACTCATACTATGGAATCATATTTTAAGCTGATTACTTATTCTCATTTACATTTTATTTAATTTCCAAATGAAATAAATCTGGTAATTCATCAAAATTGGCAATGTTCAATCCATCATAAATTAAGCATTCTTGAAGGACTTGGTTTTTGATTGCCGATTGATAAGGTGACAATTGTGATTGTGTGTCATTTTGCTAAGGTTAAATTACTTCCTTCTTTTGAGGTTTTTGTTTGACGGCTTAATGTTTTAAAGCCTTAATTTATGATAATTGATCCTGGAGCAATTTGATCTACTCGTGAATTTCTTAAATCTGCGATCCATATGTATTTTCTTGAGTTTCTTTTTAAGATTAGAATTATTTGGTTTCAGCCTCTATTCTTAACAATTTCTCTCTCTAATTTTGATAGTCAACTGTCAATTGCGATTTTGCTTAGGAACTATAAATGGATTATACTTTATTCAAGCTATTCTAAATGAATCTAGAGCTTCTCAGTGAATTCATTTGTCATTTAGTCTTTCATCTAGACTCTATCCTCCTCATAGGTCTTTTAGCAATTCAATTTGATCAAATGGATTTTTTTCCTCACTTCCTCCTCTACATAACCATTGTATTCTTTCTGTATTTTTTATCTCAATCTATTTATTCTCATTAATTAATACTATTATTCTAAGACTTGCATTGATCTGCTTTTGCTCAAACTCACAGAAACATTATGAATCAGAGATTGTTTTTCTTGCTCGAACTCCTACTCAATTTAATTCATAATCTATTATGCCAGCTATCATTATTTATGAAATGAAAAACCTCTCTTCGTTTTTCTGCCAATTGATTACTAATGAATTGAGAACCTGCTATTTCCTATTTTGCTTAGTTCATCTACTCAAAATATTGAGCTTCATATTGGGGTTTCAACTCCCTTATGATTTCTTCTCTAATCTAAGATTAATTGTAGGAACTCTTACTTTAGGAATCATTTCCTCGATTAACTCTTTGACTTAATCTGACATTGTTAAATATGAAATTTGAATTTATAATATTTTTAATATAATATAATAATAAATTACAATAGAATTGAACATTCTAAGAGCTACTTGATTAAAATATTGATTATATTTCATGAAGATGATGAAGATGATGATGATGATGAAGAAGTTATAAAATATAATATTAATAGTAATAGTATAATTGAATAAAACAAGTATCAAATTTATCATGTTTCATTTTATAATATTAAGGAAGTTTGCATCGGAATTAGTTGTTATTGACTTATACATTTTTATGCCCTCCTTCAATCCTTCTATGGCTATAATTATTGTAACATTTCTTATGAATGATTAAATTTCATTATAAATATTTCTTTATTCTAATACATTCCTTTTGAATAATAATTAAAAATGCCAATAAAAGGGTTTACAATATGTAAAAAGAAATTTGTTGATGTTTAAGTTCATATTTGTTAGTAATTAAAATCATATTTTGCAAATTATCATGAAAGCTAAAATTTTTAGTATATTCATTTTTTAACAAATTTCTTCTTAATTTCACCAAGAATATCATTAATTTATATAATTCTCACCTTTACTATAAATTATCCAATAATCTAGGATATATACACTCATCTTTAATATTTGAAATACTCTAGCACTCTTATAAAAAATACTAAAACTACTTCTTCAACTTGATCATCACATTATTAAAGATTATTTCCAAGATATTTCAAATAAAGGATCTGAAAGTCTTTCCTTTTTACTAACCTATACAACTGTTTACTTCTATCTATTTCTAAAAGAATAGACTATCTCATAATTTTCATTATATTGATTAATTAATATAATGAAGCAAACTCCGAAGATGAGTTAGGCTAGCAGTCCAAATAATAAACTCATCAATACTTTGTTGTTGAAATCTAAAAGTCCTTCTTAGTATACGATCTAAAGTCCTGCTGTGTCTCCTACTCAAGTGAGTTTACCCAAAGCCTTCTATCCTCACAAAAACTCTTCGATAGATCTAACGAAATTGGCAACTCTGATGAAACAGCAGAAAGTGAAGCAATCGTCATCGGAGGGATCAAAAGATTCAATGACTCAATTAATAGCCAAAGCTCGTGCAATTGCAATGTCAGCCAAAACTCCATCAGGACCCATACATATTCGGAATGACTCAGCGCAGGTGCGAAAAGTGAATAAGGAGTCGGAGGTAATAAGTCCGAAAGCAACTGATGCAAAACAGATAAACAAGGCAGCTTTCACATTTGAATATGTAATTGGTATTGGAGGGTTTGGCAAAGTGTGGAGGGTAAAAAGAACAGGACAACAGTTTGCAATGAAGGAGATGTCCAAAGCCCTTGTTATCACTAAGAAAAGTGTGAATTCTGTGATGAATGAGAGAATGCTGCTTAGCCAACTTAAACATACATTCCTCATCAACATGTACTATGCATTCCAAGATCGTGAGAACCTGTACCTAGTGATGGATTACATGTGTGGAGGTGATCTGCGATTTCACATTGGGAGAATGCGACGTTTCAACGAGGAACAAACTAGTAAGTATAATGTAACATTTCAGAGTTCTTTGTGGCATCCATCTTCATTGGTCTCGAGTATCTACACATTAATAATATCATTCATCGAGACATCAAACCAGAAAACTTGGTGCTCGATGAAAAGGGATTTGTCCACATCACCGATCTGGGAATTGCTCGTGTCATGAAATAGGAAAACTCAAGTGACACCTCTGGAACTCCTGGCTATATGGGTATTTATTGATTTATATTAATTCATTAACAAGCACCTGAAGTCATGTGTCGACAAAATCATACATTTGCTGTCGACTATTATGCACTTGGAGTCATTGCCTATGAGTTTATGTTAGGAAGGGTAATATTATGATGTCACTATTCGTAGCGTCCTTATGTGGGCAGGTCTCGTCAAGAGATCCGCGATTAAATTCTTGCTCGACAGGTCCAAATCAAGGCAAGTGAAGTACCTCCAAACTGGAGCGTGGAAGCTGTAGACTTTGTGAATCGGCTGCTCCAACGCAAACCAGCAAGTCGTCTCGGTTTCAATGGGGGCCATGAGATCAAGTTGCATCCGTGGTTCAAAAACTTCCCATGGTCTAAACTCTAAAATAGGGAATTGAAGGCTCCATTTGTTCCGAATCCCAGTGATGACAATTTTGATTAAAGACAGATTGTCATTGAGGATGAGGAAAATGCAGAACTCATTGCTCAAAACATTTAGTTGTTGCGAGATCCCAATGCTCAATAATAATTTGCTGGGTATGAGTACCAATCAAACAATGAGAAGATCTTTGTCTTTGATTAATCAAAATAATCATGAATCCTTTGACTTAAATTATTTTAAATTCTTCATTTAATAATTATATAAAATTATGGATGTATAAATATTGTGTAATGCCATTTTATTTATGCTTACCTTGCTTGTGATAAACGAAGTCTTGACCAACTATTGGATGAATAACAGATATCTCAAAAATTACTTAAACAACACCATCATTACAGCCTTGATAGGAATTGCAGCCGGCTTATTTCTATTGTTTATTGATAAATCTTCACTTTTACAAGAGTACAGACAAGGATTCAGTCAATTCTTCTTGATTGTGTTATTGCCACCCATATTATTTGAAAGCTCAATTAATATGGAAAAAGCTTTGTTTTTTCAAAATTTTGGTAGTATTGTGATGTACGCAGTCATCGGAACCTTGATAGCAACATTTGTAACAGCATTTAGCTTATAATTGGTCGGATTGCTGATCTCGGTAATATTATATTATAATTACGTAAAATTTAGAAATTATCATTGACTAGTAGTTATGCATTTGGATCTTTGATATCTTCCACTGATCCAGTAGCTGTTTTGGCAATATTTAAATAGTTAGATGCAGATAAACATGTTCACATACTTCTTTATGGAGAAAGTATTCTAAATGATGCTATTTCCCTTTTGCTATATGAGTATTTGATTAGATGACTAATTTATTTTAGAATATCGCAAAGGATGTGGAATCAAGAAGTTGTGGGTTATGGCGGAGCAATTAAAGAATTTTTAACTATGTTTGTTGTGTCGATTGCAATTGGTGTTATAATTGGAGTTCTATGCGCATATGTATGTGTTGGCAATTTAAAAATCTTAGATTTTGAAAGTGAAGGAGGAAGTGTCTTATGAGACAGAACACATTGAAGTCTCAGTTACTGTAATAATTCCATGGGTCTGTTATTTGATATCCCAAGCCGTTGGTTATTCAGGAATAGTGAGCATAGTATTTTGCGGCATTGTTATGGCGAAGTATGCATTGCCTAATTTGTCGGAAAGTGGAAAAGAAGTAAATAGCAAAATAATTTCTATTTTTAGTTATTAAATAAATTCTATCATATATTGTCATACAATTTTGAAAATTTGGTCTTTCTTTTCATAGGGATCGGTGTAGTTGGATACGATTTGGCTTGGAATGAGATGGGAATAGTGTTGGCTATATCTTCCATTGTGATTGTCATAGTGGCCAGATTTCTCAACATAACCCTTGTCAGTTTTGTGCTCAATCGATATCGGCATGACAATTTTATTAAGCCAAATCATCAGAGAGCTATGTGGTTTTGTGGATTAAGAGGTGCAATGGCTTATGCTTTGGCTTTAGATGCTGCGGATACTTTCAAAGAGGAAGGAGAAATTATATTGACAATGACAGTAGTTATCATTGCTCTAAATGTAAACTGTGATTTGATATCCAATTATGAATTTAGATCTTTGTTTAGGGGTCAGCCTTGTAGTATGTTTTGGAGAAATGTGACATTCAAGAGAAACCTAAGGAGATCTCGTCCGAAATAAATGTGAAGGATTGCCAATCAGATAGTGGGATTAGAGTGGTGTATCAAAAGGGATGGGCGCATAGGATGAAGGATTGCTTGGAGAAGTGTGATGAGAAGGTTTTCCAGGAGTTTTTGGTGAAGAAGTAAGTGATTGTTGTTGATTGGATAGGCGAGAGCTCACTCCAGTAAGACAGGCAGAGTCACATTGAAGAATTTAATTAAATTAATTATATTCAATTATAAATATGCTAATCTGATAATAATTGCTAATCTCTCATAAGCAGATACTTATCGAAATAAATTATTTTTAATTCTGCAACACAATATATCTGTAATCAATTATATTAATAATTAACAAATATGGGATGCACAATAACTTCTGAAAAAGTGAGCCAACAGAAAACTATGATGATGGAATCCACTTTTAACAAAGAATAAAGAGAAAAGGAATAACGCATCAAGGCCCATCTAATTCTAGATGAATACAGGTAAACAAAAACTGTCAGAAAGTAAGTGAAACTCCAATCTGATGTTAAAGATGCCCTACAAGAATAACTGTGTCGCAACAAAACAGCCACACCTCAAAAATCCTCCATAGCAAATTGAATTATATATTCAATTATCCCAAATCATTTCATAGCAACCTTTACTGTTGTGAGCAAATATTCAATCACTACTTCTAAATTATTCCAAATATCCATTCACTTCATTTCCAAAACAATAACCTCATTTTCACATCACATCCCACTCTAGTTCTACTCTAAACCTAGCATTTTCCTTTATTTAATCTCTAATATACATGAAATTAATTGATCAACATTAATTCAATTTTATCTTATGCTTTCATATATATTGTCACGATATGTAAATGTCCAAACCAATAAATAAACATTCTCTTTCCTCAACAATTTGATCCTAATTTGTACTATGTTTTCTATTTTATATAAAATTATTTCATAGCTAATTCCAGTATTTCTTCCTTAAATTTATCATTTTGTCCAACATTCTAAGAATTCTTAATAAGGATCATATAAGCAGAATAGTAATATCAGTAGAATAACAACCCTACCAAAAATATAAAGTTAAGAATATATAATTAAAATAGAATGAAAGACAATGAAGATAACTAAGATTTTTTGTTTCATAAAGCTTGGAAATTGATGATAAGATAAAATTTAAGTTCTACTCATTCTTATTATAGAAATATAGAGAGTAAAATAATAAAATGGATATTCAACAAATTAGAATAACATCAATTCCCTTTGAGAATCTAAGAATATGATAGAATTAATTAACAATGACATAAATAATGAGGATAAATACAAGTCGATTTACGAGGGATTGGAATAATATAATAATGTTTTTATTATTCTATAAAATTCTTTATATAAAAATCTCTACTGTGAAGTTATTATGCCTTTCTGAAAAATCAAGATAAATAGAGAAAATGATTGTTTCTATTAAAAATGATTTTAATTTAAATATTAAACTTGATTTATATAAACTTATACTGAGAGTTAAAAAACTACTGTACTATTATTTTAAAATTAAACACAAAATGTAGCCACAATAATTTTTAGACTTAGTGCAATGTGCATTCTTTGACAGCAACAATTAGCGTGGATAGGCTGAATAAGTACTCCTGAAGTATAAGGATGAATGTACAGATGAATTTCTTGTGTATTGTGCATCTGCATTTGCTAATCGGTCAATTCAGAATCGTCTTCGTATAGCTTGCAGTACCTTAGTGAAACGATTGGTCGGCTTAGTTGTAATTGTTTCTAATTAATCAATTTAAGCATCCTTCGAATTAGATCATGTGGTTAGCTTGTTCTCAAAACACTAAAAATGAAGTAAAAATTAAGTTCATGGATCAATTAATAGATCCTGAACATGAGATTAGAAGATCAGCTGCTAATGTAATAAATCAATTCTAAACACTAGACTATCAGTGAGATTTGTGCTATTGAGTTACCACGCTAGGAATGGCCAGATCTGATAGAAAGATTGACAACCAACTCGAAACACAGTAATGTCTTAGTGAAAGTGTCAGCTATCATGACTTTGGGATACATATGTGAATCATTGGTATGTAGACACATTATAAATAGAAAAACCATCAATCTTCAGGTATTTCAGAAAAAGATGCTAAAGTGATTCTGATGGGAATATGTGTTGGGATGGATACGAATGAGTAGAATCTGGAGATTAGAATCACTGCAATCAAAGCACTACAGGATTCACTCTACTTCATGAATAATCTATTCACACAACAAGTAAGATTAAACAATTCTATTGTAGGAAATATTTACTTTTGTTAAAAAATTAATTTTATAAAATGCTATATCAAACATATAGGAGATTAAACTTAAGGCTCTACAATGTCTAATTGATTACGTTAAACAGTTGTTCGTATTCCTCCCAGTGTTCATTACAGAACTCTATTAAACCACTTAAACCGCTTTTGAGAATTAAGGAGAGATCACTATTGCAGCAATAGAAATTTGGAATACAATTTGTGCTGAAATCAAAGAAACTATGAGTGAGAACACCAATCAACAAACACCAGAAACCAATTCTGTTGATTGTTGTGTTTCATTTTTTAAGAAAAACTACGAAGGGTTTATTATTCCCTTTATGCGCAATCTATTATTGGATGATGGAGATGCTGATGATGAATACCAATAATTGTCTGTCCCTAATTCCTCAAGTAAAGGTCTAGCATACATCATCGAATTCGCTGGTTCTAATACCTATGATTCTGTTAAAAACTTTATCCAAAATACCATAAGTCACCAATAATGGGAATACAGAAAAGCAAGTGTCATGGCATTTGGAGCCCTAGCTGAAGTGTAAACTGAAGAAATTGGCCTATTGATTAAATCAGCATTGACTAGTCTATTTGGGTGTCTTGTAGATTCAAATTTCAAAGTAAAAAAAGCCACTACTCAAACTCTAAGTAGAATAGCTGAGAATTATCCACAATGCTTTCATGAACATGATCAAGCTAATCAGATGCTTGCTACTCTCCTAGATTAATTATCCAATAAGGTTTCTATTGTACAAAATTTGGTGTGGGTGTTTGTTTACTTAACTGAAGGATTAACTAATTTTTAGAATAGTGTCTTTACTAGAGAGAAATTCACTATTCTCAAACATCTAGCCAGCACATCAATAAGATCAGACATCAAAAATTAAGAGATTTCACTCATAGACACAGCATTTATGGCAATCTTAAATATCATTTACAGTGTGACTGAAACCAAGCTATGTAATGATTACCTATAGCAATTTTATCAATAAATTTAATTACTAGAAGGTAGCAATTAGTATCCTGTTGAAATTAAATACCATCTTGAAATGGGATTAATGAGTGCCATGCATGGATGTGTTGTAAGATTAGATGATTCTACCACTCCTGAGAAACAATTTGAAGACATCATGAAAACACTATCTAAGGTCGATTCTAGAGTTAAGAATGACTACTTTTATGTACTTTCTGGAATCGCTTATGCATTCAAAAAGAAATTGACTAAATATTCTACTTAAATCATTTCAGAATTAAATAAACCACTTTCAGAACCAGATGACATGGATAGTTTCAAAACTGCACTATTTTGTTTATCTGATATTGCCAGGGCCATGGAAGAAGAGTTTGTTCCCTATATGAATATCTTGAATTATTTCTTTGGATTAATAAAGGTATTATAATTAGTCTATACTTTCGTTAGAATGTTAACTTTAATAGAGAATTGAAAATATAGGTGTATAATGCAATTGCAGACATCATCTTGGGCTTGAAGGATAAGTCAGCTCCATTCATGAATGATCTCAAAGAAATCCTTAAATTAGGTTTTGCAGCTAGCATCGATTTAACTAAGAGCAATTTGAGTGTCGATTAAGATTACGCTGAGAGATTGAAGGAGACCATGACCGCATTCTATACCTGTATTTTACATGCATATTGTGATCCAAAAACTCCTATTTTTGAATTGGGAGACACAGTTTAATGGTTCATCATATTTTGTTAAGAAATGTGCAACTTAAAATTAAAACCCACCATTGTAAATATATTATTATTTATCACTTTAGGAATATGTACGATTGACTCTCTGCTGCATATTCGATTGCTCTCATTTCTTCTAAAATATACCTGATATGAAATAGAAAATAAAAGAATTTATTACCAGCGATTTTGTTATTGAATTGATACGAAAACTGAGTTAGTTCAATGATAAAGATTATCAAGATTGCGTAAGTTTTGCTCAACAATTACTTAATGATGTGTACGGTTACTAATTGAGATTATATTGAATATTATTTAATATTTTTGTTTTCAAAGGAGTAATTATGAATGATTATTAAAAATACAAAATTATTCAAAAGGATAAACTTATTTATTTATAAATATGTACTGATTTTCTTGATCCCAATAGGACACAAAGAGAATATATTGATTATTAGAACAACACTAATTAGGATCACAAGGTATTTGGAATAATAAAGTAACAAATGCTTGGAGTACAGAAACTTCATGCTTGTGTGTAATATACAACAAACTTATCATAGATCAATTCAATATAACTCTGCTTCCTTAGATGATAATAAAATTTAAGTGTGTAATGTTAGCTCATTTTACAGAATTAGTGATTCACTTTGTTGTTATTAATTTAATACAATTAACATTAATATTAAAATTAGATACTGCATCATTAAAAAGACATTAATAATAATTATTAAAATTATATGGGATGCTCTGAATCTACGCATTATAAATCATCTCTCTAAATGAGTAGAGAATCTACTTTAGACACCTGCAAAAACTCTCCGGTCAAAACTATCACTAAGCTCGTTGAAGATGATATGTTGAACTTTGAGGATTTTGACACTTCAGAATTAATAATTGAACAAACTAATTTTCACTTTTATGACTCTGTTTTGTAAAGAATTGTCTCGGTTCCAAAACTTAAGTCAATTAATACTTCAAGTATTCTCAAAAGAAGAAGGAATAATTAGAAATCCTGATTATCTTTTTCTATTTTGTACTAATATATGAATATTTATATATACATTAGAATTTGATTTTTAAGTTTAAGATACTCTCAAAAATTTAAATTCTTTTTTCATATTCTTATGTTGACAATCATTTTCAATGAAGAACTAATCTAAATATACAACTATGACAATATGATGTTAGCCATATTGAAGCAGCAATTAAAAATCATTAAAAATCAAGTTGATAATTATAATCGAATGCTAACCCATCTGATATTCTTCTTCTTTGGAGGTTAATATTATTCTATTACCTTTATTATACTACTATTCTTTCAATACATTTTGAATATATACAAAATTGTAACTATATTGATATTTATAATTAGTGAGTAAAACAGAATAGATACGTAGATTTGAGTTCCTAAACTACAATTGAATATATAATTTATCTATAATAATATTGGCCTTTCCCGTCACTATAATTTTAGTTTCAAATTGTTAATTTAATATCCTGTCAATAATATTGAGATAACAATTATAATGATTGATCATTAACCCAATAAGATATGCTGGATTTTATTGTCTTATTTGAATATACATTTAAGAGTAATTCCATACTACAAAATTACCTTCTTTTTATTTTAATTTCTTCTTAGCAATCCTATTTTATTAATCCAAATATTGAATTAGCATAAAACTTTAGAAAGAATCATCAACTATATTCCACGATTCATTTGAATAGATTTTTCTTGCCTTTGATTCAGTATTGAAGTTTATATGAATAATAGTATATATTTTATATTTGCATTAATTATTTTCCCTTTTACTGACATAATTATTAATCAATTATAATAGATGTGTATTCAAGCGCCTACAAAGTTAAAATGAACCCTACAGCAAATTTAAAAGTTTTAAGCTTGAAAATATTCTTAGAAATTCTTAATTCCCTTTTAATTAAAATAAGTTCGATTCCTAAATTATGTATTCCTTTATTATAAATTTTACATAACTAAGTTTTAATTCATCTCTTCTCCTGACAAGGAAGACTCTAAATTCATTATTTATTAAATAACCATTGCACCATAAAAATATCACCATTATTTACTTTTACTTCTTCGTTTTATTGTAGAATACAGAAATATCATCTTTCAAACTAAGTGGCTAATAATATCACAAATGCATAATTATTATTAAATGAACACATCATAATGATATTTTAAAGCTACTCAGATTTCAATGAAGGATTACAATATAAGCTAAAATAAAGAAGATATTATAAATAGGAATGTGTTTCAACAAGATAATAATTATCATAAAAATTATAAATAAATATAGTCATAAAGCGAGAGGAATTAGGTTCAGAATCATATCAATAAATTACAATTCGTCACCAAACTCTTCAATATCCTCATCGATTTCTTTTGCGGGTAGATTTACATATTAAAAAAGTGTTTTTGTAGTTACTAATTATGAATAAAGAATTTACATGACAAAACAATCCTTTTATTTTATTCATTTTGTATTATTTATTAGATTACTTTTGGTTTTTCAGGCATCTATCTAAAAACAATTGATGTTGGAAATTGTAAGGTTTTTGTTTTAATATCATAAAATAGATGATACGATTCAAGTTGAGTTTGTTGATATTTCATTATTATTTTATGAATATTCGTTATATTTTATAAAGTCCAACTATTTGAAAACAATAACAAATGATAGAATCTATTTATTGAATTACTTGTACCTTCTTGCAAATGCTTATCTATTTCTTTCTAACTAATAAATTTCCTTTGCTTACTGATAAAATTATTCTGAAATAAATGAATGTCTATTTACTCTGATTTACGGAATGTACATTAAACACAATTAAAGAGCATCTTCCAAAATTGAGTGTCTCTTACAATTAGACCTAATCTTAATTTACTTTAAGATATCATGAATCTCTAATAAGAGCTACTGTTTCGCTTATAAATCTGGATCATCTGAGAATTTTAATCTAATTTCAAAGGATTCTTAATTTTAAGTACCACTCACCTCTGAATTTATTGTAGGGCTTACTTCACTTTTATTAGTCATTTCACTGTATTATGATTAGATCGTATTCGATTAAATTTATTGAGTGGGCTGTAATTCATTTTTTTCTTTCTATATTCTATTCTATTATCTCTAAGCGGGATTTTAAGAATTTGATTTTTTATGATAAATTCTAGTAATTTAGATATTGACATTAAAAGCAGGCTAAATTTTTAGTTGTGAATTCTTACGAGCTTATGATAGTATTTAATGTTAATGCTAATCATTTGTTTAATAAAGTTGACTCTAGATCTCTTATTTTAATTCATTTTCAAAGGAATTTTTATTTATTTTTTGAGAAGGGTAGAATTATTCCGTATCATTTTCCTGGTTTTGACTTTGTGCCTCGAGTTTGGCTTAGCATTCTGTTTGTGTCTATTCTTTCAATTGATTATTCTTCTATGGTCGATTATTCTGAGTTGAAGATTCTTTCCATGAGACTTGTTTATTTTTGTATGTATATTGAGATAATGCATCAATTTTTATTATCTCTTATTGTTGATCTTAGAAATTTGAATTATCCATTGGCGAATAAAATTTAGTTATTATGATAAATATTAGAATAAAATTAAATATAAAAATTTAATTACAAACTTGAAATTGGAATATAGGGAAGTAGATATATATTATCATTTGTTAAATTTAAAATTCATAAAATAATTAGAAATATTTTATTTCTTAATTAAATGATATTTATTAAATACATTTATCCAATATTTCAATAACTAAGATTGAAATATTTTTAGTAAGATGACATTTGATATAAAAATTTATAAATTTAATATACGAGAGAGTGAAAATAAGTGGAATCATATTTGTTTCATACTCAAACTGTTGGGTTGATCCATTTTAAATTTGGTTACATTGATATCAATTTCTTCATCTATTTAGATATGGTTATGGCTGGTTCACTTTCACAGAAGTTATAGCGTATGATGGTAGGATTGAATTTGACTTTTTTATTGTTCTTCTCTCGCTTTTTGGGAGGATATTGAGTTTAGATGATATGAGTGGTAGAAAATTCTTCTTTGGATTAAATTTTAACCTCAAAATCATCCAAACACTGTACACTTTGATCTTCTTGATTTTGGTAGAGTGTTAAGGGAATTAGAAATACTTATTTTGGACCTATCATTGAAAATGATATTATTTATTAATAATTTCAAGTTATTAATTCCTCCATATATCAATTAATTAATAATAATAAATATAATTAATCCCTTGTATTAATTGAAGAATAATCAGATATTGTGATTTGTATTAAAAAGGCACTTTGTGTAATTGTGAAGTTCTATGATTATCTCATTTAATTATTGAGCTTAATAATTTTAAATAAAAATTATTCTAAATTTATGTCAAAGCCAAGATCAACAAGTACGATTGAATAAAGAATCAAAGAAGTCAGAATGCAAAAATCCAGAAATTACTCCCATCTTGATGGAACATGTGTATGCTCCGAGTGTTTGTGTGGTTAATGCAAATGTTAGGTGTACTAACAACCTTATGATTATCCAAAACTTTTACAGTCAAATTATAAAAGAGAGTATCTGTGGAAATATTCTTCCCCTCCAAAACCAGTGTAGAAAGTGGAATACCAGTCCAGTTTCGAACAAGTCTTTAGATCTTCAACCTACCAAAGAAATTTTCAATCATTCAGCATTTAGAAAACTGAAAATTTCAAACCCTCCCCCCAAGACTGGAAAAATGATTCCCCTGTTGTGGAGATGACTTCCTATAGAGCCAACTTCAAATAATAACCTAATAGTACACATCCAAAGTTATATTAGACATCACTCCTATGCTAAGGCCTATTGAAGTGGATCATTCTGTAAACTTGCCAATCTCCTAGAAGACAACTTACAACAAGCATTTCAGAGCGTGCAGTTCCTAATTGGAAAATGACCATTATGTTAGAGAAGCTCATTACAAAAGACACACGAATTAGTCACCAAATCCATACTTAAAAACATCCTATCAGCATTTCTACAACGTTGTTTCATAATCACAAACAAATGCAATTTTACCACAATAAAATTAAACCTTTATGCCTGCCTTATCTGGATCGTAGAACAGATAAAGTAGATATCAATCCGATTATAAGAAGAAGCAGAGACTAAAATGTCAAGCTAGACAATTCTTAGAAGAATATATCATTATTCATTAAGAGTGAGTTGTATATTTATTTATTTAACTTAATTTATTCTATTGAATTTACTACAAAATCAACATTAATATCTAATCAATCAATTCTGAATCATTAAATTTTAATTATTCTAAAAAAAAGATGATGTTAAATTTTGAAACTCTTTATACAATAAATAAACATCAGCTGTAAAGATAATTTTCTTTATTTTCACAAATTTTCTTATTGCTCTTTCTATCAGAAAGTAATTAAGACTTTGATTTTCTTTTACTGCCCAATTCCTCCTCTGTTGTTTTGGTTATTACTTTGGATTTATTCCTATATAAGTTTAAACTTTCGCATTTCTCTTCGGTTTAAGTCTCTCTTTACTCCTCGAAGTTTTCAATCAGGTTGTCATCTGTCGAAAGCACATCAACAGTCTTGTCTGACATCTCTTCGTCCTTGATCAAATAATCATAGGCCTTAAAAAGCATTTAATCGATTTTTCGATTGATCTTTTGAATCTGATTTCCCATCAATAATTATTTTAACAGAAATAATATATTTATCTTAAATTATCAATTAAATAATTTAGTACCAATACATTAAATAGTTACGAAAAGATGGAATCTGATTTAATCTAAGAAATACCATTCATATTTTATAAGAATTTCCAACTAATTAAGAAAGTGAGAATATAAAATTCTTATAATATTAATTAATTAAATGTCAAATATTAAGTATATTTACCTTAAAAAAATACACAAAGTGCCAGCCAATGTTACTAATTATTATAACCTAGTTGAAACCATTAGGAATACTTACAAATAACTGCAAAATATATATCTATTTGCAATAATTAATCCATGTATATTTTTAAACGCACAATCATAGAAAATCCAGAAGCACTAACTGAAATCAATTCGGATGTCACCTTTCAATAATTAAAACTAACCTATCATTAACTAGGATGGCCGTCCATTAAATTGCTAGTAACAGAAAATTAGAATTATGAAGAAGTCTTAAAGGATTCTTGGAATTTATTGAATCAAAGCATAGTGATGACTGAGAAGAAGAATCATGATGCTTCAACCTTAATCAATTCTAGTAAACAGGATCACGGTGAATAAATTGCACCATTTTTTGACAATATGGGGTAACTGCATTAAATTATAAAAAATAGAACTTAAGTGAAGGTTTAATAAATTGATAATGCTTAAAATACGAATAAATTTGATTTTCAAAATAATGTATAATTACAATAATTCATTGATGAAATTATCGATCAAAAGCTAAATGAATTGGGTTTATTATATGATGAGAATAAATTTAATCCAAGGGATTACAAATTTTACAATTTTACTAATATTCCCATTTTTACAGCCATTCCATAAAAGAAAATTAATATTGATTTGAAATTAAAAAATACTGGTATTAAGAAATGGATTAATCCAAAAATAATAAATAAAGAATTAAACGTCAGTTAGAAATTTATAGATCTTGCTCCAGGTAGCACTTTCTCAGTTAAGATTTAAATCCCATACATGGTTTAACATTTTGTAAATAATGTTGAACATTATTACAATTTTGAAGTAAAATTATTATTCTAAAAATAGATCTGTGTTTAAAATGAGCAAGGTGAATATAATACAATAAATGGATAAATTCTAATTAAAGTGAAGGCCCCAGCCAAAAATTAATTATCACCTTAAGATGAGAAGATCTTTAAATTATTGGAACTTTTCCCATAAAAAGGGGATGAATATATAGTTAAATTCGTTGCAGAACATGGAAAAAATAAAAATGCTGAATAATTGGTTGAAGAATTATTATAGTAAAATTTATGATAAATTTACAAGAATTTTGTTGAATTATACGAATGGATATTATAATTATTTTTCATTTCCTTATTTAGAATATTATTAAATTTTGGATAATGTAACAAAGTGATGTGGTAGAATTCTCCTTCAGTCTGTAATACCCCTATGAAATTAAAGTCGATTAGCAAATTAATTTTAAAAGGAATTCCTCTGCCGATATTTCCTCAGAAGAAGAAAACGATTTGGAATTGAAAATACAATAACTATATAGCAAAACCAAGCAAGCCTTACAATCGATTGATTAGAAGGAGACTTTGAAAGAGGGAAGGAATACGCAAAATCAAAGTGACATGTGTAGTTACCTTGTTTGCAGTAAATCTTTGCCATATGCTTAACTGCTTATCTCAAATAATGTCTTTGCTCGAAATCATTAGATCAAGGGGTTTACCACAATATCACCTTCAAAACATAAACAAAAGATATCGATGGAGGAGAGTGCGAAAAAGTAGAATAAATTCTAAGGGAAATAGAAAATACGATTTAATAGTTATTTAAGCATTCCTAATAGGAACATTTGTTTCACTTATGTCAGCAATTGAAAATAATTTATTGTATTTTATAGTTTTTTAATACTACGATAATTATTAATGAAAAGCAGAGAAGATTCAGTTTCAATAAGAAGTGATGAATAATCGTTGGATTTGGATTGCAGAATAATGAAACCAAAGTTTAAATAGCAAGACTATGATACTTATCAAACAGAAATCACTACTTCAGTCTATAAGAGAATAATGGAGATTCAATCTAGTTCGAGTGAGTATAAATTCAAAGCATGTCATGAAACTATTTTTTCAACAAATAAATCCCATTGTAAAAGGAAATCAAGTGATTTTTAATTTTAAGAATCAAATGAAGAACAACTGAAAAATGAAAAATATGTAATTTAAAACTGCAATAATTTACTGGGATAAGAAAAGAAAAGGAAGAAAAAGTGTAAAAAAGGGTCTTTGTACTCAGTTAAAAGCCAATCTCAATCTCCAATTTAGAATCAGAATTAATAAATCTAATTATTAGAAACATAATCAAAAAAATCTCAAAGGTCTGTATACAAAAGTTCAACCGTTAATAAATCAAAAAAAGGAATGAGCAACTCCTAAGACAGACAGTACGGGTATTCCTTAGATTATCAACCCATAAGAATATAACAACGAACCAATCACTTTTTGACCAATTAATTTGATTAATTTAAGGATCCGATCCAAGAAAAACTCAGTCTTAATTAATTGAATATGCATTTATTGAATGAAAATAAATTAGGCTCAATGTATAGGAATAATAATAATTGCTTACTGAATGCATCACAACCCAAAAGCATTTTAAAGAGCAAGTCTGTATGCAGTGAAAGTAGCAACGGAGAGAACAGTAGCAGATACAAATCAATGAAATCCTCTATTTTTAAAAAAGTTACATTCGAATCAATAAAAGGTTAAAATAATATGAAATAATCTCTTCGCAACTAATAACAAATAATAATCATATAGTGAGCATTTAATATATGTATAATTAATAATAATTTACTTAAATTCATCATTATTTTTACTAATCAAAATATGATGGAGTCTCCAGATATTCTTTCGATTGCATTTCCTTCAATCGAGATCTACATCTTTCAAGAGCAAACTCTTCGTCGTATTGATCTCCCTTGTTCTTTACAATGAAGAGGTTCATCAAGTCTCTTTCTGCAGAACAAAACAATTTCGTTTTGTGATTGTACATTTCATCAATTAATAATATAAATCTTCTAGCAGCATTTCGATTACTCATACTGATCTGTTTTACTCCCTTTAGACAAATAGTATGATAATTCCTACATAACGCTATGAAATCCGATGCTCCTACTACATCCTCACATAATTCTTCGTAATCAAATAATGCTACTCCATTCGCTTGTCTTTTCACCTTGAAGTTCCTTCCTTCAATTACTTCGATTTCCTTTTCATAACTAATAGAATGGGTACAAAACCTTACAATTTGTCCGTTTTGCTAATTCTTTTGAAAATCCCCTTCATAGTCTGTTCAGCACTCTCATCCAGAGGACTAATATATGTTAATAACCTTTCACTTTGAGCTTCAGACTATTGAGAATACAGAATATTCATACGTAAGAGTATCTATAATCAACTTACGAGTCCATATTGTGAATAACGCATGATTGCTTTAAAAATGGAATAAATGGTAAAAATAAATGTCTTTATAACCCTCCCTTATACAAGTCTTCTGGAGGTCTGTTGGATGTTGCAACTAAGACCATATGATTACTGATCATGGTCTCAAATAACCTCTTCAAAATCAAAGCGTCTCCAATGTCAGTGACTTAGAACTCGTCTAAACATAATAATCTTATATCTTTAGCTTTTGCAGTACCAACCTTATTCACTGGATCCTCTTTGCTAGAACACTTGTGTAAGTCCTTCTGGATGTCAAGCATAAATTCGTTGAAATGGATTCGTTTCTTCTGGGGAATTTGACATTATTCGTAAAATAAATCCATGATATAAGTCTTCCCACATCCTGGAGAGCCAAAAACATACAACCCCTAAATCTATCCTACAAATGGACGATTGTGATCCTCTTGAGTCGATTATAGCTTAGTCTAGCTTATACTAACAGTTTGAGATCCCCCGAACAAAGAGCTAAAGAATGATGACTACTTTGCAGATGGTTATTACACTTGACTTTGCTAGGGTGTATGATTTCTTCTAATGAATTCATCTAGGAATTTTGAGTATTGTAGCCATTATTGATGACTCTAGACCAATTGATCGTTGACCCTATCAAATTAGACAATCTTTTAGCCTTAATTATTTTATCATACCGTATTCACTTACCTCTCGTCTTGAGCTATTTCCTCTTGTCTTACCAAGTATTAATATTGCTCCAAAACGGCACCAAAGTTGAATCTCACCCTTCTCAAGCCCAAAAACATTTATAATAATTTTTATTTAAACCAAGATTAAAATTAAGTCATTAATCATTCTTTATAATTTTAATATAAAGCCAATTACACACTGCTATTATTATTACAATAATGGACACTGTTAGAGTTACCAATTACCAGTAATTTAATGAGTCTTTCACTTCCACTCCAACCTAATGTTGTCTGTGATCTTGCTATCTCACCTATGTCATTCTGCTGTTATCATCAACGAAGGAGGACTATTTATGACAAGATAACTCAAAAAAAAAGTATTTGTAAAAATGATAAATTGTCTATGTGTTTTTTCTAGAAGTCGTAGAGTTCTCCATTATGGTTCTGTACATTATTTTTGCTCTTTCATCTAACCTCATAGGAACCTATGTTCAAAATATATCTTAATCTACATAATTTATTTATATTATCTCTACGACTTTAGTTTCTTATTTTTAGATGTAAAAATTGTTTGGATATATTTTATAATTCTGAGGATTCGACAATTCTATTTGAATTTCTAATATATTCTCTGAGATATTTTTCATTTTAAATTCCGTCTATACTTGCAATGTGTTTCTATTATAAGCAAATGTTAGTTTGTTCTAAGCCGAGAACATTAATAATTCGTCCATTTCTTTTTACCTTATAAAAGAGTACTTCAAAAACTAATAATTAAACAAATTAAAACAAAATTACGTTATTAATTAAATATGAAATCGAAGCTTCAAAATGGAAATTATTTTTTGAATAAAGATTTCTCCTATTATCAAAGACCATAAATACCTGTAACAATCCAATCAAAATCAGCTCTTGAAATTAAATCGATTCCCCAACCAACCAGTATTCAAAAAAAACAGAAAACCATTCACTATTATGATTAATAAAAATTTGAATAATATACATCTGCTAAAACCAAACTCTACGATTTACTCAGCTTAAGATAAAGTAAATATCATCTATCATTCAAGCTAATAGGACACCGATTCAAAGAAGAAGATAACCTGAATCTTCTCTCATAGTTAAAAGGAATCCTGAGATCTATACATCTATTATTGAAATAAACGATGTTAAATAAAAAGTCAAAACCGTCAGTCAAGAATGTCCAAGAACCTCGTAAAAAATCACAATGGTTCAACACTCGTCATAATTAGTGAGCACATAAAAAAGAAATCATAATCATTCGAAATCTACCAACAACAATAATACCTCGACCCCATTACTCAACAAAACTGTCTCTTAATTTTAATGCTTCACTCCTCTAACAAATTAAAAAAACAATGCTTAATCCGATCTCATGCAAAGAATCAAATATCAAAAATTAGAAAGTCTAATCAATCTTATTATCAATAATCAACTTAATAATATTGTAAATGGCTTCACACTCATTAAGAACACTGCCCCTCTCCTACCTTACATCAGGGGATTGGAGAGAAGAAAAGCAGAATTCAAATAAAGAAGATTTCAAATTAAATTAATCAGAATTAAATGAATAACTGAAAAATTAATAATAAAACTATTTTTCTTCCCTATTTAATCCTAGATATCCATATCATAATTAGATTGGTTTATAAACAAAATATATAAATAAATATCAGAATTAACTATCAAGAAGATTTGTATTCTGCCACTAGATCAGATCGACAAGCTTCTCGATATTTGTTTAATGTAATTATAACAGTTCCTTCTAATCCAATTTCTTTTACAGACCTATTGCTATTTGATTCATGTTCTCCTTCAGTTCCAAATAAAGTTCCTTGAATACTTGTAGAATTTCTTATATCTTTGAGACATAGATCTGAATTTTCTCATCATTGATAGGTGAAATGATATTCAACGGCAATCGATCTCCTTATTCCTAAATAGGCATAAAGGTCTCATCTGAATGTAATGAAATGCATTATTATTCAGGATCGAAATTCCACCCATATCTTTACAAAAAGGACAACAATTTATCTCCCATTGAGACATTCTCCCCTATGGCAGCTAACATTATAGTCAAACAAAAAGAACTCACTCCTCCAGTGTAAGAGTCATTCAACCCTCTTTATTTTAAGATCTTCTTCAACACTATGGCTACTTCTGTGAATCCTTTTACTGAAATCCCAACTTACCGTTGGTAATCTGTTGATAGAAGTCCAACATGGTATCCCTGATATCCATACATAGGGTATGGTTGCTACAATTCAAAAGTTATGTCAATTTATATGTTTTAAGCTTTACTTAAAAATCAATTAATTACATTATTCTCCGATTTTCAAATTCATTTACTCAATATTTCTATGATTCATCACATAATAGAGTGGGTTACCTACAAATTCTAAAAACCCTATAGACGGATCAATTGTTATTTTAATCAAAGGTATACTTGCTTGAAAGATGTGTCTAAAAGGTGTGAAATTATAAAATACTTGTAACTAATAGCCCACTTCATTTAGCAGAAAACTTCCAACAGCTTTCTCATAGGCTCAAAAAGTTATGGTTTTGTAAACACAGGCAACCCAAAAACGACCATATCAACATCGCTATCATGCAGCGCCAACCCTGTTCTTGAAGAACCAAAAATCACAGGCTCAACTTAAAATTAAAAGAAATGGGCCTTAATAATATGTTATACTCTTAGAATGGCAACTTCTCTTGCAGTTCTAAATTTGAATAGATTATCTTATTCTTTTTAATATATTGATTAAATATCCCTTGATAGTTTATGTTCCAAAATGTTTGAGCATATATGATTGAGAGTATTTTGATCCAAATCATATTTATAAGTTTTTTATTCTCTGCTTAAACTCTTTACCAATCCTGGTTTCTGAGGAGTATTTTCTTATTCTTTTTTATAAGAAAGAGTTTTCGTTGGTGTAGAATTTTCCATTTTGTAATCGTCAGATAAATAATTTTGTTATGAAGAATTGGATTTCTTAATTAAGATTACTTGTTTTTCAACTTGAACCTCTTTTTATTCTTTAGCTTTTTTATTATTTTATTTCTTTTTTTTCCCATTAAATTTCTTTTTGGTCACTTCAATAAATTCCCCATCATCATCATGAGTAGAGGTAGTAGTACAAAGAAATGTCTCTTAAACTTATTCTTAAATTTCTACTTGCTTTTGATTTTCTATTTTAACTGAAGGTTCAAATTATTAATTTTAAACACTTTCACTTGATTCTACCGACTATATTTCAGGTAGTTTTTTTAGTTTCTTCTTTTCTTGATTTCTAAGATTAAATTAAATAATTACTCTTTTCTTCTTTGTTTTTTCTTTTGATTCTTTGATTATGTATCATTAATCCATTCTTCATCAAATTGAATTTCTTACTGTTATTGTAACTATTAATACTCAGTGCAATTTGATGTGCATTCACTCATATATTGTTTTTTTTGACTTTTGGCCTTTTTCTATTTTTATTTTTTGAATTTTTTCTGATTTTCCAATTCTAAAAATGTATCCTCCATAAGTTTCTTCATAAAAGATGTAGTGAAGTCATAAAATATATTTTCTATTTCCTCATCGTTTGTGCTAAATAATCTTTGGTCATTTGCAGGTAATATTTGAGATTTTAAAGGGTTGTTGAATAAAATGTTAAGTTCCTACAATTTCTGTTATGTTTGCTTGTCCTATTTTTGTTTGACTCTTTTGATCTCTTATGCTTAGTTTAATGGAAATTCTTTGAGTAATTGCCTGGAAATCAAAAATTTACAGAATAGAACATATTCATTAAGAACTTACTTGAGAGGTACTGAAAACAACTCTTTAGGTTGATTAAAATAGTATTAGACTTCTTAGCAAAGGGTTTAGAGTTACAGGGGATTTGATTTGATAAAGTCTGTCCATGATTAAATTAGATTAAGTTCAGAAATTGATTACTTCTAGTTTGATTGTTGAGCAAATAATTATTTAAATTCAAGAAAAGACTAATTTAAGTTCAGAGATAAATAATTAAATCTAACATGATTCAAATTTAACAAATTTTTGTCATAAGTGTAATTATCACCACCTCCACAAGCTTGGCGATATCTATAAATAAACTTAATTGAGTACTTTAATAGAATAGCAATTTCAAATTCTTCAACCAGTAATTCAGAAAATGTCTAATAGACCTTCTGTTTTTTTAGGTTGATTTCATAATATCCTTCATCCTCATGAGATTCCAATTCTCCCCAACTTGTAAATATGGTGCCATTTGATACTTCTTCAAATGAAGTTATAATTTGTTCAACATCCCCTCTTAATGTAATGGTATCAAATAACCATTCATAATCAGACACATAGATGTGATCTAGGATGTACTTTAATTTAATGAGATTTATGAAATACCTTATGTGCATTTAAATCAATCTTATTTAAACGCTTACAATTTTAAATAGAATAATATCTACTGAGTTCCTCAGCAACATTAACTTCAAAAGGACTACATAATAATTCCTAATATTCATGCACCCCATTTTGATCTATCTTGAACATTTTAAGATATGAATAAACTCTAAAGTAGGATGTAAAGGAGAGCACATCGTCCAATTGTTCCTAATTTAGTTGTCTCAACCTTGAAATTAGAGTGAGTGATACCAATCAAATATGGATTATTTTAAATCGTTAGATTTTAGTTTTATTTCTGGTAAGGGATTGCCATAGTAAATCACTTTATTAATTTGTCTGGCTGAGGTTCTATAGACTTAAGTCAGAGGATAGAAAATCTGGTTCATAAATAAATTATTTTTCTAATATTTTCAAAAATGATAAAATAAATTTGGGGGATGTTTTTGTTGTTTTTAATTGTACTTGAGTATATGCAAAATATATCATCATCTGTACCTTCTGAGGGAAATTCTGTTTCTTCTAGCGTAATTGGCTCTTCTTGATGGTCTTGTTTGGTTGTTTCTGTGACCCTTTACTCTGAGACCTCTGCTCTTTCTGCCAGCAGATGTTAAGCCTAAAATAATAGAATTTGCAGACTATACCTCTTAATTCTCTGTGCTTGTGAACAGGTTTGGTAATCCAATTGATTCTTGAATCTCCTCTGATGGCTGGATGGAATGGATCAACTGTGATGACCTCATAATATTTATATGTTCCGTCTTGAGCCACCCAATATGAATTCAAAACTCTCAATGCTCCAATTTTTCTGCCAACTCTCTCTTCAGCAACTGATCTGAGATTTCTGGTGGGCTTCAATTGATTAACTCCTTGACTCTTGGGTTTACCCTTAACAAGACCCTTTCTGATCAACAATTTTCTTCCACCTCTTCTGACTCTGACTCTGTAAATAACATAACCTTTAAAGATCATTTTAAAATCTAACCTTATTTGGCCTTGTAACCTAATCTTCTGGCTTTATCTGGTCTGCTGGGTCTTGTTGCTCTATGAATGACGGGCAATTATCTGTATTCCCATGTTCTGATTCTCATGATGAAGCTGAGGACATCAGATTATTTCTTTTTCCAAAGCTCTTGTAAATATTTATATGCACCCATTATGAAAGAGAAAAAAAGATTTTTATTTATTAAAAAATTTCAAATCGATATAAACAAGCACACTAATTAAACACAGATTTAAATTTCAAAAATAGTGTAAAAATATGTCATCAAAGTTCGTATTTGAAAAGATTATTGTTCAAGAAATTTAGATCAAATAAATTGCTATCATCATATTACTCCCATTTTGTGAACTAACTTTGTAAGCTTGGTTTTTGAACTGTTTATGGAGATTCATGTCGTTTATATTTCATGATCTCCGTTCGATTGAGACTTTTTATTTACTATAATTGACTAATTGATCGTTATTTTATTGTCTTTGGTTTTATGGAGCATTACTCTATATTAAATCCCAAAGTGAATGGACAAGGACGAAAAGCCCTTTAATTTTTGATCTTCCTCAATGCTGACATCGCCCTCAATATCTTCTGATCATTTACATAAAGCTTCTAATGAGGGGTAGTAGATGCTTAATGCTAGGAGTTATTTTTCTGATGTTCTTCAAAAATTTAATGTTTAGGTTATAGAGTGCTGAAACTCTCCAATTACAAACCAAAATTCATCTAGAACTTCTGTTTTCCCTTGGAATCCACAAAAGCAGTTGAAGGACGCATCTGCCTTAAAGGAGTGATTTATTTTTATTTTTTTACCATCTTCTCCTTCGCCCTGTTTTTGCTCAAGATAAATTAATATAATCCATTTTCTTAGAACCTTTACAATTACTAACTTGAAATATTTCCAATATTCTTTCTACTGCTTTGCAAATTATGTTGGCTTAACATTTTTTATATATTAGATTAAGTCCTTTATATAATAATTATTAAATCAATAATCCATTCGCAAACATTGTATTTCCTTATGAGTTTGATGACAATCTAAACTGCAATACCTTTCCAAACATCTCGGACACGTGTATTTGGCCTACGATCGACATATACTACACTATTTAGTCTGCTGCGGCTTCGCTTTCGGAGTTATATTCTGGAAATTGAGGAACTCGGAATCCAGCGGTGTATTTTTTAGCATCTTCTTTAAGTTGACATTTTTTCTTAAAGTATTATTCTATTTCTTCTTAGCAATTCTCAACATCTTACTCTTCTTTCTATTCGCAGACGCATCAGAAAGTTCTTCTTCCGCCAATTTGTTTGGTGAATCATAATAGTCACTCTCCAAAATGTCCAGTTTTGATTAGGTTCTTAAACTCCTTTGATTTTCATCTATATTTCTCACATAAGTGTATGTTTTTGTGCGCTTTTAATTTCGAGTTGTAGCCATTAAATACCTTTTAATATTTATAATTAAATTTTTTTCATCAAATTTTTGATCTAATCTAAATTAAATTAAGAATCATTAAAAGATATCATCTCAATAGATTATCTGCAATAATCTCATTAATTCTTAATTATTCAAATCCATCGAGAATCAAATTTTATTAAAATTGCTCTATCAGAGTTAAATATTTAATGAAGAATAATATTGTTTGAAGTTGGAAGTATTTTAGATAACAAAATTAATATTTACATTAATAATATTTCTAATAAGTCATATTCAATTATAAAACACATCATGGATGCAGTATTTCTTATGATGTGTGATGAGAGGGTAAATTCTTAAATGGTACAAAGATCTCTTCGTTTAATTTAACTGTCACATCTTTTTATAATTATGAATAGTACAAGCATCATCATATTTGATATTTTGAAAAATCAGGAGGAAATAATACTCTAGTTTATCTAAATATGCTTTCAACCTTTTGATATTTAAAGCCCCACCAAACTTGATAGCAATCTATTAGTTTTCAGATCTCAAATCTTTGATGCTAATGATTTCATTATGTGAACAATCCATTAACAACGCTAAAAATAAATCAAATATCTTAGGAATGGTAGTAATTTGAAAGTCTTAACATATCAAGAATTAACATTTTTTATTGGTTAGAACGTAAGCCTTATGTAAAATCTTTTTGAAGCTAATTAATTAGGATGAAAAATTGTGAGTTTCAATTTTTGAAATTAGATTTTTTAAAAATAGTTTTTTTGCTACTATTTGAAATTTAATTTCATCATACTTTTTGTTTTATTTGATAATTTTGATGAGAGATGTGATGATGTTGAGATACAATTTATTTACTTTTTAATTGCTTTTTAAATTTGATTCATATTAGTGAATATCTTTCTAGATTAGTATGGTAGGTTAGTTTCCAAAAAATATTGAGAAATTAAGTTTCAAGAATTATCTATCGTAAGTAACCATAATAATATTGTTTAGACTGTCGATACAATTGGATTAAAAGTCATTCACGTTTTAATAAAGATACTATTCTAAAGTTAGGTTTTTAATTTTTGAATTTCGAATAAAACTTATCACCTCATCTTAAGTTTATATATTCTTTGAAAATGTAGAACTTATATTTTTGAATTAAATTTTTTCTTTGTCAAAATTTAAGAGTATGAATTTTTGATCATGAATAATTTATTTCAGTATGTTTTCCCATCTTTAATCGGTTTTTGTTAAAAGGTATTAAGATCTCAATGCTTTTTGATAAACGTAAATCATTAAAATTAAAAGAACATGAATCCCTATAGCAAAAACAATTGTAGGTAAATCAAGTTTTGGACTGTAGTAAATGAGATGGGTAACTCTCATTATTAACAAACTAACACTTAGGATTGATGAATCAATAAATTCAAGCACAAAAATATTTACAACATTTGCAGCCATCTGAGTGGAACCCTTAAAATACATTATTTCAGCCTCTTCTTGCGGATCAAAAAATAGAAGATAGCCAATATAAAGAATATTAAGGAGGCTTATACTCATTCTTATGAAAAAATCAGTTTTGATTGGAAATAAAACGAAGGGAAGTGTAATTCCCCATGAAATAAGCAAAGGGTAAACAGTTGTATAATTTTGTTCAATAAGTGAAACGATCAACTTGAAAAATAATAAAATTTGAAATGCTATGGTACTAACTTTTAAATAAAATCTTCTTTTTGGAAATTAGTGTTCTTTGATGTAATTATCTTCAACGTCTTAATTCAGGAACTATAGCTTAAGCTTGTGCATTGTATTGATAATTAAGGATTACGGATTTAGTAAATTAATATATTATATATCTTAATTAAACTCATCATTTAATGTTATTAATAAAATCGTGAACATGTATTTGCAAATATAATTTCAAAAATGAATGTAATAGATTTAAATATAACTATAGTTGAATCATTCTCCAGAATTAAACAATTTATTATGATATTATTCAGCCATCCTTAGTGGATTGTTATTAGTCTTCAAATCAATTACTTCACCAGGTTTTTCCTGTTGATTCATATTAATTTAAGCAAGTGGCTGACTTTATTATTGCATTTGATGTGCTGCTGTGGACTAAAGTGGCTAAACATATTGCTATAGTGGTTGTGGTAACTAAGTTTGCTTAAGTAACTATGGGGGATTCTGATATGGGTGGTGGGTTTAGAATGGTAAGGGCATATTAAGAAGGGGTTGTGGAATAAATTATGAGTTAGGTAACATCATTGATTATGGTTAAAAGTTGAATTGTTGATTTGGAAATGGCAAGACTTAAGGAAACCCTGTAGGAATAGGTGGTAATTGAGGCATATTCATAGTTTCTATTGCAGTGACTGGATTAAACTTTTAGAGAATAGGGAATCCTTGGAGAACTCTAGTAGGGATTGGAGAGTTGGAATTATGGTGATGTTACTGACTGTTTGGTCTCTCATGTACGACTCTTCTAATAATTGGTTATTATTGTTGTGGTTTGATGGGTGAAGCTTGTTTAGGTTATTTAACTTAATCTCTTGTTATGAATATATAGGATTGCAATTAATCAAGAATGACTTATAATTAATTTGGTCTAATTTCTACTTGATCTAAATCATTCCTAACTGAATCTACAAATGACAAGGTCATTTCATGTTAACGTTAATAGATATCTTCTGGTCTGCTCTATCTGTAAGATTTAATGAGTGTTTTTAGACACTTCTCAGAATTGAGTTTCTGCAATCTCCCTTGCATGTTGAACCATCTGTCATAGGCCAATCTATGAAATTAATTGATTTCATTGAGCAATTAATCGGTTTGTTTGAGAGATTGCGAATTTAGATTGTTCTCCAGATTCTACATAAAGGTATCAATTGCTTTATAGAATTGTTCTTTTGCCTCCAAGAATTTCTTTTTCTAAACTTCTCTATGATTTTTAACAAGATTCTTTAATTCTACAACTTCCTCGATGTCCTCTCCTAATAGATTGCAGATGTCAACTATCTTATTATATTGTTCTCCAAGACAATAGCCAAGCAAATCAAAATGAGGTGCATACTCTTATCCTATATGATCATCTTAATGGATGGTAACACACATAGGGCAAAGTGGCAACAAACAATCCCTATTTTGATTATTCAAAATAATACGAGTTTTTGCAAAAGTTTTAAATGAATTGATCTGGATGGTAATGGCAACTAACTATTGGAGTACTTTGTTATGCATTATACAGAATGTGTTTTAGCTTTTGAGGTTGAAAGGTTGGAATTGGTTATTGTTATTATTATTACGGTTAAACATGTTGAGAAGTTTGATGTGGTGATAATGCTCTTGTAGGAGTATTAGATCTATCAGATGGCCTTTGTGAATCAACATCAAAAATACGACTTCTTGGTTGTCTCTAACTTGAATTCATTATTAATATTTTTAACGGATATTAATAAAAATGGAAACTTATTTTATACAAAGCCATCCTTTGGATGTTTATCTTTCTGTTCTCAACTTTTTTATTTATTTTGAAATATGATATTTTGGGGTTTGCAAAGAATTTATTTTATTTATTAGATTATTTAATATTATAGATAAGATTAAACAGGTTGTTATTAAAAAGTATTCAATTTTTTAAGTACTTTAAGGATGGATTACATTCTGTTTGGTATTCTACTTCTCAATAGTATGTAATCTTTGTTATGACAAGAAAGGAAAAAAATGATCTCCTTCAAATCATGTATTTTTAGTAAGAAATATATTCAACATTAGATTCACTTTGATAGAAGAATTAATCTCTTTTTAGTGGTAAGTGATGATGTTGTAAGAGGAAGGATTAGTTTTGGTGTGGTATTTAATTTAGAGAAGGACTAATCTATTTTTATATTATTATTATTGAGGGTTATGTTACATTTGAATTCAGAAATTAAATTATTAACAACTTATTAAAATGAAGCAAACTGATATTCAATATGATTCCAAATGTTCATCCACAAAGAGTGCTAACAAAGACTTAAACGATTAGTGGTTTAGAACTCCAAAAGCTAACTAACGTATTATCACCTTATAGTCGGATAACAAAAGTTAGACTTACAGAACCCTCGACGGGAAACAAACTACATAACCTTGCACATCTTTCAAAGAAGAATTCTAAAAGGTCTCCTCCAAGATTGGAAGTTTTGCTTCGCCTGTTAGTGATTTCTAGAATAAAATGCATTACGTTCAAGAACAATAGATGCAGGAACTCAAAGTCTTAGATATGCAAAATCTAAATGTTTCCTTGTAGGTACTTTATGCTACAAGACTTAGCAAGAAAATTTGATTTTCAAAAAGCAAATCCAATTACAGCAGGATCAAATTCAATAAAAGGATATAGTCATTAAGAAATTAAAATTGACTATTTAATAGTTGACTACTTATAACTAACAGCTCTAATAAAAAATTGACAAGCAATCCAACCAAGATAAGTAGGATTACAAAAAGCAAATCAAACTCTTGGAAACTGAATTGGCTGACAAGAATTCAAAAATCACCTAATTCTCCAAAGTATTTCTATCATTTTGCATATAGTGAAGATTCAGGATGAAATCAAATCTTTGGAAGATTTTTATGTTAGAATATTATCTAAAATGAAAGTGGATCTGTTGTCTCAGAATAGAGAATTAGTCAAATTACTCAATCATGTTTAATGTTTAAACTAAATCGCCATCTTTAATCTTCAATAAGATGATCTGCCTATTGATCTGTTATTCAAATATAAACAGTATGCCTTGTTTGAAGACGAGATGATCATGGATCAAAAGGCAGAAATGTTTGAATTGACAAAAGAAAATAACAATATCCTGTCGAAAATACATGAAGAAATTAAAAAGACCTTTGATAAAATATCCTATAATCTAGTTGATGGCTTTTCTGTTTTAAATACTTGACATTATAATATCATTAATTTATTTACTGAATTTGAGCTCTTTTAGTTAAAATGGCATTCCAAACCTGACTGCGTGAATTTTCCATCCTAAATTAATCCTAAATCTCCCTTAAAGATTTTATTAAGACTTTCAATTAAACTTATAAATCATTTAAATTATTATAATTATTATCTTAATCATCAATTGTATGCTAGAATAGATTGCCTTTGCATCAAATAAAAAGGCCGAAGATGTGACACTCAAAAGTCTGTTGGATACACCGCTTCGTTGCATTGTTGCCAAAATTGTAGAAGTATGCATTAGTAATCCTCTTAACTGATTTTAAGAAGAAAAAGAATCCTTGGGGTCCTTTTAATATGCTATGAAAATTAGTGCTTAAAATAAAATAATTGAGATCTTCAATAAGCAACCAGGAATCGTAGAAGAATTATATGTTAAACCAGATGATATTATTACCATTGAAAGCGTTCTTTATACTTTAACCTATCAAACTCAAGATGTCCAAATAGTTCAAATTTAAAAAGCCAATCCAATAAAGAAATATCCTAAAATTAGAATCAACATCATACCGTAACATCAATACAAAGAATCTACTGAGAAGGAAGATCCAAAACAAGAAAAATAAACTCTAGAAAATCATTTCAATAATTAGTCGTCCAATCCTAATATTGAATTTCAAAATGAAAATCCTTCTTAAATTGTAACATAATTAATAATTTTATGAGGTCTCAAAGAACTAAGAATAAACTCAATGACAAGAGTAACATCAGTAATTTTTTGATTGTTTATTTAATTTATTTTATTTAAAAATGAATTAACCCGAGGAAACTATCAGAACAAAACAATGCCCAAATTAATTCAAGTTCTTGGAGATGAAAAATCAATAAATCGCAACTCTAGTCAAATTCAAAATTCTGTTGGCCAAAAGAATTGTAAAGATCAAAAAGCATTCCTGAATGACTAATTTCATAACCTTTTCCTTATTAAACTATTGTAATAATTCTTAAAATTAATATTCTCCATCTATCGTTTGCTTATTCAAATTATTTTTATGCTTCAGTGCTACTTTCTTTTATTTCAATTATTTTAAGTATAATAGAAACAATATTTACTTAAAATTCATCTTTAGGTATAGACAATGGCTATGAAAAGTAACTTAGCATTATTAAATTCTCATAAAGTTTATGGTTTATAAGTTTATCTCTTTTAAAGGATCTAACTTATGGCAAAGGTTGTTTGAAAGCAATATTTCTTTTATTATTTCAACTTTGATTAGAAATTAATAAATGCATGTGAGACTATAGAAGTTTTTGTTAGGTTAAATGGTACAATAATATTTTATGATTTCTAAAGAATAATGGCCTTTTTACACTATTAGTTTAGCATAGATGATTAAAATTTATATTATATGATTAAAATTACAAGATGAACTAATGAATACTTTGAGAATATAAAAAGTCTCTCAAAATTTTTATGAAATTAGTAGATTACAATATTTTCTCTTAGATGATTATCAAATTCAAATTTATACTATTTTTTCTGTATGGTTGCTTAATTGCTCTGTTTCTCTAAACAATTACATATGATATTTTAACTTATGAGATAACTCTTTCTCTATCTCTTAGATATATAAAAATATCAATCCTAAATCTCGATATCAATTTTTGATTAATATGTATTTTATATATAAATGAATAATTATTTGATTAAAATGATAATAATTAAGAATCAATTGCAAGTCAACTTAAATTCGTGTTCTTGGTTTGAAATTATTAAGAACATTGCGCTGTAAATTTTAACAATTTCATCGTTCTATCTATTTTTCCTTTTCATGTAACAGGTATGAACCCCTTTTTTTAAACCACCTTGATATCTTCCTTCTAACCAAACTACTTTATTATAGTTTAATAAATATGTCTTTATGTTATCCCCATGTAATTCATTTTTTTCGAAATTTCCTATCCATTTATAGGGAGCATTCTATAGTATTTAATCAGTATTTATTAATTTCTTAGTTCCATCTGTAATATACCCGTCTTTCCAGCTTCCATCATAGATCATATTTTCAATAAAATTTTTTTCTATGCCTTTTCCATTTTTCTTCCCATTTAGAATTTGACCTTAATAATCTTTACATTTTTTGAACTTTAATTGAGAATTAATTTCTAAGTACTAAAAAATCGATGACTTTTATTCTATATTTTAAATATTCCAATATTCTAATGTTGTTTTAACATTAACGTAGTGGAATATCGTTTTGATTGAATTATTCTGGTTAATTTACTTTACTTCCAATTACATTACTTCTCCTTCAAAATCATTACCTTTTATCTCACCAAGACAAATGACATTAAGATCATCTTTATATTTAAAAAGACGGCATACTATTTACTTTGAGCATATGCATTTGTTAATTTCGAAATAATTTTGCAGACTAGAACTATTGAAATTGCTTTTAACTGTTTCCAAAAGTATTTATTGATTAGTTTATTCATTTATTGAGTAAATAGGTATAAGTATATAAGATTGTTACCACATATTCGGTAAAACATTTTAATTATCTTATTACCTATTCTGTATACTAGGTTATTACTCATTTTGTTATTCAAATTAATTATGTTGTTAATCATTCTGTTATTCAATTTCATTAGGTTACTAATCATTTTGTACATTATCATTTTATCTTTCATCAGTTTCTGTTTTTATTACTTCACTGTTTTTTTAAAAATCACCTTCATCAAATTTGAGAATTTAAACATCATTGTCCTATATTTTATTAAATTTAAATTAATTCTTGTTTAAATTATTCAATCTTTTATATTCGTTCTTTAGAAATTGTTTTAAATTACGACATACCTATTCTTCTTCAGACATAATCAGATGAGGTTTTTGATTTTATGAATTTTATAAATTTTCTATTTTTTCATCCAAATAAACTAAAGAAACGAATAAATCTTCATCTGTAAATTTTTCATCTTTTTAATCTAGACTAAAATTATCAATTTGTGAATAAAGACGTAAAAATCTTCTCATCTCTGTTATTAGTTCTTAATTTTGTTAATTGTGTGCAATATTACTTAACAGCCAGTTTAGGTTTGTTTTACCAAAGTGATATAGAAGTTTTAAATTAAATTAAGTATCTTTATTTTCTAAGACATTTTTGACTTATTCGTCATATTCTTATGTCATTAATTCCTATTTATTGATTTTGTAGTTTTCAGCCTATTATTCAATTTCAATAAACATTTTTAATCGCTTTTCGAATTCTTATTCATTGAAATCTTTAGAATATAATAAATTGGAAATAGTTTCTTTTATGAATTTTTCAACATCATTTGAAAACTCATCTGATAAATTCATATCATTAATCTGCTATTTTCTTTCGTTAGGAGTAGCTGAGTTTCTGTTCTTTAAAGGAATAAAGACCTCTAACATCATAATTGCGATTGCAAATTAATCCTGTTGTTACACAGATAATTTACTCCTGGCTAGAAGCTCATCTCTTTTATGACCAAAACTTTTTGTGCTGACAATGATATTTGCAAGTTCTGGAGATAGATATGGCTACATATTATCTTTTCGAGTACCATCATTTTCATCTAAAAAATTGATTTTATCAATCTACCAATCACCTATTTTAAACCCAAAATCAGTAAGTAATAATTATTGATTATAGAAAATTATATTATTTGGTTTAAGGTTTCTATGCAAAATTTTTTCTTTGTTTAAAAACCCATAAATTAAGTACAAATATTTGAATATCTAGATTTTATGTTTTGGCGAAGAGTATTAAATTTTTGATAAAGGGATAGCAGATTCGTCACAATTATAAGTAACTGTAAAAGTTTTAGTACTCAAGTCTTCAATAATTGATTAAATGCCCAAAACATAATTACTATGCTTATTTCCATATTCTTTCTGTTATTCAACTAATTTTTTGAGAGAATTATAAACAACATCAGATCCTGCGATAAACTACTTTTCCTTTTTACTAATTATTATGCTTTATTTTGATTTTGTTTACTTTTGATTAGACATTTTATTATTAATAATGAAGAAAAAAATGATTTTGGAATTGTTTATATTGTCAATATTTATATTATTTATAAGATCTAGATATTTTATAATATATAAATATAAATTATTAACAGCTTGCTAGACTCAAATAATACTCTTAATAGCAATTACTGGAATGTTTAATGTAATAGAAATATTTTTAAGCTGCCAAATGCGGAAAAATTTGATCTTAAGCTTCAGATATTATTCATTGCAAATAATTTGAAAGTTCTAGATACCTTATCATTTCAATAAGACCGTTTTAGGAAGTATAAATAATAATTAAATGAACTACTATTAATTTGTGAAGTCTTAAACATAAATAGAACATAGTAGATATTTTGTTAAATAAAAATAAACTTAGAATTAAAATAACAGCTGGAAATTCAGATAAGAAATCTGATCTCATTATTAAATAAGGAAGATTTGAGATGTTTATTTGAGAGGTGAAATAGAATAATGATGCTAAGAATTCAAAAATAAAATATTATCTTTTTAAAGAAAGATAAAAATTATCTATTAAATTTAGAATAAGTATATAATACTTACATATTTCTCTAAGGTTAAATGTCTAAGTAATAGAAAATTAAATATTAAATTTCCGGTTCTTGAGTTAATAAAGATTTTCAAAAAATATTTAGAAAGGAGGAAATAAAGCCATTAGATCAAAGCAAATAATTACTTCTCAGAAGTAAGATTGATACTCGACAAAGAATGAACTATGAATTTACTTCAGTTATATTGGCTTAGAAAAAGAGATTCAATTTAGATATGTACCATTTATGTAATATATATATACGCACTTCATTATAAGGCTGGGAACTCATCTTAGTTCTAGGCCTTCTATTATTTCTTGGCTTTTGATTGCTAAAACATATTTAAATGATTGAATACTTCTGTATGTGTCTCTTATTCTTCTTTTTTGCCCCAGTTTTCCCGGTTCAAATAATACTCCTTACGCTCTTAGATGCTCTTGACAACATTGTCAAGCTCAGTGATGTAGAATGGAGTTGCCACTTTAACTGTATCGAAGAATTAGAGAGTTTACAAATCATGTTACAAGATGCTTGGTTTGTCATCTTTTTTCTCATCTTTAGCCTCTTTTTATTATTGTGGTTGCTAAAATTTAATATAGAATATATACCTTGTTCTTCTTTTTGGATTTCAATTGACTAAAGTTATAGAGATTGTCTTCAGCTTCCTTTTTAATGACAGTGCATTTCTCTTTCTTCCAATCATCACTCTTTAAAACTTATTCAACATCTATTTATTTTTATTATTGGGCTTGTTATTAGGCAGCAGAGGGTTTAAGTTTATTCAAATAGGTGATCAATGTATCACAAAGATCTATTAAAATGTTTAGAATATATACATACCAACTTAATATTAGAATGGATTGACGTTTTCTAATTCTTTAGCCTTGGCTTCAGCTTCTGCTTACTCTTCAGCTTCTCTATCAGCTTCTCTTTTTGCTCTGGCTTCTTCTCTTTTCTTTTTTTCTTCTTCCCTCTTCTTTCTCTCAGAATCTTTCTTGATTCTGTTGATTTGTTTTAAGAACCACTCTCTGTACCTTTACAAATCTTCATAATCTTCATATTTATCCCAAGCATTGTTGTAGTCCTTCTTTAATTTTTCCTTTCTGTCTTTCAATTCCTAAACTTTGGTTTCAATGATTTGTTTTTCCTTGTCAATAAGAGGATTTTCTTTGGTAACAACTGAGCCCTTTGTACTGTCTTTCAACTCATCATAATCAGCCTTGTATTGGTTGATTTCTCCATTCAACTCTTGAATGCTTTAATAAAGAGCATTCATAGCCTTTACAATAGCTGCTGATTTAGTTCTAAGAACTTTCTATTCCTTCTCCAACTTTTACAATGGTTCAATGTATGGAAGTGATCTTTCCAAGGCACCTATTTATTGTACAATTCTCTTTTCTTCATTGGCACTCAACTTATCTTATTAGAGTGATTCCTTCAATCTAGCCAATTCCTCAATAATTCTGTCTGGATCATCTAAACTCTTCATCTTTTGTCTGTATTCTTAGGATTGATTAAAGAGTTTGTTGATTTGATCTTTGATTTCATCATTCTCACCCTTCATTTTCTTCAATTCTGATGATTTCTCATTGACTAATTTAATCTTTTCTTTAATCACTTATCCTAATGGTTTCACTTCGTTTTGGTACTTCTCTTGATTGCCTTGTCTAGCCAAAGTTTGTTATTCCTTAACGTTTTTAACAAAATCATTCTAGGATGTTAACAATAAACTCTTACGAAATGATTCCATTGTTTTCTGATGTCTTCGTCGATCTTATCCAATTATTTGTAATGATCTTCTTTGTTTGGCTTTTGGGGAGGATGAGCAGCCAATTCTGGTACTTTACTTTCAAGAGTGATCTTGGTCTTGTCCCAGTCGAATTCAGGACGTTTTCTCTCTTCTCTTTGTTTCTTCTTCTTTTCTTGTTTCTCTCCCTAGTCTCCCTACTTTTCTTGGGTCTCATTCTTTGGTTCAGTTGCAGCACCTAAAATGCATCAAACTAAATTCCATACCTTCCTCACCCTTGACGACATATTGAACTTGTTGTTGTTACTTTTGTTTGGGCTCTCCTCTCTTTCTGTTCTCTCCTCTGGGTTAGTTTGGTTTTTTCTCCTCCTTTTAGACTTCTGGCTATGGTGTTGGGTCCATGCAAATTTTTTTTAAAAATATTGATATTTTTTTTAATTGCCCTACACGTATTTAATTAATTAACTCCTAATTCAATTCTCGAAATTTACATAATATATATATAAGACAATATAAAATTAACTATCAATTTGTTTATTTTTAAGTATTTTTTGTTATGAAATCGCATCTATATCACCATCCAACCATAGAAAATTATGCATAAATTAATAAATCCGACAACTTTTTTTGTTTAAATATTAATTCTTGTTTAACTGAATAATTTATTAGTAAATTTGAGCCTAAGCCTTATACCATGTTAATACTCCTCCACGCACTAAAATTTATTAATAGCAAATATAAAACTTAATTGTTTTTATCAATTTAATATATAAAAAGAATACTGATTTAAATATATGAAATTGTCTGTGAGATATAGTGTTGTAACTATAATATGAATCATCTGTATAATGTATAAAGATATACAGAAATGTTTTGAAAATATAATATTTATGAATAATTCCAAAAACAATTTATTGATGGAAAACAATGAATCTTAGTCTCAGATGTAAGAAGCATGTATCATAATTTAAATACATAACAAATGATGTAATCAATTCAACAATAGTTCAAGCTATTTTTAAGAAAGTGGTTTGGATAAAAGTTTATCGGCTCCTGCAGCTAAACACATCTAGTGAGTTTAGAGATCATTGAATGCTGTGAGCATGTAAATCTTAATTTCGCTATTGGTATTTTTAATATCCTGGATGCACTGGAATCCATTCAAGCCAGGCATGTTGACATCTAAAAATACAATGTCGTATATTTTTCTCTATGACATTTCTATGGCTTCTCGTCCATTATAGGCCACATCCAAATTATGAATGCCTAATTTAGTTAATTGTAGTTTCAGCAATATGCAATTGAATGTTTCATCGTCAACAATCAACACTTGCAGCAATTCTTTGATTCGTTGCTATTTGCATAGAGGAGTTATGTGACGAGTACTGAATATATTTTTATAGGGGGATTGTACTGAAATATCATAATCGATAGAATCGATGCTAGATTAATCACCTGAATAATCATAGCGATGTTGTTTATCATAATTTTTATAAATGGCAAATTAAAAAGTTGAACCAACTCCTGATTGGGATCTTAAATACATGTACTGTAATGGACCAATATAGCCGCAAAGTTGCTTGCAAATGATAAGACCGAGTCCAACACCATTTCTATTTAATTACACTCAATACTCTACTTGTTTATGTTACTATCATTGTCATAGGTAGCAAAATTTCTGAAGAGGCCTCGTTGGATTTCCAAACTCATTCCACTTCCATTATCAGTAACTGTGCAAATGAAGATGCTTGATTTGTTTTTGAACAGTATCCCCACATCTACAATACTTTTGTTAGAATCTATTTGTTCTTTGATGGCTTTGCAAAATTTCAAGATTTCTTTGATGTCATCCGAGAACTTAACCATAATCTTTCCCTTGGAAGTGAACTTGATTGCATTGGAAATCAGATTGAACAACACTTATTTGATTCTCAATGGATCATTGTAATAAGTTTGATTTGGTTTCAAATTGACTTGGATTTCCAATTCAAGATTTTTCTTTTAAATTTAAATTTAAAAAACATTCTTGATCTCCTAAACAAGATTAGAAATTTCAAATTAGCTGACCACCAATTTCAACTTTTGCTATTTAATTTAGGCAAAGTCTTATAGATCATTGACAAATGATTGAAGAGTTTGCACATTGGTCTAACACATTTACAAATAATTGCAACAAGATTAGACCTTCTGTTAAATGGCCACATTCTCACAGTCTTACAAATCATACAAGCCTTCCTAAACGAGAGTGATCATCTATTGAATTACGCATATTGGATTCTTCAGATCATGACTCACTGTGGCCAGAACACTGTCTTTGTATTGATCCAACTTCTCCAATTGGGAAATCTTCATACGGTCAGTCAAATCAATCAAGGAAATGATAAAGCATCTCTCATGTTTCCAAATGCACGGGGAGACTAGGATGTCGAAGGTTTGGTTATTCTGCAATCCAGTCAATTTCAAAGGGAGACTCTCTTACAACTCCTTGTTCTGATAATTTACTATATATTAATAGAGAATTTGATTCAAGTATATGGGTTTGTCTACCATGTTGATCTATTCACCAGTAGATCCCTTGTAGTTATTGCAAATTTGTTCGTAGCTGAAATTGACCTTCAAATTGTAATAGGAGAGGTTCGATTCGTTACAATTGATGATGTTAATGAGTGTGGTTCGATGGAAGATATTATCTATTTATGCGAACTCCTTTTTGCATGCTTGATTAGCAAAAAGCACTTCGAAATAATCTACTAATCGCTAAATGAATATTAAAATTAAGAAGTACTTTTGATTAATCTTGAGACAATCTAACTATAAAGAGATTCTACTGCAGACTATGATTCAACACGACCTCCTGATAGGATAAATCAGTGTTGGATTTGAATTTGTGGTAGTAATGCACTAGTTCTCTTCTTTGCCTAGCATAAATGCTGAGAGTGATGATCAGAGTGAATGCCCATTGGAAGGGCAAAACAACCCAGTCAAAAAATTAGTCAAAATATTAGAATGTAACTTACATTATTGAAAAGTAAAATATGACATATTTCTTGTCATTTAAACTCTAAGTCATGTAGATGCAATACAAGGACACCGATCCTCGCATCAAATAGGGTTGTTTGTTGGCTGCTAAAAACAGGAACAGCGCTAGTATGTGTCCAATTTTCCAGTAATCATTGCACTTTTAGTTCTTACGAATTATCCAAATTTATAATAGACTTGAAATGGGAAATAAGAACAGAATTGACGAGTAAATCGATTGGTCATCCGAAATGAGGGCTGAAATTGTGATGGCGAATTCCAAAAACAATTTGAAGGATTCCATTAAGATCAATGTCCCTTCATTAAACTTCTTTTAAAAGTTCTTGTAGCTCATCTCAACATTCTGATCTCGAAAATTCAAAGTTGCACTTAAAAAAACATTCTCAGTTTGTAGGTTTTTTTATAAGGAGATTAGATACTGCATTTTGTTAAAGTTAAGTTAATATATATTTTGTATTTTATATATTAATAATTTTTTAAAATGAATTAACCACAGACTCGACAAGTGTAGAAGTTAACAATCGACGATAAAGTAAGTAGATCTACCTTATATCCTTAGTAAAAATTTGAATTATAAAAGGAAATATTCATCACCATCAGATTAATCGATATGGTAGAAAAGTGTGCATAATTGGCTGATGACAAAATAACCCCAGAAAAACACTCCCAGGAAATCACAAAGTTGATCGAAAGGTACAAAAACTTCACCTCCAAAATCGACAAATACGATCTCAACTCATTCATCAAGGTTTATATCTTCATTCTACTCATCAGGAATATGGACTGGAAGATTGCAAATTCGGAATCGACAGAATAAACAAAGGCCCTCCCCAAATCAAACAAGGCAACAGAATTCAATTAGTCGTCGATATCATGCAAAGATTCTATTTGATGCAAGACATCATCCTCGAAAACAAGGACAACCCAAAAACACAAATCTTCAAACCCATTGTCGACCAGTTGATCATGTTCCTCAACAGAGCCAAAACAGAACTCCCCCCATACAAATCATATTTAGAAGAACTACAATAATTGTAATATAACCCAATCTCAAATTTAGTTCCAAACAACATCTAGAAAATTAGATTATCGGAGTCATACCCGAAGATGAATTTCAAAAGTTCGAAAGCATTATAGATCTGGCTTAGCAGAGTTTTATGACATCCCATTCACAACAATGAGCTTAATTGTCTACAAATCGATTAAATTCTATTCAGTAATAGTTAATTTCATCATTTATTATACTTTTTATATTGTTAATCTTAAACATATTAAATCATTCTTCCTCCTCTTAAACAACCTACTTTTTCTTTTTCTTGGGCTTTTCCACAACCTCAGGTACCTCTACTTCCTCTTCCTTTTACACTTTTGGTTATTATTCCTCCTTAAGAATATTATTGTTTTCTTCAGTAACGTAGAATTACTACCAATCTTAGGGAGTATTGGCATTTGGTTTTCCATGTGGATCAAGTAACCCCTCTTTAATCAAAGCCTTCTTTCTAAGAGCTCTTGGTCCAGTACCCCATCTAAAAAGGATAAGACAATAATATACTTTCTTGGATAGGTCTCTCTGTCCATAATGACTCTCTTGGATTTGCAAACGACTCCATGATCACATGATGCAATCTCACCTGTTGTCATTTAACTAACATATAAAACTGAATAAATTACGCAATAGCTACAGCAATGGCTTCTCCTTTGGTTGTGATCAACACAATTTCATCACCAATATCGATCTTATCATCAAATCTAAGAACTCCTGGAACCATTAGTTTTGCTCCATAACAAATAGCATTAACAGTGGAATCCTTAACGACCTATCTTCTCTTGTAATTGGTCAAGAGAACCTCCAATGGGATGATCACATGTCTTAAATAGGATTCATCCTTAAATTTTTCATATCGATATTAGGCATCCAATACGTCATGCATTGAGACCATGTACTTGTTCTCATCCAATATTCCTGATCTTACTCTTCTCAACTCTTCCATGTGACCTCCTACTCCCAATAACAAACCCAAATGAACACATAGAGTTCTCACGTATGTTCCTGCTTCACAACTCATCCAAAAGATTCCCAATCTCTTTTCAGGGTCATACTCAAACAATTTACTCTCATAAATTGTTCTAACTCTTAATTCTCTTTTCACTGCTGAAATCGCAGGTGGCTTCTAAAATACAGCTCCTGTCAAATCCTAAATAGCCTTCTCCAACTTAGCTGCTGATGATATTGCATCATGTAATCTATAATATTATTCATCATCTTTACCTTATTATTCCGACGTACTCCTTACCAGCTGATTACTATGCCTTCACTAGTCTTGTTGCTCTATTCAGACACACGATCAATGCTCCTGTAACCTTTGGATCAAGTGTCCCTGAATGGCCGGTCTTATCAACTTTTAATATTCTCTTGATCCATGATACAACTTCGTGTGATGATGGATTTGATGGCTTGTCAAGATTTATCACACCGTATTTCAAATGTTCTATTAATGGTCTCTTTAATGGAGTCTATTATATTAATAATCTATCCTTACTGATCCACTTGGAATTGGTGTATAATGTGAGGTCAATATGTTCATCTTTTCATAATTCTTCAATAACAATGGCCAATTTGAGGAATCAATTTTAGGTCCCTAATGAGTGGACTTTATCACATCCTCATCTTAAACCTATTCAACCTCTTCAACTTTTTTTGATTTTTTTACCTTGGTTGTAGCCATTGATTTCTTTTTTTTAATTATATAAAAAAATTTGTAATTAAAATGCTAATATATTTTATATTTGCTATTTTTATGAATATAAATTTATTTGAAAAATAATTCTAAACAATGATGAATTACTACATTACATTATTATTATCTATAAGAATATTTTATTTTTAATTATCTCCAAAAATTAATTATATCATAAAGAGAAATTATAGTATTAGAATAAAAGAGAATTAGTATAAGAGATCTTCATTGATATAATAATACTATAAAATGAGAAGCAGAAAATAGTAGTAAAATATTGAATAATAAAGAAAGATATTGAAAAGGCAGATTGTGCTAGTCATATTATATAATACATTTTATATATTATTTATTTAAATAGAACTTGAGCATCAAAAACATCTGTAATAGTTTGAATAAGAGAAAAATATAGGGTTTTACAAATTTAGGAAAGAAAATTAATGATAATTTTATAAGTTAATATAATTTAAATTAGAAGATTAATTTATATTTAGTTTTTCATATGAAAACTTGAAAAAGGCCAAAATTAGTAAGAGTCTACAAACTGAATCTCTTGATTTATAGATTTATTAAACTATTATGCCTTAAGCTTAATTTTATACTTTGCTAAAAAATATATAAGGATATTAAGTAAAATTAGTATTAAATGCATTAATGATATATACAATTAATTAATTGTATTGTTAATTCTCTAACTGATCATAGAATTCTTATTGAAGGGAGGAGGATAGTTTTGAATATTATAACTCTTATTGTTATTTTATTGTAGGATATAAATAAAATTTCGAGTATATGATATACAACATAAGAAATAACAATCATTAAAAAAATGGTACTTTGTGAAGATGAAACAGGTTGAGAATGATTTGTTGAGTAATTGTCATATTTGAGAATGATTCATTTAGATCTTGCGAAAAGCCTTCTTCTTCTTCTTCGTAAATGTTATGAAACTACAAATTAGGCAATTATATTTCTTCATCCATGTTTAATTGTTTCAATTTGGCATTTTGAGTTTGGTTACCAATAATTTAAATAATTTTTTATTAAATTTGATTAATGAAATTCCAGATAAATTAATTTCTTAATTATTCATCATTAGAATAATATAGTTTTTAGAATTACTGATTGGTAATCTTTAATAGTTGGATCATAATAAGACTTGGGTTTACTTAATGAAATTTGGTTCCAAAAATGCCCATTAAATGATATGGTTTTTCAAATAACGATTTCATCTCCTCCGTCAATTCTGCAAAAGTCACTTGGATAAACTGTTTGATTTTGTTCGAGACCTAAGACTTGTCTTGATTATCTTTGACTAGGGTGTAATTGCAGAGCCACAGTTGATTGGGTAGAGCCTTGAAGGTGTTGGGAGTGAAGGGTATTTTCTCATCGTTTATGTAGCAATAGATTGCGTCAATAAGCAATCTATCGCAGCCAACAATTTCTATTTGATCTGTTATGCTAACTATTTCGACCATATCTGCATAAACGGGCAATTGGTCAGTAAGGGGAACCACAGGAAATTTACCTGATCCATGTGAGGCCAATTTTATTAACTATTTATATCTATCTTCGACGATTCTGAGAGAGAAATTCCTTCTATAGCATATTTGCTTATCGAATAGAAAAATGGGCATGGAATGCACTTGTTAATCTTGGAGGAGGAACTTTTCATCGGTTTCGCAGTACCATTGCAAAAATTAATTGAAAAGAAGATTGATGTTGGGCTAGGTAATCATGCATTGTTGGAGACAAACAGGACAGTACTGTTAAACCAGGTCATTTTGATAACATTACAGACAGAAGAGGTGTTGGCAAGGTAACACTACTGGATTAATAGGAGTAAGGCCACAATCCAAACATAATACTATTTGTGGAAATTCTGTTTGGAGAACTAAATGTCGAATAGGGAGATACAATTTACCTTCAGGTCCTTGTTCAAAAAGTATCAACAGTACTTCCTTGAGCATTTCATTGACAGGCCATTCTGATAATGTGGGTTTTCTACACAGGGGACAAGAATGATTGAGTTTCAAATGATGATTGATACATTTTTCACAAAAGGTGTGTCCGCAAGAGAGGCAGGTGGGATCGCTTAAATGATTCAAACAAATAGTACAATTAAATTAAATTTTTTACATATTAACTTTATAAACAAGAATTAAAGATTAATATTTTGGGAATGATTACATTAGAATAATTTAGAAAAATGATTCTTAAGCGTTCTAATTATTCTGAAACAATTTTATAGTTCACCTGAATTTTTGAGAGCACTCAATAATTCAAAATATTACTGATCAAAAGAATTAGATAATTCATCTTTGTTGATTAATTTCGGATATCTTACTCAATCAAATAATCAAATCACATCAAACTGAAATTTGTAAGATTAAAGCAATAATGATAACAAAATATAATTATATAAAAAATAATGTTTTGCTGCTCATCATCTAAAAAGAAAGATGAAAACAAAAAACCAGTAGAGATATCGGAACAGTTGGCACCTGAGAATCAGTAAGTAGACAGGTAATCTGATTAGTTATAAACTTAAACATTAGATCCTGTAGAACCAATCAATAGCAAGAAGTAGAGTTAGAAATAGAAGAAAGACCCAAGAAGAATTCAGTCGGATATTAAGTGCAGGACGAAAACGTCTCAGCCTCCATATGTCCCTCATTCGTCGTTGGCAAAACTCCCTTTACTCTTTTTGTTATGAGTCTTCTTGAAAAATAGTAAAATATGAAAAAAGAGTCGTAATAGCAGGAGGAAATTAAAATCGACTTTTAGGAAGATTTGAGTGTGATCGTCAGTTATCCTCAAATTCAAGCTGAAGTAAAAAATAACCAAAACGACAAATCATAACTTGAAGAAATCCCTGATCAACCTGAAGTAATATAGGAGGAGGATGAAGAAGACGAAGAGCGAGAAATATCAGAGGAGGAGGCCAAGAATGCAGCCATCTATAAATGGGCCAGGGAAATACACGATTATAACACAGACAATACTGAAGAATTAATTTTGAAGGCTGTCTCTAATTTTAAACCACTTTAATCGAAGGAAGAATCCAGATCAACCTTAGCACACAAAGACGGAGGTAAAGTGTGCAAAAACAAAAAATTAATAAGAACTCTGAGAGCAATAGGCAAAGAATTGATCAAATAAATTGGTAAACAGATTTTGTCTGGTAATTTAAATTTAACAACCGTGTCATTCCCTATCAAGGCCATGATTCCCAAGTCAGCCCTTGAAAAGGTCTTGATGTCTAGTTGTCTCTTCCCCCTTTACATTAACAGAGCAGTCCTCGAGAAAGATCCCATCGAAAGAGTAAAGTATCAACCCTATTATTAGATGAAGCTAATTATTTGTGCCACCTTAGGTAATTTCTATTTGAATTGCTCCTTTCTCAAACCCTTAAATCCCATCTTGGGCGAAACCATTTCCGGGTTCTATCAAGATGGCACCACTGCCTATGTAGAATAGATCTCACACCACCCTCCAGTTAGTTATTTTCTAACTATTGGTCCCAAAAATAGTTATAAATTTTATGGTTATTATAATTACGAAGCCAAAGCAGGAGTCAACTCCCTCTCCTTGAAAAACAAGGGGAAACGCTTTTTGCAATTTGCTGATGGAGAATTAATTGAATACAATTTTGCAGGAGAAGAATACAGTGGAAGTTTCTGGGGACCCATGAAAGTCGAATGCAAAGGCAAGATTACCTTCTTGGATAAAAAGAATGATATTTCAGCTTAGGTTGAATTGGATAGTGTCAGATGGAAGGCATCTGATTACCTGTCTGGAGAAATCAAAAAAAGGGGGAAGAAGGTCTGCAAGGTCTATGGAACCTACATGGGATATATTGAATTCGGAGAAGTCAGATATTGGGATGTCAATTACATACGTCCATATGAATGCAAAGTGTTTAAACCTAATCCATTTCTCTTAAGCGATGCATCATTCAGGCCTGGTACTCTGTTAACATTATAATAGACTTAAGATAACTTAAACGCAACAAAGTATAGGAAGCATAAAAGGAGAAGGACGATCTAGAAATGCAATAAAGATAAGATGCTAAACTCAGAAAACCTAAAAAATGATTTTTCACTGAATTATTGTTATTCATATTTATGCAATCATTCTTTTCATTTCCTGTCTCGTAAACAATAGTTTCAATATTTATTAAATACTTTTTATACATACTATTCTTAAATTATCTTTAATAGAATTATTCAAATTTATAAACAGAGGACATTCGAAAATTCATTAAAAAAATTAACCTGCGTGATGAAGGCTTAAAACCTATTAGATGTTTTAGCTATTGGTGTTTCTATTTATGCACTTTATTAAATTTATTAGGAGAAAGTCAAAAAGTTAAACAACAATCAAAGTTTCTAAACACTCAAATATATTCTCGTTGGTCCACCAGGAGTTGGAAAAACAAAGTTATTTAAAAAAATTGTTAATACTTTGAAAAACTCAAATTAGCTAGAATAAGGGATTTAAGAATGTTTAATAAGGAAGGATATTGATTTAGTGTATACACCTGCATTAGATTTTGAAAACATTGAATAAAGGGAAATCAACATTACAATATTTTAGCAATACATGCAGAAAAACCATATTGCACATTTTTTCTTTTTAGTCAACTTTGAAAGAACAGATCTAATGAGGAAAAAACTATTGGAACTTTATAAGTATTTTAAAAAATTCAAAGAGAAGATCACTATAGTAATAACTGACTTTTAGTTAAGCGACAATGAGGAATAAGACAAATAAAATTTGAAATAAGCTTTTTCAATTTATCTGAATAGCAATAAATCAATTATGTTCGTGAAAAATGATTTTGATGTGGAGGAATTTAGAAATTAATTGTTAGCAGAAGCACAAGCATTCAGTTTGAGAGATACAATTTTTGAGCCCATAAATGAAGATGAATAAAAATAATTGTTAATCTAGTTTCAAAATAAGTTTATAGAAGGTTAAAAGATGATCTAAGATAGTCATTTCATTCATATGGATGATTCATTAAACATTGTTGAGAATTAACCATGAATAAATTATTTATATCCCACAATTTTAGCTATCAACCTATCAATATTCTGTCAATTATTAGTTAAGATATACAAATTTCCAGATATCCCTTTTCATACTATTTGAAATAAACTACAATTTGATTTATTTAGTTTATTTTGATGGAATCATAATCAATTAATAAATTTAAATCATCTCAAATAATAAAAAGAATCTTGTCTTTAAATTTAAATACAATAAAAATTTCTATTTATAATTTTCAGATGGCCAGCATTTTGAATGGAATACCTACAACTTAATCATACTTTATATAAGCACTACCTAGGTAAAAGAGTTCTTTCCAATCAATAAAACAAAAAATTTTAACTAAGGTTATGTAAAATGAGAAGTAATCTACACTCCACAAAATATTGCAAAATTACAAGAAACAAGCTCAATAATATGTCACGCCAGCCAAAAAGCCAACAGAACCTATAGGAAAGACCAAGACTACAAAGAAGGAAAAAAAATAGTAGTCTGTGGATCCTTTGCCTCGAACAGCATCAAATTAGAATCGAAAATTCTCTCAGGTCAGCACGATAACCATAAAGATAACATCATTTGATTCTGATTCTGAGATCGTATCAACAGTTGAAAAGGAGCCGAAAGTCTATGAAGTTTAGCTTGATTAATTTGATTGAATTTATAATTAGCATGATATAATAATTTGCTTATAAATAAGCAGAATTAAAATTAATATAAATTAAAATGCTTGTATTATATATAATTGTGGTTATGTATATTCATTCATCAATTTTAAGTACAAACCCCAATATATCTCGAATTCCAACCTAGCTTTGATCTACTGGTTTATGGGAAGTGGCATAATTCCAGAGTGATTTATCGTCTATAATGTATCCTTCTCCGGGTTCGAGACTCATTTCAAATAGTAACTTAGTTTTATCAGGACTATAGATTTGGCTATCCGCTCCTTGGCAGTTAATCTTATTAACTACTCCGATGATTTCTAAGTCATTTCCATCTCTATTTGGTCCTTCTGGAGTGGATTGAGCAGGTTAATCGGGATATGATATCTAATGTAAATATACAGAATATTATTACGGTTCTGACTGCATGGACAGAGATTTAAGCTTTTTTGTATTATTTTAATTGCCAAGTAATTTGAAGAGTATTGTAAAGGAAGTCTTTATAGATCTGATCTTGCTTCATCTCTTTGGTCAGTTCTTCGTAGACATTTGCGTATTGGAGACATTTGGTTTCGTCATAATTGTCTAGACGATATTCTTCATGGAACCTCGTCATATTGCCATCCTTATCGAACTCAATGTGATAATTCATCATTCTTCTTTATCTCATAGTTTTATCTGCTGGCAACTTGAGTCTCTTTTGCAAATAGAGATCAGGTATAAGTGTTTCGAAATGAGGTTTCAACATTTGAAAATCTGATTTGACATCTCTGTTTGTGAATGAAGCAAATGGGAATTTTGTTGATTTAAGTGCCTGTAAGACTTTCATAAATAAATTAAATAATAGTCAAAATAAAACTTATTTGCTCTCATTTTTGAAATATGGCAATCAAATTAAACAACCATAATTAATTCATACTTTATAAGTTCAAATTTTAGATTGTGTGAATATCCAAAGAATTGATTACCAAAATCTTATATTCCAATTGATATCCATCTTATCTGAGGTCATATTAAATTTTAAGAATAATAAAGATATTATTTTGATTTCAAAAGAGTGCTTATATTCTTTTAAGCATTATAAGTATATCATTATCTTTTGTATTAAATTAAAAGATGTAATAGAAAGTTAAACAGTTAATTAGAATTTTAATAAGATTAAATTTATTGAGATATTTTAAATGATTATTAAGATTGTTGAGATATTAAGGTATGAATGATTAATATAAATTATATAAAAAAATGAGTGCGTGTGTTTATATTCATTACTGTCTCTTTATTCTCTATCTAGACTGATTAAGTTTCTGTTTAAGTTTGGCAAAGACTCTCACAGTAGCTCTTATAGTAACTTTGGAGAGTGCCTTGCTTATTTCATTTTCAGAGATGAAGAAATTTTCATCCGAAAACTCTTATTCAATTAATGGTTCCTCTCCATTCCTTGTAATAAATGGATGATCCTAATTAGACTTCACATTATACCATAAGTTACTCAAGTGTGTGTCGTTATCTTGCGTCTTTCTTAAGACAACAATTTAGGAAATCTGCCAAATCTGGATCAGTATCTTTGGAGAACCTAATCTCATTATTGAAAACAGCCTCCTTAAGTTATTAAACATTTTTAGCTGGGAAAGGATGTCCTCCTTAAGTGAGCATGAAGAATGTGATACCAGCAGCCCAGATATCTGCTGGTTTCCCCTTGACTTAAGAAGTCTTGAATGCTTCTGGAGGCAAGAAGGCTTTGGTTCCAACATCACCTTAGATCAAATCAGCAGATGAACTATCATACATTTATGCTACACCAAAATCTGCAATCTTTAAGTTGTCAAACTCATCAATCAACAAATTATCTGGTTTAATATCTCTATGCACAATTCTGGCAAAGTTGTGTACTTAATAGATAACTGTGTATTAATACAATAATCTAATCCAAGTAGGAAATGTCTCAAATACTTCCTGATCTTTTCACAAGTGATTTTAGGCGGCTTTTCTCCTTCATCCCAATCAATATTCACACCTTCAGATTTCCAATACTATTTTGAATTGATGGATCCCTTCTTCACATATTCCATTATGAGATATAACTTCCTCTCTTCTGGATCATCTATAACCTCCACTAATCTAACTACATTTTAATGATCAACTTTTTTTAATATCGCCACTTCCTATTCTAATAATGAATATGCTGAGGTCTCTTTTGTTAGTAACTTCCGCTTCAACTTGTTTTTATCAGCTATTTTCATTGCGTAATATTGTTAATCAATTTCATTATAAACTAAACGCACTTTTCCAAAGGCACCTCTGCCCAATTCATGTAAAATTACGAAGTTATTCATTTTCTTTCTTCCTGCCTCATCTCTAGATCTCTCCAAGATCTATGTTTCCTTTGGTTAATGGATTCCACTCAATCCTCTCATTAACCTTACAGATTTCCTCTACTCTGCTGCATTTATTCCATTTCTAAAGGGGTCACCTACTGAAAATGATTGCAATCTCCTTGGTCCCTTACCCATGGGAACACTTAAAGTATTCGGAAGTATTGCCATCTAAGCTTCATCCTAACATTATGATTATGATCGCATGATCCGTGGATTATCATCAACATTCTCAATCCTTAAATAATGTTCATCTAAGTCTAATTTAGACGCATTAGATCCACCCACTATAAAACTTTCGATTTCGTTTGGAGATTCTAGTATTGATGTCTGCGAATTTAAATGCTGCAATCTTGGAGATACGAGTGACATTCTCTTAGGTATCGTAATCTATGATTGATATAATAGTTACAATACCTATAGAGCATTGGTACTCTCATCTGATACACTTTTTTATGGGACATGGTTGGCAGCACAAATCGGAGAGAGAATGGAACTTCTGCCTTGGCTGTCATAAAATTTAAGCAAATTCTGACGAGTACAAGGTGTATTGTCATCCTCTCTCTTCTTTTTGAATAGACTTATAAGATTAGTTTTGGGATTCTGGAGCAAATATTTTCGAATTTCCTCCTTAGATTTTTGTTTCTATAAAGGCGGAGTTTTTGGAATTTACTCGCTTTGTTGTTCTATTCGTTTCTTTCTTAAAACCTCCAAGAGATTCAGTTTATTGTTGTTCATAAATTATATTAATTATATTTTAATACTTATATCGTTCACAATAATGTGATTTTTCTTACTGTTTCAGATTAAAACATAAGATACTAAATTTCAATCAAGTTTTCAAGAGAATTGCTTATTTTACCCTTATTCTTAATTTTTGTGAGATAAATCTAATTCAATCTCCTATCTTTATTTTATCTGTCAGCCCTGAAGAGATATATTATTAATTATTCGTCATAAATTGATTAATAATTAGACAAAATATGCATGAGATGTAAAATATTTAATCCCGATTTAAAATATCAAGTGGGGTTCCTTTTTAATAACACTAATTGAACTTAATTAAAAAATTAGAACTAATAAATTTGAGGATTATTTTATTTATACCCCATTCTTAAAAATAAATAAATTCACTAAATTAATATTATATTTATTATCTTTGTAAACAAATTACACTCTTATAAATTTAATTTGATAAAGAAGTATTCTGATATCATTAGTTAATCATAATATCATTTGATATTCAAATCTAATTCACAAAAGATTGATGAAAAAATATAATATGGATTTTAGTAAATTTCTATCTTTTTTTAAATGATTTTCAATTATAGTAAAGTGAGAATGTTTAAATACTAAAAAGTAGTCTCAATATTATTATATGTCTATATTATAAGATATATTGAAAACATAATTAAAGAATAGATTATATGGCTGTGTATATAATGCTATAAAATTAATATAATGAGTTCAATAAAAATGTTATGAATAAATAATTTATAAACTAGATTGGATTGTTAAACTACCTATAGAATAATGATGTTTCAACATTAGAAATCAAATAGTATAGTATATTGCAATTGATTGGAATGAAAAAATAATCATGAAATATTATTTACATTAATGGTTTAGATTTGAAGAAAGGAATTAATGAAGGTTTTGTTTTTGAATAAATGGAGTGGATAGTATTTTAGAGATGCGTATATATCATTCTAAATCCTGTTATTGGGAAATGAATAGAACAGAATGAAAAAAAAAGTGCAAGGAAATTTGAGTGCTGCCCCAAAGAAATTGTTATGACAGAATGTCAAAGAGTTGTTCCTCTTTCCTTTCTCAATTGTCTATGATTGATGGAAGTATTTAAGACTATAATGTAGAAAGTTTGATCGATGATCAATCCGAATGTGATTTGATTATTGATCAATTGGTCGAACCTTTGCAGTCAGAACATTGATTGTTATTATTTTTTCATTGTTGTATAAATGTATCATTTCTTAATTTACTTAACGATTTTGACTTCCTCTACTAAAAATGCTCTGATGATTCTATTTTTAAGAGCTCCGGCACTCAATACTCCACCATATGGTCTTGAAACTGTTCTCTATCTTCTTGCGAGTTGCTTTAGTTTTGTGGGTCTGATTCTCTTTAATCCATTTAAAACAACATTCAAATTAGAATCTGCACATGTAGATGCAGTTGTCTTCTTATTTGGATATTAAACAACAACATTGCCACCTTCAATTAATTCACTTTTTACCTGGGGTCTTTACTTTTCTGATCTTATTTGATCTTGTATTGTAGCTTGTTCTTCTTCTATAAGTCACTCTCACACCCATTTATTAAAAATCTTTATTTTAAATTTTTTAATTTCCACATAAACATACGAATTAACTTTTAAAATAAATAAATAAAAGGAAAAAGTCAATCAGCTCCACATCATTCCCAAGTCCTTATATGATTTCGATTTCATCTTCTCCAATTTGATCGAACTCATCTAATATTACTATTCTGTCTATCTCAATCTATGCATTAATTCCATCTCTTATTATTCTAATTGCAATAGTCTATCCTAAGCTTGCATATTTTATATATAAGCATCATCTACTTTTCTCTTATAATTCGTTTTGGCCATTACTTATTTGGTCTGCCAAAATAATTACAGTTTCTCTTATTGTTCCTATTCCATCACTTTCACTCTCCTATAGGCCTTGACATTATCTGATCTCAATTCAGTCATTGTCTAATACAACCCTAATTGAATGGATTCTTTTAATTGCTTGTTCTCTTCCACCTTTATTTGTAACCTTAATATTAAATTAATTTACATCTATCCCAATTTCCCCTTAGTACTTTACATAATGTGGAAATGCCTTTATCTTTACTACGATATTTCATTCCTCCTTCTATCAATGATGTCCTTCTACATCAATTTGTATTTTTGTTGCAATTGCTCCTTATAATATTTATTTTATTTGCAAGAGTATATTTATTGAATGCTTCTTTCCAAGCTTTTTGTCTCAATACTTTAAATAAATATACTTTCATAAGATTTCTCCTCTCCTATTACGACATAAATTGAACCCTTGCCTTTACTTTTCCAATATTCATATCGATGATCTTATTCGCAGAATGCACATCAGGATATCTCTAATTTTCTAATTATTACTCCAACTCGTAACTAAATTGCTCTTAGAATAAAATACTATTCCGAAGGATGCTCGTTTACAGTCTACAAAGCCCATTCAATTTGGCTTTTCACTTTTTCACCCGTAGATTAATATTCATTAGATTTCATAACTTATTGCAACAAGTCAAAAATTTCATTCTTTCTCCCCGACTCTAATTATTCCTGTAAGCTATTTAGATCCAATAAAACGTAATCTTATTCTTTTGAATCAAAAACGAATTCCCCTTCTTGATTTGTACCTATTTATATCATGGAAATATAATAATTTATTTTATACAATATAAATTAGATCAAAAAAAGAAAGTCTCAGAGTTAAATTAAAAAGATAAATATTGTATTATTATTTCATTTTTAATGGTTCCACTACTTATAGTAATAATAGCGTTGATTACCATCAATTTTACTTTATACGAAGTAATATTTTACCTATCCACTTAAAACGTTTCAAAATTTATTTATATATTTTATTGAGTTGTTATTCTGGTTTTGAGGATTTTCATAAAATTTAACATAAATATTACACCTACTAGTTTAACTAAATAGTTAAAATTGAATTAAATTTGATTATTAATAAAAATTGATACAAATATTGTGCAACTAATTTTACATCACTTTAAATAATATTCTTTATTTACTTAAATCAATCTACTGAAATTGATTAGTAATCAAAGAATTAGCCCTTTTCTTTTAAGCCATGGTTTTAATAACTTAATTTTAGTATCTACTGCAATCTAAATTCAGTTAAATATAATCAATCAATTTATGAATATATTTTGATTTATAAAAATTAAATACATACATTACTACTATGCAGACGTAAAACGAAACGAATGTTGCCCTCTCGTTATCAGAAATTAAGTAACTTCATTTTTCATAAGTTTAAGAAATGGTATGAGATCAAAGCATTTGTACAATTCACTAATAATTAAATTTTTATTTACAACATTCATATAACTAACCCTTAGCCTTTATGTTTAATTATAGTTCAACAAAATCATCATCTTTATCGTATTACTGGCCTACCTTTTTATTGAGTTGTTGAATTTTCTTTATCAGTGCTTTTAATGCAAACATCAACATGTTCGATGGTAATTATCATTTCATATTCAGGAAGATGAAAGGAGTCTACATTTATTTGATTATTACCCTATTAGACTGCTTATTTATAACATCATTCTTAGTATTAGAATAACAGGAATACCATTTATACATATACTCCAATGCATTCCTGTTTATTGCGATAATAGTCGATAGCTATTCACAGTATTCTAACAGAGACATTTTGGAATCATTGAAAACATTGAAAAGAACATTAGCAATTGTTAGATTATATATTTTGATTTGTTCGATATTCGTGAGTTTAAAATTGGATAAGCTAATAAATTGGGACTGGAGTGCTGTGCTCTGGAATTTATGGTTGGGTCTCTTCTGTTCAATAGGCATCGGTGTCGCCTGCTCAATAGTAACTTTCAATAAGATTGTTCAATATTTATTTGACAAATCAAGCTATAAAAAATCAAAAAGTATCCATATTTGTATATGTAGTAATCTTCTACATCTGGCTAACTCAATTAATAATATATGTCTCAATATGCATAGGTCTCATATCCTTTGGTTACCTAGATTTCTTATCCAAGACTGTAAATTACACAAAGAAATTCTTAATTCTTTAATATTTCCTTTTGGCTGAACTTGTAATCATAATGTTCTATTCTATTTATTTCCATAAAGAAATTAAGGAATACATTTTTAGTACTCTCCAAGATGACGAGCCATTAACTAACCAACAACAATAATCTGCGAACACTCAAGGAAACAACCAAACATTATAGATCTTAAACACTCTTTCATCAAGAACAAGAGTGCCTCAAGTAATGTAGAAGATATCGAAAGCTTACTTTAGTATTCCTAAAAGACAACATAGTATTGCTCAGGATTCCATTTATGGATCTCCTGTTCTAAAGAAATTATCAAAAGGACACAAACGAGCTTTCTCAAGTTAAGGCGTGGGTTCGTAAATGCTTCAAGAGATAGATTTTAAGATATTTGAAAAATAATCATGCACAATTAATTAAGAATTTGCTAATATCGTAAAATCTTAGGTAGACAAAAAAAAAAGTAATTCTTAGTTAATAAGTGTAAATATTTATAATATGAAAGGCTGATAGGGATGAATCTATTCAAAATTATAAACCCGATCTTAGTTAGAATAGCAATATTTGCATCGTTTGTTATGAGAGGGGGCCTAATGCAGTGTTTATGAATTGTGGACATGGTGGTGTTTGCTATTAATGTGCAATTGATATTTGGAAATAAAAAACTGAATGCTATTTATGCAGAGATGTATTAAATTTAATTAGATTTTAGAAAATTATTTATATCGTGAAAGTTGATCTTGATGAAAGAGTAGGCGATCTTTTCAAAGTTGTTTCAACCACTTAAATGATAGATTAATTTAAAAAATGAGGAAAATTAAGATTTTTTTTAATTATTAAAAAAATGATAAATAGAAAATGCTCATTATCAATTATTAAAACAATCTAATTTCATTTTATAATGATATGGATTTGATGGTTCTATGACATCAAAAAGCATTACCATAATAGATTATGGTTAAACTGAAAATTAGTATTTCATTCCATCCTTATTAAAGTTCGTATTTTCCACAACATCCAGGTTCTCAAGCACACTAAATTATAAAGTTACTTCAACATTTTTTTCAGATATATTCTCAAACTAAATGATCATCCCTTATTATAATTCTTAATATACCTTAATCGTGTTAATTTATGTAAGCAACAACAGAATCACACTAGATAACCTCAGTATTTTATAATTAAATTATTTCATTTATCCCTTTTTATTATTAATTTTATCCATTTTAATTAATCACTTCAGACTATTAGATATCATTTATTATTCTGTGTTTATATTAAAATTCAAATATTTTTGGATCTTACGAAAGGATAATTTTAGGATTTAAAGTATACAATAGAATCTAGAAATTGTTCACCTTGACTACTACTAAGTCTTTATTCTATTTTTATAATTATTAATAATTGAGCAAGTATCCCAATTATATAAACTCTATTTCTTCTTGAATATCTATTGTTCCTCTGTTTTCATAATAAAAATACAAGAAACCATAATTCTGGCTAGTAGTCACTTTTATTTAGGGCTGTCCAATCGTATTGAAGTATCTTATCTTCTCTTATTGAGATTTTACTTTTATCAAACTTGTAATTAGTTTAATTTATTTTTATTCATCCAAATGATCTGGGTCTATGTTGAAGTTAAGGTTTAGTCCAGCCATTGACAAATTTAATTTAACTTACTCTAATTATTGTTTTTCAGTATAATTTGAAAAATAATTAAAATAGCCTTGACATACAATACAATATTCTCCTTTCTAAAGTGTTGAATTGATGGAAATACCATTTTTAAAATCACAAATTCCATCAATAAATTTGTATTACGTTTGATCCAATTCTTAAAACAAGAGCATTCTAATTAAACCTAATTGATTCTTTAATTTTTAATCTTTTATATCTATCTTACCATTATTAATTAGAATATCATTCTACCTTAAAGTCAACTAATAATTGCCAACCTCACTTATTTTAAACTTATAACAATAAGTGTGTTCTATAAAATCAGATTTTCGCTCTATTGGGTTCTTTAATATTATTGAATTCACTCTGTATTTATAATCATCCATCCAAACTAAAACGAAAATAGATTAAAAATTCTATTTAAATTCTTCCCAAGTTAGATAACAAGATGATTCATGTTTTTACCTCCCTTAATTTATATATGCATAAATTACCTTTCTTATAAACAGACTATTCATTAGGAGCAATCAATTAAATAAGGTTTACGTTTTCTTATTAATTATTTTTATTGAAAGAGATTACAGCCGCTATCGTTTTTGAGTCTTAGGTGTACTTGACATAATAAATTTCCTAATTAGCTTTAATCTTTTCCTATAATTCTTCAATAGATTGGAATTCCTATTCATATACTTCTGATCCAGTCATCATCTAATCTTATTTAATTTGAATGTTACTTAGAGATAAAATTCAATTGAATCGTTTTATATTATATTAAAGGACTCATACTCAAATCCTAATAATTTTCCTATTGCTTTTTCCAAAATTATTGGCCATCTGTATTTTGAAATTACTGTTGCCAGCTGATAATTATCGCCGTTCTTTTTACATGGTATTAAATCATCAGCATATATTAATAATTATTCTCCTTATTTCCAAAGCCAAACTCCGAATAGATTAGTGTCTCTTGATTCAAAAAGTAATTTTAAATTATTCATTTTGTATTATACAATGTTGAAAGCATTTATCAATTGTGGTGAGTTGTAGAATTCTGATACATTTAGATTATTGTCCTGATAATATGAATTCTAAATATCTAATAATAATAATGAATAAAGCTCTAGATTGTTGGAATTTTTGAAATCTTTTAATTGAAACTCTTTGATATCTGCCTCATTAAATTAATCCATAGCATTCTCATAGACTTTTCTATTCTCATATTACATTTATAATTAATATAATATTAAATTAAATTCTCCTAATCTCTCTAAACCAACATCTCTCTTATTGTATGAAAATAAGCTTCCTACAGAGATCTACCAAAAAGTTAACCTTTTGTTGCATTTTTAATACTTATATTTTTCAAAAAAATAATTAGTACCTCAACATTGATAATAATTCAATACAATTAAAAGTGCTTAATTCTTTTCAGACCAATATTCAGAAATATAGAAAATAAATAAATAATATTAAATAATTCTATCCTAGATTAAGGATATTGAATCAAGAAGCAAAGTGAAAAACTTATAATAAATATATTCTTATTATGAATAGTTTAAGAGAATAAATATAAGAAAATGAATATTAGGTCTTTTCCATTTTAAGAGTTTGAAATAATAAATATATAAGCAGTATTACTTTATTCATTACACACTAAGCAATTTGTTAATTAATTACTGGTATAATGTAGTAATGCTATTAAATTTTTTAGTTTCATCTAGCAATTTATTTTTTCTTGTGTTTTCTGAGTTTTTGTGAGTTAACTTATATAGAATGAATCATATACCAATATTTTATTTTTCCTTTCAAAAGCCTTATAATTGCTATTTACAGCATATTACAATTTTTGATCGATGTTGATATCAAATTTTTATTATAATCTAAGATCTACTTTTTTTTGAAGTGACAACTTATATTTGCTTAAATATTCCGCAAAATTGAGTTAATTTTTATTTGGTTCAACACCAATGCCATTCAATAAAAATGGATTATTGTTGTATTTTAAATCATGAAACACATCTTAAGGATGTACTTTTTTGTTTTTTAGGAAATTAAAACAGGAACTTTCATTTCTGACTATTATAATGGTACATTATACATGAATGCTTAGGCGTATAAACTTCGAAATCAAATTCTTATTAGGTTAAAATTTAAGTAATTAGTTTTTATCCATTTATTTTCAAATTTGCTAATTCTCTAGACTCAGTTGATATAGACATTCTTCTTGAACAATCTTGGGAAGATAGAAATATCCTTGGTGAAGGAGTCAATTCAGATCCTTTTATAAGTTCTTCTGATAATTAAGCAATGTCAACATGGAATTTGAGACTGAGTTTACTTAGAAAGAGATTATTCATATTCTCTGCACTGTTTTTTGGAAAATTCTTATTCAGATAATTTTTAAGAGTATCGCAACTTAATTATCTCAATGGAGATGTTTCCAATTCATAATCATAGTTTATAGATCTTTCATGATAGAAAGTAGCCTAGAAATTATATTTGTTATACTTTTTCGATGTTACCTAAATAGAAATAGAGCATTCCTAACTTCTAGTAAACAATATTCTCATATTCTTAATTATTATTTATCCAGGCATATTATAAACACTTCTTTAAAAACTTAACTCCACTCTCATAACATTGAAATTCCATGCAACAACTTGCTAACCCAACCAGAGATCTCATCTTATATATATCAAGGGTTTGTTTTCCATATGTGCTTCCAATTCTTACTTGATTGTAAAAGTGAATTGCCAAATCAATTTGATTTGAATTTTCAAGTGTCTCTGCAATGAACAGTAGAATCTCAATAAAAATAACAACACTTTTTGTTCCAATTGCCATCTCTATAATACTCTACATTATATCAATAGCTTATGGCATTTGTTTTAATCTTAAGAGTTCAAATAAAATCTTTTCTTTACCTACTAAATACAGAAGGAATTTTTTTAAAGGAACATTTTTCAAAATCTTAATCTTCAAAATGCTGACTTGCTATCTAATCGAAGGATCAAATTTCATCCGCCTTTTGATTTCTTAGGTTTGCATATTTTCAGACGTTACTATAATTTTTTATGAGGCCCTGATTGTACTTTAGTAATAGTCACACTTTTTACGTTCTTTCCGAACTAACAGCCTTAAGAGACTGGTTCTAAGATTAATATACATCCTCTACAGGTTTATCAAGACTGACTTACGAACTAACTCTTCTCAAAACTCCTAGAAATTTGGGTTCTGAAAATAATGGTTTGGCAAAATCTTCAATATTCCTGGATGTTGTCGTGCCAGTTTGCAATCTAGTAGTTACGCTAGGAGCTGGTTTTGAGTTAACGAATTCCTGAAATTTGAATTAAACAGCACTTTTCAGTCTCATTTCATTGCTAGTGATATTTTTTTTCATAATAAATACTAAAAACTTAATTTACAATAATCAATTTAGCAATAAACTTTAATTAAATGAATCATTATTATCAATGAATCCAAGCAAAAATAAATAATAATTATGCTAGTAAAATTAGCCCAATCAAATTTTAAGTAAATTTGACTCACCATATTTTACAGGAAATGAGACTCTTTGACGGCCTTTGACTTTAATTGTAATATATATTTCGGAATGAATTACAAATACTATATATAGTCTCATTGCTTTTTTGATTTAGTAATCAACCAATCCACCACTTGAGTAATGTTATTTCCTGTCAATGCACTGCACATTGCCACAGCCCATCCATTCGATGTTATGTAATCCAAGTTTAAGCCTACATTAATCATTTGTTACCTTCTATCAATTATTTTTCATTTAGATGAGGATTCACATCAATCTTATTCCCTATGATCAATATTGGAATATTTCGCAATGATTTGTTATCTAATAAATTATGCAATTCCTTTTTTGACGTACCCAAAGTTGCTTACTATTATAATACTCATCTTTACATTGCTTGTATCAACGAGGAATATAAGTGCATCACAACCTTAAGCATAATTTCCCCATTCTGGCCTATATTGTACTTAGCCACCAATATCCCAGATCTATTTTCTAAATATACCCCTACTTTCATAGTCACCCCACCTTTCTTCACAGTTCTGACATTGAGACCCACTGTGGGCACTGTAAATGAAGGATCCCCCATAGAAAGTTAATTCAACATCGTAGTTTTTCCAACATTCTCTAATCCAACCATACAAACTTCCAACTTCTGAGTAGAGAATAAATTCTTCAATTTTTCGAACAAATTTCCCATAAAAATATATAAAATTAATTTTAAAATATGTACTTGTGATAATGTCGTAATTCATAATCATTTAAGTTAATAACTAAAAACTATTTAATTATTCAATTTTCATTCCATAACCGCTCTCTACAAACTGTACTTGTTTTTATATTTTGATCAGGGTTGATTAATAAGATAAGTAAGAATAGACAGAATGGAGGCATTTGATCGATAAAATATAGAAATTGGGTATAAACTGGATTTGGAACCGACTAGAAATATGATATTATAATAATATAAACACTATAATCTTAAAATTATAAATAATCCTTGTTTATAGTTATAAATTGTATCTATAATTAAATACCTATATATTTAATCGTTTTTAAGTTTTGAAATCACTTTTCTATATAAAATAAAAGCACTTAACAAAAATTATAAAAATTTTGAAAAAACAATTTTGATCATCAAGTTAGAACATAAGAATTGATTAATACAAAGAAAGAATATCAGATTGAATAGTAGGCATCTCTAAATGTGGTATTTTAGGTATCTTGGGTTTTTGGAAAAAATTAACATCTCTAAATTTTAAGTGAAATGTGTATTAGATTGGAGAGAAGCTATTGAAATTATTTAATTTGAGAAAGTTAGGAATTTGTAGAAGTGATGTTCGAGGCATTATTGGATTAAATATTAAATAATTTATTGTGTAATATAAATTAATTAATGGCACGCAAAAGGGCTGACCCCGATCGTTTCTTGGAGTACGAAGAATTCAAAGATCATTCTGGTTTTACTATTTATGAGGCTGGAGATTATATAGATTTCTATTATGACTAATATAGGGGTTGGTTTGATGAATTTGGCAATTACTATAATTCAAATGGTGAACCAACTAAACCAAATCAAAATAGCTTGAAGTTTTGGGATTCAATCAAATACAAATGTATTAATCTTATCTGATCTATTATAGATGCTCAAGATGATATAGATGATTTATTAAATTAATATGACGGCGGGACTGAGAGTGATGATGATAATGACGACGATTTTGAAAGGTTAATAATAAGATTTATTGTAGAGAGTACCATAATAAAGCACATATGGATAAGCTAATCAAGAGATTGAAACATTATGGAGATCAGGAAGAAATTAAGATTAGATTCAGTCATAATAAATGGAATACAAAAGACAAGGATATTATTTAATTGATGGGAGCATAAAATGTGAAATCAGTATAATTTGACTTTAAACATGGCACAAATTACAAAACTGGAACAGGAACCATAATCGCCTTTAACAAAAAGAGTGCTGAGCAAATCATTCAATAACACAACATTGAAATTAATGGTCAAACTATCTCACTTGATATTGATGCATTAGATATCAACGATTCTGATGATGAAGTGATTGGTGTTTAGAAAGAAGATCCATTATTAACTAAACCATAATAATAAGTATAATAAGTATAATAAGTTGAATAATAATAATAACATTAATAATAATAATAATAATAATAATAATAACATTAATAGTAATAATAATAATAATAACCATAATAATAATAATAACAATAACAACAATAATAATAAAAAAAAGCAGAAGTTTGGGAAAAAGAATTTTTAATTGTTGAAGGATTTCCTAATAATGAAACCAAAGAGAGTATTAAATTATGGTTGAATTAAAAAATATTTAACAATGAACAAATTCAAGATGATTAAATTGAAATTAAGCTTAGAGAAAAATAAATAGGAAAGTAAGTAGACAAATTTTTTGCTGCGAAATTAGATTTAGGTTCTAAAAAAAGAATCGAAGACGCTCAAAGTTTAATTGAAAAATCCTTCAACATGTATCAAGGTAAGAGAAAGATTTACTGTTCCGTATACAAACCTTAAAAATGAAATTATGATTTATTTAATTTCTATTATAATAAACCAATAAATTACAATATAGATATAGATATGAATCAAAGATAAATTAAACAATTTCTCAATACTTGATATCAGTTATTGATTTAATGGAGAAAGTTGGGTATGAACTTATTAAGTCTGAGATGTATACAATCGAAGTCTCAGTGTCTACCTGATCTTCAGGAATGTGAATAGAATCATTATTTGGTATATTTGCTAAAAGCATCATTATCTAATCATTATTCTTGTTTTATTTTGTCCCCCTGATTGATTAGCTTAGAGTGACTGAATTACTTAATTTAGCAGATGTTGATTGATCTCCTATAGAAAGCATCTATTTGAAAAGGTTTTTAATGTAATCATAATCTGGCATAGTCTTTTGAGTCAAGGTTTCAATATATGATTTGAATAATTAAAATTATGGAGGAAATTTCTAGGACAGAACTAATGTATTAAAAATGGCATCTTTCATTTCACCAATTTTTTTAATTTCCATTTATTGGGTCTGTTGTTATTTTAGCGATTGCCAAGGTAAGTTCTCTAAAAATAGTACATAATAATTACAATTTCTTAGATTCACCAAAACATAAAGAAGACTTTCTAAATCATCCTTGTACCCAAGTGCATTTCCTTTATGGGCCTGTCTGCTGGCATATCTTAAAGATCCAACAAACACTTTATTTGACAAAGGTCTGAGACCTATTTTTTAAGATAGGCCGAAATCTATAAGATACATGAAACCAGGTTTTAAAATTTCATCAATCGGAACGTTGATAAAAGGTTATGATATCATAATATTTTCTGGTTTTATGTCAAGATGTAGAATGTCTTTTTTATGAATTTACTGTAAAATATTGATAAGAGACAATCCAATGGCTATTATCTGACGTTGAGAAAGTAGGTGGTCTTTGGTGATTTCATGGAGATTTTTTTTTAAAAGTGGAGTGATTAAATAACTCCTTTGAAATTACGAATATATTTACTTCTAATCCTAAGTCTTTCCATAATCGATCAACTATGGTATGCCAAAGGTCCCAGCAAGTTCCTTTAGTTTTTTTATTTCTCCTTCTAACTAGCCTAGGTTAGGATTTTTTTCCATTTTTAAGGCTAAAATTTGAGACGTCTAATTATGTTTGACTTTCAAGACTTGATGCCCAGAACCTGCACCTAGCGTTGAGAGTATTTTGTAATTGGAATTCTATAAATACATCAAACTTTATTTATATTAATGAATATGTTCGAATCTCAGTGAATCAAAACTAAAAATTTTTAGGGTAGATTTAATTTTTTTCGGTTTATTGTGGTTTGTAAGTTGTTTCCATCGGCTAAAATAGTAATAATTTTAATGACAATTTAAATAACAGTGAAACAATGTAATACAAAAATTATAAAAGATTTTAATAAATAAAATGAAACTTCATTAAAAGGAAATTAGGCTTCTTCCAATTTAAACTTCCAGGCCTCTTTAAATTTATAATTTTTCTTCTCTTATTTATTATAGTGTGCCAAATTTAGAATGATTATCGAAAAGATAAACTTAATTATCAGAAACAAAAAGTCGAGCGTGATTCCTGCTTACTGATATATCATTAACCCTAACATCAGTATCATTGGACCTTCCAAGTCGAAGGTCTCTGGAGTTCGAGAATTTAACAATATAGACACCCGAACTGTTATTCCATTCAATTTATTAGCCCTTCATAATTGAGTCTAAATAATACTTATTTATTGGTGAATTCCATCATTAAATAAGGGTAATCATTTGGCTTACTCAATTCAATCAAATCATAGTAGGCATCATCACTTTTGAACTTAGGTGGAAAATTGAATTTGCACAACTCACATTCCAAGTTCTTCCACAAATAAACAGTACAATTTTCGCTTTGTCGATTTTCTAATTTCATTCTCAACCAAGTCTTTAAACATTCCAAATGAATGTACTTGATAGACCCACTACATTTACAAGGATTCAAAAGAGGATTCTTAGCAGTTTACTAAGAGGAACAACAGATCCTACACATCTATTAATCAGAGACACTTGATTATTGTGATTCGAACTCCAAAATGGATTGAACATGTTGAACATCCAAAACAATAGATCGGATAGTGAATTTGACTCTTCCTAATTTGATTACATCCCCTTCCTTTAGGGGAATTCCATTTTCATGAATCACCTTCCAAATTTTGTTACCTATTTTGCCAGACACAGTTCTAAAAAATAAATATAGAGTTGTTACTTATTTCCAATAGTATGACATTCTTCGTTTTCTTAAATTACTGATTTCTAATCCTCATTCATTACGAAGGAATTTACTAAGTAGTAATTTTCATTTTTTTTCTTTATCTTGCAAAGTTAATCCTTGATGATAGATTCATTTTCAGTCCATTCCACTTAGTTTCGACCCACCAAATAACCATCTGAATTAATCTGCCGTTATAATTGTATATATTTACCTAAAAGGTTTGTTCTTACACATTGGCAGCATTCTCATAATCGAACAATGAGAAGGCCTCTTTTTGCCACGTTTTCACATGAATGATTAATTTAGTGCAATCAACGCTATTCACTTAACTAGCACTCTTTTGATAACAATGAGTTTAACAATTTCCCATATTAATAATTATATGTATTTGGGATAATTCAATCAAACATTAAATGATTCATCCAAACAAAGCATGGCCTAATCACAACGGCTGCAACCACTGGAAACGAGTCGTAATTCAAATACTCCACCACTTGATTTCAATAGATTATCACCAGAACAGCAATTTTTGATAAAAACTTGGTCTCAAAAATAGCAAGAAGAGCTGTTAGGATTGTCAGTCAACACTTTACCCATACATCAGTCATAATCTTTCTTTACAACCATCCAGTAACCTCAACAAAACCAATTCCTGCTCTAATAATAGCAACTCATTGACAATTACAATTAATAATTTTAAACAATTGTACCTGATTAACAACAACAAGATCCATAATTAGAGTAATAAGCATAACTACTCCAATAGTAATAATTGGAATAGCAGCAATTATTGCTCCAATAGTAATAATAGTATTTACAATAACAACAGCAATTGAAGACCTAATACGATTCAAATTATTTGAAAATGAAATATGAGGAATCATGCCTTTAAATGTTGAAGACTATGCCTTCTCATTAGTCCTTAAACGAAACACAAATGCCTTTATTGTACAAATATTTTGACGTTGATTCCGAATTGTAAAATGATCCTCTTAATCTTTAACATTATACTTTAACTCATAAATTGAATCCCTCATATAAATTGAGTCTACGAGTGTTCATATTTGATAAATATTCAGTATATGAATAATAAGAGAAACTGCTGCAATTGTAAAAGCAATAATTAACTCATGCCAATTTAGTAAATATACATTTGATTCATACCAAAAAATATGTTTGTTTGTGTTTTGGCACTTTCAGAGTGTGTACCTTATTGGATTATATTCATTCCGATTGTGAAAGTACAATAAAGCATAAGCACTATCAAGAACATGAGATTTGGCTGATTCTGTAGAATATGGTTGAAGCATTATATTCTTTACATCTAAAAGGCATAGTTCATGGCAATGTAACTCTAAATCACATTGTGCTAACTCATCTGATAGATAGCTCATAGTTGTATAAACTTATTTATATAAACCAAGAAGCAAACGTACTTTAGAAGAAATTTTAGAATCAACAAAGTAAAATCTTATTAAGCAATGAATTATACAACGCATTTTTATTGAATGATTAATCAACCTTGCCAACTTGGAAATCTGATGTGTTTTAATTAGGATTGTGCATTTTATAGTTGTGTTTAGGACCTCATAAACATGAGACTGTTTATGAGATCTATTAAAATGTGTTTGATGAATATCGATTAAATTAATTGATCAAGGAAGTTGACACTAATTATTCATACAAATTGGTTTAATATTTGCAATTCATGTTGACTACCAATTAAGAAATAAGACCCGATTGGATAAGATTGGAAGCTAAGATTAGTGAGTTGCAACCAATCTAGCCAATCAATATCATTTACAATTTTGAAGTTTAGTAAAGAATTGAGACTAAAATATCAAAATCAAGAGCAAATTCAAAGAATGTGAGTTATTCTCATGTGAACTCTTTTAGAGTATCTCCTATTGGAGAACCATAATCAAAGCCATAAATGGAAGACATCAAAGAAATTACTACAAAGAATAATTTAATAGTGGAAAATAGAAACAAAAGAAAAATGAATTGTAATGATGGTGGCTCTTATTATGGCGAAGTTTTGAACGGACTGAGAGATGGCTTAGGACAATACGTATCGAATGAGTTCTCTTATGATGGCTGTTGGAAAAACGATAAATATCATGGAAAAGGAACCTTATATTAAAACGGGAAATTGATTTATGAAGGCTCTTTCAAGTTTGGAGAATACGATGGTTATGGCAAGGCTACCAATCCAAAACCAAAGTATTTCAATAATTTATTTGATTACAAAGATTTTACAAAATTGGATTAATAATGGATTCATTATATGGGTGATTTCAAAGAAGGGGAATTTTGTGGATTCGGGTAATTGGAACTCAGTAATGGAGAAAAAGTAACCTGTGTATTTATGAATGGAATGCCTAATGGAGTTGGAGTGTTTGAGACTTTAGATAAAAGAAGATTAAATGCATAATGGGATATGGGATTATTAATTAGAAGAATTTGATTAATAATATGTATATATATATTAAAATCATACTATCAAAGAAAACCATGACAAAAACAAATAAAATAAAAATACAGGGTAAACTGCCAACTTCTTTTTATGTGGTGGTACCAATGATGCCATAAAACCAACAGATGCTATAATTATTTAATTCAAATTTTACAATAGGCAGACCAAGCAAAGCAAATGATCACTGGGATTAATTTCACGACAAAAGGTAAGTAGGATCCGACAAATGCTATAATTATTGCTTCAATATTGATTGGAAATACACAATAACCCAATAGACAAACAGATTGGAAAAATGATCTAAGCATAAAAAGAGATTCATTACACTTTTCCCCCTAGTAACTAAGCATTTAGAGTAACAACAAAAGCACCAACCCAAATAAGAACAAAAATGATTGCAAAAACATCAGACTTCGAACTAGAAGTTGTGGAATCAGCCTTGAAACTCAGAGTCCTTCTATAGAATAGTAATTTACATTGCCAAAGTCAAACAAAATATCAATGGTCCCCATAAATCCCCTATAAAATAGATAAATAGAATATACAATTTCTTAATTCTTTTCCATTGTCCTCCTACTCTTTGGGAATCAAAACATATTTCAATTTATATGCTATCATTCTCAAGTCTCTCATCTATATAAGATATTTCAATTACAATAGTCTCAGAAACACTTTCTTCTAAATCTAATGTTTTTAAGTCTTCCATTTATGAATAATTTTATGGATGTTTTTAGTTTGTGTAATCCATCAATTGTTATTAAAAATATTAATATTTTCTGTGAAAATCCATCCAAATACATTTTAAATAAAATAATCAATACATAAAATAGTCTTCAAAATACATCATAAATAGTATAATATAGTTTAAATCAAGAGGGTATTCTTCATCCAAAACAGTCTTTTTCTTTTTAGTTTACAATGACTATCAATTAAAACACACTTCTTTCTGTAATCATTTTTTTAGCCCCTGTATTTCTTCATTCATTGTGCTATCACATTTTATATTTAGTCTACATCCTTTATATTGTCTCTACAGTGATTTAAATACATATAAATACTTTAAGGTTTATTTTCTAATTACAATTTGTTGATTTAGTCTGATATTTATTTCTTCTAAGTCTCCAATTGAACCTTGTCTTAATTTTGGTTTCATGTTGTGATATATTCTGTTCCAATATTTTTATTTTGATATTACCCAACAATTTTTTTTCCTTGACATATTAAATAGCCTTCTCTTCCTCAACTTAATTTTTATTTTTAATATACATTTTTCTAAGAAGATTGAAGAACAAATACTTACACAACAAAATTGACTAATTGTTTTGCTATGATTGGATGGCGATTCTACAAAAAATGTATTAAAATATTATCCTTTTCCAGTTCCTGCAGATTTTTTATCATAAGTAGTAAGAAACATAAGGAATAGAAATTGGATGCTATTACTCATTGATTGAAATGTTAAAAGAAAACATCTTAATTATTAATTGTTAAAGTTTCTTAATCCAAATTCTCTTTTAATTTTAAGATACTTCAGCTATAACTTCTTCATTCTTTCTAATAGCTTAATTATTATCAATACGTATTGTTCATATCATCAATAAAACTTATTGCTAGAATTTTCTTTTTCTTTCATGAAATTTAATTGCTTTTATTCTTCAAAATGATTGTTCTTTTCAATTATACATGCAATATAATAAAATGTTTGAAATGACTCATCTCTTATCTTTTTAAGATTTAGAAGATCTCCTCAGAAGAATTGTGTTTTTATTACTTTTTCCTATATTAATAATTTCTAATTAATCGTTAAATTTGAATGGAAAATAATGAATAAGAGGAATATATTTAGTTAAAGAAAAACGTATTAGAATTGTACCTATGTCTTAGTATGCCTTGAGAGAGAATGAATGGAAAAAGGATAGGGCTTTGTATGAATAAAAAATACAATTGTTGGAAATGCAATTGGAGGATTATAAAACAAGAGAAATGAATCAAAAGAAACTGAATGATACCATTACTTAGGCAATAGATATTTCAGGAAAGTCATAAGTATCATTCAAAATCTATTTTATAAAGCAAAAAAGTTATTCAGAATTTCAAAAATCTATTGAAGTCTAGATGGTCAATAACAAAAAGCACTAAGAAAGCATTACGAAACTGGAAGAGAAAGTATGATAAAATCATAAGTTTTAGCTTAGATGTCTGAACGAGTAATTAAACGAAAAGGAAATTTAAATTAAGGATCTTGAACTTTAGATGCAGAAATAATAAATTACCTATGATCACAAGATTTAGAGTTTGGAATCAGAGAAATAGTATTTAAACTAAGAAATTACTAAATTCAAAGATTAGATACAAAAAACAGAGGAAAATTTTAAATCCAGAGAGCAAGTATTCAAATTATAATGCGAATAAGAAATTCAAAAAATCAAGGATAATTTTTTTAAGGATATGCAAGAAAAACAATCAGATTATGATTAAAGATATCAATAATTAGCGCAATTATACGAAAAAGAAAAAGATTAATTACAATAAAGATTGATAAGAAGTCAAAATACAATTAAAAAATATTAAACTCATATTGAATCTAATCAAGAAGTTCAACAATTACAATAGAAGTATGATGAACAAATTGCAGCCTTAAAATAAGAGATGCATGAACAATAGGTGCAATTTCAATATGAAAAAAAAATGCTGAATAAATAAATTGATGATCAGAGAATGTAAATTCGTATTTAATATACCTTCTAGAAATACTAACAATTACGACAGTACTTCCAAGAAAAAGAGTGTAGATATGATGAAAATTAGGAACTCAGTTGTTTCTCAAGACAGTCCAGTTTAATGTAAAAGTTTCCATATCTCCTAACCTGATTTTAAGTAGGCGTTCTAACAACCAAAAAATTCAATAACATCCCTTTAAAAATAATCGCTTCAACCTCCAAAAAACAATTAATCATTTGAAAAGGTCAAGGCCAATAATCATGACACTCTCCCTATGCCCATTGAAGATTTTAATCTAATGATGAGCAAAAAAGCAAAATCTTAATCAACCAATTCTCTCCCTTTGAATAATTTAAATCTTAACTCATATCTTTAAGATGCAAGCATCATGAAGGAAGAAACAGAGGCTGGAGATGAATACATTAGATTTAAGTTATCTAATCAACAAACAACTAGATTTAATAATGATGTTGATCAACGAAGATCATATTCACAATAAGGGACTAAAGCTCACAGTATTAATTCGACTACAAACTTAAGTAAAATTTTGGGATAGACAGATTAAAGTTATTAAAATTAAAATACTTCGATATCTACTTAGTAAAAAACTCATAACACTTCATTTTCGCATTTTAAGGTTCCATCTTTTACTTAAGGTCAGTTAAACAATCTTAAATATAGCTTATATTAGCAATAACCTTAAACCACGTTGAGAATGAATGATAATCATATTAATCACATCTAATAAATTAAGGCGAGATACATAAATTAGGATGAATCTACTTAGAATGACTCAAATTCTTTCAAATATGTAAATAAAATTGGTATTAATAGAATAAAGAGAATCAGTAGCCATCGAAAAGTGTACATATAAATAACGAAATTAAGTTTTTGATTGGCAAACTGCTTCAAGCAAAAGGGAAATTGACGACGGAATTGGAAAATACATAGAAATCTTGTAGATATAAGACTTGAATGTTATTAATTATATTGTTTTAGATCATCTATTCATTTAATCTCAATAGTGCATATAATTTTAATAATTAACATAATTATAATATTAATGCCTGAAGGAATTTACGTTTCTATTCTGTTACCAGCCTTTTAGGTTAGACATGAAAATCAGATTGTATGATATTTAATAAAGCATTAAGGATAAACTCTTAAAGTAAACTCTGTGTATATCATCTTAATCTTACGAATTATTTGAAATTCCATCAAAAATAGGCAAGGAGTTTTGTGTTAGATTAATCTAAAATTGTAAGATTAATTGGATCATCTTAAGCTTTTAATTTGCAAGACTTAGAAAAGTTAATGGAAGATAATCGTTCACTTTAAGCATCATATTAAAAATGTAAAGAATCTTTATAGGCACTTAATTGTGAACTGGAGAAAATCATGAATGACCCTTAAGCCTTATCAGAGACTGACAAACTTAAACACCAAAAGCTAACCACAAAATACAAATAAGTCAATGATGAAAATAAGAGACTCAGATAGCATTTAAAGTACACTTCTATGTGAATTAGATAACTCAATGAAGACTTTTGCAAGCAAAGAGTTGAAACTTAAACCACATTTGATTCGCTTCGTGAAGAAATAGATCTATTGGTAAAGGTATGACACTTTTCTTAATTAAAAGGAACTGGCTCCATTTTAATAACAGAAGAAGCAAAATGATATTTTAATATCTAATTGATTCATATCATTAATATTCTTTAGCCCGTACTAACAATTATTTTTATTTAATTTATTATCCACTGTGTATTAAGTTGTAATTTAAATTTAAATTAATGTTATATGAGTAACACTTAAGTCTTATAAATCTAGAAAGGCTGAAATAACTCAATAACATAAGCTTTAATCTAATTTAATTTCAACCTAGAACATCAGATTATGTCTAATTTTATATATTTTAATTGATTTATTATTATATTAGTTTAAAATGAAATAATAGACATAATAAAAGTTACTTTTAAGTACTTCGAGGTATTAGATTGTTCATGGGATTAGGTTAATTTCACCTAGATAAGCTTTTCAATTGAAGTACACAAAAAGTATTTCCAAAGAAACTAAGAATAGGTTGAAAACTGCCAGATATAATGATCTTGAAAGATTTCTGATAAAGAATCAAAGTCAAAATGAGACAAAGAAATGTAATACAAGTTGTAATTGTGGGTAATGCGGAAAGATGAGCTAGTTTTAGAGTAAAATATGGAGTTAAATTTCAACATTTGAGTCAGCGTATGTCAAAATTCTATTTTTTTTCTAAGTTATACAAGAAGGAAAAGAGTTTTTAAGCGCTTTAGAATAGCTGGATATGCAGCCTAGTTTTTGGTTTTTTATAAATCAGAGCAAATTCGAAAACACAAAAAAATGAGATATCTGTAATAATTTCTCCGAAATCCTTAAACGAATGTTAAACGAGGGACGATGATAATTTAATCAGCGCATTCTCACAGGTCTCCTAAGTCTCCCAATGCATCTGATAACATAATAAGGTTAAGAAATAGAGTATAAAATTTAGACGAAATGCTACAGATTGTTTTGAAGTAGACTCAATAAAGGAGAAACTATCATTCAATAATGAACATTTCAGCACAATAATAAATAGTTAAAATTCTAGTACAAAAAAACGATAAGTCTCACTCTATATGGAGAAGATGTTGAGAAAAATAACGAATAAAAAATAACCTGTCATGTATTTGACTCCCTTGTCTATAATTGTACGTTATCTGTTTTTAAATTAGGACAAAAAGATGAAGAAAAATAATACTCTACCTAGCATTTCTTAATAGATTTCTCCAAAAAATAGTTTGGACAATCTCAAATTAGATAAGATATCAAATCCATTTAATCTAATATAAAACAGATAAAAAAAGATAAGGAATGCCAACACTTTTCACAATGAATATTCCTAAAATAATTAAGGAGTAATGAAATTGATAGATGAAATGAAAATAAAACACAGATAACTTAAAAGAAGATGTTGAATTTAAAATTCTTTCTTATTAATGATTTTAAATTTGTTATTATAGAATGATGATCAATTGTTATATTTATTTAATCATAAATTCTGAATATCTATCATTCAATATTATTCATGAATTAGAATTAGAATGTTATCAAAATTATAAATTTATGAATTTGACTATCAAATAATGAATATTATTAAAAATTAACCTTTATAAATTAAGCAATATTATTTTTAATAGTATGGGACTTTCATTAAATTAGACTAGTATTCTAGTGCATATAATATATATTTATACTATTTGTTGAATATATTTGAAATATATATAAACATATGAACTCATTTTTTTAATAATTTGATCAAATGAGGTTAATATTACTCTAAAGATTCTTTAATAATGCTTTGACTTCTTGGGTCTAATTTAATCATATTCCCTTTGCTTATTAATGATCTCAAAATGAATTAATATTATTAATATTAAGGAGATTTTGTTTGTTGGAGGGAATAAATCAAAATGGCTTAACTGATATCCATAGCTTTGAACTCATTGCTTTTTGTTAAATGTAGTCCCAGTTTGTTGTAAATATCTGTGTCTGTAATGCCAAGTCTTTGAATAAATCAAAATAGGACTTACTTATTCAAATTCCAAATCATAATGGATGCAAACTTTGAAGAAAAGGGCTGATTGGATTTCTCTTGGTTTTTGAGCATAATATAGGCCAATTTCTAAGCAAATTCTGGACTTAGCTTCAATTAGCCTAAGGTTCTTAAGAGCAATAGTAGCTGTAGTATGCCTTCGTTGGAGAGGTCTTATTCAGCTAGATTTTGGATGACAAGTTTTTGATACTATTTTAAATTAAAATAAGTACAGCATTGATTTATTTATTCTCTTTGATGTTGAGAGTTGCTTGCAAGAGTAGAATTAATGATCTATTAGTTATTAACTCTTTTTTATTAAAATTATTTATGGCTAATTTAAATGTGTATATCAATATTGCACTAGCATCTAACCTGATATCTTGGATAGCCCATATAATGAGAACCAAGTCTTTGAATTTGAATCTGTAGTCTCTAAGCACTCTTTTTTCAGATTGCAAATCCTCCTCCAATTGTTATTCTAAGAAGTCCTCATCCTCATCAGATTAATTGATTTCGTTTTCTTCTAGACTTTCTGGTTTTGAATTTTCTTTTGGAGTTGTCAATTCTTCAGGTTTCTCTGAGACTGGGATGAGGGAATCTAAATTCTATTGTAATTGATCAATCAAATGAATCACAAGTCTGGGCTTCTTGATACCATTCTTATGATAACCCCACAATAGGATGGCTATTTATTTGACTCTGATGCATGTCAAGTCACTGCCGTATTATTTGATTAATTATTTGTTTCTTCCGATTTTGGCAACTTGCACATCTATCTAATAATAAGATTATAAATTTTACAAAATCTCCATTTTTCCTGCATAGGCACCTACTTGAATACTTCTGTTAGTTCATCATAGAAGGCAGCGTCGTCATTGAGATCGAATCTCTTTCTGACTGGATTTGTGTTCATATGTTTCAAAGCCTCAAGAAATAACAAAGGTGTAAAATGTTCTTAATTTTTGTGATAGGTCTAGTAGATTTCTTTGGGACTACTACAGGTTTTGATGAATCTGAGGATCTTCTTTTCAGATGAAAAGCACTAAAGAATCCTAGTTGATAAAATCATTAATTAAATAATGTTTAAAATTATTCAAAGAGCTTGTTTCAGATATTCAGTTGCCCCCACCAAGGCTGAGGCTGAAATCAAATCAGTTCCAGGTATCGTCATGAGAGAGTGATTTTAGGACACAAGCCTCCCACTTTTGAAGATACCGTATAGGGAAAATATGCAGGAGTGTTATTCTCAATAGCATCATAAAGAGAGGCACTTCATTTGGTGTTATAGGACATGAAATACTTAAAGGAGTTGGCTGACAAGAGTCCAGTATTTGCAGGCTTTTTGTTGAACTCAGCCTACAAGAGAAATCAATAAAGAAATGTGATTCAAGCTCTTACAAAGGTAAGTGAAGAAACTCATAATAAAATAGGAAGGATTTCATGAGGTAACTCAGAATTTGTTGAACTCCATGATTGATAGCCAAAGAATCTTCTATTTAACCAAGACAGCCGATAAATTCATTGAATATTATAGAATCTTTAATAAGGAAGAAAATATCACTATTATTTCAGCTGAAAACTTATCCGAAGAGCAAAGGTATGCATGTACAGCTATTTAATATAGATCACAAGTAATTTAGGCTTTGAAGGAATCAAGTCCTAATATGCAATTTTCAGTTCAATACAAAGTTGATGCATCCATTTTGGGAGGGTTACAAATGTATTCAGGAAACAAGTTCCTGGATTGCTCTTTGTTGTCAAGAGTGAATAAATTGAGATCAGAATTGTAAAAGTTGAGCATCTGATGAAGAATAAGTATTAATAATAATAAATATTATATATAAATATCAATGGATGTTCTCAAAGACCCTGTGAATGATCGATAGGTGAAGACTCTTAAGCCTCCTCCTCATCGACCACTCTCAAAAAATCTGATGTTTCCAGATAAATTAAAGAGTATGTCACAAAATTAAATTATTTAGACAAACCTGATTGGAAATTATTGAAAGATCACCTTCAAAGGGAAGGAAGAATCGCAAAAGAGGAATTATTTAAATTGGTAGCTGATTGCAATAAATTATTGAGTAAGGTGACATTTTGATTGTTAGAAAATGAGGGAAATGTTCTATATTTGCAAGATCCACTTACTGTTGTTGGTGATATCCATGGGTACATTCTCAAATATAAATAGACAATATTATGACTTACTGAAATTATTGGAACCGAAAGTCGGTGGCAACCCAGAAACGACGAAGTAACACAACTTAATATTATTAGATATCTCTTTCTGGGAGATTTCGTCGACAGAGGCTCCTATTCAATTGAAGTAGTCATTTTACTTTATGCGATAAAACTTAATTATCCCAATACTATTTATTTTTTAAGAGGCAATCATGAATGCAGATAACTGACAGCATTTTTTAATTTTAAAGATGAATGTACTTACTAATGTAATCATAGGTCTTTACAAATATGATTAGGAAACCTACGAGATGTTGATGGATTCTTTTGATTTATTCCCCTTGGCATGTATAATAAATTCAAAGTTTATTGCAATTCATGGTGGAATCTCCCCAGATTTAAAATCAGTAATTTTTATGCTTATTTTTAGATAGAAGACATCAAAAAATTGGATAGATACCACGAACCACCTCGAAGTGGCCTCTTTTGCGATCTACTATGGAGCGATCCAGTGGATCATGATTAAGGAAACTTGGATGGACAATGGAAAAGCAACGAGGTTCGTGGTTGTAGTTGGTTCTTTGGGATAGATGCCAGCATGAAGTTCTTGTAAAGAAACAGTCTCATAAGCATCATCAGAGCTCATGAAGTAATTGAGTTCTATAGAGTGTATAGGCACAACTTGATGGATATAAGATGCATCGATGGAATGGAGGGTAAGATTTCCCTGTCGTGATCACCATCTTCAGTGCCCCCAATTATTGTGACGTTTATAATAACAGAGGAGCAGTTATTAAATTCGAAGTAACAATTACTAGTGAAACCAATAGAACAATACTCTAAATATTTAATAATTCTAGTATACTCCGCACCCATATTTACTACCGAACTTCATGGACATTTTTACTTGGTCAATACCTTTTGTGGCTGAGAAGATTACTGAAATGCTATACAATCTCATTTAGGCAGGAGATCAAGGTGATGACGATGATGACGTTAACCAAGAGGATATTGAGCAATTCAAATAGATGACAGGTCAGAATAAGCAGTTTAATAAACAGTAATCAGGTGGCTCGACTGGAAAAAGTAAATGACTTTTTTATTATTTGATTAGGTACTGAGAAGTTGAAGAATAAGTTGAAATTCGTGGCAACCATGATGAAGCTTCAAAAAACACTTAGAGAAGAAAGTGAAAGTGTTATGAAGTTAAAAGGAGCTTGTCCTGATAAAAGATTACCTAAAGGTATACTATCAGCTGGTAAAACAGCTATTTCTGATGGTAAAATGTATGATCATTGTAGCACTTGCTGATTTCAATGTCGCCAAAACTGCTGATATAGTTAATGAGAAGATGCCTTCTTAAGCACAAGTTCCTTAACAATCTATAGCCATAAAAAAACCCAGTAATAATACCCAATAGCCAAAGAAGAAATGAGAATCAGATTCTATTAAATATATATTCAAATATAGATGTATATAATTATTTTTACTAATTAATCTTGCTCTAATGTACATAATTTTGTGTGAGGTGCTCATGTCATTGGGGAATGGCTTTCTCTAATCGGCGCTATTTTTATTGCTTGAAAAACGAAGAATCAATTTATATTGATACTTGATATTATTTTTCCTAAATATTAGAATGAAAAATGGATGATGAGCTTTAATAATTATTTCATTATTAGAGATGTACGTTGACTTTGTAAAGAGCAATTTCAGACCGACAAGCAAAGAATTAGAGTTATTGTAATCCTAAGAATTAATAGAATTATACGAAAATATTTAGCAAAAAGGCGGGTTTATTAAAGTATCATAAGACACCATATATAGTATTACTCGGAATAGTATAATGTATTTCAAAGCTAAGAGAAGCAAGAGTTTCTGAATTTGTTTTGTAAATACTTATTAAATTTTGAATTGAATAAAACAAATGTTGATGGGTAGTATTTGTAAAGATGTGCCTATGTTGAAATTGACAAAGCCCTTGATTGTTTCACGGAATCACCAGAAAAGTGGCTCAAAAAAGATTAAGCAATTTTATGGTCAATGCCATAAGACGTAATAGATAAACTCAATAAAGATCTATTCACATTCTCAGATTTGGTCAAACATCATAAAAACCAAAAAATAGATATAAGAGCTCAAAACCCATTCACAGACACAATCGAGGCAAAGGAAGGGGATTTTTATTAGGCTTTTACAATGTCAATCTAGTAATACAAAGATTATGTTGAGGATCCGATTGCATTTCTTTTAAATAATACTAATTATAGGAAGGACAAAGTTTATTAGGCAGTAAATGTAGACATGGAGAACTGGAAGGATGAAATATAAAGACTGTTTGATTTCTTTCCAAAATTCTTTTTATTAAACAACGGATTGAAGTATTTGAGATAGAACTGTAAAGGAGCAAACGTACCAGAAATATATATGAGAGCTGCCAATTGTTGGATTGGAGGATAATAGGATTTTTAAGGTATGAGTTAAATCAATATAAATCATGGACCAGGAGATTGCTTATGGACCATTATCGATGCATGCCATGTGGATTAGTTGTTGAAAATAATTCCTGATTTGTATAAGAAGGAGGGAAGATGGTATGTAAATATTACGTATTTCCTACAAAACAAAATACCTGTTAAGTAAGTAATCTAAAAGTAAGGGGATATCTTGATAATTGGGGCTGGAAGCTTCTTTTAAGCTAAGAATATAGGAAATTCAATACACACTTCATTCAACTTTTTAATGATGGATGATTTCTCTATGCAACAAATATTCTTGAGACAAATTAGGAATGATAATTTCAAACTTTGGAGTGTGATAGCAATCAGAAATTTATTCTTGGATATCTTCATCCATGAGAAATTACCCATTTTAAGGGAGTATTTGACATATTTTATAGATCAAGAACTTGAACGTTAATTATCTAAAAGTAATCCAACTCAGTTTAAATTATTTATATCCTCGAAGGATGTATTGATTTGCACCAAATGCTATAAGGAAATCTTTATATTCTTTTAATTCATTAAAGATTGGGTAATTTATTGTCCAGATTGTTATATTGATGATGAAGACATAGTTTACATGAAATATCACATTGCACAGTTGAGATGTCTTATACAGGCTGATAGAGTTTAATGCTCAAAATTGTTGTGTAGCAATTATGTGGGAGAGACAACGTGTGAATTGAAACAGCAACTCAAATTGAAGGTGCAAATAAATCCTGAACCAAATAACAGAATAGTAGATAGCAGACAACTTTTGGATGAGTTCATTGTCGGGTTGAACATAGAATCATCCAATTCTCATAATCAATAAAATGGATCGACTGTGGATTATGTGTATAATGGCAAAAAGCAACATAAAAAAATACAGGAAAAAATAGCAATGATGAAATTGCAACATGAGAAATTAAAAAAACACAAGAAATGTGAAAAACTTTAAGATCTAAAGGTAATTAAGTACATTCAAAAAACAAAATAAAGAATCTTAAATTGATGAATAAATATTTATACATAAATTATCTTTAGAAATGAATTATTTCATGGAAAGCATTGAATACTTAGCAATGTAATATGAAATAAAATTATTAAAAATATTATAATTAAATTTTATTAGTGTTTGACAATTTTTACAAATATTAACTCACCCTCATTTAAGCACAAATGTACAAGCTATCTAAATCAACAAATAAAACGAATGAATAATGTTTATTCCAATAAATACAAATTATAGAATCAATTTATTCCCCATATTTTTTCAAATACTTTGTAATATGTGTTTTTTAAAGATTTTGGCTATTGTTAAACAAGCTATATTACATCATGTTAATAATAGTAATGGATGATGGCGATAACAAATGAGAAAACAATAACATCCCCTCGAGGAATGTCTATCATCTTCCCCCTGCTCTTTAATAGGTTTATAATTGTTTCGCAAAATCTCGGAACAATGCTTAAACAAATTTCCATTGCTCTACATTTAGATTCCAAAAATACCTAGTATTAGACTCAAGAAGAAGAGCAAATGAGCTTATGAAACCACCAGACAATGGAACAAATGGATCAACCTTTTTAAGGAGATTTTTTTGTTTGCACCAATTGTAACGGAGGATTTGAACCATAAAGGAGAGGAAACATATGCTCTTAAAATATGAAACAAGTGCTCTGCCCAATGTTGATAAAGGACTATTTGGTTAAGGGTATTATTGTTACTTCTTCATGAATTATTTTCGCTTGTAAAGTAGAAATGGGATCAGATGAACTGGCAAGTACACTTTAGAATTGGATCTCATAATTCGAGGAAGACTTTAATAAGTTATTTCCAATAATACTTAGATAAAATGTTCATTTCACAAGATTTACCTGGATGTACAATTTCACAATTAAATGGTGTTCCTAGGAGTTGGATAGTTGATTCTACCTGATTGAATGATTAGTTGATCTGCTGCACTGATCACATAATTACTCATGATTATTTTATTTATTTTAAATTTTAGTTGTAATAAATGGATATTATTATAATCATTCATTAATTGAGCTTTTTAGTACTATAGGCAGCTAATCCGATCAATAAACCTTGGAAAATGAATGTGCCATCAAATCTCAACATTGGGACTATTAGCAATATTGAGAGAGCTGATATAATGAAGCCTAACAATCCACTAAAATTGACTATTGGGAGTATATCTGCACCTGTTTTCTTGCCAAAAATCTACAGTAATCCTGGACCTAAGATTACTATAATTCCTTTTGATACAATGGATAATAATAGATAATCTATGTTTAGATGAGAAACTTACCAATAATGAATAAATCTTTTGAAATATTCAAAGAAATCGGAATCATTACAGCTATTATACTCATCATTATCAATAATTTGTGGAGTAAGACAGTGAATGTAATCGAATCAGCCATCTTACCAAAGACGAAATTAGCAATTGATCCAAGAATGATTCCAAGTGTGTCAACCCATGTAATCAATTGATCATTATTAATCTCTTAAACTATAAATATATATCTACCTTTTGTAGAACATATGTTTTATAGTTTAATCCCAATGTTACTTCAAAAAAGAAAACAGTAAAGTAAGATCCCAGAATTATTTTGAATTAGGGAGTTCTGACCACTTGCAAAAGAGGATCATTTGAAGCAATTTTAATGTTCTAGATTTCACTGGTCAAAATCTATAATTCCTACTCTTCTGCCCCTTCCAATTTTCTTTAGTTTATTAATAGACTGCCACAGACACTTAAAGTACCTGCTATGAATCCAGCATACTTAATGGCTTCATGTGTGTTAACTGCAACGTGCTCAGAGAAATACAGATACTACTATGAACCTACTTACATCTATGTAATAAATAAACCATTACTGATAGAGTGGCTTATTCGTTATTGGGATTCACTATATATGTAACCAACAACAGATAGAAAAAAGTGGCGAATCCAAATACTCCAAATAAAATGCCTGTGACCATTCCTTCCTCCTCTGAAAAGTGACTCCATAAGCATTTCAACAATGGAAATGCCATTAATGCGTATCCTAAGCCAATAAAACCCAAATAAAATATTATGAACTCCAAATAAGAGTTAGCGTGTAACGCTAGGAGGAATGACAAAAATTATAATGATGTCGTGATCTTTATTAGTTTCTCATAGCCTATTCTATCAGCGATCTTTAATGAATAGACTGATGCCGCTGCCAATGGTATACCCATTAATGCGATTGGTAATGTGTTGTAGGCAACTGACAAGTCAGGATCATTCATTTTGAAATATGAATAATAATAAACATTAGACTTTCCCCATGTCATTAATAGTGCTTATCCTGCCTTTACTAACACTGCACCTAAAAGGCATTTCTATTACAATTTATTATAAATTTACTAGGCCATCAGGTGAATATTTATTCATGATATCTAAATATTTAATTATTATAAGCAATGTTTTAACAAAAAGAGTTCGATTATTCATAAACACCAGAAGTGTAACAATTATACTAAGAATTTGTCGATGCTTTTGAGGAGAAACTGATCGTGGAAGACTTTATCCCAGTTGTTGAAGCTGCCTGCGGAGAACAATGCTCCTTATTATTAAAGAAATTACAAAGGAGGAAAAATTAGAAATTGGATTAAGACGAATTTTCATAACAATTCAACTTCGAATTGTCTGAACCTGAAAACTTCGACTGCATCTATGAAGTCTTAGAATAAGGCAAAGGCAAAATCACTTTCGAAGGATTAAAAGCAGCCAATTAGAAATACAAATTCGGATTGACTGATCAAGACATGAAGATTATGATCCAATACACTAATGTTAAGGATCAACCTATTACTAAATCAGTATTTAGACAAATGATATCCTGATTTACATCCAATATTATATTAAAATAATAAATTTCATTCAATTAACAACCATTCTTTAAACTTCTATTCAATTTGTTCTCCGAAATTTACAAACACAATTCCAAATATTAAAGCCCATAGAATTATATTTATCAACTTAATTTAGGATTAGTATTTATTTATATTTACTACTTATGGCTTCTCAACTTCCTCTGCAGCTTCTCTCTTATTGACCTCTTAATCTCTTTGCTTATTAAGCACTAAAGACTTTTAGACTTTGTCCTCCTCTTCCATCATTTTATAAACTGTTTATCATATGATATAGAATTACTTTAATCGAAGTACTGAAGTTATTATGGATGAAAATGATCTTATTACTAATTCTAAGTTCTCAATGAAAAATGATTTTACAAAAAGTCTGGATTGATAGCCTTCCAAAGAAGTCTTTCCAACTCCACTGTTTATTTTTTAGTCATAGGAATCTCTTATTCATCATCAGAATAATCATTCTCTTACATCTCTCTTTTTCTCTCGCTTTCTCTCTTTTATTTTTATTCTGCTTATTTAATCACCTATTTCTATTATTATTGGACTTATTCTTTCGCTTATGGTTATTCTTTCACTTATGACTATTCTTTTGCTTATGGAGATTTCTATTAATCCTATTCTGAATTTTTGCTATTTAATATATTTGTATTTTCAGGCTTTTTATCTTCATTCCTATTTTAAATTTATTCATCTTTTTTAGGTTATGGCTATTGCTCCTTCTTTTCTTGTTTGATTTTAGGAGCAATTTATTTCGCAATGGGCCCACATAGTTCGCATTCCCATTTATGACTTGCTTAAGCTAAACTTTTTATTTAAGTTGACGTGTATTTTATTGAACCCACTGCAAAGTCTGACACATGAAAATGCTATATAATTCCTTCTATCATAGTTCTAACTAAAGAAAATGTATAATAGATTTTACTTGTCCAACTTGGATTCCAATTTTCAGGATGAAACTTTGTTATACTTAAACAAATTTTGGTTTTCACTTCAAATCTACCATTTGGAGTCAAAAAATAAATGTTGGGAGGTTTGATTGGATAATCAACAGGAAGCTCTATTTTTCCATGATAAATTCCTTCTTCATAATCAGATTCCTCTGGACCCCTTATTGTAAAATGCCATTCATATAGGTTATTATTTATGCATTGAGCCACAAAGGATGATGGTGGATCATTTCTAAGTTATTCAAGTTCTTTTAATATTCTTTTTGTCATAAGACTCATCTTAGCTTAATAAATATAAATTATTTAATCATAATGAGTAGCTTATTTTCTAAATTTGTATCATTTGTAATGGATGACAAACCTCCACCTTAAAATTCAATTATGAATGCATTTATAAATAAACCATAAAAAGAAAAGAGTGAAAGTGAGAATTCCGATGAAGATTCAAGTAATTCAGAACATGAGGCCCAGAATTCATAAGAAGAAGAAGATGAGGAGGATGAAGAGGACGACAATGAAAATGAGGAAGAAGTGGAATATTATGAAGAAAGCTAAGAAGAAGAGGAGGAAGAAAACTCATAAAATGAGTGTAATAGTAAATCTGAAAAGAGTTCTAATGATTGCAATTAATGTCCAGAAGAGGAAGATGAAGTAGATAATGATTTAGAATTGGAATCATGGTATTGGAATAAATTATAACAAGATAACTAATAAAAAGAAATTTAAAAATAACTATTAGATGTATTGAAATTAATTATTATCACTTAGATTACTTTAAATTAACTATTGCATTCTGAAACATAAATACAATCGCACCATTAATAAAAGTACAATGAAGTTATCGACTCTATAGATGATCCTTAATTCCAATTAGATTATATCAATTTTATTTGGCATGATATATCTGAGTCTCAAATCTTAGTAAAGCATGTAGAATTGTTGTGCAAACACAAACCCGAACAGGTACCTAACTTTTTAAGATCTGGTAAATATCCAATCTTCGACTCTATTTATTTGACAAAAGCTTATAATATTTATGAGGGAACTGCTATCTTATTAGAGAAGATGAACAAGGTGGATGAAAGCATTTAGATTTATTTAGAATTCATGGATGATCTATTGAAACGTTATCTAAGAGAGGTGGTGAGATTGCCTGTATAAATATCCAAGAGGAAGAAACCATATTTAATAATTAATAATCTTAGTCAATTAATCTCTACTCTATAATAGCTATTAAACAATATGAAAATACTTCTAGATAACAATAAGTTGCACAACAATATTGATATTTTGTATTTTTAAGTATTCAATCAAATTATCGATTGGTAATAAATGTTGTATTAAGCTTATAAATTAGACAATACAAAAATTGAAATATTAACGATCATCAATCATTTTAGAACGAATACTCCTGAGATTCTAATTAAATTGTTGTATTCCACGGATGTTGAGTTATTTATTGATGAATTGATCAATAATTACTCGAAACTAAATTTAGGATTTCAATTTTATTGTTTCAGAGCTGTTTTCTTGGATTTCCATTGTTATTAGCATATTCTAAGGCTTGGCAATATTGAAATTAATAAAACAAATACCCTAATAAAGGATATACTCCATAAAAATAGAAATTAAGGCAAGAGAGTTGAAATAATATGTTAATAATGCTAATTATTAGGAAACATGATAATTGATTAGATTGGAGGTTATAAAAACAGTTATTTATAGAGATAGAAAATGTAGTGACATTTAATTGTGGCCATTCATATCATATATCTTGTTAAAAGAACTGGATTTGCTAAGCATGCTAATCAAAAATCAGTGAACTCTTAGTATAGGTTCAACACAACATGGCTACAAAGATGAACCAACTAAAAAACCAATAGCAGTTGAATCTAAATTAAAGAACCCAAAAATAAGAAGATAAATTAATCAATCATAGATCAATTATTACTTCACAAGATTAAAAGAACACAAAGCTGGCAAGATTGAAAATATATGAATTAAGAAAATAAAATGAAAAATTATAATTTATATGAAACAATAATAATAATTAAATTGCTTATATGAATTTTAACTCACATCTCTATTGATAAATTATTGCATCCAACATTATCAGGCCATGATACATTATCTAAGTAATTAGAAGAAACTGATTAATCTAAAACCCAGGCAGACAAAGTCTTAGCAATAGTGTTTCCTGATCCAGTTGGGACTTAGAACTTAGTTCCATAGTAGTTTGAACCTTCTAGGAAACTATTACAATTAACACTATATTTACCAATGTTATAAACAGGCAGGACCAAATCCTCCAGTATTAAAATGAGTCGAAAATCTTGATTTCATCATCACTTCCATACTTATGGCATGACTTTCTATAAAGTTAACTTAGCTTTGATTGCAGTTTTATAAGGTTCCATCATTTGCACATGATAACTTCAATATATTTGGGATACACCATGAATCATATGGGGATTGCACAAAGAAAATTGGAGTATCAATGTACTCAATTAAATATTGGGCAAATAAGCATTTCCATTATTCATTAGGATTTGACTAGACACATTGAGTATTTGGGGGAGAAATTTCTTTATTGGACAATTACATAAAGTTAGTATGATATGTATTTTTATAAGTAATGGAACCATCATAGGTTGACAAATCCTAGAACACTCCGGAATCTGGAACACTAGATACATAAAGTAAAATACTTTAATACGGTTACACTTGGTGGTAATAAATCTCTAATAGTTTATACCCAAGTAAAAGAAGCTAATCCACCTGCTGAGCATCCAGATACAATCACTTTGTCAGCTTATTTCAATTCATCCAAAAATTAATTTATTATAGATCTTGTAATTGAATTACCTCTAAAATAAATATTGGTTCCACTAACAACGATTGGATCTTTGGCATATCCTTAATGTCCTAAGAGATTTACATTAAATAATTACCTGTTCCATCACAATAGTTGATGTAAATGGAATTCCAGTTGTACAAAACAGGATTTACTTTAGAATCCCTTGAGAAGATTCCACCTATATTGACTGATTGGGCCTTATTTTTAGATGACCCTATATCTGTTTTTGATCTAGATAAAGCACTATTCTTTGTAGCTTCCAAAGTGCTTCCACCAATCCAACCTCCTCCTTGGAAATAAATAATCCATGACTTAGCTCCACTTCCACTTCCTCTATCGAAATAAAAAGACTTTAATTATAAAAAAATAATACTCCTCTTGATCCATCCAAGCATAAGGCTTATTCATCTTAGACTAAGTTGAGTGTATGAGTTGAATATGTTATTTGCAAAGATAAGCATATTATTAAGATGGTGGAAATATAATTCATCATCAAATTAATTAATAAAGATTAAATGATTAATAAAATTGATTAAGTTGTGACATATATACATATTATTATAAAACTTTGAAATATATTACAATTGGTAGTGGAAGTAAAACATAAGAGCAACAGTAAGTTTTTAGATTAAAATATTAATCTAATTAATCTCATATTTTTACTATTTCAGGTAAAATCATCGACAGATTACTAAGTCTAGATAATTTGAAAAGAAACAGGACACTAGTATAAAAGTATAAATGCCAAGGCTAAGATTGATAAAGTTATTATCACTTTATTTGAAGATATAGAACAAAATATTAGAAATTATACTTAGTTATTTTATGTTATAAACTAGAGAGAAACAATAAGAAATATTTGGGCTTTTCTAAATTCAAGACCTATATCTCATTTAGTAAATTATGCTACGCATCAACACAGAATAAAAAAGTTGAAAGGATTCTATAACATAAAGTGTTCAACTTTGCATGATAAGGAGTAAGGGTTTTTCAGATATTTGATGAATAATAGGAAATTATTAAGATTTCTTTGTCTAATTAATAATTATTTTGTTTTGAATTGTGTACACCATATGTTTTTACAATATAAATCTCAAAAAAAAATTAAATATTAATCAAGGTATTTAAATCTTTTAATATATTTATTCAATGGCTTCCTAAAATAGACCACCTTAAACTCGTCAATTGACCAAACCAAAATGTATTTGTATTAGTTTAACCTACTAGTTGACAAACTCAGCGATGTCAAACCAGGAATTCATGGATATAATACCTTCGTCAAAGTAAGAATAAAATATCTATATCCTAGGTTGAAGATATCAAGAAAGAATAAATTAAAAGATATGACGGTTCACTTTTGGTTGTTGCTGAAGGTTTGGCTGGAGATGATACAGGAGTCATCAGATTCAGAGTTGTTGGAGAATATGCCAATATTCTTGAGAAAGGTAAATGTTATGCATGGAGAAACGGATTGTCTGAAGTCATATAAGAAAGACACAGACTCTCACTTGATTAATTCGGACGCATAACTCCTGAAAAAGTAAATATGCAATTTATATATCAGGATGATTTAGTTGTTGTCAACTAAAATGGCAAGAAATACTCTGATATTGAATATGTGAGAAAGGATGCCAGACCAAATACAAACAGAAGAGACAATAGAGATAACAGAGACAACAGAGATAACAGAGATAACAGAGACAATAGAGATAACAGAGACAATAGAGATAACAGAGATAATAGAGACAACAGAGACAATAGAGATAACAGAGGTTAAAGAAGACCATAAGGAAATAGAACAAGAGGAGGAGGAAACTAAAAGAGAGATTGAGTTAGTCAATTTATGGAACATTATCATATAATACCACCATCATTTCTCTTTGTTATTTGTAATTAATAATTTAAAATTAAATTAAGCTGATAATTTAAGTCTAACTAAAGATTCTCAATTAGCAAATGACCTTCTTCGAGAAAACTCAGATCTAGGATGATTTTTTTCTGTTTCAAATTTCTTCATTAAATGATAACAATTCAGCTTTTCATAATTATTTTCTTTATCTTCTGTAAAGTAAGCTTCTTAGATGTAATAATTTGGAGGTATGTATTTCTTTATCTAGGCTCTAGTCTCTTGATTTCTATTTTCAATTGCCTACTGCAAGTAATCTAATCTATTCATCATTGAATTGATATTAAGTAAAATATCTTCACATTATTAACTAGCTTTTTTCTTTTTTGATTGATTTCGACTGGAAGATAAACTATTTCGTACAGATTTCCTGTAACCACTGCTTTCCTAAACATATAGCATATTTATTTTTAACGAAAATTAATATCATAAAATTTTACTTTCGATACTAATATCAAATGTCGAATCTCCAAAAAACCTTTAAAATTAGAACAACTTTATGATTATCACTACGAAAGCATTAAAAAAGAATAGATATATCTAGTCAGTTTTAATTATATTGTTATTATTTATTAATGGGAAGTGTTTCATCAAATCCTAATGCTGACGAGACTGGTACTATAAGCAATCTTCCTATGCATCTTAGGAGGATGGAATTGAAATTTGACATTACAAAAGAAGTCAATCCAAACCTTAAACAACTATTGCATTGTAATGGAAAATTAGTATAATAGGGTCATTGATGGAAATCAGATAGGTATATGAATAATTTCAGAGAAGATCAACTTCTCCGTTTATTGATAAAAACATTTTCTGTAAGATTGTACCTTTTAGCAGATCAAATGCAAGCTTTATCTTCGATTAATTTTGTGTCGGAAACAAAGTTCTCTCCATTTATGAATTAATATGTATTCTGACAATTACTGCCTACACCCAATATATCCACAAAGTTCATTGTATTTATTAAGCTCAACATAATTGCTAGTCTTGTATATCGTTTTCGACCTAGATTGTAGTGGAAACATAAGTCTTAATGAGCTACTGATTATATTTAAATCGATTATATTAGGATACTGCAAGTTAACAGAAGCTGAGTTACCATCTTACATCTAATTGGAGAAGTTCGCAAAATTAATGTTTCTCAAAAGTGATATCTAAGTAGATAATTCATTGGAGCTCAGCGAGTAATACATTACATAACCTTAGGATAATAGAGTGGCTGGATAATAATCCTACAGGTTTACAATTATTTCAAATGTATGAACCTAAGCAGAAGGTACAAGAGCCCTTTGAAGCATTTCGTTCTTTTCGAGCCTACACTGAACAAGAGGCAGAGAATATGTTAGAAATGATAACTAAATCCAATAAGAATGAATACTATATGAAAAGCCTTAATGATTAAGTTGGTAAAAGGAATAAATTTAGTTATATGGCAAATACAAAAAGTTAATAATAACAATAAATATATTCTATCTAATAATAAAGAAATTAGTCTTTACCTAAAATTTAAGCTTAAAAATAATTAAATATGGAAGAAGAATTGGAAGAGTTAAATATTTTAGAAAAAGCATTAGATTAACACCAAAAGAAATATGATTTATCAACAGAAAAACCATCTTAAAGTCTGCATCATCCTGCTTAAAATCCTATTTCATTAGGCAAGAGAATAAAAAGCTAAGGTAGGATAATGAAAAACATTATTATAACTAAAGGGTGCACATTAACAAGGAATGAGATCTTTCGAGTAAAGAATTATTTTGACTCGCTATCTGATAATAATAAGGTTATTGGTGTTAAGGATTTTACAAAAGCGTTTTAGAATAAACCTCACATGAAAAGGGTCACAGCTAGTCTGTACAATTACTTAGATTCGAAATAAAAGGGATTTGTCACTTTTGACTAATTGATGCTGAAACTTTACCCTTCATTAACAAAATTGTAATTGGAAATTATTAATAATTGGATCAAATAATATAATGAGGTTTTCTCTAAGAGTTCTAAGGAAAGCATCGAGTTGGAAGTTCTTAAAAACAATGATACAAAACAATTGAAAAGAAAGAGAGTATTACCAAAGAGCAGTATGATCAGAATCAAACAGATTTATGATTTGATCGATCAAGACAACAAAGGATGTAAGATAGATCTTTATACTAAAATTAGATATATCTCTGGAAGATCTTAAAAAGACTTTTACTTATGGTTTTACTGGTAAAGAAGTTGAAGATTTATTTCGATTACATGATTTGGACAAAGATGGAAAATTAGGAATGGAAGACTTTATCAGAATTATCCTTCCACCAGACTATGTCATTGAGGATGAAGCAGAAGAATAATGAAAAATATAAATATTTCTTATTATGTAATCATTCTTTTTCTAATGATCTTTTAAATTATTGTTATGAAAAACTAGTAGCACATTGTAGAGCAATCAACAATATCAAATAATAAAATAGGGATTATCCGTCAAGAAATATAGCAACAAGATTGGTAAACATTACTCCAAAATTTTGACAAAATAAATATAAACCAAAAATTGCCATATCTTCATTCCAAATATCTGAGATGATGACAGCGGAATTGAATTATCCTGAATTGTCTGTAAATCCTCTAAAAAATGTCAATAAAATTCATACATCAAAAAGCCTAAAATGATATTGATATTATAATTTTATTAAAATGCACTAATAATAGAAATTATATTCAAGCATTAGAACACATTCCCATAAAAGATTGAATTTTAAATAATTCCAAAGAAGTATCTAGATACCCCATTACAGATCCCACTCAATATTTAAGCCACTCCAACAAATAGAAAGATTCTGGCTGTTTTAACATTTACTGTTATCTCATCTTCGCCAGGTAGAGATGCTGAAATAAATTTATGAAAGATCCCAAATTCAAAACCTACAACTACACCTGTAGAAATAAATAAAGAAAACAAAAATTTCATTTCCTTCAATTAAAATTTTTATTTAATCTACTTGATTTATGCTTTGAATCCTATTTTGGCAAACTTCTTGTTAATGTTGGCCATCTATTCTTCAGGTTTATCAACAGAATCATTCTGGATGAGACATTGATTGGCTTCAGAAATTTAATTTTGATTACCCTTATCGGGTTGTTAAACGAAAATAAACAATAGAGATAATATGCACTCAAACAATCCACTATACAAAAAGTAATTCTCTCGACCTATGTATGATAATAATTAATTAGAAGTCACCCCATTCAACAAATATGAACTTCCAAGTAACATGTAAGTTACACCAAAAAACAACTGCTTATTTTTGTCTGTGGAACAGTGACTAACATATGTATTTTAGAGAACAAAATATCCGCCCAACCCTGCTCCTAAAAAGACACATCCGATCAAAGTTAGAGGAATCAATATAATTGGGTTGCAAATTAAATCTTAGACATCATTTCCATCACACCTTGATATAATATAAGCAGGAATAAAAGAAGGCAATACTAATCCTGCTTAAAAAGCAAATCCGTATCGGTATTTCATTTTAGTTAAATAAAGTGGGGCTAACATTATTATATTATAATCATACCAACTAGGTTGAAAATTAGATTTACTGTATATATACAAATCAATCCTAGACCGCCTAAGTATGAATAGTTGTTCTAATCGACAATTTGAGGCAAAAGACTGGCCAAAGCCAAGCATTAAGATAAATGAAATGTTAGAACTATATTCATATATAAGACCTTTCCTAAGTTAGCATATCTCTTCATTCTAATATTTAATGTTGAATATTTAAAATATTAAAATCTATCTTCATAACTCATTATATATAATCAAATTATTGTTTTATATTTGTATCTATCGTATATTAATGCATCCTCAAATTATTAGTCCATCCATTTTGCTTCTTTCCTTGAAAATACATTATTATTATCAGATTCTAAATTTTAATGTTTTGTCTAAAAATAGTTAATTTCTTACAGTTGCAACAAGATTGCATAGATTCAAAGATTTTAATAATTCCTCTGAACCAAATGCCAATGGAGTACATTTATCTGCATTGACCATATTGAGATTACCTCCTTTGTTTATAAAATCAATGATAATTTATTTGCTTTCTGATTAAAATGCCATATGCAATGGAGTATTGAGATTCTCGCATTGTTAATTCACATTTGCACCCAAATTGAGTAAATATCTACAAAACAATTCATCTCCATTTTTAGCGCAATAATAAAGTGGAGTATTTCCAAATCTATCACATAATTGTGTATCTCTTTGATTGTATTAAAATCCTGAAGTCATTGCGACCTATAAATTCTTCATTTTAGCAGCAACAATCAATTTCCTGTTTTTCAATTTTGCCTCACTCATTTCCTTTTGCTTAGAGAATTTCATCAATTTCTTTTTTCTGGCGATTTCCTTTATTTCTAGTTCTGCCCTTCTAGCTGTATCCTTAACTTAATAACAATGCTACAATTACCAATGAGTTTTCGTCAACTTTTTCTTGTGGTGGCATATATTTATAAAGACTTAATCTATGAGATTATAACCTCTTAGTTGTCCTTTACGTTTAGGAAATTTGGCCACTACTTTTTACACCTATGCTCAAAGCACCAGAAGATGGAACCTTTTCAAGTTTATCTATTGGTAATTTTGGCGGTTAATGACTTGAAATATCTTTAAGTCTTTCACTTTATCTTTTATCTAATTCTTTGTGAAGTTCTTCAAAGAACTTTTTTGCTTACATGCATTTTCTAATTTTAATTTCAATATCCCTGTTTTTTTTTACTTCACTTTTTACAATTAACTTATTTAAGGCTTTCTTCTGGATATACCTTTTAATAGCAAATTTGATCTTATTTGCAGCTTAAACCTCTGCTTCTGAAGTTATCCAATTATTTTTTCTTGGAAAATTAGTATCTGAATCATCATGTTTAATTAAATGTTATAACTCTGGAGATTGAAATTTTCTTGGTAATTAAGGTCCACCAGCATAGTAATTCTTAAATTGATCTTATGTAACTGTATAATTTCTTATTCCTAACTTATATCTCCTTACCTCTTGTTTCTAAATATCTGGCTTTTACACCTTAAATTTATCTTCTGATAAAGTTGTCATTATTTTGGAAGGTGGATGAAAAGCTCTCTTTGATTTAGTTACATCATATATTTCGTTTCCAATGGTGTAAATGGCTTTTGGAGGTGGTTTAGCTTCATTCCTTTCCAAAAATTCCTTTTATCTTTCTTTATCTGACACTTTTTTCTATTTTAATCAAATTAAATACTTCTCTAATTTTACTTATCACTTAAAGCACAATTTCTTTGAACTTTTGGACATATATATTTGCTAATGGATTGCCCATTCTTCGTTATATTCTTAAATATTTCTCTTTTTTTCTTTCTGCTTCACTTTATAGCTGTTTTTTCTTTGCAACATCTCTTAATTAATTGATAATTTTCTTTTTGATATTTCTTATTTGGTTCGAATTTGAAAGCAATTAATTTTTCTTTTAATTTAGCTCTGAATTGATTTCTATAATATCTATTTTTAGTTTTTACTAATATTCTTTCGTTTCTCAATATTAACTTTTTCTAACCATTCCTTTCTATATTTGGTAAGGTTTTTCTTCAAATAATAAAAAGTCTATAATATTTGTTCAGCTATATTCATTTCAATTTAATGAATGACCTAAACTTCAAGATACTATTTACTTGAGAATCCAAAAAATTAATTGCTCTCTGAATAAACTACTTGTCCAAACATTTATTTATTAGAAAGGAAGTTGATGCTAAATACTTTAATTCTTCAGCAGTCAAATAATTTCCTTCCTAACATTAATCTAATAATTTTTCTCTCTTTTAATAATTAACGCCCTTGCTATTTTGTTTCTTCATTAATTCATATCCAACTCTATGAATATTATTGTCATTTAAAAAAAAGCCTTATTCAATTGCCTAATTCCATTCAAAAAATAGATCTGGCTTGGAAAATTGAAATTGAGGAGGATCTAAATATAATTTCTCTTCAAAATTTTGCTATGTACGAATTCTTGAAGTGTGAGCAGTACTGAAATTTAGACTCTCTGTTGTTTTGTGTCGTTTTTATATAAAATGATTAATGTATGCAAAAAACATTTTAATCTTACATAACTATCAAATAATTACTTTATCCTGATTAGAATTTTATTAAACAAGCTCTACTAGAGCATATTGTAGGATTTTCTTGAGTTTCTTATATTGAGATTTCACCTTCATCCACCCATACAGATCTAATTGTTTACTGCTATTTGGAACAGAAGGTTCGTTCTTTTCCTGTTTATACTTGGCTAACAAAGTCTCTAAACTTTTAGATATTGACTTAGTAGCACATTGGATCGCATAATTTTATTTCAATTCTAGAGTTTCGAGCTTAAGTAATTGATAATAATCAATCCCAAATTCTGAACAAACATCTATATATTTTGTTTTGAGGTCTTTTTTAGTCATTGATTTTCTTATAATTTTATCTAACAAAATAGATTAAAAGTCTAAATCGGTTTATGAAATTGATTCTTTAATTTACACTTTCTATTTCCCTTTAGTGAATTTTGAAGAATTATCAATAAAAGTTTTTAACTTTGATTCGAAGTCTTGAAATGTCTCAAGGTCTCCAAAAGCATCTGATTCTACCTCAGTTTTAAAGAGTTTGTTGTACTTTCGTTTCATATTAAATGAAATTTTATATATAATACAAATAAGGGAAGTAATAATTTAACAGAATTGATTATAAAAATTATAAAAGAAATTTTATGATAATTTCAGAAGGTGCTCTATTTAACTAAAAGGAATACATAAATAATTAAATTAATTAAAATGGCTGAAGCACCTTTAGAGAAAAAGATCAAAGTATTGATGGCAGCATCCAAAAGAATTTAAAAAGAATACTTAGCATACAAAAATGAAATTCAATTATTTGAAAATGCTATATAAGGGATCGAAGATAATGAAGAAAATGCATTAAAATTAAAGAAACAAGTAAAAATTCTCCATTCTATCATAGAATGAATTATTAGTTGAATCAAAGAGCATGTTACCAAATACATTTTAAAGATTGGAAGAAATCAATCAAAAATTGATTGATCAAGTAGTAGAATTAGGAATGATGAATGAGGAATTAACGGAATAGGCCTAGCAATGCATAGATCAGACCTAATTATTTCTTAATTAGATAAATCCAGCAATGATTTGAATATTATTTATTTATAATTATTGTAAAATCGACTAAGAGGATGAAATAATAAGAAGCATTCTTTCAAGAGGAATCATGTTAGATACAAAAAGAAGAGACAAATGGTATCCTTGAAGTAGAAAATGACCAACCATTTAAGCCACATTTTGGAAATACCTTTATGTTTAAATTTTCTGATGGTCAACCATAAATAACGATAGGTCCTCACTGTATGCCATTTTGATATCTCTAGGGCCTTTGAGTCTATGTGTGATGGTTTCTATAATAGTGGGAACGTATTTTATTAGTACTACTATATACCTCAAATCTGGTATCTGGGCTAGTTTAGCATCTATACTCAGTGGCTTAATATTGGAAGTAAGTTTTCTAAGAGTTTTTCTAAAAAACCCTGGAGTCAATTTTACATTAACAGAAGTTACAAGAACTGAGAGTATCGATTTTATATAATCAAGAATCATGTTAACCATGCAAACTCAAAAAAGAATTAGGAACCCATCATTGTTATGAATGTGACATTTGTGTTAGAGGTTATGATCATCATTGTCCTTGGGTGGGAAAATGCATCGGCGAAGGCAATATAATAGAATTTTAACTGTTTCTGCTTTCATTTCTACTATTTTTTGTTTGCAATATATTTTTAGTCCTAATGTGAAAATAATATTTATGTTAAATTTATCTAATTTATGGTTTGCATGGAGTAAATAAAACAAATTGAAGGATCGTTATGAAATAGATGGAAGAAAAGTAATGTCGAAATATGATATCTAAGTCATTAGGTCCTTCAAAATATGGTCTGGTGATTAAATACAAAGAGAAAAAAAAGGATGGTTAAATTCGAACTGTTAGAGTTGTGCCAAAAACTAAAGTTATCAATCATTCTAGATTCAAATAGGAAATTAACTAAATGCGATATTTAGTAAAATTTGAATGAATTTAGAATCATGAAAATATTACGAGGTTGATTGAATTATTTGAGGATGATAAAAACCTTTATTTTGTTTTAGAGTAAAGACTAAAGATAACTTAGATATTGTGATGGAGGATCATTGTTTGAAAAGATTTTATTGAGATATTATCTTAAATAAAGCGAGGCAAGATATCTATTTTAATAAATCATAAATTCTCTCAATATTGCACATAGGTCTGCAATTTGTTAAAGGGATTTAAGAGTAATTAACAAAGTTTATTTGCTAGCCTGAATCATTCCATTTCATTAATAGAGATATAAATAATCTTGATATCAAATTAATCGATCTTGGATTTTAACTCATATATGTTGATGATTATCTCAAGAAATCAAATAATCAAATTATTGAAACCTCTCGATAAGGAAAAGTATAAAATCAACTATTTTTCTAAGTTATATTTTACAGCTCCAGAAATATTTAATGGAAAATTGACAGAGAAGAGTGAAATATGGGCATCCGGAGTCATTTTGCATGTACTGCTTACAGGTGAATTGCCTTTTGATGGAAAAGATGAGAATGAAATTTATAAGAATATTCAAGATAATAAAATTCAAATAAAAACAAAAGGAATTGTCTCTGATCTCATTGAAAAAATCTTAAAACCACAAGATAAAAGATACGAAATATTTTAGATTTAAAAACATTTATGGATGAATTAATAATTTTCTGAAGAGGAAGAAACTTTGGACTTAAACTTTTCCAAGTTAAAATTGCTTACTCAAAATAATTTTCTCTAAAAAGTAACAAATTTTTAACTTAGATTATGAGGGGGTATGTTGCTGATTAAGTCAAATAAGGATTTGCTGACAATCTAAGAATAATCTTTGATTAATTAGACACTACAGGTAGTGGATTTATCAAAATTGATTTAATTTAAAAATCCCTTGAAAAACATCAAGAATATGAAGAAATTCTTAAGTTACTTAAATATATTTAGACTGAAGATGGAACCATTAATTATTTAGGTATAGCCGAATTAAATTCATATTAGATTTTATGAATTAGATATTAGAAAAAAGGGTATTTGTGGATGAAGAAAGAATATATAAAACCTTTAAAATGTTTGATTTGAATAACAAAGGCAAAATTTCCAATGAAAACTTATGGGAAATTTTATCTAAGCTAGAGAATTATAAGTACATCACTAAGGAATATTGCTCCTTATTAATTAGTGAAGTTGATAGAGATTACGATGGAGAAATTGAATATTTAGAATTTATTGATATGTTTTTTAAAAGAGTTTGATTTTAAAAAGGAATACTTATTCACTTATATTATGATATAAAATAATATATGTAATTTTGCCATAAAAATAGAGTCTTTGTTAAGTAATAATCTCTAGATTAGAGCGAAAACAATGGATAATAGCATAATACTTTGGAATAGGATTTAATTGAATTGGGATTTTAAACTGGCTAGATACTTTTTGTTCCAAGAATTGAGTCTCAAAAAATGTTAATGCAAACTATTGTTGTTAAAGTAATTACAGTTCTTTTTCTAGGATACTTAAAACAAGAGTATTCATGTCAATCTTAATCCTTAGACTGTGAAAAAAGTCAAAATGTATTTGAACAATTAAGCATAAAAAGGTTAATTACATCTATAGCATGCTGAAGTAAGTTATATTTTTGATTAGATTAATACTGATAAGCTGATATGTAGAATATGCTTAGAGGATGGTCAAATGAATGCATTTATTAAGCCATGTGAATGCAAAGGTTCTATTCAGTATGTTCATGAGGATTGCTTAAAAACCTGGCTATTAAGAAATCACAAAATTGACGAAATAGCAGCAAATAGAGTAGGTTTCTACTTATGCTTTAGGTCTTTTGTGAGTTATGCAAAAAATCCTTTGATTGTGAAGTATAATTTGAATAAAAATACGAATTTTCATAGCTGTTAAGAATTCCGAAAAATTAAAAATATTGTTTGCTAAGCTTTTTAATACTAAGCCTTTTTTTATATGGATTAGGGATTACCCTCGGAGTTATAATATACGAAAATGAGAATTTTATTATTGCATGCATCATTGGAATTGTACTTAGTTTCTTTATTGGATTAATAATATAGATCCTCTTACTGGCATTAGTTATGGAAATTATTTCAATTACTAAAGTGTTAAGATGGAACATTAATGAATTTAAAGTTGCCCAAAAAACTTTAAAATTAAAATTGGATAAGAAAAGAATCTATAAATCCAATTCAGCCCCAGTATTAACTGTCAAAGAGGATTTTGTAATAAAAATTTTAACTAAGAAACAAACCAATCTTGATCTATTTTCTTGATTTTTGTAGATTTTTTCCTAATTTTATTACTTTCTGTTATAAAAGTTTATTCACTTTATGACTTAATAATTTTGATTCGTGCTATAAATATTATGTTTTCTATTACATTTTGTGATTGGTATTTTACAATAACTCACACTTTTTCCTTAAAAGATTACAAATCAATTTGTTTATTATTCTCATATCAAAATGTCCTATCTTAGGGAAAATGTTTTGATTTAATCATTTTTCTTTAAGAGTTAAGATTTACAACAATATTGATCATCCATAAAATAGAGATGTATTTTGATATTTGTACATATATACATCAATTCATCATCACTAGCTGGTATAAATATATTCGATCTTTTCATTATTATCAAATTAGTTACATCATCACAATGTTTATACCTATTATTAATTTTGTTGTTTTATTATGGAGAAAATAGAATAAGAATTTACTTTAGCATATCTCTTAAGCTAATTTATCTGATTATTTGACTCTTTCTATAGAGCCTTAGAGGATTTGGGTGAATTCAAAGCTAACAGTGTTCAAAGCGTGATAGAGAGTTAAGTATATTTCTTCATTCTTGAAGAGTTATCTATCCAATACGGATAAAATTACTAGGTCACCCCTAGCTTTAGGTTTAGTTTGAGGTCTGGTAAAAAAATAGGAATTAGGAAATTCAAAAGGATACAAGTAATCTAAGAAATCAAAATTAGGACAAATTTAATTAAGGAACAAGAAGAAGAGATAAGATGAATCTAATGGGAAACAAATGTGGTCAAATATTTGATTACAGGCAATATAACAAATAAAATAAAGATAAAAATTGTTTTAGTAAGATATGTGCAATATTATTTTCTAGAGATTGTATAGTTTTCTGATTTGAAATAAACCTAACTATTAGAATCATGATTCTTGAGTAATGATTTTCATGTGGCTATATATCCAATAATTTTCAATTTTTGGCAACTTTTAGAAGGGGAAGGATTAGATATTACTTAATATTGATAAATTGTTGGAGTATAGCAAGTATGTTAAGATAAATCTGATTTAATCAAAGGGCATCATGACTGAGAGTGTTAGAATATGAGATAAATCTTGATTCAGAGCAGCTCAATAAATTAAGTGGTTAGGTAGAAGAGATGTAACAAAAGGATTGGCTCAGATTAAAATAGGTTTTGTATTCAGCGTTGAAACTAAGCTCTTTTGGAGTATTTGATCAGAAAACTTGAAATCTAATAATATAATAAGAGTATTGAGGAAAGCTAATAGTATTGCTAATGAGACATACTTTCTCAAGTAATTTTAAAGTGGGACTTTAAAGATGAAGTAATATATTGATTTTTAAAATGAATCTAAATATGTGAGCAATTAGAGAATTAAAAAATTAGATTAATATTAGGATTATCAGGGGATAACCTATTTTGAAATCTTTTGATTAAGTTATTGAGGAGCTCAAAGATACGACGTGATGCAAAACATAGTAGATAAGAATAAAAGATTAATAATTAGTGCCCAGATCTTGTGGGATGTGAATGATTTAATCTCAATAGCCTACATGTTGATAGTTGATAGGGTTGTTGCCAAGCAAATTGAGACTTCAAAGGAAAACAATATCATCTTAATGCCGGTTTGATAAATTGTATATAAAAACAATTTTAATAAAGAAGCATTTTACTTTTAGCATATGATTGTAATTATTTAATATATTTGATCAAAACCATTATTTTGAGGATAAATCTTTCCAAGGATCACGAAATTGTTAATATATGATTTAATATTGACAAATTCAAAAGCTTAAGACTTTCAGAAAAATAAGGAGAGAGGCTAGAATTAGAGAGAAGAGAAAGATAAATTAATTTGTAATTGACACTTAGAAAGAAAAAGGAAAAGAAAAACTTAACTTAATGATCGACTACTTCTTGATTAAATTTTCAAGATTTATAAATCCAGAACCACTTCATTTTTCGACTTTGATATAAGCATATTGAAAGAATTACTCCTCCTCTGACCTTTTTGATAGAAATAACTATTAATTTCCCTTACTTTGTTTTGCTTCAATTAATTATCAGACTTATAAACGTTTAGAAGATTTAAGAAAATTTAGTTAATAGGTTCTGTGTTTTAAGGAGTCATTTTATGAATATTCGAAATCTAGAGATACTCTCAAGTTGTAATTCCTTCATTTCCATCTGGTGAAATATACCTGTTCCATTCAACCAAGACTTCCAAAATTGAATATTCTTCCTTCTTACTTTTGATTTGCCAAAACCTATATTCACTTTTAAATCTACTCTTTTCTAGGTTATCATCATTACTGGAATCTTATAAAATTCTTAATCTACATTTCCTATTCCAACATTTTTTAAATCCCCTGACCAATCAAGAATTAAATAAATAGATCCAAAAATATTTTAATGTATTCTCATTGTTTGAATTTCGCTAATACTTCATTACATTTCTCAAAAAAAATGACTCATTAGTATTTCAAACTTTATGAGAAGGTTTCACTTACATGAAATTCCAAGTAATATTGGCCACTATCTGAGTCAATTTTTGTAAACAGAGTGCCATTTATAAATGCTTAAGCACCTATCAATTCTAAATTCAAACAAATCAGTCGAGAGATAATTTATCCGTATATCAGCTAAATTGTGCTCAAGTTCCACATTTGACATTTTTATATATTTGGTATTATCTCTAAACAGAGATTCTATTTATCACATCTATATCAATCTCATTCAGCTTATATGCAAGGCTCTTATGGCGATGGAAATTATAATAGTTGAATCATCTAAGAGTAATGCTTATCCAAAACATAATTTTCTTAAAAGTAATTTATTTTTCAAATATAATTGTAAATCAGTATATGATGTCTGGGTAAAGTAAGATGTGATGTATCATTAGATTGGACAAATGAAATTATAAAAGATCTGAAGGTATTTCATGCAAATCAATAAGTATGGGAAAGTTTTGCCTTTAACCTCACTTCTCTATCCAAATAAAATAGTAGAAATCCATATTTGCTGATCATCCAGTACTGAATTATTATCTGGATTGTATAAATTTGCAGATGAATTACAATAAAAAATGCAATGAATAGGAAGTGGGTCAGGGACCTTTGTAGAAATCTTAGAGATACTGCATTTACTTAATTGATAAAAAAGCAGAATTTAGGAAATTATATATAAAAGATTATTACATACAGGTAAGTAGGCCATATATTAAATGATTTTATCAATTAAGGAATATAATAATTGACAGATATAATAGAGTAACCTTGAAGGCTAAAAAATCATTATAAATAACATATTTAAAACATCCCAAATCATCAATTAGAAAGATGTATAGCTTTATTAGGGATGACATAAATTAAAAATGGAGTTTTCCTACTATATGAATTTAATGATACTGATTTATTTCAATTTCACAGTTAAAATGATTGGATAAAAATTATTTTTGATCTTAAAGGCAGTTGAGGTGGTTATCAATTATTATTAATCAAGTTATAAATATTGTATAATTAAATCAGAATTCATCAGTAATATTATTTTGTTACTGTACTTTTTCTTTCTGCAAAGCCCACCTCCATTCCAAATCTAGGCAGCATTAATAAAAGGAAGATACATTGAATCACATGAGTGGGAAATTGACCAGCATTTAAATGTGAGACTGTTCATGCCCTTCTAATTGTTTAGTCGTTCCTTTGATTCTAAATATTATGCATCATTTAGGAAATTGCTCTTGAAATGGTAATTTTTCGCATCTCCTGATGCCAATTGGCTAAAATAATAATTGAATAGCAAATACTCTTTAATAATTCATTGAAATTTTATTCTCGAATTGCTATTTTATCATCGATTAATAGGAAAACTTTAATAACAATTCATTATTTTGGCTATTTTTAATTTAACATATATTAGTAAATTGTTACCTTAAAAATATTTAAGATGAAAAGAATTTTTGTTTTTAAATGGATAGAAAATAAAATTCTTAATCAAAAATTATTTTTCATTTTAATTTCAATCTAGTATAGATGCAAAAAAAAAGATTACATTTCCAATTAATTTACCTTTTCATTTAGTGATTTTATTTCATTCTCATTTTTAACTTACGAGTCATTTAATTTTAATTGAAAATTAACATTATTAGCATTTCCTATTTCAGCTTTTCATTTAACAATTACTCTCTTTCTATTTAAGTTTAAATTCAGTATCTTTTATAAGTTATTTAAGCTCTTCAGTCATCTCATTCTACTTTTAGATCTCCAATTAGTAGTCTTTCTCAATTGATTCCTAATATTGTTTATCTAATTTATTGAAAATATTCATACTCTCTAATTATAATTTCTTATAGTCTTATTGTAACGTTTCAAAATTTTTCTCAACTTTTTATATTTCACAAAAATTCATAAACTATTGAAAATTCTTTTTCAAATGTATTTTAATAATCTTTTGTTTAAGTGTTTAAGTTTGCAATAAGTTAATTATCTGGGATTTATTGCATTTTGCTACCCAAAGTTTATATTTTTGTAAAGTGTTCTTAAAATTTCTGAATTGATTCATTTAGTAAACTCTTTTAACAATAAATATATTTTGAGAATTTATGAGTTCATCTAAATCTTATTCAAGATTAGTTATTCTTAATTTGCTTTTGTACTACCTTTAATTCATTATGATAATTGAACAATTCTCTAGATTTGGCTATCATCTAAATATAACATAATTAATTACTCTATACATCTTTCAAAATATATAGATTCTTAAATATCTATTGATCGTGTTATTTTAAATTTTCTAATTTGCTCTCAATCTCTTTTTTTAAATAAAGTATCTTTAGAATTCAAATACTCAATTCTTGAGTCTGAAACCAAAATTTTTTTTTCGTTTAGAATCATTTCATTAATATTTTAAAGTAATTCCTCATTACTTAAGTGTTATAGTGAAGTTTATTTAAATTTATTAATAGTCTTATTTTTTGGTCATTATAGAAATCTATTAATTTAATTTTTCCTATTTTTCTTATCTCTTCATCCTTAAATCAGAAAATATTCTATCCTACTATTTCTTGGAACGATTCCACTACTAATTAATTTTTTCGATAGTTCTACCTTTTTGAATCATAGAATCATTTTATTCTATTTTACATATTAAATTAGAAAAAGTATTGATGATAAATCATTTAAATATATTTCGTATTAGTTTTTAATCTTAAAACATTTCCTGCATCAAATATTTGATGAATAGATAATAAAGCAGAAATAATATATTGAAAATTAACTTTTATAAACTATAAGCTATCAAACTTTACTTATTTTTATAAATTGTTTATCCATATCTTCTTTTATCTTGTTTATTTAATTATGCCAAAATCTATTAAAATAATTTTAAATCTTCCTTTTAAATCATAAATGAATCTAAAAAGATTGTTAATCAATATGCAGATCCACCGAATTTAAATCCTTCATGAAATTGAACTTTAATATTGCTGTTTAAACTTAGAAATCTTGGTGATTGTGTGCTGTTATTGTTAATAATTCGTTTTGTATTTTTATTTCTATTTTCATAAAAGATCAAGCTCTGTACAAGTTTAATTATAATTAAAATCAATCATATTCAAAATAATTTTGATATTCTTCCTTTTAAAAATATGCGAACTGTTTTTGGTTTATAATTTAAAATCTTTAAATAAAATAATAGAAATTAAGAATTATTTTGTAAAAAAAAAGAAAATGAATTGCAACAAAAAAGTAGAATTGTATGGGGTTTTGGCTTTATCTAAAGTTGTTGATGATTTAATCTTCCCTAACCTAATTAAAATATTAAAAAGAGAGAAAATTTAAGACTGCCTAGAATTTCTTTCATAAGATCTAAATTTAAGGCAAGTCGGATAAGAAATATAATAGGTAGAAATATAATCGCTTTTTGGTCAGAAATATATGGTCAATGTTGGAGACAATAACATTAAGAGAATTATCAATGTTCTCAAAAAAACGAAGGATCATGAATTTAATGAACAGAATTACTCGATGGATGAATATGAAGAAATTAAAAAAAATCTGTTCATTAAAATATCATAGGAAAAGAAAATTATAGAATTTTTAAAATTTTTAGTTCATCTTACAGCCTTTGATGAGAGATACATATAATGTGGAACAAATTCTCTTCATATATTAAAATAAAGGTTTGGGTTTGGGTTTGGGTTTGGGTTTGGGTTTGAGTTTGGGGT